GCAAAAGCAAAAGAACAAAAAAAAAACAAAAAAACAACGAACCTGCCCAAAATATATTATAAAACAAATATAGCGGTAAATAAAAAAATATATAACTAATAATATACAAAATATCGCATTATATAAAAAGCCGTATAGCATAAATATAAATCTATCCGAAATAAATATCCTATTTTAAACAAACTGCTAACGGCAATACCACTAATCCAATTACTAAATAAACCGGTTTAAAAACCGCTAAAATACAAAAAAAACCGTATTAATTATAAAAAAAACTTTAATTTCCCCTATTCGGTCCTATTTAATAATAAAAACCTAAAAGCAACGCTATTATAAATCTCTGCTATTTTTTCGAAGCAAAAATATTTTCGCTACGCTAAAAAAAAAAATTTATAAAACGTTTATATAAATAAAAAAAAAATACGCCGGTTATACCTATAACGGCAACCGGGCAAAATATTCTAATAATATATATTATAAATAAAAATAAACCGGGCGATTTAGCTAATAAAAAAAAATAATACCTAAAAATAATAATAATAAAAACCTAAAACCGTAGGCTTACGAGGCGAAATCCCTTTTAGGCCAAAGGGCCTCCGCATTTATCTGTCTAATAAACGCGGAACGGCTAAAATAACTACGTGCTATAACGGCCGCATAATAAAACGACCTTTTGCAAAAAACGTAGCAAAACCTACGGTTATTAACTATAATAAAAAAAGCAAAAAACGACCGAAAAATAATAATTATAAATAATAAAAAACAAAAAAAAAGGAAAAAAAGGACTATAGCGGCAATAATTATAATAATAATACCTTAGTGCTATTTTTTAATATAATAAAGGCCGGCGATAACGATAACGATAACGATAACTAAAACCTTTAAAATATATTAAGCTAAAATATTATAAATATTTAATAAATTATATTATATTAATTATCTTTTATATAAACGCTATTTATATCCGTAATATTTAGCGAGCTTATTGCAAACTAACTAATCCCGTTATTAATATAATTCGTAAAATTTAGCAAATCGCTTTATATTTATTTTTGCTTTTTATATAATTTTTACCGCACTTATTAGCTTTATAATAGCTAATTTTAATCGCTTTTTAGCTCCCTTAAAAAAAATTAAAAAATCGGCTATTTATTATAATAACACAAAACCTCGTTTTAATATATCTACTCGTTTTTTATATTTATTATAAATATCCTTTATTTTACGGAATTTGCTATATACAAAATAAACCTCGCGTATAACGCGCTACGCCGCCGCTAAAAACAGCTATCTTTTCGCCGTATACTTTACGGCATCGCTAATATATACTATATTATTAACCGTATAATATATAAACGGAATACTAAATCCGTAATAAGGCAATAAAATATTATACCGGTATAACGGGTAATTTCCAAAATCCCGAAGCCATTTCCAAACGCAACGCTTTAAAAATTTATATTAACAAAAAAGCACAAAAACCTTATTTCTAACGGGATTATCCTTTAAATATATAAAATATTATTTTTCCGTATTTAATAAAAATAACAAAATAAAACGAAGCATAATATCGTCTTTTTTAATAAACTAAAACTCGTTAAAGCGGTAATCGTAAAACCCTTTATAGCAATCCTAAACGTAAAACCGCAGCGCTTTAACCTCGGGTATTCGTTAATAAAACTAAAATCGGCAAGCTATAAAATTTAATGCTATAATATTAGCTAAATTATAAATAATATATAACCGGGATAATATTAGCTCGGTATAAAAATGCTTTCCAGCTAATATTAAATCGATTAATATATATATTTCTAAAATCCCGTCCTAACTAACCAGCATAATAATATTAATAATAACTATAAAATAACCGACTTTAGCCTTATTAAAAATTTCTGCTAAATAAGGCCCGCCGGAATAAGCCATTTCGAAAAATAATAAGCAAACGGTAAATTATTTAGGTTAAAAACGCTAAAAAACACTATCCAAAAGCGATTAGCTAATAACGAATAAAACCGAAAAATATTCTAAATAAAAAGCGGCTATAAAATATAATATAATCCTAAAAGCCTCGCTTAAAATAAAACAAAAAAAAATATATAATAATTAGCGCTTAAAAAGCTTCCCGGTTATAATTAAAATATACAAAACAAATAATATAATATAATAAAAAAACGGGTATATAAAAAAACCACGAACTAAAATAAACCGAAATATATTACTATTAAAATCCGGGGACATATAATCAGAAACTATTAAAACACATAATTTTAAAACGGAATTTAAAATAAAAAACAAAATAAATCTCTTAAATTATAGCAATAATAAAAAAAAAATTTCAATTTAATTAAACTATATATATAAATAAAAAATAAACTTTAATTTATATAATACCTAAATAATATTAAGCCATATCTACCATTTAAAGCGCAAAGCTTCCTATATTTTACTTAAATAAAAAATTATAAACAGCTATTAAAATAAATATAATAAAAAATATTAATTTTAGCGTTAAAACTTATTAAATAAAATAAAAACGGAGCTATCGGATTTCCTAAACCGGATTTAAGGCCTTAAAAATAGCCAAATAATAACTTATATTAAAAAAATATATATTTATATATATAATAAAAAAAAAATAAAAACCCAAAATCCGTATAAATATATAATCTATCTGCCTTATATATATAATCGTAAATCGATTCGGAAAATTATTTATAAATCCCTATTAATATTACCGCTTCCGTCCCCTATTAAGCTCGGACCAGCCAAATCAATCCAAATCAATCCATCCTAGCCATCTAAATTAACTTATAAAAAACCAATTACGCAATAATTAAACTCGTCCCTATCTCTTATATATAATACAATATATACCGCGCGGCGGCTAATATTCACTTTTCCAACCTTTTATATAATAGCCTAGCGGGAAAATAGCGGAGCAAGCCTGCGTATTATTATTTGCAAAAATTCTAATAAATTATTAATATTCCCTTAATTTCCGTAGCGTTAGCCTTAATTCGCCGCAGCTCCTCGGCCGCAAACGCTATCCTTTTACGGATAACATATACTCTTTATTCGGTTTTTTTTAAAAAGCTCCTTAAACTTAATAATATCCTCCTAATATAACAATATATCCGGATCTTATAGCCACTCCTTAGCCCAATAAAAAAGCGTATATAGCTTATTTTAGGGCTTAATTATAAATAAGGAGTCGGCGGCGTCCTCGGAGTCCTTAGATCCGGTAGCAATCTTACCCTTCCTGGCCTTCTTCTCTACGGGTTCTGGTCAGGAGTCGTCTTCACTCATGGTCTACTCGAATCCACTTTAACTAGATTCGTACGGCCTCCCCCAATTCCGTCATATTTTCGAGATGTTAACAGGCCCGTTGTAGGAGGTGACTGCCTTGACGCGACCGTCATCTCTTTCCAACCCACGGAATGTTCAACTTCAGGAACGTGGTGTCAGGTTAATTCCATTCGACCTGACTGCATCAGAGGATGAACTCGCCAAGCATCTCCTAGGAATGGACGTTTTGATCTCGACGCTCAATCCATCGTCATTTGCGGCCCAGATTCCTCTTGCGAATGCGGCAAAGATCGCTGGAGTAAAACGCTTCGTCCCTTGCTCATTTGCGACTATTGCGCCACCGAGAGGTGTAATGGTCTTGCGAGATATGGTACAGTTGCGGTAATGTATCTTGTTGAGAGAATAATATTATACTAAGACTTCACTATAGAAGGAAGACGTTTTCGATCATGTGAAAAAGATTCGCGTCCCATATACGATCATTGATGTGGGTTGGTGGTTTCAACTATCCATCCCCGGTCTTCCATCTGGTCGTGGCCAATATGCGACTATCATGGCGGCGAACACGGTTGCTAAAGATGGCGATCTTCCTTCGGCGTTGACTGACTCGCGTGATATTGGCCGTTGGGTCGCTCGCATTATCGCGGATGAAAAGACCTTGAACAAGCAAGTCTTTGCCTACAATGAGGTCATGTCTCCAAACCAGGTGCGAGATCTATTCGAGAGGCTGAGTGGAGAGAAGATTGAATATCATTCCGTGAGTTTGAATAAATCGTGCGGTGACTATCACACTGACTGAAAACTTGGGCATAGATTTCTGAAGATTCAATTTTGGAGACTATCGATCGAGTGAAATCGTCAAAACAACCCCAAGATGTCAACAAGTTGTACAGTATGCAGTATCTGTACTCGATTGGCATTCGGGGAGACAATACTCCAGAGTATGCCCAGTATCTTGGGTATTTGGATGCTAACCAACTGTATCCGGATGTCAAGAAGAATTCCTTGCAATCATTCCTCCAGGAAGTGCTAGACGGCAAAGCAGTGTCCGCTTATGCGCATAAGTTTGCCGCTGCCAAGAATTGAACAGAATCTCTTCAGTCCAGCTTGTTCTTCTCAAATCTGTCGCGCCCCAAGCGATCGTTAAGTGTCTTGTATATTTGAGATAGCTACCAATGTCGTTGGAGTTGAAAAGCCTCCTCCCAGCTTATCGCATTTGTCACTCTGGTCTTAGGCCTATTTCTGTATCTCTCTCTGTCATGCATTGAGGAAACATGCACATTGAGAAATCGTGTTTCACGCAATAACTACTGCAGCTTATTATTGAAAGATGTGCTTGGCGTCACACAGGACTCCAACGATTGTTACCAATCCACTCAGGCCTCCGGTCAGAATCGTGATCTCGAGTGCTAGTCGTCTGCTCTATAGTATGTTTAACGGAAATACCTGACGGATCTGTGTTGTTCGGCACCATAGGAGAACTCCGATCCAAATTTTCGCCCATAATGACCTCCTCACTTTCATTTACAGTGGCTATGGTGGTGGTATCATATGGATCGCCAAGCTTCCAGAATGGCGGGCGTGATCGTTTCGCGCCAATCGTTTGGAGTGTTACTTCGTTGCCGTTCGATTCCCCATTGCTTGGTTTGTTCTGGTACGAGGAGCTGCGAGGATTACTGCCCCAAAAACGTGTCGTGAAAAAGGGTCGAATCATTGTTGCTTGGCCGATCATGATTGCAACAATGTCTTCGCGGCATGACCAAATGGCCGCTTCCTCACCTTTGTGTTCCTGCAAAAGTCAGCGTTGTTGAATAGAAGATGCGTTACGCATACGAGAGTCAATACTTACTTCTACCACAAAGTGTACTCGCAATATAGCAGCCACCATGGTAAATATGCCCGCACCAAAGAGGATAGTTAAACCTACTTTCCTGGTCGGAGATACCTTGAGGGGAATAATGATCTGGATTCCAAATTAGAGCAGACAATGAGTACACATGGAAGAAAATCATACCGGTATTGGTATTAACAAAATACAAAAATCCGTGACGAGGTTGACAACCAGGATTGTGATCAAAAAGAGACTACTCTGAGGAAAACAATATGCTTAACTCCAAGTTAATGGCTATCAAAGGACTTATGGAGCAGTGGTGCAACTTACCGCCAGGGTCCGGATAAATTTGCCACAAGTGGTTGAACGGGCGGCATGCTGTGGCTAGCAATACCCACATGGCAATTGCACTGGTGCCGACAATTATCATGGCTGGGAGAATGGATTTTCTAACCCATAGATGGCCAACAATGCGCTGATAGAGGAATAACATGTTCATCTTTAGCGTCCAGATGAGCCCAATATACGTGAACCAACCGATCTAGAGAATGCAGAATTGTCAGTTGGTATCTAGTTGCCGACTCGTACTTCATATAAGTGATTTTCCACAGACGCTACTCTATTGTAGCATTCAAATTGGACTTCTAGCAGTGGGCAAGCACTTACGAGGAACCATTTTGTCCCGAGCTGCCTCTGGGCTGCTTCGTCCGGAGAATCTTGTACCAGAGACAACCGATCCGATTCTGTCCCAAGATAAGACGTGTCGCCAGTGGCTCCGACGATATGCGCAGCCACGGTCATAATCGTATAACAAATCTGGACCGTATGAGCTCGAATGACATAGTTTCCCTGCGATACTTTGCTCACCCATCCAAACCATACCAAGTAGTCATCGGCATGGTAACCTGCCAAACCTACCAAACGAGTTCGACTATATACGCGAAGTACAATAGCCAGGCTCCCAAATGCATACAACGTCCATGTCTCGGTAACGGCAGCTTGGACCTTGGCCAGATTTGCTGCGCTGACTTCTGTGCCCATATTTCCCGAGTCACAGCTGAGGAAGTTCGCGCAGATAGAGAGGATCAGGAGATAGACATTGAGATGATGAAGAGGAACTACAATGCCTCTATTTAAAGGTACAACTGAGCACTCGATTTCTCCCCGAGAATCCGTGATACTTGCGATGACCTTTTAAGCGACTAATGATTTTCAATGGATACAATGCTTTGCAGTGAAACTCTGAATAGGCCCAAGTATCGGTTGCAAGTCTCAGATTGGCTGGGTCGATATCCCCGGGCAATGTCGATCTTGAGTTTTATGCCAGGATTTCTATCACTACTAAATTATACTGTGTAAACAAATTGGCTTGTCATTTTTTTGCTTTAAGGAACCACGAATTAATTTCTTATCCCTCTGAACCTAGGTAGATGGAACCAATAAGTTCAGGGTTTGTTGGTGTTAACTCACAATTACCCACCTGCGAGTTGCGGTCATCACTTTGAATCTCCAGGGGCAGACCGCAATTCGATACAAGGATTGGCAACGTATGTATTGAAAAGACTCAATTTATCGTTCAAAGGGATGAAGCATTTTGAGAGGGAAGTTGCCGAGATTGCGCATGTGGTCGCACCCGAGTCCTTGGCCATCTTGTCTCTGATGGTATGTATGCGTCCCTTCCTTCCCCGGCTCTGTGTAACGAGAATCACCGGAAAAACGAAATGGGCTTATCCGTAACCGAACCCCCTCAGAGAAATCCTGGTCAGTGTTCGCATGTGTTTGCTACGTATCATGCAGGCAGCGGGTGGGAGCAAACAGATGAAAAAGCAAACAAATAAAAAACGCAATAGCCGGGATCCGGTGGGTCTCCATCGACGACTGTGTCTTCATCGGGTTGCCAATGCATATACTTAAACGGGGACAACCCGAGCCCAGTGGCTTATAGCACGGCCCGCTGTGCAGTGAGGCCACTGAATGGAGGGGAACAATTGCTCTGGTCCAATGGCGTTCGAATCTGCATGGTGGTCATTGTTGATTCATTTTTCTTTCGATGCATATATAGATTGAGAGAACACGTGTTTGTATTTGCACAATAGTGAGAGAAAGTGAATGAATACTTGTCTTCTCCCGCCAAAAAGGGGTTTACACTATAGAGAATATTACCCAAACCACGATCTTCCTTCCCAGTCCTTTAGCACTCTCACGTCATCGTCCAACATGCAGTCCCCCAACTCAAACTCTTATGATGTCATCATCGTTGGCGCTGGGTTTGGTGGCTGTTACCAACTGAAGCACTTTCGCGATGAGGGATACAAAGTCAAACTCCTCGAGGCCGGCACTGGGTACGGTGGAGTCTGGCACTGGAACGCGTATCCAGGCGCTCGTGTAGACACCACCATTCCTCATTACGAGTTCAGTGACCCCAAGCTCTGGGAGGAGTGGTCGTGGAAGCAGCGATTTCCCGACCACACTGAGCTTCGGGCATATTTTGACTTTGTGGCCGACAAGTGGGATCTTCGCAAAGATACCCAGTTCAACTCTTTTGTTGAGTCTGCAACTTGGAATGACGGCGATGCCACTTGGACGGTCAAAACTCGAGAAGGGGACATTTTTCAATCCAAGCACATGTCCTTGAATACCGGATTTGCAGCAAAACGGTACATTCCTGATTGGAAAGGAACCGGGTCCTTCAAGGGAATATATATTCATCCCTCATACTGGCCGCACGCCGGTCTCGGCACTGATCTTCACGGCAAGAAGATAGCCGTCATAGGCACGGGCTCCACGGGCGTGCAGCTGGCGACAGAATTAGCTGCCATCGCCGGGCACTTGACCGTCTTCCAAAGGACGATCAATACATGCATGCCCATGGGGCAAGTTGATTTTGAGAATGGCGACCAAGTCTTCCCGCGGGAGGACTACCCTGAATTCTTCAAACATCGTGCTTCTAGCTTTGGCGGGTTCAATTTCGACTTTCTGGGCCGTGGTACTTTTGATGATGATGCCGAAAAGCGCCGACAGACCTATGAGAAATTATGGGCGGAAGGTGACTTTAAGTTTTGGTTGGCCACCTACTACGATATGTTGTTTAGTAAAGATGCCAATAGGGAAGCGTACAACTTTTGGCGCGACAAGACCAGGGCGAGGATCAATGATGAGCGTGTGAAGAACCTCCTCGCTCCCATGGAACAACCCTACTCATTCGGGTGCAAGCGCATTTCGCTAGAGGATGGCTATTTTGAAATATTCAACCAGCCGAATGTCAGCTTGGTGGATGTCAACGCGACGCCCATTCAAGAAGTGACCGAAAACGGCATCAAGACTTCGGACGACAAGGAGCATGAATTCGACATCATTATCTGCGCTACTGGATATGATGCATGCACTGGTGGCCTGCGCCAAATGGACATTCGTGGAGTGGATGGCCGTACACTCCGCGATCACTGGAGTACAGGTGCCTACACCTATCTAGGCATGACAGTGTCCGGGTTCCCCAACATGTACATGACATACGCGCCCCAAGGACCTACGGCGCTCTGCAACGGGCCGACTTGCGCGGAGCTCCAGGGACAATGGATCATTGACGCCGTCAAATACATGAGGGAGAAGGGGCTGGAGAAGATGGTGGCCAACGCCAAGAGCGAGCGGGAATGGAGGGACAATGTGATCAAGATTGCAAACGCAAGTCTGCTTCCTTCTACAAAGTCTTGGTAAGTTTCTCATTATGCGTCTCTGCTGAAACCAACTGACTCCAAGTTTGTACAGGTATATGGGCGACAACATCCCAGGAAAACCGAGGGAGCCATTGATCTATCTGGGAGGTGTGTCCAACTATTACAAGACTGTCAATGAAGTCGCAGCTGGGGGATACAGAGGGTACAGCTTTGAATAAGCTCGGTTCAAACTTTGAAGCGCTGTGTTGGCGCTCAATTTGTCCCAAAGATGCCTCAAACATCTTACAACACCATGAACTAGATCCTTTCCTTGCCTCTAGAGTCAATTGAGGCGTCTTGAGGTGCTCCTGGCGTGGTGTCAATGGCGTCTTACTGCTGAGGTTATACTAGCGAGCAGGTTGAAATGTGAATAAAGTTTCGGAATATTCTTATTTTCACTATACCGATACCAATCCAAAATAAAGTCCAAAAACATTGGCGCAGTCAACTCACAGCCCTTCAAAGACGCTGACAATAAAGTCAAAAGACTTTGCATAAGCCTTCAGACCATCTTCGAGTAAGCTGATTGACCCATTAGGCTTAAACTCCACGAGTCCGTGGCCTGCCCCCTCAACCAGAAGCAAGTCCGTCTTGATTCCGAGTTCCCGGAGCTTCTCATAATGTCGCACACTCTCAATGTCCGGCACCACTTCATCCGCGGTTCCATGAACCAGCACGGACGGCGGGTAATCCTTTTCAATGCAAAGCTGAAGGAATCCAGGCCGGAGGTCATCGGGCAAAAGGGCCTCTCTCTCGGCATAGTTGACAGCCCGCAGCTTCTCCGCCAGACCGGCCCGTCCAAAGATGCCGTCGAGCATCGTGCCGTCCAGCTCCCAGCGCACCGTCAGCGCGAACCTCTCCGTGATGGGCGCCGCCCGGTCCGGGGGCGCAGCATCGCAGCTGACCACGGTCCGGTCGGCGAGCAGCACCGGGACCCTGGTGAGTCGAAATGTGTTAGCTTCTCAATTTTTTTCATGGTCGTGTAGAAATTTCCAGCAAGTGCTCAAGCTACAGGAAAATAGGTGTTTCCCGAGACAGAATTACGGGACCGGGAAATCTCAACCATGTCTAAGACTCTTCTAAGAAAACATAAAAAAGTTTTAAGAACAACACAGATTTTGACTACTTACTTGCTCAGGTCGACCATGCCGGCTAAACCCGTCGGCGGCCGGGGGTTGGTCCAGTGGTCCAGGAGCAGGTCGCCGCCCAGCCCGTAGGCAGTCATGAGAACGGCCGGTTTAGGTCGGGCATAGACGCACGCCGCGCGGGCCTGGTACGCCCCCGCCGAGGACCCGGCCACGGCGATGCGGCGAGCATCGACGCTGACACCATCGGGCAGGGTTGCCGCAAAAGTTTCCCCGGTGAGGAATGAGAAGAGAGCTTTGGCGTCCTCGATCTGGTCCAGAGCTGTGCAGGGATGGCAGAGGCGGTAGTCTGGAGAGACGAATATGTAGCCTTTCTTCTGGCACGGGCCTACGTGGATATCATCAAACGCTGTTCTTCTCTGAGAATGAAGAATAATCGGGTATACTTACCATAAAGCCAGTGAGGAAAGTCATCACGGCGCGAGCCAGCCGTCATACCACCTCCGTGCCAATGTATCACAAGAGGAAGTGGGCCCCTGGCACCCGGAGGAAGATAGTAGTCGAACTTGACATTGTGGTCACCAATGGTGTGATAAACCAGTGTCTGGGCTCCTTCGGGGAGCATATTTGGGGGCGGCATCCTGTTTGAGTCAACTACAGAATCTTCTCTATTCAATCAAGGCGAAAACACAAGTCTACAATTCATGAGCCATCATCTTTCTGCGTGAGCAAGAAATCAAGGTTTCTTCGGATTAAGCGCCTACCAAGTGGGTTCCCCGGAGCCGCGATCATCTACCGATCGGCTATTGAGTTATATCCGAGCTAGTCAAACTGTAAGGAACGACAAATACATGGTGCTGTTTCTCATGGAGTTTTTGTTCAAGGGAGCTTGTTGATTCTCGGCAAGGTCTAATTACAGCAAGCTCTGGGCAACTATGTAATTGTATCGCTCATGCTAAAACAACTGAATTTGAAGACCATAGTGGCAACTGCCCGATCCGGGTCTCGCTTACAAAGGGACTTGCTCCGGCTGATCATCCTCGCCCTCAATGTGAACACGCTTGCCCTTGATATTCTGCTCAACCTCTGGTATCAGGCTCTCAAGATACTCCTTGTCTTTGCCGACCAAGGTCACCGAGTTGTTCTGCTTGCCCCAGCGCGGATAGCTGCCGACTTTGACGCCCTTGGGCGCAACCTTGGCTGCCAGTTCTGTCAAGTAGCCCGCAACTGCGCTCTCGGCCATGGGCGTGGAGAAGATGATTCTCGTGGTACCCTTGCCTTCGGGATCGACGAGACGCTTGACTAAAGATGGTTTGAGGCCATCCAAGAGACTCTCGACTGTCAAGGTGAGTCAGTATGCTGCCTGGAGAAGTTCAGTGATGAAGAGGGTTTGGTGACTCACAAAGCCTGGGTACTCCGGGAAGAATGTGGATATTTCCGTTCACAATCGAGACGGGAACCCAGAGCTCCTCGCGCGGAAAGACGGCCTGCTTGGAGAGATCGCGCGACTCGTCAATCGGTAACTCCACCATTCGCAGGCGTGCAGTTTTGGCGGGCGAGTCTACATCCCAGCTGAAGTTGGGCTCAGACTTGCGCGGCTTGCTCATCTTGACCATGCGCTTGTAGGCGTCGTCGTGCAAGATGAGTTTGAGACCAAAAGCTTTGGCAATGGACTGGTACGTAATGTCATCGTGCCTGCAAAAGTGTAAGTGCGAGTGACTAAGAAACACGAATAGCCTTACGTTGGTCCTATTCCGCCGCTGAACAAGTGTTAGAAGTGCTTCGTTCTTAAAAAGTGTGCTTTATGAGGTGACGTACCTGGTAACCACGAAATCATAGCGATCGCTCATTCTGCGTACAGCTTCGATGATCTCATCTTCGTCGTCTTCTATCACCTCGACTCGTTTCAGATTCTACTGCGTGTCAGTGGTGTTTGGGTTTTTGAACGTAGACCAGGAAAAGTTGTACAATGCCCAGTTGAAAGCACCATTTTGCAAAGTATGCAGAGTTTGTCTAAGGAAAATGTCAGACGATACATGATTTCTGCAAAGTCTCCTGCTCAATGGATTGTCCCTACATCGACCGTCTGTGTTGTGTGTTAGTAGTTGCTCATGCTTTTGTCGGAAGCCGCAAGAGGCTAAGCATTCGGATCACGCACCTTGCCGCCCAAAACTTCATCACCAATGATGAGACATGCCGCTGTATGAATTGTTCGCGACTGGCGCTCGTCCGGCGTAGCCATGACTCTGGATGCTATTGTACCACTTGAAGCTGCAGAAAAGGCAGAGTTATGCACGAAGTTGGGCCGAGGTCTGGCGAGGTGTCGTGCGACTTGAGTGATGCGCGAGATCATAAGTTCAACTGGGTCAAGTACGGAAAGTGGAAAAAGAGAGACGGAATCGGGACTGATGAGATGCCTGATGACTTAATACGTTTGTGGATTAGAAATCTTCTAATGAGCCTCAATTCTAGGCAAGGAAGGAGGGAAGACACTAATTAGGCAGCAGAAACTAAAGATACAAAGAAAGACTCAATGCTTCTCTCTTTCTCTCTCATCGAACTACTACTTGGGTAAACACATCAAAGTGATGATGTCGGTTCCCACCCGTGCCCATGTAGGTAGGTACCACTGTACTTACAGGCAGATCAGACCCCCATTTGCCGGAGGTGGAGAATTGAGGGCTCCGCGTTAGGAGCTCCCGTCGAGTTCCAGGTCAGGTCCCGCGTCTCCATGGAGGGGTTAATCGATTCACCAGGTCGGTCCCAAGTGTGATCTAATGCAGAAAGGGATCAGTTCTTGTGAGCAAACAGCCTTTCGTCATTGTACACTACATTTATACTCATACACTCCTAGGTACCTGGTTCATATATCCCCTACTAGATATTGCTATTACTCAAGCTTGGCACATCAAGCATCTACCATCTGCCTAAACCTTTACTCCCCCGCTCGAAACCACTGGTTTAGCTATCGTCATGGTATGCTTGCGACTTGCTTTCCCCTTCCCTAGCTTGCGCCCGCTGACAAAACCACCCCTCTAAAGAGCTCCGAAGCGAGGCTCTTCACTTTCTCTCAGGAGACAAAAGACCATCTTCGCAAGTTTCGTTTGGGAACCTCGAGATCCAGCGATCCTCAGGCCGTCATTTGTATGTACACCCTTAACGAATAAACCCCTTGTCGGACGTTGCACCACCATCATTGGCGAATCGGATCCAAAACGCACGACGGACGCAAAGGGCACGAGCGCTGATCTAGAGCTCGTCATATACATGTAGACACGATCGACAAGAAGACCAAGGAGATTAAGCAAGATGAGGACAAGGTAGTCTACAAGTCTTTGGAGGAGATTGGGGATGATCTCCCAGACCACACACCAAGATTTGTGCTGCTCAGCTATCCTTTGACGATGGTAAGTGATTACCTCACCTCATGTATACTTCTCAAAGGGCCCGACGCAAATGCTAATTGCCGCACGTGACAGCCGGACGGTCGTCTCTCGGTTCCATACGTTATGCTATATTACCTTCCCATCACCGCCAATGCCGAGTTGCGCATGCTTTACGCCGGCGCAAAGGAGCTGATGCGAAACACAAGCGAGGTTGGCAGGGTCATCGACATTGAAAGTGTGGACGACCTGGAGGACATTCCCAAGCAACTGGCGTCTGCAAACTGAGTTCAAGAGACACGGAATACAGCAATTAAGAAGCAAGCGGTCCGGACGGGTTAAAGGGTATATAATTCATCATGACTCGTATATTTTTGATATTGCCGTTACTGCAATCACTCGTCTGGGAGTACGTGCTGCGGATCTAATCCCAGTTGATCTCCTAGCCCGCGTACAACTCTCTTCAGAGCTTTGCAAGCTGGGCTTTCAGGAAAGGCGTCAAAGAAACTCTCTCCATAGTCGCAGGATCTTCCTATCCTCGGGTCTAATGGTACCTCTCCCAGGAAAGGGATGCCCATTTCTGCTGCCAATGCCGCGCCTCCACCAGTCGTAGCTCTGAATATTTGACTCTCGTGCGTGCAATTTGGACACACGAACCCGCTCATGTTTTCAACCAGGCCAAGCACGCGAATGCCTGCTTTTCTACAAAAGTCGATTTCTTTCCTCACGTCTAGCAGCGCAACTTCTTGTGGCGTCGTGACCATGACTGCGCCATCAATGCCGCTCTCCTTCAAGAAGCTGTTGACGCTCAAATGTTCGTCGCTCGTTCCCGGAGGTGTGTCGACCAAGAGGAAATCCAAATCACCCCACTCTACATCTTTAAGAAACTGCTTAATGAGTCCATTCTTTTTCGGTCCGCGCCATATCACGGCGTCGTCTCGGTTCGGCAACATGAATTGTATGCTCATGACGCCCAAGTTATCCGTCACCCAGACCGGACTCCAGCCCGTGCCCGACACGTGTATTGTTTCCGACTCGACGCCCATCATTTTGGGTATCGAAGGGCCGCAAATGTCCGTGTCCATGATGCCGACATTGCTCTCCTCGCGCGTCGCAAAGGCGTGGCCCAGCAGGCTTGTAAAGGTACTCTTGCCGACGCCGCCCTTGCCCGACAGGACCAAGATCTTGTGCTTGATCCCCGAAAGCCGCGCCGAGATGAGCGGAATGTCGGGGTCGGGCCCCTTGGGCGCCGAGGCGCAGATGGCTTGGTTCGGACAGCCGGCGCACGAGTCGGCCTTGCCGGCGGCTTGCGACTCGGGACCGGGGCAGTGCTCTGGCTCGGGGGCGACGAGTTGGGGCTTCGACTTTAACGGGTTCGATAGGACGTCCTGGACGGCTTCGGGCTCTTCCAGCGAGGGCGCCATAGTGGGCGGATAGACGATTGCGGGGCTACCAACAGTTTCTAGTTAATGTGCGCACTTGTCGCAGAAGCTTGAGAGTGGCTAAGATGTATATGGTGATAGAGGACGAGGAGCGAATCTTTCTAGAATTGAGTTCTTGTATTTGCTCGTTTTTAAAAGATGTGGCGTTGATAAGTTGATGGGAACTGGGAATCATCGGTAGGTTTTCTGCTTAACAATCCGAAATAGTCCCTGCAGGACTGGTTTAGATGGCGCTCCGTTGCCGGCGTAGTGGGGTCGGTTAGGTACCCTGACTCGCCCACGCTAGAGCGGGACGGAATGATTTCATAGGCCCCATTCGATTATCACTGAGATAAACAGTGTACCTACCAGCCTAGGTTAGGTTAGTATTCTTCTTGACAACGTCTGTGTTACTATAATACACTGGAAGTACTGAGAAAACATATATAGCAGCCAACTTCAAACCCGTTGCACCAAATACATGATCGTAAATTTCAAGCATTTCATGACTGGTGAGATCGTATAGATCATGTATAATGCAGTAAAAGTTGTAAGAAAACCTCGGGATCAAGGCAAAGCCGATTAAAATATGAAGATCATGAAGATCTGGGCATAAAGAGAGCTTTATTTGAGAGAGGCGGAAGATCCGAGGCACTTTCTGTCTCGAATATCGAAACATATGTTGAAAGTCCATATGGGCAGTATACGCCGTGCGGAAGACGGACCAAGTGCCGGGAAAGTCTCCGGAGCGACATCGAGCCTATATATTCCATGAGTAAATAGATGTCCTCCAGCATTTTCTGTAGTAGACTCGTAACCGCGAGTCATCATTTACGCCGTTGTTTTCTGTTCAAGAAACGGTATTCATTCAATTCAACTCGTTTTCCCGAGTCTCAATTCCACGAATTCAACATCCCCAATTCGAGATCAAAATGTCAACTACCAAACCACTATATGTTCCTGAGCGACCCTCTGGAATTGATACCGACGAGAGCTTCGTGGTCGAGGTCAGGCCCCTTTTGCAGTCGACTGATGACAATGGGTCATGGACAAAAGTTCCGACGATTGCTACAGAAGTGGCAAAGCCAAACCCACAGAGCAATACTTTCCACAGGCACACGGTGTCGATTGTATCGTTTGATATGGGCGGGCCTGTCGAGATCAGAGCCCGGTACACACGTCAAGAGGTGACCAAGGCCTCCATACGGCCGTTATCGAGAGGTATAGACGCTGTCATCGTTGGCGACACAGTGTCTTTCACGTTGGAGAAGCCGCTGGATGTCATGCTAGAGTTGAATGGCGACAAGTACCAAGCTCTACATGTGCTTGCCAATGGTTTCGATTCAGACAGACCAACAGGTGATGACAACGGTCTTTGGTACTTTGGACCGGGGGTCAATAACGGGACGGCATCCTCAAGAGTCACTGATGGTGTCAATTTGAATGTGCCTTCAAACACGACTGTGTATCTTGCCAGTGGTGCTTTCATCACTTTCCGATTGAATTTTCTTGGCGTCTCGAACAGTTCGGTTCGAGGTCACGGGTTCATTTGTAGCTCGCAAGGAGGATTTAAAGAACGAGAATTAGGCGGTGCCATTCATATGAATGGAGCGCGAGACATTCTGGTGGAAAAGGTCACGTCATTGGGTGCCAATGGGTACAGTCTTTCGGCCGGAGAATGTTCGCAGGTTCGTGTAGACGGTTACCGATCCTTCACCTCGGCTGGAAACGGTGATGGCATCGACTTCTTCTGCTCCTCTGACATCACCATTGAGAATTGTTTCCTCCGCAACTCGGATGATAACATTGCCTTGTACTCCCATCGCTGGGACTGGTACGGGGACTCGGAGAACATTACTATCCGCAACTGTGTCCTGCTCCCAGATATTGCTCATCCGATCAATATGGGGACTCATGGAAATCCTGCGAAGCCCGAGACGACGCGTAACGTTACGATCAGCAATATTGACATCTTGGACCATGAAGAGAATCAGCTATGGTACCAGGGGTGTATCGCCATCAACGCGACCGATAGGAATCTCTTTTGCAACATCCACGTGGAGAATGTCCGGGTGGAAAGGATCACCAAAGGCCAGCTTTTCAATCTTCGGGTAATGCTAAACACCATGTACGCGACGGCTCCTGGCCGAGGAATACGAGATGTCACATTCAAGAATATCTCACTGAATCTGGCAGCGTCAGAGACGGTCAATCCATCGCAGATCTTGGGGTATGATGGTGACAATTACATCGAAAACGTGACATTCGAAAACCTCAAAATTGGAGATTCGGTGATATGTACCGAAATGCAGAAACCGTACTGGTACATGGTGGAAGACTTTGTCCCTGTCTTCGTGAACGAGCATGTCAAGGGACTGACTTTTACACAGAAAGCGGATTAAAGTGTTCAAAAAGAATGTCGGGTTAGATAGCGAAGTTGATAAAAATTTGAAATTGTAAAGCAAGTCTTTCGTTCTTTCAACGAGCACCATTTTTGATAGTTCTCAGTGATATTCTCCCCTCTTCTCTAATACATTTGGTTAAAAGAAAGAAGAAGGAATAAAACAACTAAAGAACTACCTAGATAACTTAAGACTCTGGTGTTAGACGGTACAGAAGCGTGCCATGTCCGAATGCATCAAATCCACCAGAGTTTGGACCAAAATCGCCACCTCCTCCTTCAACATTGGCCGTGATGTTTCGGTTGACATAGTCTCGAAATTCCTGCGACCAAGATGCATTCAGCCCTTTGAGTTCTGCGTAATGCGAATGGATAAGCTCCATTCCTGGCCTGACAGCATAACGTTGTTTCTCGGCTACAACGCTCAAGTTGCCCTCCCAGCTAATGTATGAGGTATATGGCACATCATACCCGACGTTATACTTGCTGAAGTATTCGGCACTTGAGATATACATGTTAGCTATTTTATGCCGAAACCGTCAAAGAAAGACGACTTACCCGTGCAGGACTTCGCGACCAAAAACATCAAACAGATCAACACCCTGATTGAAACCCAGCTGTGCTACAACTCCAGTCAATACGGTTGACAGCCCAGCATGGCCCTGATCTCGGCCAGACTCTTGGCCTTGCATCAGTATTTTATCGGAACCTTCCTCGGTGAAGTTTGCAATGGAATAAAACGGAAGTGCTCCATTGGCTACCACGCCACCGGGCAGGCCATTCTTGAAGTAATCGACGGCATAATCGAACATTGTCTGGTTATCGTTGTAGATGCCAATGGACAAGAGTGAAGCAATATTGCAAAGGTCCCAATTGGCGTAATAAAAATTCTGCTTGTTGTTGTGGTTCAAGAGGAAATCCCGGTTGAACACGGCAAAGATGTCATTGAGCATGTTTCCAAAAGCTGTCTGATTTGCTTGAGGCCAGCCCGGATAGACACGCAGGAGCTCGGCTGCATTGGCGAACTGATAGCCGTACAGGCCAGCGGCCAGATAGAGATCTTCTGTTCCATTGATGGTCTGCAGCGTCGAGGACCAGCTATCGAGAATCAGGGCTGCGTGGTCCGCGAATGAGGTGTTGCCAGTGACTAGATAGCGCCAAGTGAGCTGGTAGGCGGCATGCGCATCGCGGTAAGCATCCGCGTAGGTCTGGTTCGGACTGAAGGTGGCATTGGACCCACGGGTCAAGACCGCGTGAGGTTTCGGGACCCAGGTCGTCTGCGCCAGAGTGTTATTGGCGAGGTGCGCGTATGCTCTGGCCCATGGCTGGTCTCCAGCTGCGACACGCTGCTTGACCCTTGCGATATCTGCGGCCGTGTGTAAGGCACCGGGATGTTGAAAGCCCCCGGCATGAGCACTGTCGTTTTGCCATTGCATCGACCCAGTGCTCAAGGTGTGGCCCAGTCCCATGAGCAAGGCATTGAAAATGCATAGATTCTTGAGTAAATGCATGGCGAAAAGTCTAGAATTGGCTCAGAAAATGTTCCTCACGATAATCACAGTTCTAAAGATTGCCGTCGTCAAGTGGCACAGCCGACCTATTTATCCTCAGATGTGCAATTGGCCCGTCTGCTCAATATTTACCAAGTGGCTGAATCACGTCCCTCCTGAATAGAAATCAGATGTATCGAAAGAATAATTGAGTAGAATCGGAAATCTTTTCTTCAATGGTTGATTTGCAAAGGCGCGGAGGATTTTGCCTTCATCGTGGGCGCTCCGAGACTTGGCCCGGCCCCCCGGTTGTACATGTCAACCGGAGCGGAGATTCCTGGATTGGATACCGGAATGTACCCCGCAACTTTGCCCGGTATACCAGAGAGCTGAGGCTCTTACAATAGGCGGGCCATTATATAAACTAAAGTATTCGCAATTGATATGCAGCGACTGCACAAGAAACGCCCCATCTATAGCTCCAGTAAGGAACATGGCGATCATGTTATATGCTTGTTTATAGTCTACAGGGACTACTAGGCACTTCCTTAAATCAGTAGCACTGAGAATAGGCAAAGCACGTGCAAAGATAATACATGAATGGATTAGAGCCCCCAATACACGAGCGTCAAACTTGTTAATTTTTAATAATTTTTCTTTCAGTCGTGCACAATTAATACATCGCTCTCGTGCTTCACTAGAAACAAATATGGCCGCACGACGTTGCGCTTACGCTACAAAACCACCGGGACGGTGATTCCGTGATCTTGGATACGAAGGAGAGCAAGTTTCACGCTTCCACTCTGACTTTCCATTGCTGATATCTTCTAACTAGACACGGTTCGGATCTATTGCCGGATGAAGGAGCCTCAACCGACTGAAGGGTATCGGCATGAGCGCCCGGGCGACATATTCACTACCGTAATTGGCGCCCTCAGGACGCTCCTACGTATTTACGCGACCTGATTGGCAACATAAAGCGCTTACATCCATCTTGTGTGGTATATATCTGGATCATAACTATTTTGACAGTAAGACGGAGCCAGAGGTTGTAAGTGACTCCAATCCACTCTCAGCACAGACGTGTCAACGTATGCGAATTGATCATGAACTCTATTGGAACAGCAACAGGAAATGAAGCAAATAATCGAGAGCTATGGGTGGCCTGATCAGTTTAGGCGAGACGAATGGAAGTCTCGCATGCAAGAGCACTGGGAAGACGTGAGATGATTGCGAAGTTCACCCGCAGCCCTGATGTCTGGTCCAGAATGCCCAAGGTATTGGGCGCCAACGATGGACGAGCGATGACGTCGAGCTCAGCAATGCTCTTAGCAGTGGGGTTGTTGTTGATACTACACTTGCTATGCTATGTTATGGTGTGGTGAGACCAAGTGATCTTCTGGAAATGCCGAGAGGAGAAACCCCTTTATCACTTTTGGAGGTGATAAATCAAACACCATTTATAGAATTAGATTATGAGTAACAACGGGCAGCTCGCGTACACATTGAATAAATGGGCAAGTCTCGTGGTCACTACGTACCATAAAATTGCATGTATTTTAGGGAAGGGGGTCACCTGGAGATCAATGGAATTTGGGAGCAAGTATCCGCAATGATCCAACAGCCTGCAGCGCAAAGAGCAGCCACTAAAACCATTACCTACTTTGTAGTGGTACTCGGATTATGCGCTACAGACACATGTGGCTTCCACCAATTCTACTGGGTAGGCGCGTACCATGGTACAGATGATGCGCTGTACTTAGTGGGGGTGGGGCCTTCGAAGTGCTTGCAAGGTTGGCACGACGCGCTTCGCGCAAAGGCCCCTGTAATTAATTGGTTGAATGATGTATTATTTATTATTGCGAATAGCTTCACCCTGACAACCTGCAATCAAGTTTTCGCGATAAGCTGATCGACCTTCAACGCGATCACACGACCACAGATTCATGTTTGGGGAGCCTCCAAGGCTTATTTTCCCGCATCACTGAGACCCAAACCACACATACAAGAATATACCGAGGCCATTCCGCCTGATGCAATGGCTGCCCCAGGCGGGTCTGGTGGCCAGCAGGCCAACAACCCCACGGGCGATGCTTCGCTGACAACGAACAATATCAACACTGGTGCAGATGCCGATCTGCTTCGCTCACTTAACCAACTCTCACTCTCAACCCCTGACACGAGGTCACCCTCCCGAGCTTCTTCTACATCGCCACATCCAGCACGTACCGTCTCCCGACTCGATCACTTGACTGTCGCGACGCCTTCGCAACGTCGCAGCTCTACATCCAAGAGTCCTGCCTCGCACATTCAAACCCCTACACGATCCAGTACTCCTACTCTTTTGCGCAAAGCATCCACGAATTCACTGCATTCAGCCAACGGCGGTCCCGTCCATCGCGCCCCATCACGGAGGTCGAGTTCGGCACTCCATTCGCCAACTTTTGCCAAGTTGACTGGTAATGGAAGCAGCCAACATGCTATCGAGGAGGACGTGCGGTTCAGCAAGACCGAGGCCGATGTTGCTCGGGAGTATTTCATTCGCGAGCTCGATATTCACCACATATCGAATCCAGACCCAAGAACCGAGACACTGGTCATACTCCAAGATGCTTGTTACAATCACAGATACCAACGGCCCTTTGCCGGCAAGGGTAACCTAGCGACCATTGTTGAGCGTCCCGAAAGACTGCAGGCTGTGTACACGGGTGTTGCCATGGCTTATGTGCGACTTGGCGAAAGACACCAGGATGGCAAGGCCCCGATTGACGCAGACCTAGATCCCAGTACACTGCAAGTACCATTCGATATTCGCAAAACGGAGCGCAAACTCTCTTTGAATGCGCCGGCTGTCACAAATGTACATGGTGCAAAGTGGATGGAAGAGCTGGCAATACTCTGCAATGCAGCAGAAGCAAAATTACAAGCTGGCAGTCTGGAGATCCAACGCCCAGAAATGGATCGAGGGCATGGCGCAAAGGCTCCGGAGCCATTTCATAAGGGAGACCTCTATCTTTCGCCCGAGTCGCTCTCAGCATTCGAAGGTGCCCTAGGCGCAACATGCGAGGCAGTCGACGCTGTCTTTTCAACCTCCGCTACAAAGAGAGTTTTTGTAGCCGTACGCCCGCCTGGCCATCACTGCGACACCAGCTTCCCGCACGGGTTCTGCTGGCTCAACAATGTTCACGTTGGAATCATGCATGGCTTTTTGAATCATGGTCTTACTCATGCGGCTATCATCGACTTTGATCTTCACCACGGAGATGGGTCACAAGACATTGCGTGGGAGTATAACCAGCGCAAACATTGGTCGAAGGGCAATGCCGCTCAGTGGAAGAAGAGTAGCATTGGCTACTTTAGTCTCCACGATATTCAGTCATACCCTTGTGAGCAAGGCGACCTGGAGGCTGTCAAGAAAGCCAGTCTCTGTATCGAAGATGCCTTCTCCCAGACAATCTGGAATGTACATCTCCAGCAGTGGAAAGACCACGCCGACTTTTGGTATCAGTACCGAACGCGAATCACAATCGTCCTCGAAAAGGCTCGGGCCTTCCTACGGCGTGAGACGGAGAAATGCAGAGCTGCTGGTCAGGAGCCTAGAGCTGCCATCTTCTTCTCGGCCGGCTTTGACGCAAGCGAGTTTGAGTCGGCTGGCATGCAGCGCCACAAGGTCAACGTGCCTACCGAGTTCTACGCACGTATTAGCCGTGATGTCGTCAAGATGTCGTTCGAAGAGGGCCTATCTGTTGATGGCCGTATCGTGAGTTGTCTTGAGGGTGGATACAGCGATCGAGCTCTGTCCTCTGGCGTCCTGGCTCATCTCAGCGGACTTGCCGGTGGTGATGTACGTGCTAAAGAGGATGCAGCCCTCGGCCATAGCCGTAATGGCAGTCGTCGTATCAGCTTGAGCGCAAGTCCCCTAGGCCGACGAGGCACGATTTCTTCCGTGGAGTCTGATGCCAGGAGTAAGGCACCTGGTTTCCCTTACGACTCTTCGTGGTGGAGTGTACCGGAGCTGGACCGACTGGACGCGGCTCGATTTGTCCCCAAGCCACAGCCTCGTCCGGTCCGTGAAGGCCCCGTTCCGACTTATTGTTCACCCACGCAGTCGTCCAATGCCAAAGTCACAGAGCTCGCCAAGCTTCGGCGTACAGTATCTGGATTATCTAATGCTGATGCCGCAACACATGTTGTAGCTCGAGCGCCAACGCCTCCTCCTCCTCTGGTCTATTGGCCTTCGGCGGCTCTGGAACTGAGCAGACTTTTGATACCCGTCGGTGGTCAGGTTGACAGTATCACGTGGGATGCACTCAAGTCAGAGGAGACTCGAATCAAGAGAGAACAGAAAGAAATCAAGGATCAAAAGGAGCGCGAGAAGTTGAGATTGTCCAGCAGCCCCAGTGATCAACTGATCGATGGATCCGGCACACCTGCTCTCAGAAAGAGCGGCCGTGAACGCAAGCCTGTCTCATACGCCGAACCTGAAGACCCTAATAAGCACCGCAGGAGGACAGTCGCAGGAGCTGCAATTTTGGCTACTGACAAGGTTTGTAACTCAGACTTGATGATAAAGTGACCGAGGTGCTAACGTAATGTAGGCCGCTGCACGTGGTACATCCAATGTGGCCGGGTCAACACATAACCGCCATCCCAGCCGCCGGCTGAGTGCATCTTCTGCTATAAGTACCATGACTGCTGATACAGCTGTCCCGTATGTACCGACAGTCGAGCCTTCGCTTGGAGTTCCGGCTCGTCCAGGGACCGCTCAAACAGATCGTCCAGACACATCTCTTAGCATCCGGACCACTCCCGGCCCGTTATCCGTTCCAAAAACGAGACCCGTAGCGAGTAGGAAGGATAGCACCAAGTCCACAGGTACAAATGCGAGGAAATCAAAGCCTGCCGCATCCAAGGCACCAAGGAAAGACGCCAAGAGCAAAGGCTTGGCTGCCAGTCGGTCAACTGCACAATCCAGCAACTTATCAAGCCCAGTCCGACCACCGGGCAATCAACTGGACGCGGGCTCTTCAACGGAAGCTGCTAGGGCATCATCCACCGCCACACCCGATTCAGGAAACGATATTAGCAACATTACTAGCGGTATGAAGAAAATTAAGATCAATGTTGTAACGAAAGAGATGAAAGAAGCACGAGAGAAGGCTGCTAAAGAGAGGGAATCAGCGACTGCAACTCCAGTCCTCGAGAATCATCCTACACCCTTAGAACAGTCTAGCTCGACACCGACTGACAATGTTCCAGTTGGGGCCGAGTATGAAAATGATCAACTTCCAGGTGTCGATTCAAACAATGCCGATTCCGCACCAGCTATTGAGCAGGCACAGCCGCTGCCAGTCACGCCCCAGAAGGAGAACCAGCCTGTAGATATGGACATGGATTTGCCAGAACAGCCGCCGACTGATGTGCCCATTACGCCGGTCCATGATCCACAAACTATAGATGAGCCGCAGGACTCTGCTCTCTTCATTCCTTACCAGCCGGAAGGCCCGCCCGCCCAAGCAATCCCACAGACAGCGCCAACCAAATGGGTGACTCCGAATACGGTGGAAACGCCGGTCCCGTACCGTGGTCATAACTTTACCGCAACGTCGGCCATACCCTTCTCACCAGCAAAACCTATCCGAGCTGACACTCCTATGAGCAAGAATTCTTCCGTCTTTGGCCGACAAGTTCCGTTTGCTTCAAACAAACCCGCAAACCATAACTTATCGGCTTTCGGCAATGATGCCACCGCTACATCTGGGCACACCGAGCCGGGCAGTTCTGAGGATGCCAAGACGTGGGATCCCACAATGGAAATTCCGGAGACTCCTGAGCACAAACGTCCGTGATTAAACACCAAACGACATGCTCACTCATTGGATTGAATCCTCTGCAGTTATCATGTCTACCAGTACACGATGACTCCATTTCAAGTTTCAGGCCTGTCGTCCTTTGCGCCGACACCATCTTCAAGGCATCTCATTATGGCTGAGATCAAATTCCAGCATCTCGTGGAGGCGTTAGGTGTTCAATGGCCGATGTCTCAGTTATGAGTTTCAGAGGCATTGCGGTTTTTGATGGGTTGACTGAGCTGCCCTTTTATGCTTCAGAAGTTCCGTATATCATATATAGAAACAGTATTTTGTAAAGTACTCGTGCTTTGAATTTGGCGCAACTTGCCTCGCAGTCGGAGGCAACTTAAGCAAGTGCTTCTGTACTCTGAAGAACACGGATGATCAATCAGCTAGCGGTCCTTTCAATTCAGTTTTGATACCCGCCTTGTCTCGTTGAATCATGTGTGCAAATGTCTTGTCTTTCGGTGAACGTTGGGACTCGGGGGGAAGGCGCATAATTCTAGGCATATACAAGGGCTTTTTGATTTTCTTTTTCTAAGATACGAGTACTTGTCTTATATTTGGTGGAACTGGCACTAGAAAGCTAGATGGCGCTTCAAATGAGAAGCATAGCAAAGTATGTCAGAGCACAGAGCCGATGGGCAGGGCAATTTTTTTGCAACGATGGTCAATCGTAACGGCTCAAATGATTCATCAATTACCCGTCTGGGGGAGTCAACTTCCAATGTGCCATATGGATGAGACAACGATTGTTCTCTACAATCCAACATGACCAATGAATCAGCAAAGAAAAAAGAATAACAATATGTATGCCATTCAGTGACAATTTTGCAAAACATGAAATTGTAAGTCCGTTTATATGCTTTCTTCAAAACGAACAGAAATTTAGGAGGTTTGCGTTGTATGTCGCAATATGTGATTAATATTAAGGTCTATGTTTTTCCGTTGACCCATTATCCAAAACGCCATGATGATGCATTTGCCATGTTTGTTCATGCTTGTTTTCTATACCCAATAGTCTATAGCAGAATCTTTGATTATACAAGGAAGAAAGCGAAGCCTGCTGCAACAACCAGACTAAAGATGCTCACGGACTCCGAGTTGGGCGTCGACCCACTGCTTCCTGTGGAAGAAGCCGAGCCCGTCGCCGAGGCCGTGGGGGTAGACGAGAGGTTTTCTGTCGTCGATGCGGTGGCCTCTGGCAAGATTGTCACGGTCGATGAGCCACTGCTGGTGCCGGTAGGCGTCGCCGTTGCTGGGACAGATGTGCCCGTGACGGAGACGGACCCGGACGCGGTTACGGACTCCCATCCCGAGGTGGCGACAGTCAGAGTGGTCGAGCAGTCGTCGCACGTCTCGGCATCGAGGAGTCCCCTTACCCACTCGGCGGCAGAGTCGGTGTAGACATCAAAGTACGACAAGTGGTCGGCGACGGTGTCACCCTGGGCACAGATGGGATCACCGCTGACGCAGTAGTCCCGCCAGACGTCCTCGTATTCGTCTAGCAGCGCCTGCATGGCCGAGTCGCGTGGGAAATAACTATCGTCGGCCGAGCCAGACTCGTAGTTATACGGCTGGTTTGCCGTGTGCCGCACGTTGCCAAATGTGAGAGCTGCCTTGACTATATGATTGAAATACTGTTAGCAAAGTTCTATTTCTCACGATGCATTTTGATAAAATAGATGATCCACTTACTCATCTTGCCGGCATCGCTGCTGGAGCTCAGTTGGGGCGTCGTATCCTCGGTACAGTCATTGTAGAACGTGCCGCCACCTCCGCCGAGGATATCGCTTGCAACATGACCACCCTGGCTGTAGCCGCTGAGGACGAGTTTGGCGTCGGGACACCGCGAGTTATAGTCATTGATCTGGCTGTAACCATTGGTGGCGCCCTGGTAGACGGCGCCGCAGTACTCGTCGTCAATCATGTTGTCCATGACGATATCCTCGTAGTCGCATGATTCGAGGCCGTCGCAGATGGCCGTGACCAGCTTGCCCTGACGACCCGGGTAAGGCTCGTTGTTGCCCTTGGCCAGGAAAATGTGCACTTCGGCGCACGTCGTGGTGCTCATCTGGGCATTGACGGCAGAGGCGCCCAGGAGCACGGCCGCGCTCACGAGGGATCTGGACGACGGCATCTTTGCTGAGCAAATTCTCGGGAAATGATATGATTTGGAAATATTCTTTTCTCCTTTTCGGAAATTGGCCGTAAAAGCAACTCAGCTCAGAGACGTGACCCGACAACAACAGCGACAACGGCAACGACGACGACGACGACGACAACAAGAGGAAATACAACGTCCAAAACAACCACGGCAGCAGGAATGTATCAAGAGAGATGGATCCTAGCCAAGAAACGTTTTGGGGCACGTTCCTTTTTCATCAAGTCTCGACCCCGGCCGGGTGCCCCCCATCATTCGATGACACCCCCGGGGGATAGAACAGACAAGGGGATCATCATCGCCATCTCTGTGGAGTCGCAGCAAATTGGATTTATACCCACAAAGCTGCGATAAGCACTCAAGGCACCCTCGGCACCCCTGACTTGGCACGAGTTATGCTGAAGACGGTTAAGCACAACGGGCCTTGCCCGCCAAAAAGGAAAATAGTCCCGGACCCGGGACGCGATGGCGTCTCTGTGCCAAGGGATGGTATCGTGCCGACGGCGATAAGTAAGATCCGCTTTTGGCACAGCGGAAGATCCGGTCTTTTTTGCAGCTGTCAAAAAAGTCGCATGGCCTACCTATGTAATACGATGTCGCCTTTTGCTTGTGAAGAAAAAATGACAGATGTCTATTCGACTGTGACGTCAGGGAACTAGTAAACTACCTAACCTTAGGTAGTAAATAAGCTTGAAGAACTCAAAAAGATTTTGTCTTTCTACACTACTGCTCGTAGTCTCCCAAGTTGCAACGGGCCAACATTGGATTCATTCATCCATGGATCTGGCAAAGTCAAGCAGCCAGCCCAATTTGTCCACCTTTGATGTTACGTACCTGTCAATTGTGAAGACAACTTCAGGATTGTCGCTGGGATTGATTGCATAAGTGGGACCTTACTATTACTCCGGATCCCCCAGGATGTTGCCGGGAATAAATCCAGACAGGTCTCTTTGCCCGCTGTGCCTCTTGTAAATACGAGCTGCAACTGCTCGTAAGCCCAAGTCACGCACGCGAAGCCTCAAACTGTCCAATGATCTCCCTCAAATCTGAGTCATCACGAGGTGGTGTTCTGTATCTAGGTAGATAAGTGCACTTCGTATGAGGCTCTGCGCTATAAGATAGCTGTGCTAGAATAGGTACCTACCTACCTAAGCAGGCAGGCTCTCTGCACGCAACACGACTATGCGATATATGACACACCCGATTTGCTGTTCGCCAGGCTTCGTGTAAGCCTGCTCATATCAAATCAATGGTGCCATGTCATCACGGTGATATCATATGGAGCTTCCTTGAGCCTCTGAGCTTTAACTTGGCATTGGATCTCGGTCCTATAAGTAGTAAATGCCAAATAAGACTTGCATCATGGAAGAACAAGACAAATGCCAAGTGTCTGCCCAAGTCACTTTGTTGGAAGCCCGCCCGCGATCGGAGCAGCATGAACGTCTCGTGAGCTTTTCGGATATGATAATTTTGTTGCAAATTCTATAGTCGAAACTACGATCCTTGGAGTCAAGGCTAAGACCTTACCCCATGTGCGGGGCCCTTCGGGTATCACTTCACGCGGCGACAGCTTTGGGGTAGCATGATTCCGATGAAGAACATGCTGCACGTTCTACCCGCATGTTACTTGAGAGCGCAAGTCAAGGGGTGAGAATATATAAAGATGAAATCTCGGTTTAAGCCGAACGGGTAGTTGTCTAGATGAGTCAAACAAAGTCTTGAGAGTACAAGGTCAAACCCACATATCATTCAACATCAAACCAATTCCATCGCCAGAATGCAGGACATTATATCGACCAACTATGCCTCTGGCAAGCAGACTTTCATCATACCGCTGACCTTTGGTGATGTCAAAGATGCCAGGGACGTCATCACTCGAATAGGATACGGCGGAGACGTCTGGGAGCTTCGTGTAGACCTCCTCAGTCCAAATCCAGGGCCACTGGGCGAGGAAAACCTTCCTCCTCTCGACTATGTTGAGAGCCAGATCCGAGAGCTGCAAGCCTTGTCGCCTTTGCCAATCTTGTACACCATCAGAACCAGGGGACAAGGCGGAAAGTTTCCCGATGGCGCTGTCGAGGAAGCACTTCAATTGATGCTGCTTGCTATTGAAAAAGGCATCAAGTACATTGACGTTGAGATTGAGTGGCCGCAGTCTCTGATACAAGAAGTCACGGCGAAAAAGGGAGACACTCAAGTTGTCGCGTCTTATCATAATTGGTCTGGCAAGGTCGCGTGGACCAGTGAAGAACTCAAAAAACACTTTGAAATTGCAAATGAGTTTGGTGGTAATTACATGTCCATTATATAATTTTTGCAAGCGAAAATGCTAATAGTTGAACAAAAAAACTTAGATATCATTAAGCTCAGCATCATGTCTGCCCAGATCGAAGACTGCTATGAGCTTGGCTTGTTCATCAGAGACTACCAGTCAAGGTACACCAAGCCGCTCCTCACCATTGGCATGGGCGCCAATGGCCAACTTTCCAGGATAACTTCGCCCATCTCTCTCGTCACGCACCCACTCATGCCCTTCCCCTCGGCGCCAGGCCAATTGAGTCTGGCCCAAGTCCACCGCGCTCAACATTTGATTGGTCTCCTGCCTGCTAAGAAATTCTTTGTGGTCAAAGATCAGGCAAGTGTCGAAAAGATTGTGGCATGTTTCCAGTCAGCTTTTGATGAAATGGGTTATCCTTATACTTGCGAAGCGTCCGATGCTTTGCATGCCAGCAGTATAATTCCGGATGGTATTGAGGGAATAGCTGCACTGTTCCACCAATGGACAGGCAGGCGTGCTCCCGTTTCCATCATGGAGAGTTCTTATCACGAATAAATGTATTCGTCTGCGTATTCCATTTCGACAATGTGCTTTTTATCTCAATGAACATAAGATCTCTCTCCGCACTTGAATTCGAATAGATTCTGAAAGCTCGCAAAGCCACATCACACTTGACGAAAGTGCTTGCACGAATCTCTTGTTCTTCTGTGATCTCGGTGCATTCCATACGAATATATGGAAATTTGGCCTGATTTTGATAGTGCTTTTTCGCGCCGCCGGGTCCTCGTAGGGTTAGCGTAGAGGGAAGTGACAGCCATGTTCATGAGAGTAGTAAAGCGGTCACGACCTGGCCTGGTTGATATCACATGTTCCCCTGCCCCGGCAACTTGGTCTTTGTTTGCATCAAAACAATCTACTAATCATACTTTCCTTGTATTTGCCGGTTCCTACCCAGTTTCTGCTTACCTCTCCAAACGAGTTCATCTTGTGTTGCTCTGACGTAGTCAGTACCCAGGGCAGTTCACCTGCTCGTGTATAAATAGATAGCCCTTCCGCACCTCTCTTTTGGAGCTCATTAGCATCAACTCAGACATCTTTCAGACGCTCCTTTGATCAAGTGTTCATCTTGACGCCGCCTCGACATTTCTGATACATTTCCTATCCATCCTTACCCTGTCGTATGGATAACGGCCTCCAGCAGCCCTCGCAGCTGCCTCGGCACATTCAAGGTTATAGACGTCAATGATAATCAGCAAGAAGTATGGGGACGTCTCTCTTTACACCACATGACCGCATTGACCTCGATAAAACCTCCTACTCCATCTATCCCCATGCGCGGGTTTTGTCTGCGAAGATGTGCTGGAGATTTAATCTCCAAAACTTCCAACATTGACCATACCCTTGTGAGTGCAAACAGAATAACTCTCACCTGAGCCGATGTGTGAAGGGGGAACTGAAGACGAGATGATCGAGGAAGCATTGAAAGTTGTCTGAGTTGATCTCTAGTCTACAAAAGAGAGGTGCTGAAGAGCGACTATATACACACGCAGGTGATCTGCGGTGGGTACTGACTACGTCAGTGCGACAATAACATATATCCAAACTCGAACCGAACAAACCCGAGGGGGGATATCCTGTCCAAGCATTACAATCACGAATCCGAGCACTGACTTGGCGTCTTTCAGCGGTCCTGTCTAGATCATGACGGAAAATTGGATTTCAGTCACCAATATCGAACGACCGAGGCGTCCACCTTGCGAGGCCATGCCATTCAAAGGTACGAGCCCTGAAACCCCAATTTACGCAAGATCATACCAACGTGGAACGATAGGCTGAAAGTTCATACCTCCTAGTATGAATTCACAACGGCGTAGCGATCAACTCGGAACAAGATACGACACGTCTGTAGGAATAATCCACATGATATCAGCGGGAAGCAACAGTAAGGGTCGTCAAGTCAGCTTCCCACACATTAATTTCGTAGATGTAGACCATCTTCAATTTTATTCTCTACTTTGGTTACTGGTCGTATCAATTCAAGTCCTGTCAAGATTCAATTTTTGGAATATGTCATGAATGATGGATGTCGAATTAGCAGTCTCACCTTGTTCTATTCTATATATACATGTCTTCTACTTCTCCTATAGCCAAGTACTGATACTCAACCAACCAATCATTCTCCCACCAAAAGTTCCTTGTATCTTGACAATGCCATGCTGGTCACAAGAAACATGATTACAATAGATGCAATGGGCCGTCACCTGTTTTGAACATTTGTTATACCATTTTACTTGTATTTTCCCTTTACGCTATAGGATGTACGTCAAAACACCAGTCATCATAAAATCGTCAAGCCCTACTTTTTCCTCCCTTGCCCAAGGATGTGGCAGAGTGAGTCCCCGAGAAGATACCCGGAAAATCCGAAGACTCACAGCCTAGCTTTCTTTTCTATTACCTCCTCTTCCTTATCCGAGTCTAGTCATAGCGAAGCGTACTTCTTGAAAGCACCAATCAAGCTGCCAGTGCTGGCATCGTGGCCCTCGCCATTGCCGGGCTCGTCGAGCTCCTTGAGGATCTTCTTGGCCAGGACCTTGCCCAGCTCGACACCCCACTGGTCAAAGCTGTTGATGTCCCAAATGGCACCCTCGGTGAAAGTAAGGTGCTCGTAGTAGACAATCAGAGCACCAAGTTCGGCCGGGCCAATGCTGCCACCAACGAGAATGGAGGTGGTGGGTCGGTTGCCCATAAAGACCTTGTGGGGCACCAAGTTCTCGGGAGTTCCCTCAGCCTTGACCTGGTCGGCCGTCTTGCCGATCATCAGAGCCTCAGCCTGGGCAAAGTAGTTGGATGCAAGCATCTTCTGGTGCAGGTTGTCCGAGATGGGGTTGTGGGACTTGGCTGCAAGGATGAAGTCGGTAGGGATCAGCTTGGTTCCCTGGTGGACAAGCTGGAAGAAGGAGTGCTGTGCGTTGGTGCAGGGCTCGCCGAACAGGATGGGTCCGGTGGTGTACTTGGCCGGGGTACCGTCCGAAGTGATGGTCTTGCCGTTGGACTCCATGGACAGCTGCTGCAGGTAAGCAGGGAAGCGGTGGAGGTACTGGTCAAAGCTAGAAAACGCTGTCAGCAAGGTGTTTATTTAATTCCTCGAGAGCAGTTACTTACGGAGCGACCAAGTGAGTCTGAGCGGCGAAAAAGTCACTGTACCAAACGCTCAGCAGACCACCGAGAACAGGAATGTTGTCCTTGAGAGGAGTCTCGCGGAAGTGCTTGTCCATCTCGTGGGCACCGGCCAAGAACTTGTGGAAGTTGTCGTAGCCAATGTAGAGGGCGACACTCAGGCCAATGGCACTCCAGACAGAGTATCTGCCGCCAACCCAGCTCTCGAAGCCAAACATGTTCTTGCTGTCAATGCCAAACTTGGTGACCTCCTCCTCGTTGGTGGACAGAGCAACAAAGTGCTTGGCGATCTCGCCCTTGTTGCCAGTCTTCTCGAGGAACCACTTCTTGGCAGTGTTGGCGTTGGTGGTCGTCTCGGCAGTGGTAAATGTCTTGGAGGCAACCAGGAAGAGGGTGGTCTCGGGATCGGAGGCGTTCAGAGCCTCGGCCATGTGAGTACCGTCAATGTTGGACACAAAGTGCAGAGTCATGTCCTTGGCACCGTAGAACTTCAGAGCCTCTGTCACCATGACGGGACCACTGTTCTCCAGTATGAGTATTGCCAATCCGCCACGACACATGATTGGGCAGATTACTTACAGGTCAGAGCCACCGATACCAACGTTGACAATGTTGGTCAGCTTCTTGCCAGTGAAACCCTTCCACTCGCCGCTTCGAACCTGCTCCGAGAACTCCTTCATGTGGTTCAGGACCTCGTTAACACCGCCAGAGTTGTTCATGACGTCTTCGCCATTGACCTTCATCTCCCAGCCGCCGACATTGCGCAGGGCGGGGTGGTAGACGGCACGGTCCTCTGTGAAGTTGATTCTCTCGCCAGCGAAGAGGGCATCACGCTTCTTCTCGAGGCCAGCCTGCTCGGCCAGCTTGACCAGCAGGTCAATGGTCTCGGGGGTGACCAGGTTCTTGCTGAAGTCGAAGAGGATATCGGTCTTGGAGGGGGAGTCGTGGAAGGTCTTGGAGAGCTTGGCAAAGCGCTCAGGGTCCTGAGCAAAGGCCTCCTTCAAGACGAAGGTCTTACCGACCGTCTTGAAGTGGCTCTCAAGGTCCTGCCAGGCCGGGAGGGAAGTCGGTTGAGGCATTTTGGTAGGTATAGGGGTTGTCGGATCAAAGTAAAAATGTCGAGAGGACTATCGTCTAATACTCTCGAGCTAGAAAGATGGCCAGTCAGTCGCCGAAGAAAATGAATTGTTTTTGTTTTTTGAGTTTTGCAAGATGGAAGAAGCGAGAAGCTTGGATTCAGGGACTCGAAGCTTATGAAGCAAAAAAAGGGCGGGATCCGTTCGTGTTACATAAAGCAAAATGTGAGGCGCGCGTGTCTCCCAGGATCGCCAGAGATGGCTGGCGGGGTAAAAGCTTCCAGCCTGTCGGCGATACTGGAAAGTGCTGGGACGTAGGTGTGTGTGTGTGTGTGGTGTGCAAGCCACCCGACAAGGCCAAGGATTCCAAATCATCTTTACTCACCTCTTTTTTTCTCTCTCGCGTTCAATGTCTTGCAGGACAAGTCAATTGCTAACAAGAATCTGATTTCTCGTTTGTGAAAGCAGGTATGCTCTTAATGAAAGAAATTGAGTGCAGAAGAATGAGGAATCAAGGAGCTTTTCCTTGCTGCCAATGCCGCTTCACGATAGCTCAACAAGGTGCGTTGAGTGGATGAGGGGCTCCTCCGAAACTGCCCCGCAATGACGGTGACGTCGTGCAGGATTGTGAGATTGTTCTGCTGTCCACGCGCCCAGCAGAGAAATGGCAAAAAAATACTGGTCGATCCACAAGCATCCAATATTTCACGCTGAGTAACATGGGGTGATAATCGTAGAGATTTTACTATTGTCTCCATCTAGATAACCTAATTGTTGTGATGTATTATATAATATGCTCTAATTATTACCTAGATTGCGATGCTGTCGTCTCAATTGAGTGAGCTATGTATGTACTAGTTACTACTAGGTGAATAGGTTTTAGTACCTATCTACTTCGCATCAATGATCCTACCCGTCAGCCCAGCCGCATTCCAGCCCAATCCAGCGATGGATGCACTGAAACCTTCTGAAACCATCTGATATATATTTCCCATCATCTGTTCAGCTTGGTCGTGCACAAGCATTAGACATGACTGTAGACAGCGAGCTTGCAGGGTATCACAAATATGCGACTCCACCTTGTTCCGAGTCCTCCAGTCAAGCCGAGCTTTCCAGGCATTCCCGTCCGTCTGTCTGTCTTTCACCCTCCTTTATGACCTCCGGATAGGCCGGGGGGCAGGCTGAGTAAGGACCTCGCAGAGTGCAAGGATATTCACGGCGCAAATGCTACCGGAAGAGCTCTGCAACAGAGATAAAGATGTAAGCAGGTACCCTAGGTACTGGATACATTTTGTGGTTCAATTGGTCTGGTGACAGTGAGGCATATTTCTTGTTCATTTTGGAACTAAGCACTTCGGTGAAATGACTATCGAAACTGACAATCATGTCATAAAAGCTCCAGTACATGGGCCAAGCTCGGCTGAAGAGCTATTTTTTCTTCTTCTTCTTTTCTTTAAAGTACTCACCAAGTCCATAATCAAGTTCATTATGCCTACCCAGCTCAAATCGACAATTGATCATTGTTGCCACCTCGTGCAAACATATCCTTAGGCGCCATAATACTTGTCACCCAGTCTCACGTCAGTGTTCATCATTCTAGTATAATCCGTTTTTCATAATGGTATTCTCCAATTTCACTGCCAAATGTGAAGCACGGCCCGTGGCAGCTTTGTTTTAGCCGCCTTCCGACGAGCACCAGCATTGACCATTGACGGGATGGATATCGATTATGGTGTGCGGTAAGTGCAGACCCACTCATAGTCGTATTTCAAGAGCTATCAAATACTACTGCCCATCTTTATATATGGATATGAAAAAGCCGGAGGGACTGTCTGGTTTGAACATCTTAGGGCTGTGAATTTGTCTTGATACCTACCTATTCATAGCAGATGAAAGTCATCTGCAGTGGTTCAAGCACCAGAGTATAATGGATGATATGATCTCCACAACATGCAGCGCGAAGGGCGCATAGCGTGAGTCATAGAATTAAACCTCACGGAGCCAGATTGTTTGATTCATTCTTGAAAATTTCATGAAATGGATTTGCGCAAAGCTCTACCATCAGCAATACGATTAATGGCGCTGGATAAGCACCAAGAACCAAACCACCAATTTCCAATTTGAATTCACAAAATCCACGGCAGTATTGGTTCAATATTCTCGAGCTAAACCCGCCGTATGGTCACTCTTTTTTACCCCTTTCCCAAGATCCCCCCCGTTTGTCTCAAAATGCATCATCGTGACTGCGTTGTGACAGACCGAGGCGGTGTCATTGAGAACCGCCACCAGGTACACGCGGCTGTCGTCGACGCCAAGGGCAAACTTTTGTTCGCCGTCGGCAACCCGCACCGGGTCACTCTGGCTCGATCGGCTGCAAAGCCAGCTCAGACTCTTGCCATATTGGAGACGGGCGCCTTTGACCCAACAGTCTCGGAGGGAGCGGACATTGCGCTCATGTGTGCGTCACACAGCGCCGAGGATCGCCATCTTCAACGGACCTACGACATGCTGAAAAGAATCGGCGCAGAGGAGGAGGATCTTCGGTGCGGTGGCCACGCTGCGCTCTCGGACAAGGTGAACCGGATGTGGATCAAGAACGACTTTGTCCCCGGACCGGCAACCAACAACTGCTCGGGAAAGCATTGCGGCATGATTGCTGGCTCAAAAGCTCTGGGTGCGTCTGTTGAAAACTACCACCTTCCTGATCATCCCATGCAGATGAGGGTGAAGCAGGTCGTTAGTGATCTGACCGCCCCAAATATCGGCAATGATGAGGTACAATGGGCACTTGATGGTTGCAATCTACCGGCACCAGCGTTCCCTCTTCGCTGCTTGGCCGGCATGTATGCCAGCTTTGCTGATGCCGCTGACGGAAACCATGATATAAAAACCGAGCGCCACGATCACATGGCTCGTGTCTTCAATTCAATGGTCGAATTTCCCGAATACGTCGGGGGCGATGACCGATACTGCACAGAGCTCATGAGAGCATACGCACCTTCGCTCATAGGCAAACTGGGTGCCGACGGGTGTTATGGCGTTGGGATCCGTGCCTCGGCTGATACAGAACGCCTGGGCGCAACTGGAGCCTTGGGGATCGCAGTGAAGATTGAGGACGGCAGCATCGAGATCCTCTATGCCGCAGTCACTGAGATCCTGGAGCAGCTGCAAATCGGGACATCGGAACAACGCAAGAAGCTGGACCACTTCCATCACCTCGAGCGACGGAATACCGTAAATACCGTGACCGGGAAAGTTACATTGGCCTTTTCGGTGAGACCAAACGACGAGGGAGCTCAGGCACTTTAGGTACCGTGCCTCACTCGGTTGGAAGTAATCATTTGGGATCAGATAACAGTATAGACGAGACCCTTGAAAGCTCAAATAGAAATAGACATATAAATCATGTTCACAAATCCAGACCCACTCTCTCGCCTCGTTGGAGATTTTTGATGGCATGGCTATAGTTCATCATATGCCTTGCTGCCCAAGACGTGGGGCGCTGAGGTTTGTTGGACCAACAGCATCGTGAAGCATGTTGATTCGCAATTCCCTCCGCAAACAAGTCAATAAAAAGTGGATTAGACAACCATGTTTCTAGGGCTCAATTGGTTCTTTCATCCCATGGCTATCGATTTCTGTACGCGACATGCGCAGACTTCCCAATCAGCAATGGTCAATCTTTACGGAAAGGGACTACTGAGGAAAGTGAAAATCGGTCGTTGATCGAAGCTTAAATTGACTTCAATCCCAAGTATTTGCAGTGCCTCACTCTCTCTTTTCTCTCTCTCTCTCTCTCTACGTTATAAACCGTTTTATGTCATTCCCTTCCGATTTTTGAATTACACTCGCACCAATCGCACGAGAAGGGTACGCATTGCACACACGTATTCATGTCTGTTCTGTGCTACTTATCACAACCTGTGGTCGGAATATCCTACACCTTGAGTGCAATCATGTATCCCAACTCTAACCTGCTTATATATAATTATGATGGAGTGGCCCCCCCAATGGTGGCTGCGAATGACCACAGCCACCCATGATTCTCGATTACAATCAACGAACTGAACATCAATCATGATCTGGGGACCCGGCTAAATCCGGTCAACATGCGCATTTGGCAGCTACCGAAAAGAGTATAGGGAAAAAAAGATATGTTGGCATGCTTATGCTGACTGGATAGATAACCGGAACACCTGCTGTTGGCCACGATTTCGAAGAGCATGCCGAGCAATGGCGAAATGGCCGAGTTCGGATCTGATGCGAATAAATGCCTTCGCCCGCTCGGTCGGTCTGGGTATTTGTTCTCATAGGCGAAGCTGAGGTTCGCCCGAGCGAGAAGGGGAAGGACTTGGTCGCACCTGAAGCTACCTCCTCCGCATGCAGTCGCCCATGCGAACCATCTCACGACATCCGACTCCACTAGAATCAAGGCAACCGAAAGTCAAATGGACGGCCCCCAAAGCGTCACTGCAGAGTTGATTGGAGAATTATAGCCCTTTTTCTCATCTGCCGTCGCTCGCAAATGCGAGCATTCTATCCGTTCGGTTGCGAATACGTGTTCGTGCATCTTACGGCGCATTTATACCCCTCTTGTTCTCAGCCTCACCAGACTACTTTTCCAGGATTCCCCAGATCTTGTCTCCCCAGATTCCGCAACACGGGTCTACCATAAAACTCCCCAAGTTCAATCGCAAAAGAGGCACAATCAATAACAGACTTCAACATGCGTCATGTTTACCTTTGAAGTTTGATTCATCTACCTCATGTATCGCTCAGAGAACGATGAATGTACTCGCCACTCCTTCTGATTACAGGCCATTTCCAAATCGCACGACCAAATCGAGCACGCCTAATCATCAATATCAGAATCTCTCCCAGAAGCTTCGAAAAATAAGTAGCAAATTCCTCGCCAAGGCCACCAAGAAACGCTGGTCCAGTAAATCGACGCCCTTGTATATCCACACAATCGAATCACCTGTGAGTTTGGACACCTTTCGTGATCAATGCTCTTGCTAATATGTTCCTCAGCCAGCAAGGCCATCTGTATTTGACCAACCTTGCCATTTCGAACACCCAGCAGGGACCAAGAATGATAGTCTGACTAAAGGAGCTATCATCCCCGTGGTCCCAGCGAATCCTCCTTCGACGACCTTGGTCGTCGTTATTACCTCGCCTACTGATTCACTGGAAATGAAATCCAAAGTTGCCGTCACTTCACGCGGAGGCAGCAATCAATCCACCAGCCAAAGCTTCATCGACGCTTACCTGGCCCGACGGAAGCGCGAAGAGATCAACAAGCTAATGGAAATGGTTGAAGGATGCCTCGATGCCCTTGACATTATATCTCACACACGTGGTGCCGGGGACTCTTCCCGGCGCCCCAAAAGCAACCACTCAAACTCCTCTGGCAGCAGCGCCGGGACACCTCAGAAGTCAACTCGACAGAAGCGTTCGCTGGCTCACCGAGACAGCTTTGATGATTCTGATCCCGGTCGAGATGGAAATGATCAGGACAAACGCGCGGGGAAAAGGACCAAGACTGAAATCTCTCCAGCATTGAAGCTCGCTTGTCCGTTTTTTCAACGGGACCCGTCAAAATACAAGGGGCGCCAAGCTTGTACTGGCCCGGGTTGGTCGTCGATATCCAGGCTGAAGTAAGCATGACTTGATGTCACAAGCATACATGTCCCCGTGAGCTAACCATAATGATAGAGAGCACATCTATCGCGCGCATCGGCAACCGGACAACAAATGCAACCGGTGTTGCGAAATTTTCACCAGCGGCGATCAGCTTGAAGACCATCAACGAGCAGAGATCCCGTGCAAGGTTTCCCAGGACAGGTCAATCGATGGGATAAATGAGTCACAGTATATCATGCTGCGCAAGAAACCAGTGGGAAAGAAGGATGATGCGGAGAGGTGGGAAGAGGTCTATCGCATCATATTCCCCAAGGCTACCATGATTCCTTCTCCCTGTGAGTATACATCTTTGATAGTGTCGATGCAGTTACTGAACTGTGAATAAGATTACGCTTATGAGGATTCGAGTCGCATAACGAGTGTAAGCCACGATAGTATGAAGGCCCTGGAAGAAGAACTCATTCAGGGGGTTCGCAATGACCTCGAGGACCGATTTGATCAATTTGCGGACGAAACCAGAATCGGCCTCGTAAAAATCGTGAAAGACAGATTCAAGCAAATCATTGAGCAGTGGACCGACAAGAAAAAAGGCCCAGAGGCGCCGTCACAACCGCTCGAGGCACAACAACCCGCCTCTTTGCCTGAGTTCCAGTTCTTGGAAGATTTCGATTTTGAGAGTTTTGTTGCCAACTCGGACACGAATTTTGGCTATGAGCCATTTCTCACTGAGCCAATTACTGGCGACTTCGTCTACTCATCTGATGCTTCAGACTCGGCATATGTCTCCATGGATAGCCCAAGAAGCCCCCCAAAGGTGGAGGTCTAGTACGAGGGCTTTTTTTCTTGAGAGCGGCGCTGAAAAAATTTGTTTGGGTACATGTACCACCCAAATATGAGGACCCAGTTTCCATGTTTCAATTCAATTGTTTTCAAATAGTGTTGTTAATGGGTACTTCGAGCGGGCTCGTGTATGGGATCACTAGCTATCTTTCTATGGGTTTCCGCATGGCCATGCGGTGGACAAGAGCATACGCGTGTATATAAAGCAATTGTCTTATTATTTCAAAAATCACATTCGTTTCAGCGCAAAGTCTGCCGCCGCCCCTTTCTCTGCGTCAATAAGATACGTTGTTTGAGAGGTACTCATTCTGCAATTATACCGCGGAATGTACGTTACACGAATGCAAATTCCCTGAGTGGAAAGCCCGCTGATTCTAGTACTTTGGGTCCAGCCTTCCTGAGCTCTTCCATCAAAGGGTCCTTTAAGAGGCCCTTCTCGGCAAGCGAATTCAAGAATGGTTCGATCCGAGGGTCATTTGTGAAAGGCATGTCGACCCCTTCCTTCCTTTCCATGAAACCCCTCACATTCAGAGGCAGCGACCTGTCTTCGTCGTAGACATCCCATACGTTCGGAGGCAATCGGCCCACGAGCACCTGTCCTTGCATAAAGCCGTGAACGTAACAAACGCCAATGATTTGATAATATATCTCGCCCGAATCGTCGCAGGAACGACGGATCACAATAGGAGTATGGAGTCCGAAAAGACTGACCACTTCATCCCCAGGCATGGCTGTGATAGGTCCTATCCCGATGTGTCCGTCGTTCATGGTGAAGAGGTAGCGACTTCTGCATTGATCTTGTACACTCTGCACGTAAGTTCGTTTTGTATATTCGTAGCCCGTGGGTTCTTCTGTATGAGCAATGAGTGTTTCGAGGAACCTGCGAGCATCATGTACTGACGGGCACCGCGTTTGTCTTTCAAACGGGTACCATTTTTCCTGGAAGTTACCAGCAATCAATGTAGCGCATAATGCTTCAAGAACAGTTTCTTTTGTCGGGTACTGATCATGAACTTTCAGAGTCAATGCGATCCGCTTGATCTCGCGTACTGCTGCTCTATTATTCGACAGCAGCGATTCGTGATTTATCGGTGTTGCGTGCTGGACAAATCCATAATGTAGTCCCGACGCCCGTAGGATGTGTCCGTCTATCGAAAATACATCTGGAAAGAGCTTGTATAGAGGCCGTGGCATGCAGTCAAACCCTCCTATGTCCATGGGCTGGGTGAAGTCTGGAACCCAAGTGGGCAAGTCCTCCATATCGTTTGCTTTCAATCCGCCCTGTCTAACTATGTCCAGATGGCCGTAGTGTTGTGTTACCAATGTTGCCACACCCATATACACTTCCCGTGTAGACTTGCTATAATCAGGTACAATTGACAATTTCGCGTCGTGCTGGTTGAGTTGACTTAGTACACCGTAAATTCTGTCCTTTGGGTCAACACAATTGGCGTATTGAATGTCTTGGCGGAGATCTGAGAGGGAAAACTTTCTTTCCGATAAAACGACGACGCTGTCAATAATACGAAGTCTGTGTCGTAGAGAGGCCAACTCGCTGTCTGGTAAAAGTGCCTTAGGAAGCGGTTTGTGCTGGATTGCAAATGTTGACGTGCAGAAAGCTGTCCAAGGAATGGTTTGACACCCGTATATTAAAAAGGCTCTGGGCCCTCCCAAGCCAATCTCCTGTCGAATCCAGAGTCTATCGAACCATGAGCACTGTACAAGACGATGTAAGCTCTGTAAGTCTTGTTTGGTTAATGGGACCTCCTGCTCCATATCGGCCCAACCTTCCTTTTCCTTATTGATGGAAATTATGTTTCCTGACCCGAAGTCGACCCTTAGCATGGTTGAGATGCTCTCCAGGCGCTTTGTGATGGCTGACTCGGCCAGGCTCGCGGGTCCAAGAAATGCAACCACTTTTGTTGCTGTACGATAAATGTCACCTATCATTGCAACTTGGCTCGTTCGCTCTGCAACATCATTCTGATTGATACAGATCGCATTAGCCCAGATGATCCTTGTGCTGGATTCTGTTCGAAGATGCCGGAGTGCAGAGGCGAGATTCTGAGTAATATGTCCTTGGACGAATTGATATTTGGAAGTATCGAATATTTCCACCGCAACAGGATCCTGTGGACTGCCCCATGTATAGGATAGTGCTTTATATGATAGGGAGCCCTGACGTCCGAGAACGCTGTGTCGGAGTTGAACACGAAGGGTATCATCGAAAGAGCCAGGACAAAGCTCCAAGACCCTAATCTCATTGACTTCAGTCAACGGCGCATACGTGTAGTGTTCCATATTGTTTCAAGATGATGATGATTCCGCTCTCGCTGGTTGACTACTTGGTGAAGTGATGCTTGCCGAAGAAGACTTGCAGGAATTATCTTATAGTATGGGTTTACGCAGAGGAGACATATTACCACTTGATGGAGCATCTTATACGGTATAAATATTCGACTGTCGCACGAAAGCAAAGCTGCAAAGATCGAAGCTAACTGATTTCAATTAGACAACATATGGCTGTGTTAGCTGATAATCAACTTCAACCTGAAGCTAGCAAGAAGTTTTACAACCTTTTTGCGGCTGTGCTGGGCGAGCCAAGAGAAGAAACCAGGCTGACGATGTTGTTCTTTCCTTCCATTATGACTGCCTAGGTATACATTCACTGTACCAAACTCGGCCCCATATGTCCAAGCGAAATGTATAGGCTGATCCTAGTCGTCACTAGTCGCCAGACGTTGCTCTTGTCGAGCCCTGGTGTCTGCCTTGAAAACTAAACTTTCGCGAGGGGTTTCGTGCAGATTGCACCAGGGTACACTTTCGGTGAGGTCATTTTCTCTTCATCGTGTTGTTGGCTGATCATACATAGTAGATTAGCAGCCGCCGACTGCAGAGCTGCTACCCCAGCACCCAAAGAAAGTTGTCACGTCTCTCATAGAGACCATTGTTTTGCATGTCCTTGAAAACCGTGTGTTTGAGACATTATTTCGAGGATGCGCGCTCACCGCCGATGAGTGCAATGATGCGTCGGAATATTCATAAACACACCACGTTATATGTTCCTATGCCGCCAGTTGCGGAAGTCACTGCGTTGCCGGGTATCGCGAAAGGGGCACAGTATCTGCAACGCAGAGTTATTCCCTTGACCTTGCTCTGTCAAGTCATTGGATTTTCCAGAGAAGCATCTAATGAGTTATGTTCAATGCTCAGAACAAGCTCAGGCTAGTCTGATATATCAGTCGGGCGAGGACTACACCTCATCCCACAGCACCGCCAAGGTGGAAAACCTTACAGGGGTTCGTAGCGGCCAATCAAGCCCGTAGGAGTACTGCGGAAGAGATGTTCTTCATGGCTTCGTTGTCGAAGTGGTGGAGCGATAAATTAAAGTCAAATACGTGAGAAGAACAAGAGTGTATGGTTTATTGACGACAGAAGCTGTTGGTGGTATAACGTGCTCGTCTCCGTGCTTGACTCACGCTCGCGTAACCTGGTCAAGTATATTGAGAAAGTAGTACTAACGAAAAAAGACACTAAAGTAATGTCTTACATACATAGTAGAATTCAAGTGGTCTGTACAAGGGCATGACCCCCATGCGACGGAGGACTTTCGACTCATGCATGAGCCACAGTGACGATCCACGAAATGAACCGCCCCCCATTTCACGGCTGCATCCTTTCAATCACCTTCCGCGCCTGCGACTTGCACCAAACCCGGGCATTGATGCCTTGCGCGGCGAACGACCTGCTCTGGGTTGACAGCCTCTCCCGCACTTGGTTGAAGAACGGCGGGGCTATAAGGATCCCACTTCACCTGGCTCCGAGGTGCTGCGGGTGAAGACAATGATTACATCACCGCACCGGCCCGCCAGCATAGGCGTGTATACAAAGCTATTGTCTCATTATTTCAACAATCACATTCTTTCCAACGCAAAGTCTGTTGCCGTTCCTGCATCAATAAGATACGTCAAGTGTGGCATGTGTATCCAATCCCCATGGTCACAAATGTTATCCGCGACGTGACATATGGTCAACACTTTGTTAGCATCTGCTCCCTGAATCGGGAAGCCATTGACTATATTCGCAATTAGTCACAAGTATGATGTGAGAAACAGCTCGCCCACGTACATGGATCTCCAAATATGACGATTGAGCTCAAATCACTCATTGTTGACTGCGGTAACAACTTGGCAGCATTATGGACGAGTTGTCCACCCTGTGAGTAACCGGACATAATGACCTTGGAAGATGGACATTGCGTCTGAGCTTGTGTTATCAAGTCCGCCCTACGGCCCTCGGATTATTAGCCACACCCACTCTCCTATAATGATTGAAAGTATGTAGATGAAGACTTACATTCTCTGACTGCCTTTGGTGTCTCCGCCCTGCAAAAACCCTTCCACATCGGCCACATAGTCATCGACGCCCTGCACGGCGAGCGACTTTCCCTGGGTCGACAGCCTCTCCCGCATCTCGTTAAAGAACGGCGGGCCCACCAGAGATCCCACATTGCCCGGCTCCGAGGTGCCGCGGGCAAAGACGATGACGACATCGCCGCACCGGCCCGCCGTCAGATCGTCTTGGCTCGTGTCAAAGCCTGCGAGGTCCGCGAAGACGGTCTCGGCATCCTCGACGAGACTTCCCAGATCCTGCACCAAGACGTTGAGTGGAAACAGCTGTGTGATCAAGGCTAAGAGTAGATTCACGGGGTTTGGATTTTGTCGGGCTTGGACTGCCGTCCCGGTGATTGGCGCAGGCGCGGCACGGCCCGGGCAGAACGAGAGAAGGGAGAATATGGCGACAGATACGTATGGGAGCCTCATCGTTACGATTGATCATTGACCTACAGAGAGTAATGGCAGGAGAAAACGTATGAAAAAAGAGAGCACATGCGCCGCCTCTCTTGAGGAGGCTGTTTTTTTTTTCTTTTTTTGGATCAATAAGGTAGCGAATTTTCTCTTTTTGACTTACAATGTACCACCATGAACGCCACCATCCAGCACACTTGTTCCAGAAGCACCAACTCAAAATCTGTGCCTGGGGGAGGTCACACGACGAGACGGCACGGCCAGTCCGAGCCATTGCATCTGTATTGATTATTGGGACCCAAGGTGTTACCCGGAGGCCCCCCAGACTCATCTCTTGTTCGACCAACCAGGACATATTACTCACGGGCGAAAATATCCTTGGACACATAAGTAAGATCTCAAAAATCCCGATTCGGGTCTCTTATTCGCACGGAACCTCTTACCGTGGTCTGCACCCTTAGACAAAGGGGGGCCCTCTGTAAGCGCCTCGCGCGTGGACCAATCATCTTACACAGATGGACACTCAACTAAGGCGCGCGCATGGGTTTCCAGCCTCCTTGAAAGGCCTCCACACGAGGGTAACACACACGATTGGTCTCTTGAGAAGAAGTCCACAATCTGATCGTGTTACTCGTCCCTTCTGAATGCTAATTCCGTGAGTTCAAAATATCCATGTAGGCAATGGCGAACCATGATGATAGTCACGCCTATGGGGCGGACCGTGGTCAATTGTCTTCAACTATACACATTGTTATCAATGGTTATGTTTACAATTATGCCCGAATCAATTGAAGTTTTATGCAAAGTCTCGGCTCAAAATGGAAATAAACCTGGATTGCGTACTAATCAGAACAGCATTAGAGTGCAGCTACTCAAGTTTGCGAGCTATGGTACTTGCAATCCGGGACATATTTAATCAACTATTTTCCCGAGCAAGTCTCAAACATGAGTCGCAATTCACGATACCTAGTTCCTCATAAGCGGATCATCGTTCCGACTGTGCATTATGCGGCAGTTTGTTCAATGACTCGACACGCATGATTATATAGACGCAGCTCCTACTCATTCACCGCAGCAGATCGACTATATAAAACCACCCCAGAAAGATCGGCATGAGAGCTAGCAAAACCCACCAGGCCTCAATGGTGAACTGTGCTCGCAGCCACTTGGCCCAGCGACTTCTCAGCTGTGGCCGATGCAGGCAGGTATGCGTCCCATACACCAGACAACCTAGCCCCGGCCGCGATTCGCATTCCATATGCTCGCGGCGACGTTGCATGAGGAGCCTGGCAGATAATTTTTAGCTACAGGAGAATTCTTTGATGAAATCACAATTACTATATGGTGGAAAACATACCTGACGCTCCCTCTGCAAAACTTCAAGTCGCTGCCCAGGTCACAGCGCCGATCGTTTGGACACTCGAGGTGTAGGCTCCGTCTCTCCATCAGCCAGGCGACCTTCAATTTGATGCCAGTGTCGACTAGCGAGTAGAAATAACGACTCGTGTGCTTTAAAGAAAGCGCATCTGGGTAGATCAACTGCTTGGAGATCAAGAGGTGGATCTCGGCCGGCAAGTCGTCCAAGCTCGGGCTTGGCTGCTGCTGCTGCCGCCGGGCTTCTTTGCTCGCCGGGCTTGCTGCTGCATCATTGTTCTTTTGCAGGAGCGACGAGGCTTTGCGGCCCTCTTGCTTTTGTTGTAATTGCACGTGCATTGCCTTGTCGCTGGTTTTGGTTAATTGATTGATTGGTACGAGAAATCATGCGATGGGGAATGCGAGAAGCCAAAAATTAGTACATGATTGCTGCCTTGAATTCATGCGTGACCAGCTCGCATTGATCGCATTGATTTGTATCTCTGCCACGGTGTTGGTGGGGGCCGGGAGCAGGCAGACCACCTAGCGACCGTAGCAGGCACCAGAATAAAGCCAGTAGACCAAGTTGTAAGATCAGCATCAGTAAGTTGTGTTCGTGATCCAACCGCTCAATAACAGCGAATACGGAGGCTTGATGGCCGTGGCGAGATGAGAACCAGTGCGTCTTCACGGATAAAATCCTCTGGAGGAGAGCCACAAGAAATTGAGCAATTGATGAGAGTAAGGAGTCATGAACCTATGGACTGCAGCCGAATACCTTGATCACCTGGCATAGCGCCATGTGATTTGAAGTCAAACACATTGAACCATGGGACAATGGGTTATTGGATGTTTGAAGACAACTATGGTTTGAGACTCTCTCACATCAAGGCTCGAGAAATGGTAAGTTTGTTGTCAACGATGCTCGATCAATCACAGTAATTCGTTGCTTTGCTTGCAATCGTGGTGTTTCAATTGGAGGAACCTTGGAAGTAACACGCACACCACCGTGCTCTAGGTAGGCCCAGGTAGTAATCAAGCTGAGTTACAGTTAGTACCTGCCTAAAAGTCTACCTAAATGTGCCAGCTAGTGGGAGCCAGAAGGCACGTGATGGCGCGACGCTCCGAACGCGTTAATCTCCAGTGCTGGGAAAGGTCTAACCTAGGCCGCAGCGTGGCAATAAACATCCAAATCGGGGTCTGCCATTAAAGGTGGCCGCCTGTTGCTGTACATCATGACTCGGCCCGTTCAAGTCAAAGACGTCTTCGATTGCTGAACTTTCTTTTTCTTCTTGCCCGTATCTATACTATCGCGTCGCTACTAGTGCGGGATGAACGCACCAACCTGTCCCTAATGGCAACCAAGTTTCGGGCCACAGATCACCCAAAGGCCCTGGAAAGTGACTACGGCTCGGACTTTACCCTCGAGGAGGAGAGTATCGTGATACAACTTCTTGAGCAGGCACAGAATTCAAAAGTCACAGCTGTAATCTCGGCCAGCAGTCCAGACACCCACAGTGGCCAGCCAACTACAGATGCTTTACTCGCTTCAGATCTCTCGACGTATCCTTTGCAGGGCGATATAGAGCAGAAAGATGCATCAGCGACCGACGCTGGCAGCAGCCGCGTTTGGCAGGGCCAGGTTGCGATACCCGCAGGCCGTGATGGGGGCTGGAGGCCTGCCGATGCTCGCAGCACGACAATGGGTGGTCTCAGCTCGGTGCCAATGGACGGCATCGAGTACCCGGATTGTAAGCCAGCACACCACTTTCATCGGGCAAACACCACTGACTGACCGAAGCGCCTAGTGAGCCATGCATTGCTGAGTCTTGTTGCTGAAACTCAACCACCCCAATCGCAACAGCCAGATGAAGTATCAAAGAAGTCAAAAGAGGGCAAGAAAACACCGATTGAGCGCTTTCGGTCATTTCCCAAAAAACCGCTTACTGTCACTGACATATCTTCTGGTGCATGGTGTGAGTTGCAATATTGGTATACACTTACACGACTCCCAGGGGGGAGAAAGACCAGAACTACAGCCATGAAAGGTGGAACAAAAGTCCACCAAAAGTTGGAAGATCAAGTTCACACCACAGTACAAATCAACGTCAGCCGAAAGGAAGAGGCGTTTGCACTGCGGCTATGGAACTTCATCCAAGGCCTCCGAACGTTGCGAGACACGGGTCTCACGCGGGAACTCGAGGTCTGGGGCTCGATCGAGGGGCAAGTTGTCAATGGAGTTATTGATGAGCTCAGTTACACGAGTCCCAATCTCGGCTTTGAAGAGGAGCTCAGTCAAAGCCAGTCGTCACAGGGTGCCGCATCTGAATACGTCGGGAAGCAGTCTTCCATCACGGAATATTTTGATCCCCATAGAAGGCGGATCTATCTCACCGATGTCAAGACCCGCGGCAGTACTAGATTACCTTCTGGGGCCGCTTTGCGACCCTCCCGAGTCCAACTTTTCATATATCACCGTCTGCTTGGCGAAATGGGCGCCGGGAAACTGGACTTCTCCAAGATTATAGCTCGGTACGGGCTCCAACCAGACGTGCGCTTCTCAGACGCATTCATGGCGCAGATCGGCAACTTACATGATGAGGTGTTTGATGAGGTGGAGCCGGGAGAGGATGCTCTTGGCCTGCCCTCGCAAAACTCCCGTGAGAGACAACCCGGTCCATCTCCAAGCTTTCGGGAAACAGAATTGTCTCCGGCGCCAGACCTGATTCGGTATCGATCTCTTCAGCAGATCATACCCTTGGTGCAGGCGGAATTACGCGAAACATTTCCCCAAGGTGCAGACACTCTCGGCGACCTGGTGGCAGTTGTATATCGTCATAGGGAGGATGGCCGTATTATTGGCGACCATTGCTTTCCGACGGATGCCGAAGCCCTCAACAACTATCTCAAGCTGGATTTGAGCTGGTGGCTGGGCAAGAGAAATCCCGATGGCGTACCAATCGAGGAAGTCTACAAGTGCCGCATCTGCGAATTCGCAGAAAGCTGTGAGTGGAGGCACGAGAAAAACGAGGAGATGATGCGCAAATCCCGTCAACGAACGGACGGGGGTGCTGTAGCGAACCGCGAAGCTACGAAATGAAGCTCCGTGTCATCGTGACCAGGGGGGTTTCAAGTTTTCCAAGACAATTGCTGCATGGGCCTCAGTCCCTGACGGTAAACGGCCGTGGGGGAGGAGATCCATAATAGTATATACTCGACGCTTGGAACTGGGTTCTAGTCTTTCTAGAAATTGTCAGCATTGGTCCCGGTGCCATGGCGGTCAAACCTTTTGTGGGTATTTGTCCAAAGCTCTGATTTTTTTGGGATGGGCCGGAGAAGACCCTTTGGCGAATCAATTTTTACCATTTGTTGAAATTGTATCTTAGAAACGAAGTTAGAAGTATATGAAGATGCCACCGTGGGGGCATTAGACGATGATTATAATATATGATCTCGACATGAAAGCATTGCAATCCTTGATACTGTTTACGATGAGCTGGTGAGCCATGTCGTCCTCAGGCTAAGTAGATTGACTATATGTCGTCTATCGTGACATTTCTAATCAGGTGAAAAGCATTAGTACAGCTCTTGGGTAGGTCGTCTGGCGAAACTTGGGGGCATCAACATTCCCACGAGATGCCATCTGGCATTCAAAGGAGGCGCATCAAGGTTGACCCTTTCGTTTGCAGCCAGACCTGGTGATTATATCATCCTAGGCTCCAACGTTTGTTCATGGTCACTTACTGACCGGTTGCATTCTGAATGTGATGGGATGCATTGGCCATTCGAGAGCGGGAGTGGCCCGATTCCGTGTCAACTTTCTCCCCTTCTAGGACCACGTACGCGGCAACGACAGGGTTTTCTCGGTCAAGGATCCACGTTGTGCGGCGTCCAATGTAAAAAAGCTCCCCCAAGAGTGGAAAGGCCCAGATACTGGCCAGTTGCATCTAGTATAGTACGAAGGAATGGTACCTGCATCCAGTACCAAATGCTACTGCCTGCAGGCTGCTGCAAGTGTGCCCCTTCTTCCTGTTCTTCTTTTTCCTCCTCCTCCCAGCTCAGTGCTTTCTGCGCCATACCAAAATCAAACAGATATGCCTGTGCGCTGAGGGCCACCTTTTTCCCGTCTTGCCGTTCCCGACGTGGGGAAGGGAGAAATTGTCTTTTCTGGGTCGCTGTTCCTCTGTGGCCAGTGCTGTTACGAAAGGGAAGAAGAAGAAGAAGGGGAGGGAGGGGAGAAAACAAACTAGTCTCCATGCCAAAACTTACCATGGCTCTGGGACCGATGGTAACGCTTGTGTGTTTTGGTTGTTTGCTTTACCTCTTTTGATGTATGATATGCAGTTTCGAGCGACGACCAAGCTGGACTATCTCCTTGCTTGGAAATGCAATTACTGTATTACTGAACATTTGAACAGGGACCCAGGAAGAAGCTCGTTGGGATGCGCCGCCCCGGCCGCTGGCGTTGCCAATCAGCCGCGAGCCCAATCCCTTCCCAACTTCCCAGCGGGGCAATCGAACAAATGCTGCTTCTTCCCCTGACGGTCAGTGGGACACCTGCAGCCTTTCTGAGCAATCGGAATGCAACACGGAAGATGACAAACGAAAGAATTGATACAGCTCGTTTGCTTGCGGTATTGAGGCTCAAGCCCAGGCGGTATTTCTGTGCCTATCGATTACCAAGTACCACCTACCTCTCATCAGATGCATACCTACCTAGGCGTTCATCAGACCATTTGAATGTCAATTACAAGTATTGCAAAGATCTGCTGCCCGCGATCAGCGCAATCTGGCATCCGGCAAGCTTGGCGCATAGATTACGGCATCTTCCGTTTGGGTGCCTCGTGCACCTGAGGCGATACTACATTACTTTTTTACACTACCATACTATGATGAGTTGGTCTGTAGTGTGTTGTAGTGTAGTGGTCGCTGCTAGTCCAGGCCTTCTCGGGTGAAGTCCCTTTGGCTCAGCCATCGCCTAGTACTGTGTGCTTGACAGGCCGGACCCAGTGTCCACCTAAGGGCTTGACGTGATCATCATCAGTAGTCGGTTGAACGGGAATCCGTGAGCTACTACCACTGTGGCTCAAGTCATAATCCTGTCTTGCCATCTACTAGTGTCCACTCACTTTGTCTTTTTACAATCACAGACCCAAGACTAGCGAACGACAGCGGGAAGAGAGAAGCGGTTCCCCAATGCGGCCGGCCTCTCCCACCAGGTCCACCACCTCATCTTAGCGTCTGGCGTTGGCTCGAGTCAATCTGTATCGCCAACATGCCCAGTCGAGTCAGCTCCTTCTTTCAGCGCGGGCACTAAGTCACGTAGTCCATGAATCGTCACCGCTCGAGCCAGTGGGGACGCCTTCGTCTGGCCTGTCTGTCTGATGGGTGCTGGCTGCTGGCTGGCTGGGTCGGGTGCCATGAGTATGCCCGGGAGCAAAGGCAAAGCAAGCAAGCCTTGACTTGGCTGGCTGTCACTGTCAAACATGAAACCCATCCATCTCTCTTATCCTAAAGGCTTCCTCACCTTTAGTCCTGTATGCGCTTTACAGTACTTTTCTCTTTGATCCTGTTCCATCTCGTCGCCTCACTGGTCGCCTTGAACCGCCCAAGCCGAGCTGGGGAAACCCTCGTCATGTCGTTTTGATCGTGGCCGACAACTACTCCCTTGCTTGAGAATATCATACTTCATTCATTTTCGTCATTCATTCCCTCGAGCATCGTTCTCTCCAACAATAACAATTCTTGCATATTGTAATCAATCGTACCGGAATAGTAGTAACTGCCTACATTACCTAGTTCCCAACCATCACAGCCAACGCCCAGCTTTGCCAGCCAGCCCAGCCCAGCCCAACCAGGCCCAGTCCACCTCGATCGACTTTCTTACCAACTTACATGCGGTTCAGGTAAGACACAAATGTCGCGAACTTCAACGGCCAAGGACCTCTCCCGCTCGAGGGGCAGCGAGCCTGACTTTCGCCGCATGAGCACTCCTTTATTACCAACAAACTATAATTACATGGACGCTGTGCCGTCTGTACCGCGGGTTCTGTCGCCGCCACCGACGCCGCGGGGCCCTCCGCCACGGCCGGATCGGCTGTCTTTGCGCCTGCGCAGCAATTCGGGTCTCAGAATGCACACCAATGACGCTGCCCTCAGCCAGTACACGGATTATTCCTCGCCGCGGAAGACGACTTTTACCAATTCCATTGCCGAACATTCTCACCAGAATATCGACCATATCCTCTCGCCGCGGAGCACCCGACCAGGTTCGCGGTCGAGTATGACGCCTCAGTCACCTGGGCTGAACTCGGCGCTACCATTCATGGATCTTCTGGGCAAGGATGCATTTCAAATGGCCATGGAAAATCCATCCGTCATCCGTCATCTAGTCCAATATTCCGAGGAGGTGGGCAACGAAGAGGGCGTCGACTTCCTTTTGAAAGTGGGTTCCAATGTCATTATATCCCTGCCAACTGGGGTAGTATAGAAAAAAGTCCAAAGCAGCTTACACGCAATACAGATTAGGGAGTACAACACGGCGCTGAATGAGATGACTTCGGTTCTGACCTCCATATCATCATCATACACGTCGATTGGAGCTTCGACACCATTGAATTTACCGCACATGGTATCACGGCCTTTGAATGCGGATATCAAGCGCATCGCTCATTCCATCATACCCAGCTTGGAGAACGTCTTCTTCGAGTCCCGGTCTCACGTTGAAAGCGAGCTCGCCCAAGATTTGTTCCCTGGGTTTGTAAAGCGTCAACTGGTCAATTGTACAGCTGCAGAGCTCGCCAGCGATGGTTCCGACGATGCAGCGCAGCTAGAATACCCTGGATTGGGATCATGTTTCAGCATGACTGACGCATCCGACCCAAAGCACGGGGTGGTCAGTATTTCAGAAGACTTTGAGGAGCTTACGGGCTATACGACGGCCGAGGCAGTGGGACAAAATTGCGCGTTCCTCCAAGGGCCTTTTACAGATCCCGAAGCAGTGCGGCGGATGCAAATAGCCATGCGAGATCAGCGGGAATGTGTTGAACTAATTCTCAACCACCATAAAAACGGCGAGCCCTTCTGGAATCTGCTCTTCCTTTTGCCACTCAAGGATACAGAGGGCGTTTTGCAGTACTGGCTGGGGGCCCAGGTTAATGTATCCGAGTGTATGAACAGTCGCAGCGACCTTCTGCGAGTGTTAAATGGCGGCCACCCCATAACCACAGACCGCGAATCATCCGACGGATCAACTCCACGAAGCGATCATTTTTCGGGCAGGGAGACCCCAAAGGAGGGCCGCCGATCAAGGAAAAACAGCATTGCTCACGGGAGACGGAATTCCAAGGACGCTGGGACATCACGAAATTGGTTCTCCACATTTGGGAGAAAGGCACCGGCCCCGTGTCCTCCATCACCTCCGCCAATTCCTGAGATCTATGATTCGGCGCTGGGATCGGGCAGCAAGAAGTCAAAGACTTCACAGTTCTCGTCACAAAGATATGTTTCCCGGCAGAAGACACCAGTATACCCGACGCCATACTCGTCTTACATGGTTTTACGGTGCATTAGCAGTGGAGGATCGTCGAACCAGAGACAAACGACCCCCAGCGCGAAAAAGAAGCATAGTTCCAAGCTCATGGTGTCTTTCTACAACGAGGCTGTACTTGAGCTGCTCTCGCTGCCTTCAGACATTGCGCAAGAAGATATCTTCCACCTTCTCTCCGTGTCCAAGAGCTTCAAGGCCTCTGTGCGCGAGAGCGTGGATCAGTGCGAGACAATCAGCATGGAACTGCTCCTCGAGAGGGGCCGTAAGAGGAGGGCCAGCACCGGAGCAAGCAACGGGCACCGGCCCACGGCTCTCGACCTGCAGAGCCTCCGTGGTGACAATGAAGAGAAGAAATCTGCAAAGGCCTCCAAACACGAGAGATTTTGGACCCACTGGACGCCTCTACGAGATGCAAAGGGCCAAATTGACTGGGTGGTATTGATTGTCAGTCCGACTTCATGATTCTGCATGTAAGCGCGGAGGAAAAGTTGAAATTTTTAAACACTGGTGTGCAGCGTTATAATGCCCAGTACAAAACCTTTTTTGTACTTTATGAATGATGTATATGATGGCTTCTTAGATACCATAGACTGACTGCATGTATCATTATTATTTTTATTGAACCAATTCCGCTGGGGATGAAAGAAGCCCCTTACGACAATAACTACCTAGGTACTTGACCAATTGAGAACATTTGAAAGCAGATCGTCCTCCACAAATTTGCAAACCCACTCAGGCACGCGCTCATTTACGTACAACCATGGACACAGCAGTACATACTGTGTAGGGCTAAAAAGTCCTGCCAGCAGTTTTGAGTTTCAACCATCTACCCGAGTCGGGAGATCGACCAATTGCTTGAATAAAGAATATTTCTGACAGGTCGAAAGTGAGACAAACGTAACAAACAGCCACGGCTTCTAGGTTTAACCATGGCATCTGAAGGGCACATCAAGGTTGAGCCCGAGGGTTAGGGGCTGCGGATGGATCCTCGCCCCCCATCTATTATTGAAGCCCGAGGGAAGAAAAAAAAAAAAGAGGGTTTTGCACCAATGCAGGTTGGCATGCAAGGCCCCATACTACCGTATGCAGGTCCATTGGGGATTGGGGCCATACAATCAAGGGGCGTTTTCCGACTCTCTGGAACCTGCAGGGGTTCGTAGTACAACATGGTAGCATCGGGGAGGGGATCGCTGAAAGAGAAAGTTGAAAGGGTCCACGACCTGTCCTTCTCTCTTTCGCTTCCACTGCTTGAATCAGGCAAAGCTCATAATTTGCAGATAGATAATAGCCAGGGTGCAGCTGTAATTTCCTCGACGAACATTCATGCCTCAATGGGGGGTATTCACCTTTGTTACCAAGGCAGGTTAGAAAGTTTCTTTTCCCCGACTCGTCACTCGACGACTGGGTGCAACTACATTAGACTTACCGGCATGGTGGCTGGTGTACGTACTGCGATATACGTACAACGATATACACCTAAGGAGGTTTAGAAAGTCTAGATCAGACACTATCCAAACGCGATTGATTGAACGACAATTGACAGCTGCTTATCGATATATACGCCATCTCATCAGTCTGAACTTGCAAAAGATCTTCAAGTACTTGTTTTTGGTTGATCGTCGGCTACTCAACTTTGTCCTCTTGAGCAGGTATCCACCAGCCACCCAGCACACAAAAATTCATACCAACACAGTACCTACTACGGCGGCCAGCTAGGGGTTCTTTAGACTTCCAACTCAAGCTTCTCAGGGTCAATGGGTCCCCCAAACGATAGACCATTACCACTGTCCAGTCACCGACTTCACTGCACGCAGGGTTCTGAATAAAAGGCCTTCGTTAGCGTAACAGCGGATGCGTAAGTGCCCCTCCCTGTAGAAGTACGTACTAGGTAACCTAGATTAGTTGACTGTACTGCTAGTACTAGGTAGCTAAAACCTTTTTGAAGTCCCTTGCCGAAAATGGAATATTTTGGCATTGTCAAGGCGCTGCAAGTTTGGATGATTACGACAACAGTCGAGTCAAACGGGAATAACTCTTCTCTTTACACTTTGAGCGCAGCGTAATAGCATAGCAATAAGTCGAAATCTATGTCATGATGAGAACATATCAACTGCTTCGTGTGCAACCGCAGACGACCTGCTAGTCTTTGCGTTGAGAAAGTGTAAATAAGTAGTACCATTTTGTACAAACGTTTGAAAGGGGACTGGGCAAACGACTCCATTTCGCCGCCTTCCGAATAACCTAGTCGCTCCGCAACCCGGCATCATGCAGCTTCTGGCAATCATGAAGTACCCAATTCTCTTCTAGGAAAATTCAGCTCGTGGGACCAGTTTACTAGACTCGTACGATAAGTAGATAGTGAAAGCAAAAAAAGAGGTCCCCATTGTCTTCGTGGTCATGTACACAGTAAAGAAGCCTGTCTCGTATCCATTCCTCGCGTATTTTGCAAAAGAGTCCAGAGCTGTGCGCGACCAACCATATAGACATACGCGTCGACTGTAGCGCACAAGACATGCTTGTCTCCACACCACAGCGGCAGCGTCCAGATATTGGCTGGTTCTATCGCGTGCAAGATCGTTTGCCCTCACTTCGGTGGCAGCTCTTGTTGCGATGCCTCGTCGCTGCTGTGCTGCTTTCTACGGCTCTGTCCGGAATCCTCCTCTTTAGCAATCCCGACGGCTTCAGCACCCGCTATGCACAGTTTCACGACTACCTCGCTGGGGGCGATGAGGCAACCGCGGCCGTGAGCCCGGGCGGCACACCGGAGCCGGAGTCGGACCCGGCAGCGCCAAGTAATAAGCACCCCATCGAGGAGCTCATGGCTGACGCCCGCATGAGGCAAGAGACGCTCCTGGCCGCTCGCAGCTGGGACCTCCCCACGGCCGCCGCGCGGTATCGCAAGCGACACGGCCGACATCCTCCTCCCGGGTTCGACGCGTGGTTGCAATATGCCCTGGACCACGACGCCGTGGTTGTCGAGTCCTTTTTTGATCGCATCTACGATGACCTGGCGCCTTACTGGGCGCTGGATCCCCTGGTCATCGCCCAGCGCGCCGCCTCCTGGCACCACGTCGTGCGCGTGCGCGGCGGCCAGGCATACCCCGTGGGCTACACCAAGGGCCGGGTGCCGTGGCTGAAAATCTGGACCGCCTTGGTTAATGAGTCGGCGCCCTTTTTGCCCGACGTGGATATGCCCATCAACTACATGGACGAGTCGAGGTTGCTGGTGCCGTGGGAGCAGATTGACCAGTTTGTCCAGATGGAGCAGGCGACGCGCGCGCTGATACCGAAAGACAAGGCGATTAGGAACTTTTCCGGTCTAGAAACGGTCCAAGACGATGCTGAACCCTACGACCCGGCATGGCGGAATGCGAGCTACGCCAGCTATTGGGATCTTTATCGCGCCACCTGCCCTCCTGGATCTCCGTCCCGGGACATTGCTGCAATGGCAAATTTTGAGCAGCCACCGACGTTTCCCAAGAACTGGAAACCAGAGTTTTCATATCGGGGCTACGTGCGCAACTTTACAGCGTCAATGGATGCGTGTCTTCAGCCGCACCTCAGAGAACTACATAGCAGCTTCGTCCAGCCTCTGAGCATGTCTACATCGACAGAGCTCATTCCCCTGTTTGGTGGCTCTAAACTTCCGGGTAACAATGAAATACTTATACCTGGAGCCATGTACTTGACGGACAATGTTCTTTACTCTGGTGGTGAAGAACTTGGCCCTCCATGGAATCAAAAAAAGGACGGCATCATTTGGCGAGGTGTTGCATCGGGCGGAAAGAATACAAAAGATAATTGGTCCCATTTCCACCGGCATCGCCTAGTCCAGATGCTAAACGGGACAACCGTGGCAAGCATGGAAAAGTCCAAGACACGCGCCCGTACGTTTGAATTGCCGCCGCTCTCGCAATACAATATCCCCAGACAGCGGACCGGCAGACTTGGCGCCTGGCTCAAGAAGTTCAGCAACGCCGGCTTCACCGACCTATTGTGCTCCCCCAAGGGCTCCGACTGCGCCTACGTACAACCATACTATGACGAAGTGGACAAGATCCCCATGGTGGAGCAGTACGCCTACAAATTCCTAGCCGACGTCGACGGCAACAGCTTCAGCGCGCGGTGGCGCGGATTCCTGCGCTCCACGTCGCTGCCGCTCAAGGCCACCGTCTACGCCGAGTGGCACGACGCCCGCCTCGTGGCCTGGCGCCACTTTGTGCCCCTCGACAATACCCTCCAGGACCTCTATGGCGTCCTCGACTACTTTGCCGACCGCGACGCCGCTGGGGACGAGGCGGCTCGGGAAATTGCCGAGGCGGGCGCTGAGTGGGCGGCTCGCGTTCTTCGCCGTGAAGATATGCTTCTCTACGTCTGGCGGCTGCTGCTCGAGTTTGCGCGAGTCTGCGACCAGAAGCGCGAGCTGCTTGGATATGTGGAGGATTTGGATGATGTTCACGGGAACGGGAACCTATGAGTCACTAAAAGCGCTTAGAGTGGCATTGTTGCGTTGCAGTTGTGCGTCGCCTAAGTTAGAAAGCATGGGAGCATTGATTTAATACATAGAGAGATACCACCTTTTACGATATTTTCACACACACGCATAGCGTTAATAGATCTGCATTACGAGGTTCAACAGTATTGGCAACTTGGTCTCATTGAACAGACTAATAAACATGATGTGACACTGGGATGTCTACAGGCAGTACCGAGGGATCGGTGGTGGTGTATACCAACCCTTTATAATCCAAACCACTCCTCGCTAGCAGTCAAATTTGCCGGGACGCTATGCCCAACCCCCTGAGCATATATGCCCTGGACGTTTGGTCCAAAGTCATCCGTCGTATACTGACTCTGCGGGTAGTTCTTGCGCTCATTGGTAGCCGTTTGACTAACGCCGAACACACCGGTCCACTGCTTCAGAGTCTCCTGGTAATTCTGGGGCGCCAGGGTGGTATCCGCGCTGCCGTGCCAGAACTGCATCTTGGGCCGGGGCCCATCGTACGAGGGATACATGTCCAGGACCACCTTTTTCCACTGGTCCGCCGACGCCTTGACCTGACCACCGGAGCATGAGTTCTGGAAACAGTCAACATTTATTACGTTATTACGGCGAGTGAATGAAACTTTACATTCCACTGGTCGACGCCGCCCGAGGCGCTGACGAAGCAGCCGGCAGGGACCCCCGAGTACAGCGACACGGCGCTGATGAGCTCGGGGTACGTGGCCGCGAGGACGTTGGACATCATGGCGCCCGAGCTGCCGCCCGTCACGTATACGCGAGCCGGGTCCGCCTGGTACTTGTCGAGGGCGTACAGGATCATGTTGGCAATGGCCTGGGAGTCGCCCCCGCCCAGGTGCGCGAGCGACTGCTTGGACGACACGTCCCAGCACGTCCCCGAGTTGGGCGACGACGGCCACACGGTGATGTACCCCTTCTTGTCCGAGCCTTGCTTCCACGGGATCTTGCTGTTGGTAAAGTATGATTGTGCCGTCGATTGGCACGAGTGGATGACCACGACCAATGGCGGTTTTGTCACCACCTTGTCTGGGACATAGACCCACCTGGTAGCTGTTTAGTGCTGCTCTGTTTGTTTTTCAGAATCTTTGCGGGTGAGACTCACATTTGTGCTTTGGATGTGGCATTGTTATTGTAGTTGGATACTTGTGTGAGTGAAGCTGCTGAAGCGCACGAGGCCAAAAGGCCTGCCAAGATACCATGAAACAGCATATTCAGATTCAGGTTCAAATTCGACAGTTGATTGCAAGGTTGATTGATGTAACACCCAACATGGCACATACCAAAGCCAAGACTTTATAATATTCCGGCCATTTCCTTTACCCTGCTGTGGCAATGGCCGGCTCCTTGATGTTTCCCCGCTCCCCATCTCGGGCAACTTTTAAGCCCGCAAGATCTTCAGAAGATCTAGAGTCGAAATGGTAATTGAGGCTCGGCTAAATTGTGAGAATTGATTAAAGTATAAAGTGACGTTGCTGATTGGCCGCCGGTTATAAACATATACAAGTCCCGGCTATGGATGATATATCGAGCAGTATTCCTTCCAATCCGTACTCTGTTCAGGTTGATGAGCTGGGTGCAATGAAGGCTTCCCGTCTGAGCGATACCTTTAGGCACTAAATGATAACAGTAATATGAAGGGGCATTGTAGTGTCAAGAAAGTTGGTATATCGATAATGATGGTTCTCACAATTGGACTTTAGCAAAATGTCCTCCGTGCCAATACAATCGTGAAAACGCGTGGTCGCCCTAATCCCGTTTTGCAAGTTCTGCCAGCTTTGTTACGAGTTCCATAAACCATTCAGTTTGGTTACGTTTTGTCGCCAGAGTTTGCGGTCAAACTTGTGCATTATCCAACGTTTCGCTGGTCTTGTTCAATCCATCCCAGATTTGAATGAAATTGTTTGACGTGACCGTGCCCAAGCTAAGGAACACTTACCGCATGCCATCATACTCAGCAATCAAGGTCGCATCATCGGGATTTGTCACACCCAGAACGGGGTTGTTTACATTCATCGTCATCACGGCCAGAATAATAGCCTTGACGCAATAATTTATCATGCATGAGCTGGGACTGATTAAACATGTAGAATGTACGAATATCGCAATTGAGTTTATCATTTCTCTCTAAAATAAGGCCGTCTTAAATTTCCAAGCAGACATTTCTAACATATCCTCTATGAGCGCCAGTCTAAATCAAGGCTCTTCACATCATGTGACCTTGAGCAATAGTGCCATAACACCTTGTTAATGTTGGTTGTGAGATATGGGACAGACACTATTTGCAACAGTCTCTGCTCGAGTATTCACAGAGAAAATTATGAAGCAGTCTTTGTGGCCTTGGTTCTCAGCTTCATCATTAAGAAGACCAAAAAGTATGAGCTGATGCAAAACAGAGCAGTGATGCCAACCTATGCGTACATGTCAGCTCTGCGATTCTTGAAGTTCCATTCGTTCCAGACTACTTACGTCTCGCCAGCCATAGTATCTTTCGTTGATATTCAATGTCCTCAGGTAATCAGCTCCCGAGCTGTACGGGCAGTACTGGCACGATGCCGCTGAAGAGGGATCCACAACATAACCAGCTTCCGTGGACAAGAAGTCGGCCATGTATGCGCCACAGGTCGTGTTTGAAGGCAATGGGATTGTGGTAAGTTCCGAGTCCTTGCATTGGACCACAACGTCCCAAACCACGGGTTCGAGCAGGCCGCCAATGAGGTAGTTGAAGGGATCGAGGTAGTACAACCAGTATCTCCAAAATGGCTGGATATAAGCGTATGGAACGACGACTCCGCAAAAATTGACCAAGGCTGCACCAATGATGATTGGGTTGGCAAGCGCGGCGAAAAAGTCGTTGGGACTGTAAGCAGCGATGGCCTGATCCGACTATTAGTTACCTATTGAGCATGTCGTGTCGATGAAAGAGCACTTACCTGACCAATAGATGTGTATAGAAACTCGTAAACTAATTATAGTTAGTATCAGGTAAGTTGATTGATAGTTCAAGAATACTCACGTATCATCTGGAGATAGACCTGACCAGAAGCAGAGGCCTTGACGGGAAAGCCCACAGTAAAATACCAACACGCAAAGTACAAGGTGCCACATACAATCAGCACCGGAATCTCTGATACCAACTGAGCAGTGATGAAAGCCAGCCAAGTGTACGTCTTTGCCTTTTTCTCACGTGTCTCAAAGAGATCCCGATTGGAAATGAATAATGGTTGCAGCTGGTTGATGCAGCCCGGAGCCACAAAGACGAAATTAAAAATGGCCATCAACCGCAATTGCAGATCAAATGAACCGTTGCCAATCATCCAAAAGGTGAAGCCGCCAAATAGTGCATTGGAGACATGGAGACCGATCTTGTTCCACACGTAGTCGGGGTTGCGCCACAGAGCCACCAATTGACGTTGGGTGACCAATTGGATTTGATATGGGAGCGGTGCCGCAAAGTCTCTTTCATCTTCCTCTGCGTTGCCTGTTGATTCCTCGTTTGATTGCGATAGCTCTTGGTGGTTCATTTCATCCAGCTCCGCCAGAGCTTGCTTCTTCTCCTGCGACTCCAGCCACAGCTGCGGCCAGTCAATCTCGGTACCGAATCTTCCCTGCACGACATCAACGACGTGCTCGGCCGGGTTTGCATCAGGAGGACACGGAATGCCTCTTCTTGTGAAGTAGTCTAGAACGATTGAAGAATCCTCGCCGATTGGCCCAAAGTACGTGGTTTTGCCTCCCTTGGCAAGCAAAAGGAGCACGTCAAATGCATTAAACAGAGCCGCCGACGGCTGGTGAATGGTGGCGATGATTGTTTGGCCCGATGCCGCCAGCTTTTGCATAAATCTGCAAATATTGAAGGCAGATTGACCGTCGAGGCCCGAGGTTGGCTCGTCGAGGAATAGCAGAGACGGTTTGGCCACGAGTTCGGTGGCAATGGTCAACCTCTTGCGCTGCTCAATCGACAATCCGGAACCAGGTGCTGTCCCACAATGTTAGCTCACATTTGAATAAGGTCGCATATCGAATAAAACTTACTTCCAACCAAAGCGTGTTGTAGCGGTGTGAGTTCCAACAAGTCCATGATGCGCTCCACGTACTCAATCTTTTCAATATCGGGTATCTCATGCTTTTGGCGCAGTCTTGCCGAGAAAATAAGAGCTTCTCTCACAGTGGCCGTTGCCTCGTGCACATCGTTCTGCTCACAGTATCCAGTGGTACGCTGGAAGCTGATGCCCTGTGGCTTTCCGTTAATCATAATGCTACCCTCGATGCGACCACTATCCTTGCGTTGCGCGAGAACGTCCATCAAGGTCGTCTTGCCGGCGCCAGAGCTGCCCATCAGAGCAACAAGCTGGCCCGGCTTGACAAAACCCGAAACATCTTGAAGAAGCTGCTTCTCACTGCCCATGTGGTGAACAAAGTAGTTGATGTTCTTGAAAGTAAAGACTGTCTTGTCAATGGAAACTTCGGGCATGGCCCCAGCCGATGCCGAGCTGGCCTGCTTCTCGCTGTCCTTGAGCATCTCCATCTCCTTGTTCCTGCTCCGACGGTCGAAGCGGATCTTGGAGCCTGCATCGGAGTGAGTGCGGACCTCGGCGCCAAGGGCAGCCAATGCCGCGAAGAAGATCCAGAATCCAATGATGATGCCAACGTTTCGCCAGATATGGCTGGGAAAGATGTTGTACTCGGAGCTGAGAAGAGTCGCCCCGTCTACTTCCGAAGAGCCAACCGGCGTGCCTGCGGTCGTGCAGCTGCGAAAGGTGGAATCTTGGTAGGCAGCACCGTAGGGAACATACTGAGGCTCGACGCAGCCCATGGTGCGATCACCCATATCGCTCGCCACGACGGCTTCCATGGCATATGTTGCTGGGTTGATGTAGGAGATCCATCGAAACCAGACGTGCATCTGTGGGACCGGAATCAAATAGCCTTGCAGAACTGTCAGCTTCTTTTCAAGCTAGTCAAAGTCTCTTCGTTAAAATACGTACCAGCATAGACCATCATTACCGTTGTGGACCAACCGCTGATCTGAGAAGCTATCCCAAAGTGAATGGACCATGCGCCTATCATTCTAAAGAAGGACATGAAAGTCAAAATTGTCACCAAGTAGATGAACCACTGCGTGAAGAACTTGGCTGCGTCCTGCTGGAAATAAACCATAAAGTAAAAGATGATTTCAAACAGGGAAAGCGTAGTGACGGCGAGTGGGATATCGGTCAGCGCACAAGCAACCATGTGAGCCGCTGGCCTGGCAAAGCCGAGGCGCTTTTGGCGGGAAATGATGGGACGGCCCTTGAAGGATGCTACAGTCTCGGACATGGAATTGAGGCAGAAGAAAAGCAGCGGGAAGAAGAGTGCTCCAAAACGCATGAACACGGAGTCACTGTTATTGGACAGGTGGTAGAACAGACTTCCAGTTACCAGACTCATGATCAGCGCAGATCCAATCTTCAGGCAGTTGGACCATCTGTCGCCCCAAATGATTCGAAATTGCCTGTCTTCAGGTTAGTCTTCGTCTCAAAAATGTCACTGAGATCAATCGTGTTCTTACCTTATGGTACATTGGAGAACCTGTTTTCCAAAAGAAACTTGATAAGGACTGCCTTCGCGTGACAATAAAGGCAAAGAACGATTCTTCTCAACGTCGCGCGCCGTTTTCAGGTTCTCTATCTCCCGAGATAGGGTTTCAGTCTTCTTGGCGGCCATCTCTTGAACCATCCGAGCGTAGAGAGGGCTTTGTTTGTAAGCCTCTTCAAACTCGGCGGCAGAAGTTGGCACGCTGCTTTCGTAGCCTTGGGCAACTCTTCTCTCGGTATCAACAGCTATCGAGGTGAGAAAGTCGGCAATATTGGCGCCGGGGGCGCATATGAATCCCATATTCTCAAAGTACGACTTGGCTTCGGTGGTTGGACCGTAGTAAATTTCACGTCCCTCGGCGAGGACCAGGACTTTGTCAAACTGCTTGTAAATTCCATTGCCTGCTTGGTACAGAGTTGCGACTATGGTTCGTTGCTTCTCGTCGGCGCCTTTGCGCAGGACACGGGCGAAGTCAAGGGCGTTGCTTGCGTCGAGGCCGCGGGTCGAGTTATCCCAGCATTGCAAGGGAGCCTGGTTTTCACTGATCAGATTCCAGGCTATCATAGTAATAGATGCAAGGCCATTTTGGTTGGACCTACCTGTGTCGCAAGAACCTCGGCAAGGGAAACTCGTTTTCGCTCACCACCAGAAACACCTCGGGTGAATTCATCACCGACAATGGTATCCTTGGTATGACCAATACCAAGAGCATCCAGTGTTGAGTCTGTCAGCTTGGTCTTGTATTCCTGAGGATGTTGGCCGTCGGGAGTGATTTTGGGCAGCTTCGTTCCAGCTACAAAGTGTATGGTTTCGGACACTTTCATTGTTGGGAAGTGCATATCAACTGCCCAAAATCCTGGTCAGTCCTGTACTGAGATCTGTGTGTATGGACAATCAAAGTTGACCCACCTTCAGTATTCATAACAATGTTTTGGCGGTACTTTTGGGCTTCCTTTGGGCCAATGTTGCCATATCTAACGTCGCCGTGCACTTTACTGAAGTCTTCCCGATGATTTGAAATGACTTTCAACAGAGAAGTGCAACCTGAACCAGGTCGTCCCAGGACGAGTAACTAGGGAAACGTTAGTCAACAACAATAGAATCAGGATTGATACACACCATCTCTCCCGGAGAGACTTGGCCAGTCACTCCTTGGAGAATTTTCTAGAACAACATTAGCATGTAATTGTGCATTGTCAGACTTGCTCCGGGGAACAACATACCCTCTTGGATTTGTGAGACGTGCCAAAGGAGAAGCAATCTCTCATGACAGAAAGGCATGTCGACCCAAAGTCTTCACCAAGACCATCAACCTCTATCGCAACATCCTTGAACGTCACCGTTAATCTCTTTAGATTTTCGACGGTTCTTGCCGCGACACCACCCTGTTCCTTGGGCCAATCGTCGTTACTGTCGGTACTATCGGAAGGCGACTGGAAAGACATGGCGAGCCTCTCAAAACACGATTCCGGTGTTGTTTCCTAGGATAGCGTATCGTTTCAAGAACAAATACAAACAGGAAAAGGCTCTTATAAATATTAGTCTCATTCGGAGTAGTCACCATCCTGTCTGAATTAATGTCGAGCTACAATCAACATGTCTTCAGACTATAGTAACGATCGACCCCCCACAGCAATTGGGGTCTATCTTGATTCTCAAGCTATGGAGACACTACAAAGAATATTTCCGACGGTTCTATGCTGTATGGAATCAATATTCTTGCCATGATAGGGCCGTCTCGGTTAGTTACTAGGTACTTGGGTACTACACTATAGCGAGGCGGAAGTACGGATGTAGGATGCACTGCACTTTCAGCACGAGCCCCACATATTAGTTGATAATCATCGGAAATACGAATATTGACTGTCGGTTTCCGAGATACGTGTCTGGCATTTTTGTGTTGTTGCCTTCAACGGAAAGGAGACTGGTCTCAATTACCCATAGATTGGGTAGGTAGGTACCTCAGTCCTCGCCCTTCGCGCTACATCACATGTCCTGAGAGAATTTGGCAGGGGGACAAGCGCCTGTAAGCGCCAAGAATGACCCCTCTAAATCCGTAGCGTCCAAGCCAACAGCGAAGAACACCGCTGTCAGAGCGGGTCTAGGCTCCAACCGAGACTTCCGTGGTGGAAAACCTCTTACTCCGTTCATCCATACTCCGGAGTTTCCCTTCGCTCTCTGACCTTGAGCAGCACCAAAACAATGAATACCCCCGTTGAGAGGATTTCCAAGGCCTGCGACCCGTGTCGCACACGGAAAATCAGGTGCAATGGACAGGAGCCATGTGGCCACTGTCAGAAGAAACCCTCCGCTTGCGTGTATAGGCTCCGCAACAGGATCAGGGCCAGAAAGTCTACCCAACCAAATGCACAGAATGCACAACCTCAGCAGCAGCAGCCTAGTCCTGCTACTTCGCTTCCGACTCCTATCGTGACGAATGAAGTAACAGAAGCAGCCGCAGCAAAAGATAACCAGCCTGAAAACAGCACCAAGGACGCGCCCCAAGGAAAGGTATACCACGGAGTAATGGCAAGCCATTCTATTTCCGGCGAGTCTGTAGGCCCTGCAGGAAATTCGCAACTGTTCTACGGCCCATCGTCCAACTTTGCTTTTCTTCAACAGATACACCGCAGCCTCTTATTTTCTCATGGAAATGGCCGGCCTGGTGATCGCGCTGTCCAGGAGGGAGGGCCTGGGTTAGACATGTTTATGCAAAGGTCAATCTTCTTTGGCATTCCGTCCCAAGTGGACATGCTGCTACTATACCAGTCGTTTTCTACTCCACTGGTAGATATACTGCCTCCCAGTGAGGCTCAGATCTACCTCGACCACTTCAAAGCGGCTTCGTATCATCTATTGCCCTTCTACACTGAGTCGGAGCTGGATCAACTCCTCCACCGCCTTTACGAGGATGATCCAGAGACGTCCGGTGCTCTTCAAACGAAAGGACTCATCTTGGCCATGATTGCAAATGGAGTTCTTCAAACCAGCAACACAGCCCTTGCTGAGACCTTGTTTGCGCGAGCAAAATTTCAAATGACATTATTCGAAGACACTGTCACGTTGACTATGATTCAATATTCACTCGTTGCGGCCGACTACCAGCTTCACATGGGCCGGCCAAACTCGGCTTACCTACATCTTGGCAATGCAAGCCGACAGGCTTTTGCAATGGGTCTTCACAAGGAACCACCGCAATCGAGCGTCCGACAGGATAGTCTTGAAATGCAGCGTACCACCATGTGGTGCCTTTATTTCCATGAGAGGTGGGTGTAGCACCCGTCGCCGTCGTGGCACATATATGCGGTGATTGTACTAACTTAATGAGAAGCTGGCATGCCTTATCTCTTGGGAGACAGGGCGCGATTAGGCACTCTGACATCAGCCGGCCATTCCCAGAGGGTCAGAGTTTAGTAGTGGGCTTGAGTAGACTTGCTCACATTGCCGAGCAAAGTGCTGAAGCAATCTACGGTCGACGCTATGATTCATTGCGCCAGTTGTACTATGCTGCCGAATCGATTCATTGTCAGCTCAAGCAAGTTGCCGAGCTGATAGGAATTGGCTCGGCTCCTCAGCAGAGTCTCAGCGACCATGTGGCCTTGCAACAACTGCACAACAGTATGTCTTTGCCAAGATCAATCTGAGACCTGAAAATTAACACTATTAGTCTACTATCACACCATCATTCTGACTTTCAGACCCTTCATAATTGCGGGTGCAGCGTCTACGCACCCTGAAGGAGGTTCGCAACCGCTCGGCGAGCAAATGTGGCTCCGTCAAGCCTGTCGCTCTGCGGTCGATGCAGCACAAGATTTGATCATGTACAGCTGCGCCAAAATTCGGACAGTCCCCAGATGCAGGGTAAGGGATACTCCTTTTTATCAAAACACAGAAATGCTTTCCCATGGGCTGACAAAAGATGTTTTCCCAGGCCTTGCGATTCAACGCCTACTTTTTAGAATCGAGCTGTGGTGTGCTCCTCTACGACATGCTTTGGCATCCATCCAAGCACGAATGCCACCTCGAATATATTCAGATGACTCTAGCATGTTTAGAAAGCATGGTAGATGAGCAGCCGGTTGTCACTGCCCGTGAATCGTTGCAACAAATCTTGCGGGCGGTTGAGGGTACCATCTCAAAGCAGTCGAGCAACATGTCAACGCCAGCTGATATCACTTCCAACTTCTTACAATTTCCCAACGTCCAGTTCCCTCCCTCTGGTTCTGCAGAGTCATCAGTCGCAGAGCAGCTGATCCATTTCAGCGATGCATTGGGTATCGGGAATCGCGATCTTCAGCCAGCTATGATGAGCGCGACGAGTGGAGAGTCTGTCCAGAACACCACCAACCCGGAGCTCAATGTTTTCACGACTGACTTGCACAGCTTCTTTCCCTGCGATATAGAGACCCCATCAACTTCACTAGAGTGAAGACTCAGATATGCCAGATGTTTATCACCTTGTCAACTTTGTCTTTGTTTTTTTTCCCCCGGTCCTAAGGCAGTGTGTAATTCAGGGCAAATGGATCGGAGTTACGGAATCAAGAGGGAGTTGGTAGGGAGCGGGCCGCGCACTAAACTCGGTAGGCTCCAATGCACTTATCCGTTGTGCCGCGGACCTGGGGACGCCGCTTCATTTGTTGGACTTTTGCGTGCCAAAATCAACGAGTCCGCATACGATTTATGTTGTGATGTTTTACTTCTTTTAATGTACCTATCACAAATACCCATGGAGTAGTAGAACAGAAATTAGTACAGATGGCTTTCTTTGTATGGCTTTGCTGGCCCAATTGCATCCCTCCGTATGTAGGTTAGAGCATTGCTCACTGGAAATCTACCACCTGTCCGAGCTAATGTAGCTACAGCCATGTCTCAGCAGTACCTACCTATGTGTTCATCTCGTACATGGCAATGCGGCATATCCTATTCTGACCTGTAATTTGCTAGATATTATGGCCCGCCCCCAAATCCAAACCTTGCACTCGTACATGAGCGCCCGTCATGGCTGCTCAGGCAAAGCGCTCAACCGCGCAGCCTCACAGTAGGTACTAACCTAGGTACCTACATAGGCAGCCACCTACTTCACTTCGCTTTTTCCAACAGGTAATGATTTTCAAGCTTCATCATTCAAGCTGCCGCATCAGGTAGACTTGGTTTTCACCGCAAGCATCGTGATGAAGAATAGCTGCGCATCGACCGGATATAGCCTCCCAGCACAGCTCAGATTTGCCCACTCACTCAATGGAAAGGCTGTCAGACCGGCCAGAGTCGCTCCACATCCAACCGGGTGCTGACAATGTCAGCGCAGAGGGGTTCAATGATTACCAGGAGGCCATTCACGCCCAACTCAGCAGTCTAGCCACGCGCGCCGACAAAACATACCGGGAGTGGCGGTTATACCTTAGAAAACAACCAATAGGCGCTGCTGAAAAGTTCAACTCGCTCTCTACACTTCTCAAGCAGATTTGCCTCGACCTACATCAACTTTGTTTACAATGCTCCGAGCTCGATGATGATGTGTACTCCAAAAATGCCACTGATGAGCCATCATCAGTCACACAACTGCAGATGCAGAGGCTGCAAATTTGTTCCCAGACTATGTTCAGCATTCAAGCGACGTTGCAGTCAGGCGATGGCGACTCACCCTATGCCACTGGGTTGGAACAAGTCGTTTCCGAGTTGGTCGACCATGGGACTTGGATTGCAGCAGCTCGACAGGCTGGTAGCTATAGCGACCTAATCAACTATCTATGCACGGATCTCGTTCAGAGCCCCCCAATTGGTGCTTGGAAAGGCGGAAGACTCCCAGTTTATCTGCCCCTGCGCATCGATGCTCGTTTGATGAAGAGCGATTTGCTGAAGTCCTTTCGGCTTACCCGCCAACGAGCCCTGCTCCAAGATGCGATCCAGTACTCTGAGATATTCAAATGTGACGCCTTTCTGCAGAATGATATCTTTTGCCGCTGGAAATCAACGGCTGGGTCTGTGCTGCTGGTTTCTGGATCGTCTAGAACAGAACTCGCCACTCTGGCTGCGTCAACAGTCCACCATATCAGTCATGGCGCCAGTCCGACCTCTGCTATCTGTTTCTTCTTTTGTGATTCTCACTTTGGACCTTTGGAGGTGGCGCTGAAGCTCGTCAAAGCGACAATTGGGCAGTTGGCGCAACAGTCTTTGCTTGCATGCGAAATGTTATACCGGATCAAGCAAGAACCTCTTCGAAATACATTTGAAGGGCTGTGTTGCACAATGGCATCAATGATGCAATGCTTCGACCAAGTCACTTTTGTGATAGAAGGGCTAGGAGCTTATCAATCTTCTGTTTCGGCGGATTCCAAGATGATCCTTTCAACATTATATAGTGGATTCCAAGGATCAGCAGCAACAAAATTGCCCGATGTGAAACTTTTCTTCCTCTGCAAGACAAATAATGGTCAACACAATCGTATCGAGGAGGTCAGTACTACAATTAACACGATTGCCAAACGTATCTATACCGAGACTGCGGGTTGCTCTGATTCTAAAATCCGTTTGCCGGCCACGATTCTTCATCTTTCAAGAGATCAATTGCCAATACTTTCGTCTTCATTAGAAAATGAGACGGTAAACCTTGCAGCTGCTTGTCGTTTCCTCTCTCTCGATATCGAATCAAGAAGCCTTGAGCGGTAAGTGAATTCCAAAAATGACTCATTCAACAGGGGCTGAATTTGCATTTAGCTTCGCCGTAGCTTCAGAAGCAATTGATGGAGTTCTATCACGAATCCTCATGCTCGACGGTTCAACATTTCCACAAAGTACACGAGCACTCCAGTACATCGGTGGCTTGCTCCAACTTGACCTCCTACATCCAACACTGGCCGAATATGTCATGGGGTTGCACAATAAGGACACATTGACGCTGGAGACTTTCCCTACAGGCGTGTCGACTGCTTCCATGGCCATATTCTGTATTCGATACATCTGCTTGCCTCAATTCTCCACCGCTTTCAACAAAGTGTATCGCGCGGAAAGACATCGCGTTGCTATTCGAGACCAAAAACGACCATTCTTCCGATATGCTGCTACGACTTGGATGCACCTGGCGAGGGATCATTGGCAGGAACAAGGCCTCATGGACTGTGTCATGCAGCTTTTTGACCGAGAGAGTGCTGCCAATTTTGGCCAATGGGTAACAGAATGTGCGCGAACGTGGTTCCCACATGAAATAGGCTTCAAGTCTCTGTCCCCGCAACCGTTGCAGGAGCTCCTCTCTATCATAAATGGGCCGCAAGATCTAAGACTGCATGTCGCCTCTCTCATGGGATTGAGTCACATTTGCAAGAGGTTGCTCGAGGATGGAGCGAATGTCAACGAACCATCTGCATTTGGCACAGTCTTACATTGCTCGCTCCTTGGCTCTGCCGCCCTTGTTGGACGATGGATTCATGTCATCCATGAGTATCACCGCCTCGGCGCAACGGATGGCCATGAATGCAGAGGTGAAACCATCAAGATTGTCTTGGATCGAAATTGCAATCGTGGTCAAGAATCCTTCTCAAAAGGCGACATGATCCGTCCGTCAACCTTGGCTCTACTGACCTGTACGAGTTTATTGGATTCCCATATGTTCTTTGACATTGTGGGCGACTCTTCATTGTTTCACCCTCAGTTTTCAATATCGTTTGGGGTATTTCTGCAGGTCATGGCAACAGCCAACCCCTCGGAATATGACGCTAAAGCCTATCTCAATGCCATTTTCGACGAACTGGCCCAGCGAGCACTACCGCATATTGACCATGACGTCAGTGCAATTGAGATATTCAACTTGCTATGGAAGTATACTCTGGAGATGGGGTTGGAATGGTTTGACATGATTAAAGTGAGATATCTTCGAGATATTCCCGACGATATGTTCAATGTTTTGGTTTTGAATACAGGACTCAAGAGTGTCAATGTCATGCGACTTGTATCCAAAGACCCGCGTTTCGACCCCGATGTTGTCTTTAGCGAGACCCATCTGTTACTCTGCGCCTTGGAAGCAGGTCTCGAAATGGTCAAGCTGCTTGTGGCGAGAGGTGTTGATTTGACTGCCGTGAGCCCAAGGAATATGACTATTGCGCAGGTCTGTGCACAAAAAGGAGCGAACGATATCTTGAGGTGGCTTCTCGAAATTGGTGTTGACACGGGCGTCGCCGAGGGGATCGATTCATCGGGGCAAACGAAGTGTAATGTAAGTCTGATCCGAAAATATCACAAATATTGCACGATTTCCTACTTTTCCATATCCTAACCACAACACCACTAATGATTTGATCCTTAGATATGGCATCTCGCTGCTTGTCACAGCTTGGAAACTTTCGAGATTCTGGTAGACGCCGGTGTTCAGAATGACGAAGAACTGTTTGCCGTCTCCGCTTCGGGGAATACACCCTTGGCAGAGCTGATACAAAGACTCCCTACACCGTACGCTATTGTACGCCACGCTAATGCAATCCCGGAGCCGGATGCCATCAGTCGGGCGATTGAATTGCTGAGGAAAATACCGATGAAAAACCCGCGTCTCTTTCAGTCAAAGACGCCATCCATCAGTACTGCAGCTCGTCTCGGGTCGCAAAAACTGACAGAAACACTCTTGGAACTCGGCGCCAGTGTATCTGTCGACACGCGTGGTGCCAGTCCACTGCATTTCCTATGTTTGAAGGCCAGTGGGTCGTTTATAGATTACATGCAACGGCTTTGCAGCGATTTGTCCTGGCAGGACTCCGAGGGAAGGACGCCAATTGAATCAATCATGCGTGAACAAGCCATGACGCCTGAAGAGCACCCTCCTGAAAGCTTTGAAGCTGCTATGGAGAAGCTTCTCTGTTCCAAGACGACCACCAGCACGGACTTTCGAGGCCGTCACCTCTGGGAGCGAGTGTGCAATGACTTGGTTTCAGAGTTTGTCTTGCAAAAGAGTCCCAAGGGTCATCTTATATCCGATTTCATTGATAGATTAGTCTCAGAGAAGGTCCTCGAAGACTACGAGATGCAATCGGGAACCTCTGGGGTGAAGCCCCTCCTTGATGGACTCTCGCAGGTAGATGCTGTACAGATCTGGATGGGTGGTCTGATGCATCAAGTGCTCCAACAGACCAAACACGAAGGAAGCCTTGCAGGCGCGGGCCAGACTGCTGTGCCATACTTGAAATGGGCTGCGAATTCAAACACGTGGGATTTGGTGAGACTTTTATTGAAGCACGGGGCATCTGTTCACGAGAAAACCTTTGGCATGTCGACATTAGAGTCAGCTTGTCTCAGTAATGGTTGCGGCGAACCTGTGTTTGACCTTCTTCTAGATCACGCCGATAGCACGAAGCTCAATGATATTGGCTACCAGGGTCTGGGATTGGTCCATCTACAATCGCACGGACAAGGCGATCAACGTCTGTCTAGACTGCGATCGCTCCTAGAAAAAGGTGCCGACCCTAATCTCCGAAACTCACTCGGCGATCCCGCGATTGTCGAATTCCTCCGGGGAGAACATAGTCAATGCATCGACTTGTTGCTTGAATATGGGGCAGACGTCAATGCCAGGAATAACTATGGAATGGACACGGCATTAGCTGCTATTTCGCAGCGCAACCTGTTCATGCTGAGCAAGCTACTCGGCGACGAGAGATTCAAGGTCGACTGGAATGCAACTTGCATTATCAAAGTACCATATCAATGCGAGGGACAGTCAATGGACGTGGTGGAGCTCCCCGGGTCCAATGCGTTGCACTTGGCGGCCTGGTTTGGATATGACACGGGACTGGACTTTTATCTCACGAACAAACTCATAACAGACTTGGAAAGCGCCACTGCCGTTACGCGATACCGACCAATCCACTTTGCGTGCAGAGCTGCATCGATCACGTGTATCAAATTACTCGTTAGTTCCGGTGCCGATGTCAAGTCCCAAACGTCTGATGGAAGTACTGGTCTCCACTTCGCAGTCAAGCAGCAACGTGAGGATGTGGTGAGAACGCTGGTAGAAGAAGGACATCCTCTCGATGTTCAAGACCTGTCCGGACAGACCCCATTAGACTACGCTTTGACTGGGGGCAATCCAGTCATCATCGATGCGTTACTCGGCTCTGGTGGGTCTAAGAACATGGTTACGGACAATACAACAAACTCTCCTCAGAAAGCGGAAGATCATCTCTTGGCAGCTCTTTTCAATTCCATACTGCGAAGCGACATTCGACTCTGCCGCACCTTGCACGACGTTGGCTGTCCCGTCCATTTGCCGATGCCACCTTGCCGCAGTTGCACACCGTTGATGATAGCAGTAGATGCGAACGAAGCAGATATCTGCATGTGGCTTCTAGATACCATGGACGTAGAGATGAAGAAAGCAGGACTCGGTGCAAAATGTGAGACGCACTCGAATCGCGGGACCCTTCTGTTCTCTCTGTCTTGGTCGTCGCCAAAGATTGATGACATGCTGACCAAGATACTTGACATGTACTTTGACACTGCGGAAAATTGGTTTCATTGGCCAGTAGGGGTGCTTCATGATTGCGCTTTGATCGATGAAGAGAAGCCCATTGACTTGATTCTTGCGTATGTGGCTACAAATGAGGACCGTCTTCGGTGAGTATTTAAGTGCCTTGATGTTGCTTTGGAAATAGACTTTCTCATAACAACTTGATTAGGTCCCGGTTCTCGATCCCTAACAACACAAGTCTGTGCAAGCGCCTCTTGGACCATACCATCAATACTCGTGAATTTGGCTACCCATATACTTGCGGACTCACCCCCTTGCATCTTGCAATTCTCATGACCTCGCCAAAAGCAGCGAAGCGCCTGCTACAGGCTGGGGCAGACCCCAACAAGGAGAACATGGAACGGAGAACTCCATTGCATCTAGCTGTGCGAGAAGGGATGATTGACGTTGTTCGACAATTGCTTGATTGCGGAAGCGATCTTGATCGATTGGACCGACGTGGTGAAACACCACTCATGGTGGCGGTTGACGCAGGGCGACTCGACTGCGCCAAGCTTCTCGTCGAGGCCGGTGCCGATACTTCCCTATGCAATCGGCGCGGAGAGTCGCTTCTCCACATGGCAGGAGAATCTGGTCAGGTCTGTCTCTTCAGATATTTTCTGGAGCTCGGGCTAGATCCATACAAGCCAGACGGACACGGGGCTTCTCCCCTGTATATCGCGATGCTATCAGGTGATATGATTTCGTACGCAATCAACTCCGACTTTGATTTTCACCAATTGGCTGCAAGGAAACAATACATGAGACCCTTGCTATCCGTGGTCCGAGATACTCCGACCACCTTGCACTTGCTACTACGCCGGCTGACAGCCGCGCACGTAGCTCGGGCACTTATCAACGTTTGGCCCGAACGTCATGAATTCCCAAGCCGCTATTCAAGTCCACTGTGCAATGCGGCAAGAGCAGGCTATATGGAGTCGTTGAAGCTACTTTTAGAATATGGAGCCGACCTCGAATTCGAAGGGAGCGTCGAGGGCACTGCGCTCATGAGTGCAAGTCGGGCGGGAAATGTTGAGATAGTGAGCCATCTTGTGCGAACCGGCGCAAACATATCTTACACGAGAAATGGGCGAGTGCAAAATGCCCTGGAAGTCGGAAAGAGATTCAAGGGCGTGGTCAGATGGCTACTGGTCGAGAGATGGACAGATCAACGACGTATCTTGCCAGGCTCGTGCTTCAGTGTTGGCGACGTTGAGGTGAGGCCATGGTCAGGTATCACCACAGTTGCGTTGAAACTGCATGGGCCAGGCGAGCGCTTTGGGCAGCAGAGAAGCGAAACCAAGTTGGCATTTCTTGGGCGGATGCACACTTTGCGCACGAGTCTTCGGGGACAGGTTGTCTATCCTGAACAATATCTGTAGAGTTGCGCTACCATGACTTGATTTTGGATCTTGGGTAATTTTGAAAGGGTGTTTATTTATAGGCGTTCAAGGGCGCATAATTCTTTGTAATAATCAACAACCTGGGCTACTACACGATTATTTCCGGGAGACAAGATGAGTTTTATTCAAAGTGAGCATAGGTATATGTTTTCTGTTTAAAAGTGCTTTGATAAATGAAGCGAATACGTTTCTGCCTTTAACGACTCATTGAGTCTGTGCATTGTTTGGCGACATGACGAGGGGGAAAAAAAACCAAGGAGATATATCAAGGTACCAAACCTTTTTGGCTGAGCAGAAGGATGAAATATTAATCTCTCTCTCTCCTATTTTGCCTGCCGCGTGCCGCAAAGTTCGGCGCCTCGGTGCACCCACGGCTGTCGGTGCCGGTAGCGGCTCCGCTTCCCCTGTCAGGAACAAGCCTGCGGACACTCCCGTAGTAGCATCACATAGAAACCGGTTTTGGGTTGGTCACCCAGCCCAGGCCGGGCCAGCCCAGTCGACTCTAGCTTGTGCGCGCGTGGTAAAGAGAAAGAAAAAAGGGTGTTTTTTTTTTTGAGGGAGGGAGATCTCGATCATGGACAAATTTTCCGCTTCTGCTACCCAACTTTTGGGATGGCGATTTCAAAGTGGATAGTTTCAAAACAAGACTACTATGGTATAGCAGCATCCTACAATCAAAGGCTGATCGGAGCTGATAGAAGGATCTTGATGAGGTAGTAGATGGTGCGCGGTTTGCTTCTAGACGTGCCGACCTGCCGGTATCATATGGCCAGTTGCCTTGCAGGCGCTGTATGATTCGACGATCACGCGGTATGCAGCAGAAGGATTCCGGGCAATAGAGACGGGAAACAGAACGTCGAAATAAAAAAAAAAGCCAATCAGTCATTTTTGATTGCATGCCTAGCCCTGCTAGATTGCCTGGAATGTTTCCACTTAGTGGTGATTAGTTCCACCGAAATGTCATGGGCCTACGCAACACTGGGAAGTATAGCTCCGAAATGGTAAGCAAATAGCCAATTTGCTTTGATTGATCGACGTCAAGTATTCAACTTAAAATTCTCCTTCTATTCATGCTCTTGGCTTTATAATAGTACCATGTGTGCGTGCGAAATTGTCTGATCGGTTGCTTTGGAGGGCAGAAGTCTTTACATTTTGGGTTGAGCGCTCGTTTGCAATAAAAACAATAATATTGCAACGTCCTTTGCCATGCTTTCCTTCTTGACGAGCCGGCCAGTTGCGGCCGCCGCTGGGATTCTCGCGGCATCCAGTGTAGTCAGTGCCATTGATTCGGTCAGCTTTGATTCGGGAACATACGGTACCGAAGAGACGCCTTACCAGACCTACACATCTAGCCCTGCGCTTACACCACCGGAGCTGCTCATCTACTCCAACACATCCTCTGCCATCACCGATGGCTATGTGTTCTTTGGCGTCGATGGAACCTCGGACTCGGGTCAAATGGGCCCTTGTATCTTTGACATGAGTCCAGGAGACAGGCTAGGCACTCTGGTCTGGACGAGCCCCGACTACAACAAGACCTTTGATGTTAGTCTGCAAACCTACAAGGGAGAACCCGTCATTACTTTCTGGAATGGAACACTTCTGGACGGTTTTGGCCACGGATCGTACTACATCCTCAACCAGTCTTACAACGAGATTGTGCACTTCTCTCCCGTCGGCTACACCGAATATGGAGATCTGCACGAGTTCCGTATCACCGACGACGATACCGCCTTGGTCACCCTGTACATTATCAAGCAGACAGATTTGACGACTGTCAACGGAACCGAGGACGGCTACTTCTACGATGGTGCTTTCCAGGAGATCGACATTGAGACTGGCGAGCTCCTCTTCATGTGGAACTCGTCAGACCACGTTGCGCTCAACGAGACCTACAACGAGATTGGTAGTGCTGGAGATGAGACTACGCCCTTTGACTACTTCCACATCAACTCGGTCACCAAGGACGTCGAGGGCAACTACCTGATCTCGTCGCGTACGACTTGGGCCCTGTACAAGATCAACGGCACCACTGGCGACATCATCTGGCGCCTCCACGGCCGCAACTCTGACTTTACCGTGACGGACGCCGACTTCAAGTGGCAGCACAATGCGCGCTGGACCGATACCACGGCTCAGACGCACATTTCCATTTTCGATAACCAGGGCGAGAACGACGACACGTACTCTCGCGGAATGCTTCTGGCCATTGACCAGGACGCCATGACGGTCACCCTGGAGCAGGAGTTCCACAACGGCGACTCGACCTGGTCCATGTACGAGGGCAACCTGCAGTGCCTCAACTGCACGGATCTGAGCTCGGGCAACTGGTTCATGGGCTACGGCAACCAGCCCTACTTTACCGAGTACAGCGCCGACGGCACCGTCGTCATGGACGTCCAGTTCGCCGTTGACAATGCCGTCAACTCGTACCGCGCCTACAAGTACCCCAAGACCAGCTGGGTGGGCAAGCCCACGACCAACCCCAACATCTCCTGGGACACGAGCAGCGAGGGCGTCTACTTTTCCTGGAACGGCGCCACCGAGGTCGAGACGTGGGCCGTGTACACGGCCGACGCGGCCGACAGCACCGCCGACTGGACCGAGGTGACGTCGGGCACGCGGGCCGGCTTTGAGACGCTCCTCGACCTCTCGGGCTCCAGCGACAGCCTGAGCACCTACATTCGCGGCAAGGCCCTCGACGCCTCGGGCAGCGTCCTCGGTCTGACCGACGCCACCGACGGCACGTCTTTCTACACCCTGGACGACGAGTCCACGCCCACGACCTCGTCGTCGGGTAGCACCACGTCGGATGCCGCCTCGGCGACCTCCACGGACGACGATGACTCGGCTGCCGGCATCCTGGCGCCGAGCACTGTGTTTGGTGGAGTTGCGCTCGTCGCAGCTGTCGTTGCGCTGGTCTGTTAAATTTTGCCAGCAAAGCGGGACATGCACTTGTACGAAATTATTGCGAGATGAGCTGTGAAAATGAAGGAACGTGGCCTATGAGCCGTGGGTGAAGAATAATGAAAACTTTGTAAATACTTGGACGGGGACAGGAGCTTCGAAATTAGGTGGTTGGTCGACTTGCTCACCCTACTATATATATTTTAATACCCCAATTTGCAATGAATATGCCAGAAAATCTGTCTCAAACGACTTGCCTATCGTTCCGTGTTAATGAGAATAGAGGCGTAACATTAGTGCACGGGCCCGCTGGCAGATCCTGTAAAAGGCCCACTGAATGAACAATCATCAAACTCCATCTTGAGTCAAGTTCACTCCCACCATTCACTTTTCTTGTGATGGCGGACGTCAAGCTGGATAAGGAGCCTACTCGGCATCCAGATTGCTGTCTCAGCCTATCGTCGACGCTGTTGGATGTCCTGACATCTATCGTGAGCCATTGCGCCGCCAGGACCAACGCCGATCAACTCGTCCTCTCCATCGGCAGCGGCTCGGGTCTCCTGGAAGCGCTACTGCTGGAGCGGTGGGCGGGGGGCGCAACCAACGGGGTTTCGCATCTGTTCATCGAGGGTGTCGAGGTGCAAAAGCCGGGCGGCGACACGCCGTCGCTGCTGAACAAGTACCTGCCCGAGCAGCACCACTCGGCCGTCAAGGGAACGTGGGACCTGTCGCCGCGCGCCGCCGACGCCGTCGTCTTGATATTTGTCTACCCTCGGAGCCCGGCCTTGCTCAGGCGGTACCTAGAGGAGGCAACGTGCGAGGAAGCGCTGGGAAGGAACAGGTTCCAGCTCGCCATCTGGTTGGGGCCAAAGTGCGATTGGACCGAGTTCGAGGGCTGCTTTGCTGGATTCTCGGGTTGGAATTTGCGGGTGATTCCCGACGAGGAGAGTGGGCTGTTTGGGTATGAGATGCTTGCTGTCCTCGAGAGGCAAATTGTTGCCGTAGCTGGACGGGAGCCTTGAATGGAACATGACAGCGGGCGGGCGGCTTGCCGACTTGTTGTGGAGGTACCCAACCCAGAATGAGCTCTCTGGGGGTGGTCTCGTCAGAATTCCAAGGAAGGATAACGAACTTGTGTTGAGCACATACAGCTTCCAAGTCAGCATACACTCGGCCCATAACTACAAGCCTTCGGATCCGACCACCGGACACGGTCTCTTACTATCAATGTGGTCAGGTCTACAAATTGTCTCAACGCAAGTCTCGGACTCTATATTCAGTCCGTCTACCCGAAAAGCCAAGGTATATGGTATATCATTGTTTTGAAAACCAGCTATACTATGCGTTTCATTATGGCCATGTCTTGGCTTCTTGGCAGGCGAATTTTGCCAGGCCTCGGCTCACGGATGCCACTAAATGAGAGGTCGCACACCCAGTTTATAGAAGCCCCGCACTCTCTCACAGCCACCAATATGGTCACTACTTCATCATACTGCAATGTGTTGGCCAGAAGACTTGATAAGAATGCGGCTCTCCGTCGGCCAAGTTGGCAAACAAATCATACAATATCCATCTCATTTCATAAAAATCTGGCATGATGAGTGAGACAACGACGCTGCAGGATACTGCCACCGCAGACAGTGGCAAATGGGGCCAATACTACGATCCTGTCCTGGCACAGTCCCCAGTTATACAAAAGATCATCGCCGAGAGTTGCTCCATGAATGGAGGGACCGCAGCGGTGCTCCTTCAGATTGCCAGCAGAGGCGTCGGTCTGGGCGTCGCTGCGCACAGCAGCTTCACCAAGCGGCCCGTCGAGCGAGCGCGCCGCAGTCTCGTGTACATTTACGCCATGGCCTTTGGCACCCAGGCCGAACGGCGCATCGTCACCGACGCCACGCACCGGGCGCACTCGCGCGTCAAGGGCGCCAACTACGATGCCGACGACGTGGACTTGCAGCTCTGGGTGGCAGCCACCATGTACTGGTCGCTCATCACGGGCTATGAAGAAATCTTTGGCAAGCTGGACGAAGACATGGCCGAGCAGGCCTATAAAGAATTCTCCGTCATGGCCACGGGGTTGCGCGTGCCGCCTGGCCGCTGGCCCAAGGACCGCAGGGCCTTTCAGGAATACTGGGACAAGACCATTGCCGAGCTGGACATTACGCAGCCGGCCAAAGCCGTCGCTCAAGACGTCATCTATCCGGCGGGCCACCTCCCCTCGTGGGGTCTTTGGCTGTATGCCAAAGTGACAGGTCCCTCGACGAGGATCATGACTACGGAGCTGCTCCCTGAGCGGATACGCAACGAGTTTGGCATGCCGAGTACAGTCTATACTCGAACCATGTACGGGCTCTCCCGTGGCATGAACAGGCTTTTGTATCCGTGGCTGCCTGAATCTGTGAGGCATTATCCCAAGAATCACTACATGCAAGACTTTAGAAGTCGGGTGGAGAGAGGCGCGAGGCTTTAGATTGAAGTGTTTAGTAGAACTTGGCTCAACTAAGTCAATATACCGATTTTCCATTAATTCTTGAGTACACCCTTACACATTCAACAAGCAGGGTCGACAATATTGTAACCGTCGCTCATGCCACCGTCCGCAGCGAGCCAGCTGAGATTGTCAAAGTAAAGTTGGCGAGTTGCGTTGGCGTACTCATCATAATCTTGAGCAAAGTATTAGTTCTCTGAGATGGAGAGATCCTGGCTTAGTCATGGAGGATAAGACTCACCATACGCATACATTCCATTCTTGAAATAAAACCCGTTGGTTATGGTGTCATCAATAGTCCAGCTGTCCCCAAACCCGACATTGATCCCTGTCGCGCTGTACATGAGCGATCCGTCGAGCCATACCTGGTACAGTCCATTCTGGGCATGAGATGCCTTGAAGTGAATGACGATGTCATGCCAAACGTCTCGTGACAACGAGCTGGTGACGGTGGCGTGCGTCGAGTCACCGCACGCCGGGCGATGGTCAACATAGAGGCCCATGTCCTCGATGCTCAGGGTGCCACACCAGCTGGAACAACCGCCGGGACAAAACTGCTGGGCGATAATGGTGGCCTTGTCGCTAGGGAACCCATTGGAAGGGACGTATAGCCCGAAGCCTTGCCAGCCCTCGGAGTGCATGTTGACCAAGTTGGTGCTGCCAGACGCATCTTTGACGCAAATCTCGGCGCCCCGGTCGTCGCGTGTCCCGTCATAGTCGGACTCGTCAAAGTAGGCCGTCAGCTTTCGGGAGCCGGCGCACAGGGGTGACCCCGAGGACGCGGAAATGTAAGAAGGGCTCTTGACGTTGCAGCTGCTGAATGGATTTACAGTACCGCTTTCCCAGCCGCTGGCATGGAGAGTGGTTGTATTAGCCGGGCCGCTCCAGGCAGTTGCAAAGGAGCTGGCGAAAAGAAGAGTCGCAGCAGTTGCCAACATGGTCACAGTCTTATTTTTCCAGATACTATGTGTGAAGGATCAAGTGAAGAGGTGTATGAACAGACGGCGCATTTCGAATGAGCTGTGCACAGAAAAGAACTTGCGACGAGGCAACATTTTTGAGGACTTTTATACCATGATGGCATCAAAAATTAGATACGTGACTGAGTGTACGAGTGAGTGAAGTCGATCAACTTGATCAAATATTTCCACCGGCGCACGGGCGAAATCACGGGAGGACGCATTTCATTCTACTGTGCGGTATAGTTCCAAACATAAGCATACCGACGACAAGCCTTTTAGTGAAAACCAACAGTGACAGCGGACGGAGACCGGGAATGCTGAGCAGGGTCCGCCGCAGAATGCATGGAGAAAGCCACGCGGGGTGCATTGCAGGGTTGCAATACCCCAGTGCTGGTATATTTGCAACTTGCGATCCGCCTATCAGAATGTCCATAGTGTTCGTCAGCACCTCCATCATCATAAGCGTGAAATCTCAGAATCTGTCCCCAACGACGAGAGCTGCGTAGTAGTGCTCACCGGGCCATTCCCGGCCCTCTATTGCCGCCGTCTGCTTTCCTCAGACTTTTGCGACGAATCAATAACGCCAGTGCCCATAACTAAGCAGACTTCACGACCACGAATCAACGCACACATCTTCTTCGCTCAAATGATAATGAAGAGTGGTTCCTGCAGGGCCGAACAATATCTGGCCGAGAGATCCCCCGAGACGAGTTTGCACCTGTGATTCATGGAGATTTATATCGCTCGAAGCCTAGCCAATCGTGACTTCTACGGCCTGACGCCCTGCTTGATGCTGGTATGGTTTACATCACCTCTAGGCAGAAAGGAGACTGTGAGATGGTGAGCATTCGTCAAATCATGGCGGATCCTCCTTTACTCGACGGCTTTGTTGGCCTGGAAGTCTTCAGAATTTTATTGTCGGCGGCTCATGATACGGAATATTATTCTCAACGAAAGCCATGTATAGTATTGAGGATTGCAGACATACAACTCTCTATCTAGATAAAGCGCGCGATCAGCCGGCTCTCTAATGAAACTGCAAGACTACATATCAACTTGATTATGATTCAAAATAAGACCGCTGTCATGAACCTTATAAGTTGACTCCAAATTTTACACCTGGCACATGGTGTGATGAAATGTTGGGCGATATGCAATTCATCGACGGGATCGGAGCTCTGTATGATATTTACATACCTGTGGATGGTCGGCCTAGAGTAATAAATTAAACAAAAATCAATCGGATAACCATAATTACCCTAAGTTGCAACATTAATGACCTACCCTTGGTGTAGAAAATCATGAAAGGAGAGCCATATTTGCAACATACACCTTTGAGTATCAAATACAATACACATACTTATTAGGTTAGAGGCTGCCGATCGGCGAAAAGACAATTCAGAGCAATAAAGTATGGCGTCTCCACACTGGATACGACCCTAAAATCGAGCGGATGCCTACCCACACCAAAAGTAAGAGTAATGGTCTTGCATAAGCTGCCTACTCTCATCCAATCACGGTGAGATGGCCGAGCGGTCTAAGGCGCTACGTTCAGGTTCTCTGAGTTCAAATCGTAGTCAAGAAATTGGCGTGGGTTCGAATCCCACTCTCATCAACATTTTGCTTTTTGTCGCATTCTCCATGTTTTATGGTAGGCTTGTTTTTGTTTTGACTTCTTCACCCTATGATCATGTGTCTGCATCAGGGAAGCGTTGTTTCCTCACTTTGAAAGACTTTTATCTTGCTCTTTCTTTGAATGGTGCAAATCCTGCGCGGCTCAGACAATTAATCGTGTTTTGAGTCATTATATTCGTTGCAATTCACCACTATTCCGACTATATCTCAACGCAGATCGCAGTAAGATGAAGCTAAGCGCCGACATGGAATATTACTCGTTTGACATTGCCATTATCCATTTTTTGGACTTCACTAGATGAAGCGAGGCCATCGGCTTTGGGTTGGTACCACTATTCATTCCCGCCTGAAAATGTCTTCTGTGCCATGCCCCTTCTTACAACCATCATGCCGGTGTCTCTATGCCAGACTCTTTCGCGTCGACTTGGGCTTTGAGCACTTCGCCTTCCTGCCTCAGTCGGTCCTCTCTCTCATAGCGACTTTCACTTGAAGGGTCGAAGTAGGCTATTCCAATATCAATGATCATAATTCTTTGCCCAAGTTTTGGAGTTCACTTACGCTTCTCTCCAAAGACAGTCGTCCGGATACCTCTTCGGTTCCCTTCATATCTCCCAGGAATCACCCGGTGCACTACACACCTACGTCTGGTGAGCTTCTGCTTACACTTTTGCAAAACCGTGGGATCTCACCTATTATCCCACATGGCAACACTGCCGACTGCCCACTTCCAGCGGACATAGTGGTCGTCAGCCGAGTGTATGTGGTACTGAAAAAAGTCCAAGAGCTTATCCGACTCGACCTTGTTGAGCTCGGCAAAGGATGTGACGAACCCCGGGTTCACATTGAGCGCCTTGAGCCCCGTGACGGGATGCGTCCGCACTGCCGGGTGATGCGAGTCAACGGGAGCACGGTTCGGCCCCGTCCCCCACAGGTCGAGGATGGTGTCGTACTGCAGCCGCGACGTGTGCACGGCGTGCAGGCCGTCGACGAACCTCTGCATGGCCTTGCTCAGCGTGTCGTATAAGCCGTAGCCCGAGACCCAGGCGGTGTCGCCGCCGACGTCGGGGTGCTCCTCCATGCGCAGCATCGAGTACGACGGCGGGTTGATCTCAAAGGACGTGTCGGCGTGAAAGTCGCCCGACGGCCACGGCGTGTACTTTAGCACCTCGCGATGGTTCTCCCTGCTGCCCCGGATGATGACGTGCTTGACGTCCTTCTGCGCTGGGTGCTTGTCCAGGATGCCATAGTGCTCAAAGAGCTCAACCTGCTTTTCGGTCGTCAGGTCCTGGTCCCGGAAGAAGACGACCCCGCGCTCGTTGACCAAGAGCGCCAGCTCATCGAGCTGAATTGGCGTTATCTGAGACAGCTGCACATTCTCTAGGACAGTGCCAATGGACTCTGTGAGATCACTTCGTTTGGCGACGGCGAACAAGGCCTTCTTTTCCGGGTCCGCGAATGAGGCACGGTCTTTATCGGGGAAAATCTGTGTTCGGGGCTCCTCTGGCGGGACATGATTTTTGATCTTCTCGGAGAAGTTTGGGTGCAGGTTGACTGGAAATCCCGAGTCGGGTGAGATATGCTTGCGTGATTCTAAATGGGCCATCTTTATTTCAAGACTTGATATCCGAAAATTTGTTGTTCCAGCTCAGATTTCGTCAAGCTTCAAGTCAAATATAGGCACTTTATGGCCTTTCATTGTGGCAATAATGACGCATATCATATCGAAAACGACTTCATCAATGCTTTTCTCTATCACTGGACAGTGCAGGCGATTCAAGCTCGAGCTATGGATGAGCAATATGCACGGCCGATGAGGTATAACAAAAATGCATTAGTCTAATTGGCTGCAAACCTCCATCAGTACGGGGAAGCACAAGAGAGCCCCGCTTGTCCTTATACCCACGCGGACAGCAAGTCTATCGGCCAAATACGGAAAGACTGTCGCATTTGGAGTCGACAGGCCTCGGACCTCATGTGACCGACCCCTCTGGAGTTTGCGAATTGTCTATTCGATGACAAAGCGACATCGGCACGGGACGCCGCGTTTCTACCGTTAGACTTTAAATCTAACATCTGCTAGAAGCATGGGGCTACAGACGAAGGATTGCTATGACCCTTATTGACATGGATCTCTTCTCATGCATGATAATCTCTTTTTATACGACTGTGACCCTCGATCAACGTACAAATTGAGTATGATGCCAATCTTGCACAAGCGTTGAGGAATCTTAGCACTGATTAGGGAAGCGACTTGACTGGTACAGATTCTAAATGGAGAAAACGACTAGTTGAACTTGTGGCATAGCCTGAAATGAGCATAACGGAAAACATAACGGGGTTTTGACCATCGGTGGAATCGTTGAAAAGTGCCAACTCGGCCCGGTCGAGCCTCGTGCCAGGGTCGTACAGCATGGCTGGCCGCGTGCTCGGTGAGGAGCAGATTGCGGCTCACGATAGTCCTAGATTTTGGTACGGCCGGAAGCTCGCTACCGCAGGAACCGACCATGCGGAAAGAAGAAGCAAAAGGTTTACATAATGGTCGGATTACTAGAAACGGAAATCAGAGTTGCAGAATACTGGTTAGCAAAGATGCAACTCCCACTTTTCTTGCACGTCCGAAATGGAGCTTTCAATGGCCTATACTACAAGTCCCTTGCATATACCATGATCTGACGATATGCACCAGACTTTCAGCTCAGCTGAGTTATGGTCCACCCGCCGCCATTGGTGCAAGTCAAGGTCCTTGTCGCATCGCTTATCACCGCCAAGACCTAGAGCCAATACAAACATTTCAGAAGGCAAAAGATCTGACCGCAAAAAGCGATCAGGGAAACCATTTCCAAAAGACTATAAAGCAATTCAAAAAGGATACCATCTGACAGTAATTCTTCGATATCAATATCAGCTACTGCCTGACCTTATCGTGCCTTTGAAGCGCAAGTTCAATAGAGTTCGACACACCAACATACAACATGGCGACTCTCAGCCTCGCAGATCTTGTCCTTTCGACATTTTCCAAGGGACTAGATGTATTTGCTCACATCTTGGCCAGGGCAAAGGAGGACGCCGAAGAGCGAGGCATTGACGTCGAGTCGCTCGTAGAGGCGCGAATTGTAGAGGACCAGAACCCTCTGTCGTTTCAAGTACACTTTGCGAGCCAAGTCGTACGGAATAATCTAGGTCGCCTGGCCGGCGAGGAGGCGACACCGCTAGAGAGCGAGCTCAAAACTTTTGCCGATTTGCAAAAGCATATTCAGGATACCATTGAAATATTAAAGTCCTTCAACGCGGAAAAGGCCAAGGGAAGAGAGGGAACAGAGGTCAACATGTGAGTCGCCTACATACCTATGTCTGTCTGACGGGGCTTTTTCCACTGACATGTGTTATGATGTAGTCGATTCCGGAGCCAGGAACACGCAATTACCCTGCAGGAAATGGAGCTGAATCACGCATTGCCCAACCTATTCTTCCACCTCACAACTGCTTACTCGATTCTGAGGGTAAAGGGTGTTCCATTGGGAAAGAAGGACTACCTTGGCGGCTTCCTGGGCAAATGAGCAGGTCTAATCAATAGGAATCATCAGATGGCATCGTCATGATAGGCCATACCTATTAACAATACATGTATCCTGTGCGCAATGTTTACGGGGCATACATGTCCTCTCAAAAACAAATTCAAGTGCAGATGATAGTGGCTCCCCAGAGTGACAGAGGAAGGAACCCGAAGACAAGATTGGGCAGAAACTGCCATTATGATTCAGCCTTACCAATGGCATCCAAAAACATACCAGGGAGATCCATTTACTTAATAGCATACCATGTCCATATTCAGGGTTCTAGCTTACCCAGGATATGGCAGTAATGAAACCCCGTCAACATCGAAACAGGTACCTGAAAACAGAAACCCAAAGTGTGGCTTCATCCTTGTTCTATAAATCGTACGGATACAATAGAGACAGCGAGGCTCAACTATTTGTTGCCACTCGGTTTTGGCCACGGCGGACATTAATGGGGGATCGACAGGTCGCACACACCCACGTGTATACACTTGAACGATTGCGCAACCAAAAAAAAAAACACGTGCCCTCTTTTGACAAGAATACGAAATGATGCGCATAATCAACAATGCACAAAAGACGGGCTCCCTCTTTTTGCGGCTTGTTATCGTGCATAAGCCATTGCTGTCGTGACACCCGGAACCCCTGCGTCAAAAAGGCACCTATCCGGGCACCATTTTTCTCCCTCTCTCTCGTACCCCGTTCACACACACTGTGTGCATATATCGTACGCGGGTTTGGCGGGTGACTGGCTTCAAAATCCCCAAGCATGACAAACAAATATTGGTGTTTCCATTTCGGAATTGATGACGTCGTTCATGTGACATTCTTTTCCTTCCACAGTCATCATCCCACATACGCCTCAAAACGAGGAAGAAAATAAGTGCTGAAAGGCGCGTGTTAATCTCGGAGACGGCGTGGGACTCCGTTCCCATGACGAACGAACCCGTTTTTCTTGGCACGGGCTCCATGGTGCGCTTTGTTTGCCCCCAGAACGGCCCGGAGACGCCGGGTGAATCCTGGTTCGGAGGTGTCATGGTAATATGAAAGGGCTTGGAGAGAAAATGAGGGCCCCGTCATATTGTTATTCCAAAAGTCCAACTCACCGCTCAATTATTGGAGGACTCTCGATGAGGCTGTCCATTGACTGCCATGAAAGGGTATGGTAATAAATCGACTTTGGCCACGGGTGAATACTTCGTATATGCCCTACTACGCAATGTCCACCGTAACGACCTTTAGCCGCTTGAAATGCTTAGATATGTAATTGACTTATTATAAAGAAGGCTGAAGGTGAAACGAATCTGTCATGTAGTTCCAATTGGGAAGGGGGAAGATTTACCCCCAGAGTCTCATGGTATCGTCATGTTGCCCCAAGACAACAAGAAATCTCGGCTGTATTTCTTTTCTTTTCTGTAGCCAGAAAACACTTGAGGCCGGTGAATCAGGTAGCTCACGTCCGGGAACCCTTTACTAGGTACACATCTATGATCCGTCAACTCGCCGGATGCGGCGTGTGTGGGGTCCGGGGGTTATAACACGGGTGGGATCCCCAACCATGGTTGATATAGCAACTTCCAAAGTCGAGGCTCTCTGATAGTAAGTCGTCTCAAAATTTGTCCATTTCACGGCATTAAATTGACTTGACTGACAAGTAGGCGCACGAGGCTGCAAGGGGCTTTTTGTCTGCATGGATGACTGAAAATATTGTCCCAAACGGCAATATCGGGATCGATAAAGTGTACCTCAATGGTCAACAAAGCACAGCTCGGCCCCGAACACGCGGGTATTCCTGCCGGTAATCTAAAACGCAATGCACGGCTTGCCGTCTCACATATCTCACCCTGTACATCTATCATGTAAGGAGCAGATCACGTAAGCCTCGAGGTTCTCATATACTAGTCGATATCCATTAGCACGGTCTTCCTCCCCATCCAAACCTAGGCAAAAAAAGCCAAAAGTTTTCAACGGCGCCATGAATAGTCTCAAAAGATTTCCCAGATCTTGTCACGTTAGCCTGTCCATAGCGATAGCCGGTAGGGCCTAGTCTCCCGTTCTCTCTCTCACTCACACACAGAATTCCACCATTCCCCTTCCTTTTCCCATGGGGGTGGGAGGGCGGTCAGACATTTCCCCCCGTGTTTTGTAGGCAAAGCTCGTCTCAAACGATGGCGCCACACCTTTCCAATATAAACGTGGTCTACCCTACTGCTCTTTCTGAGACTCTCTTCTTTTGGGCATCTTGAAGAGCTTGGGGGTTGAGGAAGCTGTCAGATTAAACATTAGCGAGGAGTCACATAAAACTCCAACATATACTAGAAACTTGAAGAAGGTCTTTTCAAATAAAACAAAATATGTCGAAAACCCTCCATGGCAATGACAAATCCCCATGTTTCTTGTCCCCAAAAGGAGATCGAGGAAGGGAGGTTCTCTTTCCGCTTTCACTCGTAGCCTTTCCGACCATTGCCTGCTCTCACGGCGCCGGTGCTCACTAGTTTCGATGGACCGGCGCTTTTTTCTTTCTTGGACAGCACCCATGAAAAAGAATCATTCTAGAAGCAAGGAAGATAGGGCCACTTGGCTCTGCGTCAAATCCGGAGTAAGCAAGAGCCGTATTTGCTTGCTTTTTTCAGCTTTCTCAGCTTTCCCTCAGCTATCTTTTTTACTCTTGGGGGCGGGAAGAGGGAACGTCAGGGATAGACGGAATTTTTTTCTTGTCGCGGAAGCCTTTTCAGGAACTGACAAGCCCAAACGCAAAATATCCCGAGCCTTGATTATCGTTTGATGGAAAAGTGTCCAGCCACAATAAGAGCATTTGGAATTATGTGCAGTTCCTTGCAGGCGCTCGTGTAAACTAGATATATACCTGCGCGTGTAGGAATAAGAGTATGCACATCCAAATACGGATATCTGCTATAATTAGAATAGATAAGCTGCACGATTAAGGGAACAAGAGGTTGCACAAAATCGGGAAAAAAGTACAGAGTATTGGGATGCGCAATGCAACCTCTTTTGCCCTCAAGGTCTGATTGGTCCCTTAATACTGTGACTGTGCCGTATTGTACACTCGAACCCGACTCTATTGCAGCCCGCCCCGCGTCGTCTCTCTTTGTGCGTCCGCTATAGAGGGAGGGGGGGCGAGGCTTCTCCGAGAAAGGGGAGGCACATTGCCATGATTGCAAACTCTCATTCTCGTAGCCTTGGAATACCTGCTGCTTTGACTACGAGGCCCCGGACTCCTCCTTCGTCATCTGATCTACATCATTCTCCAGCCTTGGCCAGAAGTTCCCTTTTAATTCGTGCCTACTAAACATTCTCCCGGTCCAAGCTTTTTTTTTTCTTTTTTTTTTTACTCTTCCCTCGGAAATGATTCGTGGTCCGTGGCATTAGGCAGCCTGAGTGGCCAGCGTTTCACGTCTTCTTAAGCTTAGAGCTCGTGCCCTGATCACGATCTTGAAAATCGCCATGGTAATCAATAGATGGGAAAGTCTGTCCCCATGATGTTCTAAAATGATGTGATTAAGAAGAAAAAATACCCACGGACATCTTGTTTTCCCTAACCATTTTGAGAGGTGCGAGACTATATTTCTCGCAGAAACCCGGCAAAACTTGCACGTGTCGTTTATTTATAACAATGTAACCTATAGATCACTCACAAAGTGTCTGAGACGAAAGCAAGTCTGGCAGCGGCAGAAACGTGGTCGATAAAAGCCCGGCCGCTTGAGTTACGGCATACCGCGTTTACCTGGATAGACCCTGGAGGCGAACCCGTTGACGCGGTACTGGTGCGGAACCACGTTGGTTGGGTATGTAGATAGACTCTGGAGGTTCGTCATCTGATCTGACAAGCATATTATTTGAATAGTATTGTGGATTGGTCAATGGGCAGAGGATAATCCAATCCCCAGATATTGTGAGGCTACCAGAAACCGGCTCAACAGCATCTCTTCTACTGGTTGTGGGGTAAAGTATCTTCGTGAGCAAGAGGCGTCCAACAATCACGAAATGGGGGAAAAGAAGCAAGTTGATGATTTTTCTTCGTATTGATATCATGATCCGAACGCCTGACTAGACAACGGGAATTTTATAGTTCGACGAACCACTGCCAAAAAGTGAAGTGAAGAGACTCGGAGAAAATGACTAGGGAGGAAAATAAATAGATAAAAAAAAAAGTTGGCGATCAGCATTACCAGTCATCATGACCATGTCGGAAGAGATCATTCGCCGTGGGTGTCCCCCTCATGATCCCCCCGCCAGAAGGGAGAAATAAACAACAAAAAAAGCAATCCGTCTCAACATGAGTGAAAAAAAAGCCGTATCTGCAAAAACAAAAGTGCAACATCTGGCAGAGGTCCGTGAAGACTATGGTATCTTTTCTTGTCGAGTAAAGGTGATTCCGAAGCGAGGGAGACCGATACGCAACATGAAGAGGAACAAAAACAAGCGTTCGATGTGTATATCCCCCTTTTCCTTTTGCAAATGCCGGCGAGCATGAGATTCCCCCCCAAGAATGATCAAGGATTACCGGACTCCATTAACCATGCAACTCATCTCAGTCCTGCAGTTATAGTTGGACTGCTTCCATGACGAAGAGCCAGGCCTCATCCCGTCAAGTATATCGCGTCTTCGTAGTTTTATATCGGGTATTTGAAGACAAAGAAAGACAATTCCACTGTCCTGGCCCTGGTGGCTGATCCGGATTGAGTAAGTCGGAATCAGCATGGGCGTCTTGATGGGAAAAAAAAGGCCCGTCGCCGCCGGTCATCGTTCTATTCGTGGCTCAAACGTGGTCGTATGTGGTCAAGTTACATGATGATGCACTTGGAGCAGCAGCCGGCTTCCGACTCGCCCTCGCTCATCTCCATCTTGCCAGAGGGGCCGTTGCCACCACCGTTGCCGCCACTGCCAGTCGAGTAGCCCTGCATCTCGCGGTTGTAACGACGGATTTCGCGGACGATGTCATAAAAGGCCTTGTCGACATTGATGCGCGACTTGGCGGAAGTCTCGATGAACTTGCAGCCGAAAGACTTGGCCAAAGCCTCACCCTCTGAAAGAGTTCTGTCAGCATAACTTTGTTTTAAAAGAATTCCAGTCATGACTAACCTTGTCTTGAGACCTCGCGCTCACTCTCCAGATCGCACTTGTTGCCCACAACGACCATGGGGAAGTAGTCCTTGTCCTTTACGCGGAGAATTTGCTGCTGGAATGTGGTGATTTCCTCGAAACTCTGTCGGCTAGTGATGGAATAGGCCAGCAGGAAACCCTCTCCAGTGCGCATGTATTGCTCTCGCATAGCCGAGTACTCCTCCTGACCAGCGGTATCGAGGACATCGAGCAGAGCGACCTCTTCGTCAATGACACACTGCTTGCGGTATGAATCTGATTGGCAAACAATGTTAGAACTCGTATGTTTCCAGCTTGGTTGCCTGAGGGAAGCGACAGGGGGGTCCCAAAGCTGGGAGAAATAAAGGTGTAAGGGTGATTGCCGACGTACCTTCAATGGTGGGATCATATTCGTCTACGAAATGGCTTTGGATGAGCTGGATAGTCAAACAAGATTTACCGACACCACCGCCGCCGACGACGACCAGCTTGTATTCTCTTAGGAACTAGCAGAGGAATTTGTGTTAGCACTCGAGGCGACAGCGACGACAGAGGCGGACACAGGGACGAGAAACGGCGACGGTTGTGTGAAGTATTGAACCCATATCGCACCACGTCTCGTAAGGGGTGAAGGACAAGCTGAACATACCTTGGAGGCCATTGTGAATGATTTGAAATTGAACTGCGTCAATTGAAGATGGAAATTGCGAGAAGAGAACGACGACACTGAGATCGTGCGTAGTGCAGACGGGAAGTTGTCAAAAAGTCCGGTCTGTTAGGCTCGAACGCAAGGCAAATTGAAAGTGTTTCTGTTGCCGCGGAGAGGATGGGCGAGGTTCGGGTCACGATCAATCACAACACAAGGTTGAATGGTTGAGAAGGAAGGACTACGACGGTTTGAGTGGGGACGCCCTGAAAGTAAGGTCGTCGGCGGTTCTAGTCGAGACAAGATTCGATAAGCTTCTTGTCGCAGATGGCGCGGTTGGATGGAATGTCCCGCCGAGAGAAGTGATGGAAATCCGATCTAGAGGGAAACGGCGCGAGGCAACGGGCAGTCGTTAGTGGGAGCCGTGGATGTCAAGTAGACAAGACGAATGGAAAAGGAATCCAGAGAAAGATTGTGAGTGGAAGAATGGTTGCCAGTCGCTGGAGAACGAAGAGAGAGATCCAAGCTGTCACAAAAAGAGGTTGGGTTGGGTTCGTGGAAACTGAGCGAGGCCCAGAGAGAGCCGGGGGTGATTCCAAGTGGCGGGGGGGTTTTTTTCGATGGCAGTTGATGAGAGGTAGGTACTGTACAGTATGTGGAGCAGGGTTAATTAAGAACAGTAACCGTACCTAGCATCTTTTGGGGGGGCCCCTTCACAGTCAAGAATACAAGCCAAGACAGGGAAGGGAGAAGAAAAAATTTAGAGCCATTTGTATTCCGTACCACGGACCAGAAAAAAAGCACTGGGCTGTCTTTAAATTTTTTTTTGTTTTCCTGTCCAAATTCTTGATCCCGAATGGCTGCTTGCCACAAACGAGCTCTCTCTCTCTCCCTTCTCCCCATTGCTTTCTCTGCTAGCGGGGCCTGAATGTTCTTCTTTTGGTGGGTTGCTGTTGCTGCAAGTGCTAGGGGGGCCCTTTCTGTACACTACACAGTAGCAGCACGGCACTGTACAGTACATTTCACATTGACACCACCTACCATTTCATAGCGCACAACCACTGAATGCACTATTAGCAGGCCTGCCCAGGATTGCTACACAACCTTGAACAGTACCAAAGGAGGGGCCCCTCTTGGCGCTCTATCTTACCCAGTTGACGTTACCTTCTAGGGGGCGACCAGAGCTACTAGGGAATGCTTTTGTGGGGGCGCCAATATAGCAACCCACCCGGGCTACATGTTTGCAGATTAGCACCTGGCGTTAGCCCTGCCGTTCTGTGATGATGATCCCGTCGAATGGAAGCCATCTAGAAAGATGCGAGATTGGGCATGGTGGAAATGTCGGGGTCGGAAAGGGTCGGGGCAAATTATTGTAGAGGCTCTCATCAAATAGATTTCTTGATCTTAGATTTTTCCCTCTTTTCCTTCTCACTCTCTCTCTCTCACTCTCTCAGTGCTCTCTGTTGTTGTTATCCATCGACATAGTAGTATTATTAGTAGTACTAATGTCGGTACTCGTAGCCGACGACTGTATCCCATACTACGTAGCGGATGGATGATGGGACTTGAATAGAATGGGAGGCGGGACCCTTTCGACCATGTCATTCTCTACTAGGTACCTACTGACAGTCTAATCACAAAGGAGGCGAAAGAAAGTGGTCGTTTTTGTTGATGGCAAGCCTCCGTGCACGCTTTGTTTTTCTCTTTTTTTTTTTCCTAGCTTGAAAATCCACCCCTTTGTCTTTGTTCTTGGTGTTTGGTCCCAAATGTTTACCAAGGTCAACAGTGGTAGGTTGGTAGGTACAGAGTAGATAGATACCAAGCACACGCAGCTGTTATCGCTGATACTCCTATTCACCAACTAGGCAACACACGCTCACATCATGTTTTGTTAACCAATCTACAAATTCCAGGGTCGTCACCTGATTTTTGATGATGATGAAAATACTAGTATCTAGTATTCGGCATCTGGGTAATTTTCTTCCTCGCACAGTACACTACGCACCCACGTTTGTTGGATCTCTGCCGCTTTTGTTCTCCAAAAGCCCAGCGTTGACCGAACGCACGGGTCTTTGAATCCTGATTATTTCTTTGCTTGCATGTTCAAGATGGTTGGTGGGGATCCCCTAAGATCCTGGCCGTGTTTATTTGAACTGGGCCGAGTTACAATGGGATCTTCAGTCTTCATCCAATCCAACCCGGGCAGTTAATTGGAGCACACACCAAATTGTCAACGAGTCTTTTGACTACAACCGAGTCAAGATCTGACCGAGAGCCACCAGCTTCGCCAGGACCGTCAGCTATTATGGGCACATGTCCAATGTGATGGACTCGGGCGTTGACGTACCCCCAATCCACTTGCAAAAAGGCAACAACAAAAGAAGAAGAAGATCTCCAAAGGAGGATTTTCCCGAGAGCGAGGATAAAAAGTCCCCAGAAAAGTGCACAAAAAGGAGGAGTGAGTGGGAGGAGGCTCGTGCGCGCCAGACATTCCTTCGCCTGTCTTTTGCCGTAGCATCAAATGTTGAACTGATGATACCCGCACCGTTGGCTGGCTACATACCTACCTACCTAATAACCTAATAGGTAGGGACGGGAAGAAATGGATTTACTTGTTTACTTGCTTATTACTTTGAGGTAGACATTGGCTATTGGTACTGCAGTGCATCGCATCTCTCATGTGGAGTTATTATAGGTATTTGAATGTATTTCCTCCAATTCCAACGCAGCGGTTGACTGCACCAATCATCAACTGATCGCATCGACGACCCCTGGATTTTAGGCTCTAGGCCTATCGTAGACGATTCGGCTACGCGAATATACAAAAAGACTGCTACTACGACCGACACTACCACCACCACCACCACCACCACTACTACGTACGAGCTACTCGCTTTTTGATATATTACTACCTACGTAGCCGACGGCTCTCAATCCGATGGGATATCCCCTCTTGCCTGGGGGCATGTGTGAGATCAATGCTTGTATAACAAAAGTTGTAGGATCTGGCTAAAACGGGCCGCCCACTGGCTCGCTGCACATCTCCTCTGACAGACATGAACGCCTCCATCTCAAACCCTTGCTTGACAAATTCGGCCATCTCCAAATCCAACCCAGACTTTATTACTGATATAGCAGCAATCCCCGAACCAGAGGGAACGAACCATGGGCCAATGCGGATGGGGGCAAGGATGCTCTCTTCTGTCTCTGGCAAGACCCGGCCCAATCACCAATGCTTTTCACACTTTGTGAACCGCTCTTTGCGCGTCTCGTCTATTGGGTCTTTTGACATTCCGTCACATCCTTTTTCTAAATTCTAGTCGGCGATTCAACGACCCTTGCTCCATCTTCTTTGGAGTAGGAATTGTGTATGTATGCAGTGCCTGCAGCGCTGCCATGCTAGTACAGAGTAGTTAAAAGGCTCGCCTCCACGATGGACCCTTTCCCGGTTCCAATCATACGACATGACGCCTATCGTCCTTCGATGGGAAAGACAAGAAGCTTCCCTCTCGTTGCATACCCACTATCCGCAATTTGAAGGGCCATCACGCGCATCAACAGCCTTTACAATGGTTCAGCCACGTAACAGAGGGATTCATCCTCTTCGTTTGCCCGTTTTTTGGGCAGGCAGAATGACAAATTCGCAAATTTCAAGTATATGGGCCATACCCGGCAATAAAAGGCGATCGCACCGGGTCGGCGCGACCTCGCTTGCATTCCACGGACCTGGAATATCACGCCCGCTCGCCTGGAGATAACTACCACTTTCTTTCCAAATACCCCCAGGATCGCGCAGCTCCAAGCCAGTCTCTATAGTGAACCTTGACCAAACATGTCGCCTACATACATGTTGGTATCTTTGACCCGGACATTGTCGACACAAACAACACCAAAAGTGTTGACGCATCAACCAGAGACCACCTCAAGACAGCTTTTGGGATTCGGATCATCCATGAGGATTGCAGACTGACGTGATTGAAGCCCATCACAGCCTGATTGGATTTCCACGTGCCGAGGCCGGGATCGATCCCCCAAAGGAAGCCCTCTTGTCATGCAGCTTCTCCCTTCTTGCAGTCCCTTTTGTCTTGCATCATCAATCTCTCGGCGCACTTTTGGGGGCACAAAAGACACGCACAACAATTCCCAGCTTCCCGCCCAGATCGCCCCACTCCCACATGGCAAGGCAAGGGTTCGGCCGGCCACTGCAGGACAAGAGAGTTGCAAAATAGTCCCTGGATTGGGAGCAAGGCTTTTCTGCGTAAGCCGCGTCCTCGCCAACGTTTCAGTTATAGTGACAGAGGATGCTATCCGGCACAGATGACGCCTGTGTTTTCTCAAACTTCGCTAGTGAGCTCCTATGTAGATTATATCGGCTCGCTAAACTTGCTCAGATATCGTGATTCTTCCCCCCTCCCCCCGGTCTATAATGACTTTGCAACGGCATTTCTACCTGTGTCCCTTGATCGTCCCAAGATGGAGTTGGTTCCCTCATGCCTCGGTAATCAATACTGATAAGTCATGTTGACTTATTCTCCCTGTCAAGGCCTCTGGCCTTGGATGACAGGGTAGCTGGAATTGTCTTTTTTTCCTTCTCTCTTTTTATTTTCAATCTTCCATTGTTTTCCCGGTATGAGGGGATCTTACAGTTATGAATTTTCCAAGAAGATATTACGGTGCCTGACACACAAAGGCGGTGTTAAGAAGCAAGATAAGAAGACTCTATGTCACGTTTCACTAGATTCTGCTATATTATTTATTATGAAAAGCTATATCCAAGTGACTCGCAACACGAATAGTTACCCTGAGTGGCCCTTGAAGCTCCTAGAAGTATTTCTCTATAGCCCCTTGCTTAACCAACTCCTTGACCAATTTTTTCATCCACTTATCAAGCTTCATGTTTTCCATTTGAACCTTCCATTCTGCATTGGCTTCCTCCCACATCACCCTCCACGGGGCCATCTTTGCCATTTCTTCCAGCTTTGCGTTCAGCTTATCCAACTCTGCCTGCGCCTTTCCCCATGACTCGATCTCCGCTGGTGTCACAGGCTCTGGATTTTGGGGGTCCATCTTCTTCATCGTCTCCTCCAACGTCGAAATTACCTTAAGCGCCTTTGCCTCTATGCGTGTCCGTGCCTTGTCGTCTTCCGCGAACTTATGCTGCACGAACATCTGAATCGTGACAACGCTCACAGCTTCGCCCCACCATTGCCTGTAGTAAATATGTTCTTCTGCTTTCACGTGCTCCATATAGGCCTGGAGCCCAAAAATCCATCGTCTCAGGGTGTCGTCCATCTCAATTAGGCACACTGGCGTTTCAAAAAACCAAAGGGAGTACTCATAGTCCCACTTGGTCTCTTGTAAAAAGGCCCTGCAAACCTTAGACCGAGTTGTGATACCTGCAGCAATCCTAAAGTGTCTTCGCTTCAACATGAAGTATTCAAGCGTTCCCTTCAGGTGTTCAAGCCGAGGGTCCTCCTCCTCCTCCTCATCATCATCATCATCCTCCTCCTCCTCCTCATCCTGCCGCTGCTCTCCCTCTCCCTCGTTCTCTTCCTCGGATCGTCTCTTCTCTTCTTGAAGCCACTGCATATACTCACACACGGCTGCGACATGCCTGAGAAGGTCGATACACTGACCGAGCTCGGGATCTGCCTTGATAGAGTACAGGTCTCGGATCTCGTCCCTAAATTTTCCATATGACGAGCTTGCCGGTCTCAAGTCGATATCTAGGCCGTCTCGACTCGGGTCCTCCCATCGCGCGGCTAGGAACTTGTGGAAGCGGATTTTGAGCATTTCATTCTTCTCGAAATATCGATCAAAATTAGCGACGTCTCTGTGCAGCTTCTTGATCAACGACTGGTTGTGTCCTTTCCATTTTTTGATTCGTGCGCTGATTTCTTCCTCCGCCCGCCAGTGCATGTCGGAGAACCATTCTAGCTCGTCGAACCACTCGCGTTCTGTCTCGTCTGTCTCGTCTGTATCCTCCCACACGTCCGTCATTTCCACATCCGAGTCCTCGTGTTCACTCTGGTCCATCGCTTCCGCCTTCTTTGCTGCTGCCTTTTCAGCAGCAGCCTTTTCAGCAGCAGCCTTTTCAGCAGCAGCCTTTTCAGCAGCAGTCTTTTCAGCAGCAGCCTTTTCAGCAGCAGCCTTTTCAGCAGCAGCCTTTTCAGCAGCAGCTTTCTCAGCCTCCAGTCGTTTGAGCTCCTCTTGCTCCTTTGCCTTCTCTTCTGCGGACTTACTGCGCTCCTTTATTTCGTCCTCACGAAGCCATCGACCATTAGGTGCCCTCACGTCCAAATCCCACTCAGCCTTCATGACATGCGTGACCTGGGGGGCCTTCAAGTGAGCAGTTGGGTCGAACCGGCATCTGACACCGGCGCTGTTGCACTTGGCACAACTTTTGGCCCGACTGCCTTTCTTGCACTCGACCCCCAGGCGTTTGCATCGTTCGCATCGCAACGCGGCATCTGCCCTTTTGGTGGGGGGAGGGGCGTCATCCCCCTTCGTGGTCCGAACGGCGCCACCCTTGAGGAGCGCTTCTTGAGCCTGGGCCAAGCTGGCAAAGTACCGGGCGCCCGTGGGAGCTGGGAGCTTCGGGTCCCGCGTCGCTTCTGTGAGACGCTCCAATGGCGGTTCGCCGGGCGCCTCTGCGCCGCCACTGGAAACAGCATATAGGTGCACTAGATCGGTTCCAACATCGTGGGGGTCAACAAAGGGCTCGGAGATCAGGTTCTCGTGGCCGCTACGGCGATTTAAGCGTTCCTGGCAACTCCCGTGAGGGAGACCTCGGACGCGGCACTTGCGGCCGTTCTTCTTGCAGTTTGAACAGCCATCATCTTGCCACACCTCACAATTGGTTTCAACTTCCCCATGCTGACGGCATTCGTCACAGGCCACTTTCCCAACGCCCTCATACCAGTGCCAGGAACGTCCGCGGACGTACTCACGGACAGCCCAGTTGTTGGCCGGCAATGCAAGGGTCGTACAATTACGCCCATCACACTCGCCGCATTCCCCATCGCCGGCTGTGTCGCACGTCCCCTGGCCGGATGAGCCTCTGCAAAAGTCAGGCCAGTCAGCCGACCTACCAACGCGGCCGCGGCGTAGGAAGATTGCGCATCGATCGCAAACTGGATCATTCGGGTCTAGGAAGACCATTCTCCACCGCCACTGTACCACAACAGGTGCCCTTGAAAGAAATTCCCAAGCCACATCCGGGTTGTACTCGCGGAGGTATGGATTCAACCGTACATCTTCGATCAACTCGGGTGTGGGACTGGAGAATCTCTTGCTCAATCCTTTCAGATATTCCAAGCGCGACACAGCTGCTGAGGTGTGCGTTCCACTCAGACAGCGGTCTTGTTGGTGTGCCATGGTGAAGTAAGTCGGAGTTTGTAAAGATGAAATCGATAAAAAGGGTGAAATATTCTTGCTTTGGTTGATTCTTTGGTTTCTTGCTTGTATCACTCTTTTCTCTCTCTCACACAGAATTATTGGAACTTCAGGGTCTTAAATAGGATTCTACCGAGATGTGCGAAATATGAGAGAAGCTTTCATAACCTGCAGGATAATGTATTGTATCAATACAACAACAATGTACAGTGTTTTCCAAGACAAAGCGATTGCTCGAGCGCTAGGATAAAGACTTTGTCAAACACAACTATAGAATTGTTTATAGAGCAAGAAAGCTGAAAGGAAAGTATGAAACAAGGATATGAGCAGACCCTCCTACGTATTGTCATGCTAGGAAATCACATACAGCCCCGGCCAGAACCTTTGTGACCTGGACAAACTCGCTGATTGAGGCGGACTCGTTGACTGCAGCCACTAGTAATTGCACAGTCTGGGTTAGGAAGAACCAAAGAGAAAGACTTGTGCAGAAGACTTACTGCTAAATGGACTACACCCGTAGGCATAGGCAGGGATGCCAGCATAGCGATAATGCTTGCAGTCGGTGGCACCCATTGACGGAATTAGAGTTGCAGGATAGTCGGGGATAACTTGCTTTGCATTATGGGCAAGGTGTCCAATTATTGGATGGCTTATCGTCGAATAGCTGCTTGGATTGCTTGCCGCATCCTGTTTCTCGATTTCTATCGTGGCCTTGGTGTGGTTCTGGGCAAGGGCATGGATGAGCTCCAAAACTTCTTCGGCGGTAAGCCCAATAGGTAGCCGGATATCCAGCTCGAATGTGCAAAGTTCTGGAATCACATTAACCTTGACGCCGCCCCTGATGGTACCAACATTCACAGTTGGACGTGCGATTATGGTAGATGTGCCTTCTCCCATGGCCCGGTCGACAGCTTTCAAGACCTCTGGGTCAGTCAAATGGCGTGCAATGTCGGGCAGAGTGTCGACTTCCATGGATGTTACGGCTTCTGTCACTTCGCTTAGAAAGCTTGCAGCAGTACGAATAGCCCCCTTGCTGTATGCCAAGGTCAGACAAGATGAAATTCGAGATTAATGTCCGTACTGACCTGAGATTTGGATAGGCGCCGTGGCCTCCCTTGGTCCTGACGGTGGCAGTCAATCTCAGTGTCCCCTTTTCGGAGAATCGGATCGTCCTGCCCGTGGGCTCGGCTGTGAGCATTACATCGCCACCCCATCTCGCCTTGTCTTCCTGGAGGAGGTATCTAGTTCCCCATGCGCCACCAGTCTCCTCGTCCGAAACCATGCACAAAGCCACAGTGCCTTTGAGATGCTTTCTTTGTTCATAGAGGTGCTGATAAGCTATCACCATAGAAGCGGTGCCGCTCTTCATGTCGACAACGCCCCGGCCATGAATGCGCCCGTCCGCAATATCGCCAGACCACGGGTCCCTCTGCCAACCTCCAGCGCTGAGGTCGACGGGAAAGACATCCATATGCCCATTCAATACGACACGCGGACCCGGACCGCTTCCGCCTTCGAACTCGCTCACAATATTTGGCTGACCCTGCTTGGGAGAGATCAGCTTGTGATGAATACCCTTGCTTGTTAAATAGTTTGCCAACACAGCGGCTGCTGCAGTAGTTTCTCCTGGCGGATTCGGTGAAGCTGCTCTCACGAGTGCTTGAAGCATACGAATTCCGTCATCTCTTTGAGACTCAATGGAGTCGATCATGTCTTGCTTGATACCCATGATCCGGCAAATTTCGAATCTCTTGAGTGTTGTGAAGGTGGCAACAGTGGTGAGCTCGAGTAGTATGCTCAGCGACGTCTCAATAAGAGGGATTCAAGGAGTCGATTCTTTATACTCGTATGCATTGGAATGAAGATATCTCCGAGTCATTGGAGCCGCGCTTCATATTGCGCCATCTCGAGATACCGTGGTGTACCACGAGTTGGAGGAACCGTGTGCGGCTTCGGCTTCGGCCTCGGCCACGAGCCCGATCCCATCCCCCCACGTCCAAATTTTCAGATACGGGTCGACTCAGCGATATATCATCTGCTTGACAAGGTCATACAAGACCACATTCAATACGAGGGCATACAATTTGTGTTCTTTGGTGTCGTACGGGTCTCATAAGGTGTAGAATTGTATCCGAACCAGTAACGTTAGAGCCGAGTTTCTTCCACGCCGCTCAATTTAGCCCCAATCGGCATGCCGAATGTGATGATCTCCCCCAAGGACGAAGCAACCGCCCCCCTTCATGTGCGATGCAGCGTAGCATAAGCCCTCGGTCTCGATGCCGATCCAGCCATCTTGACTCCAGGTGGACCCGACAACATTATAGGTGGGAAAGATGAGCCCTTTTCTGACCAGGTCCGAGCGAATATACAGCAGCGTTCCTCCGGTGCTGTCCAGAGGTATCAAATCGTTATCGCCCGTGCCCTTGATGATCTCGTCGGCGTAGCGTCTTGATCCAACAAGTTCTCGCAGGGCGTCCTGCCTTGCCTCGTCGTCCACTGGACCCAGCAGTTGCGCCTTGTCCCTGTCAATCACCCAGGCATTCTTGTCGTAGCTCTCAATCAAGTGCTGCTGACACCGAGTGGTCAGGACACCAACATCGTCGCGCGCAGTTGTGTGCGACAGCATTGTCTGTAGGATTCCGTTTGAGAACTCGACCACGTCTGCATCCACCCAAAAAATGTGCTTTTCGTCTTCCAGAGTGCGCAGTGTGAGATAATTCCTCAATGCGGCGATCCAGGCCCGGCGCTCGCGTTGCACGACGGGATTGTGCCTTTCTTGATAGGAAAACTTGGGCCCGTCGTCTTGCTGGTAGAAGAGTACTGTTCGGGCAAATGGGAGCTCAGACGATGCCATTTTCATCTCGGCAAACTCGTCTTGCGACGTTGTCATGAAGCCCAGAGTGACATTGGTGAAATCCAGCCCCGTCGAGACCAAGAGATCCAAAAAGTCATAAATAGATCGATCCGTCGAGCGAAAATCGTGGCTCCAGGAAGATCGATCCTTGTTGAGGACCAAGATTAGGATTTCAGGCTCAATGTCGGCCATCTTGCGCTCAAAGTATTCGACTCCATCGCTGAGAACCCGGCTACGATAGTATAGCACTGGCTCGGCTGGTGTGGTTGGCTGGGCATACCGATGTTGCGGACTCCATAGGCACGATAATAGGGTCTTACAGGAGTAGGAACGTCGTCGGGGCTCTAATGTTGAGACTAGAAGAAAAACGAACAGAGCGACGGCACCAAACACAAGATACCTGTTCTGAATGAGCCTCATCTCTCTGGATTGGCGTCCTAGGACTGCCCGAAGATAGAGGAATGGGCAATTTCTGAAAGAACACGCGTTTACTCAGACAGACAGAACGGCTGCAGAGAGACTGGCAAGAACACGGTACGGCGCAATAGTGACTACATTATCGGACGGGACATTTTTGTTATCAGAAGGAGCAGCTGCTCAGCGGCGCGACCCCCCTGCTAATCAATGTGCCAACATTGCTTCTTTGGATTACCGTGTCGCATCCAACAAGGAACAATGTCTTGGCAGGAATTGCAGGTCCCATCAAATTCCCCTGGCAAACAAAGAGCTGGAGCGTCGGTTTGTCGGCTGCCTTGGACAGGTCCAGTTTTCATCTCCAGTGTCTCGGCGTTTCTTGTGGGGATGATCATTGCCATTGTTATCATGCCAAGACAGAAGCGGATTATCTGGGCAAATTCCCATTCCTTTTGTGCTGCGGCTTACTCCGTAGACTGGTTAATGCACAAATCTCTCCAATCTGACCGCTGACGTAGATGGGTAGATGATCAACACCTAGGTAACTAATTGCGCGCCAGGATACAATATATGTAGTACTAGGTGATTAGTATAATATGATCCACCTTTCGCAGGCGCACCGATTTTGTCGTGATCGTGGGGCCGATGAAGCGGCGTCTTTATGGCCGGAGCCTACGGATAGTACGAGCTAACGTAGAGGCGGCATGTTGCAATTGATTTTTTTTCAGCAACGAGTTGACAGAATTAAAAGAAAATCTATACAACTAGTAGAAATGCGCGAGCATACATGACAATTTCTACTCGCATCATCTTGATATACTTAGACACTCTGTCCAAGCTAACTTAGAACACAACGAATGATTGCGGCTGAAAGAAAGAAATGGGTTTTAGTGGTCGCCGCTTGTCAAACTTGCCGCCAATCAGCAGTATGCACAAGTGCTGGCTAGCGCAAGGATTGTGTTGTAGTATTGTTTATCTTGGCATTTTAATGATTCTTCTTGATTTTCTTCTTCGAAGAAAGAAGTGAAGAATGTTTAACTTATAAGCGAAGTTTGCTTTGGTTTACTCGATAACGCCTCGGTACATTTTCTGATAAACTGGTGAAGGGATATGACAACTTCCAGACAATCGTGAGCGCGGCAGTATGGTCTATCAACAGGTGCAGGCCTCTAACCACCAAATCCACCTTTGTAAAATCCCCGTCGAGATGCTCAGAGACTAAGCGAGACCCTGAATCTCAAACATTGCGGATTGGGAACTCCTTCCTTTTAACCCAAGTCTTTTCATACAAGGTTCTTTTCAAACACACGATACTCGCAGGTGCCCCGGAGCAAAGGCGCAAGTTGCGGGTAGTCGTCCTGAAAGACACCGAGCTTGACCACGACGTATCCCATGCGCTCGTACCACGCCTGCAACCTCTTCTTGAAGACATGTTCAACGTTGCTCTTGGGCACGAGAAGCTCCAGACGCATCACTTCCGATCCCAGAGAGGAGCGGCAGTGTGACTCGGCAAAGGCGACCATGTCCCGGCCCAGGCCACTGCCGCGGTACAGCGGATCAATGGCAAACATGCCGAGCTCGCCCGTCCTGTTGGGCAGGGTCTGGATCCTCATGCAGCCGATTGCACTGGTCGCTTCCGGCGACGATGGAGATGAAGACGACAAGTCCGAGGGCGCAGATGTCGGGGTCTTGAGATGGGCAACAGCGAGCTGTCCGGCACGCATAACGTCCACCATCTCCTCGGTGCTGACGCGCTGGTATCCCTCGACAAAAATGTCGCCCTCCGTCTCGCCGTAGACGAGATTGACAATGTCGCGCAGCCGCTCCACCAGGGCCGTGTCGTTGGCGGCCGTGGGAGGTGCCATATGAATGCCAATGTCCGACTTCGGCTTCGGGGTGGACCGCAAGTCCTCCGGAGCCGGGGTCGCCGTGGATGCCGGGACTGTGGTTTCGGAGATGATCCCCAGTGTGCTGTGTGGATTTATTGGCATTATGTGTAAGATATTATGATTTCGTCGGTGTTGGTGCCATTCAACACGGATCAAAAGAAATATTATGCGACTCTAAATAATATAGGAAATAAGGGAGTTAGTCACTCTTGTGGGTCTTGCTTTATTTAGTGTTCCCTCGCGTCGTTGCACGATACAAATCTGTGCCAGAATTATGTTCCTTGTCATTGAGCGGCATATGCTATTAGCTATAATTACCAGGTAAGCACCCGTTGTACTCTGAATAATGCATTCTGGTAGGTAGAATTTGAGCAGTATGCAAACAGAAATTGATAACACGTAGACCACCATTGACATAAACAAGTCTGATTATACTTTTTATGCAAGTGTTGCAAAGTTTTAAATCCGAAAACACACTATCTACTTTGGCCCAGCCCGTATATCCGAGGCAAATGTGATGCCGTTTGGTCATAACAAACTCAAGAGGTAGACGCGATCATGATGCGAATAGAAATCATGTATTGACGTTGTAATTAAGGTTTTTCTATATCCAGAGTGCGCCAGATTTTTCTATTATCACAGCTCTGCGTCTTCAACATCCCCAGAATTCGTCAGGCTAATTGTGTTTTGGGGTTTTCTGAGCACCGATAAGCTTGTCTGTCGACCTCGACTTTTCTTCTCCTCTTGATTATGGTGACAGTAGAGTGTACAAAAAGGATGGGAAGGTGACTTGTGTGCGTATGTGATGGCAAAGATCACAGTACGGCGACAGCGACGGCCAAACCGGCAGCGGCAATGATACCGGCGGCAAAGCCAGTCTCGCGAGCTGCAGCGGCAGTGGCGTAGGTGGGCTTGGCACTGTCGGTCGCGGTGCTGCTGCTGTAGTCGAAGCCAGTGACGGTGGGCTCGGCACCTGCTGCGGCGGAGGGGGTCTCCTCGGCACCGGCACCAGCACCGGCATCAGCACCAGAGTCGGATGAGTCGGCACCAGAGCCAGACGACTCATCAGATCCAGATCCAGACGTAGATCCCGAGGACTCATCGGATCCTGAGGAAGACTCGTCAGATCCCGATCCAGAGGTTGAACCGGAAGATTCATCAGAGCCAGAGCTCGAACCGGAGGACTCGTCAGACCCAGATCCAGAAGACTCATCCGAGCCAGATCCGGAAGACTCATCAGAACCAGATCCGGAGGACTCGTCCGAGCCAGATGAAGAATCATCTCCAGACTCCGAGCCTGAGGAACCGGAAGAACCCGAAGATCCAGAAGACTCGCCAGAGCTAGAGCCAGAAGAGCCAGAGGAGCCAGAGCCAGATGAGGCATAGCCAGTCTCCTCAGGAGCGCTCTCAGTCGAGGTAGGGTAAGGGGCAACAACAGCGGCAGTAGAGCAGACGGGGACGTCAGTAGCGTAGCCAGCAAGCTCGCTGCATCCAGTCAGGGCGCTGAGGAGCTCGGCGCTGTGCTGGCTGTACCAGCCCAGGACCTTGGAGGTGTAGGCCGTGTACTCGGCGGCCAGGGAGCCGGTAATGTCTGGGGTCTCGCAGGGGTCGTTGGGGACCGCGACGGTCAGGAGCTCCTTGGGCGGGTAGGGGATCTCGGTGTAGATGGGCAGGATCTGGCCGAGGGCCGTCACGCAGGCATCGTTGCCAGAGTCGGTCACGCGGGCCTCGACAAAGTCCCGGCGGGCAATGGGCATGAAGTTTGCCGATGCCGCGGCGGCAAAGGTGGCGACAGCGAGAGTCTGCTTGGTGTACATTTTGACTTTTTCGGATTTTCTTTCTTCTTCTTTTTCCTTGGGCGACTGGGTAGGGGAGGGGTCACTGGTGGCAGATTTCTCGACGAATGCAAGCAAAGGACAGTATGTTCTGGTGGCTTGAATAAAAAGAACGAATGAACGAATGACAATGGATCACTGAACAAAGAGCACATATATTTTCCCGGTCTTGGGTGGCACCATGAATGATTTTATACCTCTAGTCATATTTTCTAGTGTCACGCCTGGGAGGATGGCTTTCAACCTTGGATAGGACCTGAGCCGACTGGCCCGTCTCGCCCGCCAATACAACGGGCGATCCTCTTTCATCCCGTTCCGGATCGACCAATACACAGACCGGGCGAGTGGAAAATTGCCTCCTGGTTCTGAACACCACGGAACACTGTAGAATTGCAACAAAAGTTGGCGACATCTGCAGCCACATCAAGCCCCTGGAAATGACTTTTGTTGAGAACATTTTCACCGAAAAGGCGTGCAGGAACTGAGGTCCATCTGAATTGCCGATGTTGTAGCAATGCTAAAAATAATGACGCATCTAGCAGGGTGCAAACACTGAAGCCATGTCAACAGAAGCGACTAGGCAGGAAGGTTGCTTTGTTCCTTGCAGCCCAGACTTGCCAGATGCGCATCCGCTTGAAATCAAATGCAGGGGAAAAATTATAAAGTTTCTTCCCGCGAGGAATGAGCCATGTTGATTGTAGCTGAACCCTTTTTCGTAAAGCGTTTCAGCCGCGTGTGTCTTGGCATCCCCGTAATTGTCTTATAAAACCGTTCTCGGCTAAGAACGGCGCATTCGTTTTTTGTCTGTACCGACGACGATAGGTTGGTCAACCCGTTTCTTCTTACCAAAAGTATAACCTTAACGCAGCACCCGGGCCATTCTGCAGAAAAGGAGTTGAGGCGATGCAACTTTTGCCCAACGGCTCACAACTCAAATCGCCGGGATTGAAGTTGGGAATAATCTGTCACCCGTCTCCAATTTTGTTCATACTCTTACCCTGACGAAGCCTGAAAAGCAGAAGTCAGACACGAGTGACCGTTGTTCATGCACAAACATGCGCTCTCATCTATACTAGACTACATCACGAAGGGTTTGGAAAGCCATTAAGCTGATTGCTATTATTCAATTGACCAGTGCACGATTGATAGATTGGAAGTAGTCATGTGATCGATATCCCATCATGCATTCTTGGGAGCAAGAGGAAGGGACGAGGGATTATTGATTATAATACCAAGTGAGTAGCAAAAGACCCTGATATTTCTTGTTCAATCTTTTCTATCGGGGAGCCCTGCCGTTATAGTCGTTGCCAGCTGTCGCTGTGTAGTTGCCAAAGCAATCGTAGTCAAAGTCAATCTCATCAACACGCTTCTGAAGAGCAGACACGACAGTGTCAAATGAGCACAATCCATTTGGGTCTACATCGCAGCTATCGTAGGAATCAGCGATGGGGACAACAGCATCATTTCTATTTTCGCCATCAGTTAAACGGTTCAAAGTATAAATGATCATGCGCACGGAGGATCTGTTGGCTTACACAAGGAACCTGATTTGCCTGGTTGGGCTGTACGCTGGACACTCGAGCACTTGTGTGGTAAAGTGTGTTGCAAATGGCACGATCTTACTGGCGACGAAGCTGTTCTGCTTCTCATTGCCAGTCAGTGCCAGTGGTGGACCCTTGAAAAGAGACGTCAGGTTGAACGCCACCAGAGTGTCGAGAACAACCACCTCGTGCGTCGCATCGGCGTATATCGATTGGTTCAGCGGGAAGTAGGTCGAGCTATTGTCAAATGTCTCATTCAGTGCTGAGGCAGCATCGGGAAAACTGTGAGTGAAGCGGCCGACGAATTCTTGGAGATAACCTTTCCCCTGAGCTGCCGAGACGGGAGAACCGGGCCCGTTATTGTAGTAAAATGACTGTACCAGTTAGACTTCATACCGCGCGGATTGGGATTAATTTTCTTACCAGATCATAATAATATTCGTAGTTGAGGAAATCTTCCTGCGTAAACAGGTCGCAAAATGCCGAGTATCCCAAAGCATGCGTTTCATATGAGCAGAGCTGCAGCATTGCAATAGCATCCGTGGGAGTGAAGTTCAAGCCAGACACTTGCGAGTTGAGACGAGCCAAGGTGGCATTGAAAGCATTCTTTGCAAAAGCCGTTGCGACGGTCGAGCCGATACCGCCTCTAGATCCAACATTGGAGTTGGTGCAGATCTCATATGGCGCGCCTGAATTGTTGACGCCAGGAGTTTCCACGAGAATCTCAATGTTGACTTGATCCAGATACTCGGGCACTCCAAAGAATCCAGCAGCAAAGTTCTCAGCAGTCTTTACCATGCGATCCTGCGACTGGGTGCGAAACACGGGTATCGTGTTGGTCTCGGTAAAGTTATTGAGGAGTTCGCCGTAGAGCTGACGGTACTGCACTCCGAGCATAAAGTTCTGACTTCGGCCAAAGGGCGTCAACAGCTCTGCACCAAGCTTGTACGTCCAATCTGACAAGAATTCCAAGTCGCCGGTCACGTTGAAGCCAGTCTTGGTCGCATTGTGCAGCTTTTGCGCAAATGTTGCCGGTGCGGCACCGCTGGTTGGGTATCTCGCACCATGTCGATACAAGAGATGCACCTGCACAATGTCACACCCGTCTGGGAGCTGCGGACTGGCATCGTGCAGACCATAATCGGCAGAAGACAGCGAATACCATGGCGACAGATTGCCCCAATACTTCTTGATGTCAAAGGTCGATGATTGATCCTCACCATGGGGCTCGGGCGAGACGAGAGGGAAAGCATTGGCGGGTCCCGAGTTGTAGGGATAAGCCTTGGCTGTGGCAATCGCCGCTGGCTCAATACCCGTTTGGGTGACTCCAGGGAATCCCACTACCGACTCGGGCGGGAAGAGGCTGGGGTCAGCAGAAGCTGAGTACTTTCAGTTAGTACTAGGCACTAAGCTATATACGAAGCACTGTCGCCATCTGAACAATAAGCGGAAAAGGTAAGAGTTCAACATACTGCTTGCAGGAGGATATACATCAGAAGTCGATGAGCCGACAATAGCAGATGCTGGACTAGCCCCAGCTACGGCGGCCAGCAGACCCACGGTCGCGATATGGGTGGACTTCATTGTCGTTTATAGTCGCTGTGGAGCTCCCTGCTGCCAAGTCGCCAAGGCAAAACTAATCCCACCTTTGTCTTGGATAACACAACAAGAGCTGGGGAAATCAGACATTGAAGATCGGATGGCACCTCTACTATATATCGTCCCTCTCGCTCGGCGATACGATTGATTGACTGATCGGACCTGCAAAGCGTGCGGAATTATTTCAACATACATATAAATCGCGCCTGCCATTGGCCTATCCTGGCTACCAATTGCTGCACGTGTGAACTCTTACAGGGTTGCTAGTTTCCCCGCCGCCTGAATTCCCCAGTGCTGTTGCTCGCCGGGATTCCGGTAGCGAGAACCTGGACCTCAGCTATGACCTGAGGGCTGCAAAAGTGTACTATGTAAGAAGCGAGACATAAACAGAAAGTAGTGATGTCACTTTCTATGTCCGTCACGTTTCTGGGTACGGGAATCCTTACACTCATGAGGTTCACTTTTCCAAGTTCCTTCTTATGCTCACCACCTGGGCACGCCTGATCAATATTGGTATTACTAATTGAAGAACGCCACTTCTTGTGCATCTTCATTTGCCAAAGCGCACATAACACACAATAGGTGCTATATTTATGCACAAGCTTCGTTGTCGTAGCGTCATCGTACGAATTAGAAAATAGCATACCTACCTAGGTACACTGACGCAACGAAGAAAAATATTATACACCTACTGGAATGAATGTACCTAAAACCCACTATAAACTCTGAGCGCCGCGGCGGATTCCATTTAAACCATGTACTTGCAAGTTTTCCGCCTTTGTTTTTCCTCCGATGATCATTGACCACAGGCTGGCGATGTTGAGTCGTATTGCCAATTGACTGGAAATACCCCAGATAAACTTGGCGGATCGTGTTCCGGAATAGGTCTAGATATATGAAGCGTTGGGGTAGTAATAGTGAGCGTCAGGATTGTCGCAGGTACTTTTATTAATGCGATTATTCTCTTCTGCAAATCGGAAACCAGCACCCAACGCAGAAAGGTAGCTCGAGTCCTCCTACGTCTGCATGCGTTACACGTGCCAGGTGGCTCTACTCTGTACAGTAGTGGTGATCTAAGCAAGACAACCCATCTACGTATATGCGTATGATTACTCTACAGTTCATATCCATCAACGACAACATTGCTATTCTTGACATGGTTTATGCGCGGTCAGTGGGCACCAGTGATCCATTTGGAGTAAATCGAGTCTCTATAGCATCATATGAGCAGATACATGCATGGATTACAATCACTCTGCGGGGAGGAGCAATGAAATTGAGATAATGACAAATCTACATATCCAGAACTCTCATAATGCGATCAATCGTGAAACTAATAGACTTCATATATCATCAGACCTTTCCCCAGAAAATGCAGAAGTCGATATGCTCATGACTTGGCAAGTGTCGACCCAAGTGACCAGTGTTCTAGCAATAATCATTTCTCTAAGGACGAGTATTACTGAATCTTAGATAATGCTTCATCAACGTCCCTTTGTACGCCTGTTGCACGTGCAGCAATCCTCTCCCCAGCCGCCCCAGGCTCGTAGACTATAGCTGCCGTGAACTCTCCTACATCATCCTTGGTTTTCATATACGCTCGGACGATAGTTTCTCGGGTTGCCGGAGGTGGAAGATGTTTCGTTATTCCCACCATGGGTTTTGGTTGATTTTCGCTAGCACGACATGAGTTAGCCTAAGCGCCTTGACTACATGAGTTCATAACGCGAGAGGTGTAGGAAAGAGGGGGGGGGGGGGGTATGCTGACCCATATGAGAGAGAAGTGACACTGGTTCTAGTCATGATAATAGTTGCCGGTTCAAGCCTATTTTCTGTCAATACCTGATGGAATGGGATGCAAAAGGTCTGATAGGTCAGAGGGGAACGGCAGCTAAATGAGACAATAGACAAATGAAGGAGGGAAAGAAGAGTGCTGAGAGGAAAGACAGATGTGGAATATTTTATGAAATGGCGGGATTTCAAACCTGTGCTTTATGGAAACCTTTCATAAGGGGCCTCAGGAATAGTATGTCGACAAAGAGAACAATAGTTCAAGAGATAGGAAGCAGAAGTGAAATAATCCGAAGTTGTCTACTTTGAATAATGATGATTTAGAGAGCGACTTGGCCGAATATAAATACGAAGAGGATTGCTGGAGCGATAGCGTCTGCCATATCTTTTATGTCCAGGGGGATGAAAAGAGTGGCATCGGTGTCGAAGGTAATAATCATCCTGATCACCGAAACAAGGATGCGAGGAACGAGAAACGATCATGCGTTGGCAACATATAGTCAGGTTGGCGGCTACCAATCGATTAGTTGGAACATATGTCACGGCGACCACTCCTGGACGGACGTAAGCAGGGCGCTTTAGGAAAAAACAAATTCTTATGATCTCAAGCCTTACTGCAGCACCATGAAAACCAGAACGAAAGTGCAGCGAGACTCTGCTGCACATGCAGATTGAGGTCTTCGAGTCACGTACCTTTTTTGGATGCATTCAGCTCGGATAGCTTCAGATGAACTGATTGGAGGGAACCTTTCGACATTGAGACCTGCCACCACTTCCTCTGCCTTCTCCAAGATTTCGCAACTTCCCACCCTTATGCTGAACCAACCTTCGCACCATGATACTGCCTAAGAAACAAGGCAAAATCGGTTACAATTCCCTCGCAAGACAATGCCTTGTAAGGCCAAAGTAGCCAGCCATCAGAAAACCGTCAAAGTGCTTCAACCATGAAAATATGAAAATATTTCAAAGCAATAGGTGGCAGATGGATGCGCGCAAGGATATACTAGACATACACAATGTGGGTGAAAAGGCTTAGCGCCATGCGGGATTAAGGTAGTAAAAAGGAGCTCGCCCCAGTCAAAGTGGGTAAGTGTGTGGAAACACCCCAGTCCCGTTTGGCGCGACATTGATTTGCACAGCCGACCCCCTCCCCTCCCCCCTTGCAATGTTTGACCTCTTTTCCAGAAACAAAGGATAACCGGATAGGCTGACCGGACTCTCTCTGACCATTAAGAGGGCGCGCACACGCATGCGGGAAAAGAGCGATAGCGTGGAAACACAGCCTTGGTCAGGTCCCACTGTCCCTGCCCGACAGAACAAAAAAACGTGCCCGCTTCCATCTCTTACTACTTCACCTACCTACCCACCTTACCGATCTTGCCTAAAGGGAGTCAGTCAGTCGCTGGAATGCGACCCCTCGGCCCTGTCATCGGCTCTTGGCTGCTCGCCTCCAATTCGCCAAACCGCCCGTGCCACTTCGGTATTACCCGCACCCATCTGGCTTAGTTTCCTCTGCTGTTTCATATCTTAGCTCAGCAATATTGATAACTCTTCTTGACAGTCTCTCGCGTGGTACAATAGATGTAAAGGGCCAGAAAATCTGTCACGTAACAGAAGCGCACAGTTGATGAAGCACTTGACAATGAGATTGAGACGCGGAAATGAATCATTCGAGCCGGGGGGTATTTCTCTCTCTTTCTAAATATCTAAGGGCAACGACGGTGAAGACCAATCCCCCCCCCCCTCTTCACTTACACACAAGCCTGCAATACATACCTTTGCCGGCCTCTCTTTTTGCGGCTCGAGAGGCACTCTGCCAGCGCACATTGTCACCAGTTTTCCTTTTTCTTCTTCTTAAAACTTAAATAATATAATTTGTATAGCGATGATGTTGGGGGGGTTAACTAGGGAAGTACCGCTTCGTCCCGATTCCCACGGCTTTGGGCGTTGATACGGTCCATGTTTGGATCTACCTCGACCTACTGTTTACTCACGCCTGTCTGTGCCTTACTCTGCCTTACCGGTATTGCATAGCCGCAGACGAGAAACCTACTTTGACTTGAAGGTAAGCTCCATTTTGAAGGAGCGAAAGACTCCAGTCGAATGTGCTGAGAGGGTGTGGAGGAAGGCGGGAAAACAACAGGAATGACAAATGCAGCCTCCTAGCACTATATGTACTATACACGGAAGACTAATTTCAGGGCCATGAAGAAATGAGGGGTGAGGGGAGATGGAAGAGAAAACAACTCTGTGGAATGATAGACAACAATCGAGAATGAAAACGAAAATGAAAATGCATCCACGTATTTCGTGTGCTGGAGTTATCATTGAACGCAAGTGGCCATGGGTAGCTGACAGCCAGGGATGGATAGCCGGGCCGCTTTTCTCGGGAGCCAATGACTGGCAGCGGTGGCCGGCGCGATGTCAACTTCATAATCTAACCCCAGCTCACCACAGCTGGGGACCGCCGGTGTCCCACAGTTCGGGGACGTTTGTCACCCTTGAGCCGGGTCTTCTTAGCGGCCTATTGTCCCACATCCATTCTAATCCTACCGATGGGCCTCCGGACACTAACGCTGCTGACCTCCACAGGTAGTTAATTTAAAGTGAACAATCTACAAAATGTCAATCCCTTGTATGAGACGAAGATCATAACAAAATATCTTGTGCAAGCACATATGTATACCTAGTATGTGTGCCAAGCACTGGACGTTTGGTATGTCATCATTTGCAGGTGACTTATTATGCTCGAATTGTGAATCTGCAAAATGACCAAGAAAACTTTGATGCTCAAGTTATTGCTACAACGTGCACTTAAAGTAAACCTAGACCCTGACAGCAAACCATATGCGTCGATGTTTCGCTGTATAATGAGATGCTCTTTCGATCTTGGTGCCGTGATGTGAATTGAACCCGGTCGTCTAGTGAGGTCTTAAACGCTTCAAAGGTGAACAGACATCGAAACAGACCGATTGCACTCTAAGGCAAGAAATGAATCAGAACTACGGACACTCCATGCATTGTATACAAAACTCCCAAATTACGTCTTATCACAAGGGTCCGTGGACCTTACCTGTAAACAGACTTTAACCCGCAGAGCCCAGCACCAATCCGATAAGCTCATAATGCGATTAATTGAGCACTGATCTTGCAACATGTATATGTCTTTGATATGCTATCCAAGCTTGGACAATGCCTCGTCGACTGCGATCTTCACACCTGCTTCGCGTGCGCTGATCCTATTCTCAGATCCTTCGGGATCGTAGGCCAGAGCTGCGGAGATATCGCCTGCGTCATATTTGGTTTTGAGGTACGTTCGAGTAATAGTGTCTCGGGTGGCCGAAGGCGGAAGATTCTTCGTGATCACCACTTGGGGCTTTCGGGGGTTTTCACTGCCGCGGCATTTGTTAGGGCAAAAGGTTTGCAGGTGTATGAGTGTTCCTTGATAGATCACAGGTGTGTAAATGAAGAACTCTAACCTGTACGAAAGAGACGCTATACTATCGTGGTTCGTCATGACCACGGCTTTCACAAGCGTTGACGTTTGTGCCGATAGTCAGGAAGAGTAGTGTTGCACACGCAAAATCGCGACGAGGTTCAACCTTGCGTTACTTTGTTGCGTCTTGATGGAATCGTGGGAAGAGTATGTTTTGGTGCGAAAAATATAAAATCGTAATGAAAGAAAAGTCAATTAAGCTAACAGATTTCTCGTGAGGCCATGCTATCGTCCCAAGGTCGTCGAAAGGAGTGCGGACGAGTCAGTATATATATGCAGATGTATTCTACCACGCAACCCATCGCCAAATCATAGTCCATGAAATAACCCGTAATAAGACAGACCACAATGCAAAAATGTCATACAAAATGCATCGAGGCTCTCTACCACAGCGACGAAATTGACCGCGAACTCGACTCTGGCCAGAATATATGAGCACACGAACTCTCATAACAGGGGTCAGCTGCCGCCGAGCCACTCAGATACGCTTCTCATTCGCCGCATGCAAATCATCATGCATGGTGAAAGACGAAAAATGGCTGATGGCAGAGAACGGCAATTTGGGAGAAGCAATATGGGGACACTGAACGGGACAGTATGCTTCAGGCTGGGGGTCCCTGTCCCCATGTTTAAATGTCTGAGTATCCATGTAGGTATGACGGTGGTACCGAACGGGTGGCCATGCGACATGTTACGCCCGGTCACCCAACCAAGGACGCGAGGCTGGCTCAACATGTGAGTTGTGAGTTTTCACAACAACACTACCGGTTTTTCTCATTTATTTGGCCACCACACATTATCCCTGACTGGCCAATTGCACAACTTACATAAATCCACCTATGTTTATTTTGTGTGGAGCGACAAATCGAGTGCTTTCCTGAGCTCCATGTGGGATGGCCAAATAAACGAGAAAAACCGGTAGCTGAGGGAAAAGGGCCTCAAATTGCTGACTGATCCGATCCAGTCCCGCGCATGGCCAGTCTCGCCATGCGACACAATACCACTACGCACACTATTCTATTCCGTACACTCCGCGCCTATATGGAAGGATCTTGGCATCGTCTCTGGAGTAGCACATCAAGCACAGAGAACGCCAAAAATTTCCTTCCTCGCATAAGCACGTGCCGTCCGGAGCTAGAATTAGTGCAAGGCACTATACAAAGGTAATAGGAAGGAGGTAATAAAAGCTTGGACTGCATAAAAGACATCGTGAAGCATCTTGTATCAACCACAATACTTCGTCCCATCTAGGACACACCTATCTACTGATCTACTAATGGATGCATATGTTATGCGCCCACGCTGACTGACTGATACTCTGGAACTATAAGGCTTAAGGGCTTATAACCGATATCAACTTGATGTTGCCTCCGCATTTCGCTTTCAGTACTGCTCAAATTTCTCATCCTCTTGCACCTTGAAAATTTAGGTCATGCTTATTTGCCTGAGGCAACGACGAACGACGTGCTTCACCAATTACCTTTCTTGTGTTCAGTAAAAAAGTGCCAGCACGAAGCACGCACTACACTGGGAACGGCACCAGTTGCGACCAGTCTAGATGTGGAAGCTCGGAGTATCATTTATCAGCGTCAATACGATCAACGAGCACTCAAAACTCTGGGTTATATCTCCGCTCCTTGAGGTCTACATTGACAACTATACATTGGTCCAATGTATAAATCTACGTGTTTCCCCCGTCTTTCTCAGTCTCTTTGCACCAACTCCTGCGTCTACACACCTCTTCATTCGCCCCAATCCGAAAGTTGGTGATAGATGGGTGATCCTACAAGGGGATCTTGGTCTATCCAAGACTAACACATCATCTGTATCTGTGATGATTATTGAGCGTGGGTTGAAGAATCTGCCATTTCAAACGGTGAAATCTGACTATTGAAAAATTACAATACTTTGTTTCTCGGATATCTCGAGGCGCAATTCTTACAAGTCAATAGTATAGATTCGGCGGGAGCTCACCATCCCTTGTAATGATCGCCTAATGCCTCTATTCTCACGATATCATACTTGATCGGTCCGAGCCTACACCCAAGCACGCCACATTGTATGGATCCTGGATGGTTTATACGAAAGGTCCAGCAAGGACAGTGATATCTTTTCCCATGGCTGATCCTGGGATCATACCCCAGCAGTTGGTACCGACTGGATTAACAAAGTATGGAACTCAGGCTGTCTTCAATCTAGTGACTTTTGAAGTCACTAGGTAAGCATGGATTATCAGACATGGGCTGATAAAAGGACAAAGACAACAAGCTACTGCTACTTGGTACGGCAGCCAGATACAGTGAATGTCGGTAAAACGTCTGAGTAAGCAAGATGCAGTGAATGGGTTTTTTTGTTGGTATCGGCGCATGAGAGAGTAGATCTAAGGTACTGGTCGCTTCTTTTTCTGCCAAGCCATGTTGATCGCAAGACTCCGGGCATGGAACCGGAGATAAATGACTTCGAGCAATGCGTATGTATGACCAGACTTGACAAATATGGTCCACCTTCAACTGAGGTTCATCCAGACCTAGGCGGGACCTTCCTGGCAGCTTCGTCCACGACTACTGCAAGTGTATCCATCCTTTTCCCTGGATCCCTAAGCTGGTATGATACGGCTACTGCCAGGTCTCCAGCATCATTCTTATTCTCGAGGTATGCTTCAACTTTGACATGGCACGGCTCCGAGGGCGGAATTCCCTTCGTCATGTCGATTGGCGGCTTCGGTGGGTTGTCACTGGATCGGTAAGTGTCAACCTCAAGGACTGCCCACGACATAAAGTTTTCAACAATTGTACACGAAAATAATAAAGGCGACTCACCCATATTGAAGGGAGCATGTTGTACTTTGAGTCATGATGGGGGTTGTTCTTGCCTAAGCGGTAGGGCAATATCCTATTAGCGACGGTGGGATCCTGCCTACGACAGGTGTTGAGGTAGGCTAGATAGCTGAGAAAATTCTTGGTAATAGTGAATAATACCAGAATAATGATGAGAAAACTTAATTGTATTTGAAGGAGGATGGATGTATTGTATCTCATATAAGTGATGGATACTCATTGTCGGTCAATAACCTGGAAGAGTACGGGGCAGCCGTTTGTTTATATAGGCAGAGACATTGCATGATGAATTCGCTATAAACACGCGCTCAGAGAGTTATCGGTCACGAGCATAGAAGTGTAAGAAACAAAATCATATGCAGTTGCAGTCTTCAAGAAAAAAAAAAGACAAGGTATTCTTGGAGTTCCCTTCGATACGGTGTCATATTGAGCCACAGAACTGAACCGCACCGCTCGTTCCCGATTGGTCGCTTCGTCGCTGGTCGGTTCGCGGCTCTCAGTCTGGTAATCATGTTCGCTACAATCATCCACCCCCCTAAGTGTCGTTAAATCCCACCCTTGCAATTAGGTGGTTGCCTTGTTTTGAGCCGTACTGGCGAACCAGTTCGCACCCATTCCCGCTGTTTTTTTTTTCCGGTTCAGAATGATAGTACGCAGTGATAGAATACTAGCATTGCGACGCCTCTCGATATTGTCCTGCATTCCGCCACATGTACACAAGCCACAGCAGACCTAAGTCTCCTATGCCACAATCTTCTCGAGCTAAACAATGCTTGGATTTCTGCATTGGGCACTAATGCAGATTACAACAGAGTGTATAGCAATTGAAACTCTTATCATAAATATTCTTAGGAGTGAGCGCTTCAATTTTACGTTGCGCCCGCTTGAGGATCGTGCCCAATTTTCAACACGAGCTCAAAAGAGATTTGCCCACGCTGACACTGATCACCTTACTTAGAATATCCTTTCTTGTATATGGCAGTAGGTCGACATTTGCGCAGAACAATTTCATTGCACGATCTCAAGTAACCAGAGCAGGCTCTGAGCACTGTCAGTGGGGCAACATTGAGACAGTCGTCTGCCAGGGACAGGAGTGGCATAGTCTTCTCTGACATGACTGGACAATTGATTACCTAGCTAGGACGACGGAATTCATTGAGGTACACAATTCTTTAACATTTCCAGGTTGGGCCAGTTTTAAGGCCGGAGTGGGGCAAAAAACAACCTGAGGCAACCACAAGTCTGCAAGCAGGTTCTCAAGTTTTCATGACCTCGTTTGCCTTAGCAGACAGGTACCCGGCGCCTGACAACTCTCTCTCGCGCGCCTCTCCCCCAATTCTTCCGCCCCATGATCCCAGCCGGGCGGGCCTCTGCTTGTAGTGCTTGTGCTTTTTCGTTCTGCGGCGCGCCAGCTCATGCGCAAATATGACGTTGACCCTCCAATCCAGGGTAGCCATTCATTTGCACTTCACTAACCCCCAAAAAGCCTACGTCAACCAGGAACTTTCGGAACGGTATCAAACAATGGTAGTTCCGCGTAGAGCCTCATCTTTCACAATACTATAAATCATACACTCAGTTCTGGTTGTCTTCCTTGGTCACCGTTGAAATCTTGACCAAGAATTCTCTCTCCAGCGAACCAGCTTGTCTCCAAGCGAGCCCCAATTGTACGCTTTAAGTCAACACTTCTATGGGAGACCAATGACAACTAAAATGATGGGAACAAAATTATAGGAAGGGCCACGTGACCTTTTTGCGACCTCACTTAGCATTGCGTTCAATATGATCCGATGACATCCTGAGATAGTGCGCTCATGCTTCCCATAATCGCTGAGATACGACAGGGAGTAAAGCTGCGAATCATTTTTCCAAGGTGCTGCCCAATAGGGGAAACTCGTTAGCTTAGGCAGTGAATTTTACTTGCCAGCATAAAAGTCTCATGCCAATAAATCAATCGAGCTACCTCCTACGGTCATATTCCTATCCGTATTCATGTTGGTATTTATCTATTCAAAGCACAATTATCGCTGAATTGTTTTCTCTTCTTCAAATAAACAAAAAAAGAAATGAAGACAAAAATTAATAGATAAAAAATGACCTTGACCATTGTGATGGAATCGAAAATCGTCATGATTGAATCGCGCGCTGCCACTGAGCGATCATTAGCTCGCCAGCCATAAAATGCTGCTGAGGACAACTATTGGCAGCTGGCAGTTTCACAAGCTGCAGCTGCAGCTGGCTGGTTCGCTATAGGCTGCTCGCAAGAAGAGGCGAACATTGAGCTTGGCGCGACGGCATAATTGTTTGCGTTTCCCGGCTTCCTGGCTTGATCGAAGAGCATTCTGCAGCGAGAGAGGGAGATTTGATTGCTTCCGCTTGATTTTCCACCTCGCTCCAAAAGGCCTTGATAATAACTGGCCTACGTCGAAAGATACAACGCAGGAAGATCTTCCTTTAGACTGCTCTTGGCGCAGGCCCTAGAGCTCGATATTGTTATCATCAAGCTTATAAGAAGATCCCAACTTCCGTGGTCGCACCTTCGTCTGTAAAACATTACTTAGAAGGGAATTTTGACCTTGGGGAGCGAGCCATGGTAGGCTGCTTGGAAGTGCAGAGTAGCGCCATTCAACCACGCGAAGGATTGTGGCACATAACATGAACATCCATCGTGCGCGGGCACGATCCCACTTAGCGGAGGATGGTTAATCGAAACAATTGTCATTTAATGATACATCAAGAGATAAGAAGCACCAATTTCAGTCTTCTTTCACATCTGTATTCATTCCGCAAGCCACTCAATTGCGTGCAAGCCCCAGGTGCGGCGCAGAACGTGGCTCTTAGTCAGTATACTATCTTCGTATCACTCAGGTATATGTAGACACTGAGAGTATATCCGCTTAGGCAAGCGAATATGTTTCATTCGGCATAAATTATCTGTTAGTCACGTTGATGTCTGCAGGGACCTGCCCATTCAAGTTTGTTCCGAGCTACCAATCAAGGAGAAAAAGAACGTGTCCGTTTTCTTCAGCAAGATTATTTTAGAACAAATATAGCATGATGTCACAATGTAAACCGGACCTACATTTGCCTCAGTTGTTTTTAAGTTTGGCCTTGTTACGCTCGTCACCGTATGATGGAGAATCCTGCGTGAATACTCAAAAACATCTGTATAGCAATTTTATAATCGTATAAAAGAAGTCATTTTCAATCACAAACATTATAGTGTCTTGGTCCATCAAGCACAAGCACGTGCGATGGTTGGTGACTGAGCTGGAGAGCAATCGTAAGCTCTTCCACCTTTCCAAGACCAAACTGTGAAAGCCTTGGTACTCTCCACTTCTATCCGAAGCGCGATCTGCCAAGACTCTGTCTACTCCTCCCCCAGAGTGTTATGCTGGGATGATATGTGAGTGAAATACCAGGAATCTGATCATCAGGGGTCGTTGCACGTGTGGATTGTGCAAGGAAAATTGGATTCATCAAGGGTATCGGCGCTCGGGGAAGCGTGGGATTGGCGGACTTGGTTTGCCTCTAGGAAGAGAGACCAAGTCGCACGCAGATCGGAACGATGCCGCGGACCAACGAGGGGCGGCTTGGGGGACAACAGGGCCGGGAAGTCACAAACAAGCAAAGTGCGTGAATTTGTTTGTCTTGAGGGGGTGTTGCTCGGCAAATAAGAAGAGAGGCCTATCGGCATATTTATAGAAAGCCGCTTGGAACCCTCTATTTAGAAAGGGGATCGAGAGAGACAGAGAGCCATGCAGAAACCTGCTACTCATACATATGTGCTTACGGACATTAGATCCCATCTAGATCATCCATAGATCTCTCGTTTCAACCCGCCTGAACCCTGCGTCGATCGCCATGCACAACTTGACCTACTACCCCGCGCCCAACCCGGAAAACGCGACCGGCGTCCTGGTGGTGCCCGGCGGCGGCTACGGTTACGTCAATTACGACAAGGAGGGCATTCAGCCAGCAAAGTGGCTCAATGAGCGCGGATTCAATGCTTGGGTTCTGAATTACACCACAGCCGGCACAAGAGCCACGCCCATCTACCCAGAGCCCATGAAGGAGGCTTTGGCGGCCGTGAAATGGATCAAGGACGGATGTTCGCCCCGCAAATTGGGGATATGGGGTTGGAGCGCCGGCGGCCATCTAAGTGCCATCACAGCCACCCACAACGAAGCCCCCCAACTTCTGGACTTTGCGATTCTTGCGTATCCCGTCATCTCGATGGATCCGAGCATCACCCATCTCGGCTCCCTCCACAACCTGCTGGGCCACAAGGCCGATGAACATCTTAGAGATTCCATGTGTGCCGAAACTCGTGTCACCAAGGACACGCCTCCCGTTTTTCTTTTCCACACGGCCAACGATGGAGCTGTGCCTGTGCAAAACGCACTGGTCTTTGCATCAGCTTTGGCGAAACACGGGAGACCCCTTCAGCTCATGATCTTGCCTGACGGGCCGCATGGTGTCGGCATGGCACTGGACGACCCCAAGCGCACCTGGACCGACCAGCTTGACCGCTGGCTCAAGGAGTTTAGCACCGCCAACGACACCGAGTAATGTTTGATTTTCTTTTTCTTTCAAATGCTAGAAATTTGCTTGGGAAGTGTTCATACAATTTACTGGACTTGGCCTGGCGTGCGAATGAAGAAGATCCATATGCATTCACAGTACCTAAGTACCTACCTAGCGCTGCCAGAGCGACAATGTGATGACGCAAATAAACCCACAAGCATTGTAACCGCGGGTGAGGGAGATTAGAAGCCGACCTGAACGTACGATTCATCGCGGGCGTCAAAAGTCAGATAAGTCGGATGGCGGGGGCTACCTTAATTCCCTTAGGTACATTGTTAGACATTTCTGTCGTGTCGAAAATGGTCAAAGGGGCGAGCAATACGCCGGTCGCCTCTGCATATCCTGGATAACATTGAGCTTCCTAGTACTGCTTTTGACGCGGCGCACAAAACGAATGCGATTTTCCCTATCATGACCCTCCCACATGACCCATTGGCATCAAGACCCAATGCTTGGAAAAGACGGAAAAGAAATGACAGTGGGCATATCAATAGTTTGTCGAGTCCAGTCCAGGCAGTATGCGTCCGTGATTGGGGGTATGCAGGGGATCGTGGAATTTGATTGTAGTAGTCCTCCCAAACTTGATCTCGATCATGCTCACAATCTGGACTGCCCAGAGACACAGGTAGGTATTTAAGAATCCCAGGCCGAGCAAAATAGACTGGCCTCGCCAGTGCTGACTACGAGCCGCCTATATATTTGATGCGGAGGACAGTTGAGTCGCCGGCCGCAGGTGTCAAGCTCAGGCCACTGGCCAGGCGCGTTCTAGACCCCGTCATCCATCGTTCTAGACTGTCCAGACTGTCTCTTTCACTGCCCATGTTCACCCAAAAGTCAGTTGCATGTACGACTTTAGGGCGTCGCCGAACCGAGCACATGGGTGGGTGGCAAAGCCGCTACAGAGCTACCTAGCCTACATTACCCAGTTTCCTTACCGCGCACTGCAGCCAGACATGAACTAGTGCGGTGGCTCCCCCAGCCTGAGAAAACCCGTCCAAGCATGCCTGTGCTGCTTTTGGTGGTTGCTGGGCGTCGCTGGCCATTCAGAGCGTGCGCCAGACTTGGGCTGCTCTGGCGCCAGCCCGTCCCCCAGAACATCCCTGCCCTGCCGCCCTTCTTGGTCGCTGGTGGCCGCCCACTATCCGTTATCCGTTCGCAGCACATCCGTCTCCTTTGGTCTCTAAGTCTGACCATGTCGTACCTAGTCTGTCTAGTATGTAGGTAGGTATGGATGGAGTCTGGGCCCCCGGGCTCTGATTCTGGTCTGGGTCGCCATCGACTGATTCTTTTATTATATCGGAAAATCTCCCGAATGCAGGGCACGATTCCCAGTGGCCATGTCGTATCATCATTCTCTTCCAGTAAGTTGCGAGCTGCTGTCGACTGCGACGCCCATCTGGCCGCTGCTGCTACTGCTGCTGCTACTGCTGCTACTCTGCTGGCTATCGGTATTTTCACTCACTCTCACTGGGGGGAGACTGCTGCGCACCTGGCAGTGTCGCGCGATCCTCGAGCCGGTGCTCTGCACTTTGACATCGGCACTCGGCGGTTCCAAGTGTGAGAAGAAAAAATAACCTTGAGAAAGAACTACACCCCAACAAACCCAACACCAAATGCCTCAGTATCGCCCAATCCAACCAGCGCACGGGGGCCAACCAGCCGTGGCATCTCCATCACCAGTGGCAGAACCCACCAAGAGGTCTGACAAGCAGCGCAACAACCAAGCCTGCAATGAGTGTCGCCGATCTAGAATCAAAGTATGTTCAACTCTGCTCCTTGCTATTGCCCTGTCATCCTTCCATGGCACTAACACGGAATTTACCGTAACAAGTGTGACGGTGGTCGTCCTGGGTGCTCAACCTGTCGTACCAAGAATAGGAACTGCACATATGTTGGCTCCTCGGGAGAGACGAGGATAGAGGCCACAAAGAACCGCCTCGAGTTACTGGAAAAGGTTCTTGGCACGCTGCAGAATGGATCATCAGACCAAGCTGCTCAATTGTTGAGCGATCTCAGGTCAACAACAGATTTGACCTCGGCCTTGGGGCGGATCGCGGTTGATGGCCCTTCGCAGTCATCGACGCCCAGCCACAATACCACTGATTCTGCGCACTCTCCAGATGGTACTATATCGCCGGGATTCAGTCAAACTGCCAATCGCTCATCAGTGTCCACCCCAATGCACACGACATCATATGCTACTTCCGAAGGGCGGATATCTCCCGTTGCCCGTTCTGGTCCGTCTTCTTTCGTTTTTCCCGGCACGTGTGCCATCACGCCTCCCAGGGCGGAGGAAGTGTCGCTTGCCGTAAGCGGTTTCTTCCGATGCAGTGGGGCCTTGTTTCACGTCTTCAGCGAAGACCAGGCCAGGAAGATATATGATGCCGTCTATGGTGAACCAGAAGCACAGATGAATGCATCTGCAGCCGATATTTGTTGTCTCATGACCATTGCCGCTGTTGGGGCACAGTACGAACATGGCAACTATGATCTTCAGACTGAAACCGCCTTTTACGATATCGCAAAGCACTACTTTGATGATATCGTGAATCAAGAGGGGCTCGATGCCATCAAGGTTTGCATCTTGCTGTCAATGTACAATGTGTTTGAAAAGTCTACAGTCGCACTCGCCTATATTGGTAGGTTACCTAAACACGAACCAAATATAGCTTCAGAACATGCTGACGCTGTACCACAAAGAGGTCGGTCTCAGTCTGTCGAGGCAATATCAAATGGTCTTGGAGCAGCGAAAGCGACCAGACTCGCAACCCGGCGCCTTGTCTGAAAGCAAGCACATTTGGAGGACTTTGGTGTTCTTGTCCAGGTGAGCGACTGTAATCTGATACACTTGATAGTGCCCAACGTCACTAACAATACTCAGTTGGCTCTCGTCTACTTTGGGCTACGTTTCTGGAAATGACATGATGGTCAACGGACACTTGCCTGTTGGCTTTACATCTGATTCCGATAATGTCATTGAGAGTAAGTCTGCTTGCTGCGAATCATATTATACACATGCTGACTCGATGCAGTTGTTCAAGCGGAAATGACAAACATTGCTGTTTTGAAAGCCAAAATATTGCGGATGCACTTGGCATTTAAGGATCTCACGGTCTTGTCTGTCAAATCCATTCTTGTAGACTTGCAGGTAGGTTTCTTTGGAGCATCTCATTGGTAGCTTCTCCCAGGTGTCGGCATCTCATTGCTGCAGCTGGGATTGGAGTTAGCGATACTAGACGAGCAGAAGACTTGCTAACACACGTGTGATGACTAGACATGGTATGGGAGGTTACCGGCCCAAATCAGGCTCGACTATGATGAACGCGACTCTCTGACGCCACTGACAAAATGGAGCATCTATCATGTTCATCTCCTTTATCTGGGAGCAAATATTATCTTGTACCGCCGCATGTCATCTCAACTCATAGAGACACGTCACTCTGGCATTGGCCAAGGTGTCTTGCAATCACCTCTGGAAAAGCTCTACAGCGACCACGGTGGACAAGCAGTGCTGGCGGCGAAAAGCTCTGCCCACATGCTGTTTTCCATGCTCCAAGAAACTGGCATTTTTAGACGCTGCTGGCTCATCATGTAAGTTGACTCATCGGCGAGCTCTAGCAGTCCGGTGGTGCTAATCCATATACCAGTTTCCAATCTTACACGTCGTGTTTGATCATACTCCATTCGGCTACGCAAAAGATGCTCCACAGCTGGAGACCGAGCAGCTGGCAAGACGACTTGGCAAAGGCCGATCTTTGTCTAGAGGTGTTAAAGTACTGTGCATCAGCCGACCCAACGGCCCAACGGTTCTACTCGGAACTCAAGGAATTCCGGGACTACATCGCCGGGCAAACAAACAGTGCGTCGCCTGATGGCAGCTATACCTTGTCTCAGCCACATCTTGCGAGTTCGCAATCCAATATATCTCACCTCCTCGCTGCTGAGGACGAGACGCAAGACTCGTCTTATCTTATCAGGATGCCGTCAAATGCCAGACCTGATCATCTCGATGTCTCTTGTCGACTCCTCATCAAGCTTTGTCAGCCATATGGTGATCCGGAGCACCAAGGCGCCGGTATTGAAGATGTTAAACAACGGTGGCGTGACGAGCCCACGCGAGCACTTCACAGCCTGATGATGGCACGACTCGATTGGGACTTGGAGTCACGTCAATCATTCCAATGGGATTCAAGGAAGCTGGCCAACATCACTTCGAATCCTACGAGTGGGTTTGGTGCGCCGGTTGTGTCGAGGGCTGGTGACACACTGAGTATCATTCAGCAAGTTGCCCCTAGAAGAGGCAATCTGGAGGGACAGTTTCTTGGTAGCATGCAGCCCAGCGGTTGGAAGATGCCGCACAGCGCAGTACATGTGGCATCCGACTTGCCCAAGAATCCACGAGCGACTGGACCGCAGGTCACAATCGAGGAAATGGTTATTGATTGAAGCATTTCATTTTGGTCTGGGGACATGATATTATTTTTTTGCATTGCATTGAGGGTCTACATTTGGGATTTTGTGGAAAAGCGAGCGATCTGATTTTTAGAGACATGTTGATGCTGACGTGGAATTCATCCACTACTGTGTGTAAGAAACACTCGAAGCCTTCGTTGATAGATACCCTTGAAAACATCAATCATCATTACAAAATGTGATTGCTGCCCCATAGATGGCATACTGTTATATACACATGTACGATATACACTGGCTCGATTCACACAATATTGGCACTTGTTCAATAGCCGAAGGGTGTGTGATTATAACGTGAAAGAAGATGACATAGAAAGCAAAAATGTGCGACTTCTAGTCAACGGAGATCTCATTCTGGTCCACACCAGTAAGTCCCGGCCCTCTCGTCGCCTTCCCGACAAAGACTACAACAACATTCAGGACAAGAAGCAAAAAAACAGCAAAAGAAAGGGTCTTGCCGTGGATCGAACACGGGGCCTCGCGCAAACAATGTTCAGGGTTTTCCCTAAGCGCGAATCATACCACTAGACCACAAGACCTTTTGATTTGTTGTTGTTGAAGGAGCGCAGCTTATTACGTATATTGTCATGTCGCGATGTTGTTCAGGGGAAGATGTGTTGAGGATACGGGGTTTTATGATTGCAAAGTCGAAATTTTTTTGCAATAGCGCTCCAGCCTGGTGGAGTTGGGGCGGGATTAGCGGCGGTAGCTTAGGGGCTTTGGTGCGTTGCAGGGCTCGTGCTTGAGTCGCCCCCCGGCCAAGGATCAAGGAGGGCAACAGAAAAGTCTTTCAATTCCGAATAATGCGGAATACAGGTACGTAAGCAATTTATATGGGTAATTGCGTCTTGTCTATCGCTTGATGACTTGATGTGCTGAAGTTATTTAGGGTCAATGCTCACAGGACAAGAGGTCAAGAGCAATTGGGAAGAGGCATGTAGAAAAAAGAAAGCAATACCTTTTGAGTTTGTCTCCTGCAAGTCATGGACCAGGGATCCCGCCGTGATATAGTCGTCATTTCTGTTTGGATTCGAAAGGAAAGCATTGTCACGGTGACTGATTTGGGACATGCCCGAGCAATAATAACTATCACAACAGATCAACTATAGAGCTAGGAAAAGGAACTGGATGAAATATAAAAAGAAGAAGTATAGCAAAAAGTCAAAAAGAAAGATGCTGCCCCACTGAGGGTCGAACTCAGAGCCTCCAGATTTGACGTTCCAATGTTGGAATAACAGTCTGACGCGCTAGCCAATTGCGCCATGGGGCATCACGTGATGATTTGTTGTTGAAAAAGAGCTTTCTAATTTAGTATATGATTGTGATGCGAGAGGAGAAAATGGGATTAGAAAAATAAAGTGTTGACGTCTGTATCATGGTCGGTGACGAGAATGGTGATGATGTGGGTTGTTACGCGTGCAAAGGTAAAGCTTCTTGTCTAGTAGTGTAGAGGGTTGGGTGGCGATCTGCTAGGTATAGCATGGCTGTGCAATAGGACCGAGAAAGAAAGATGAAAAAAAGATGAACGATGCATGATTGACACTTATTTGAATGTTTACAATGTTTCATCTATCATCTTCTTTGCCAGAATGAAATTGCTAGTTGCTTGGCCAGACAGGAGAAAATGAATGCAATGATACTACAACTCAGAAAGGACCATGCTCTTTTCGAGGAACCACATCGAAGAAATTCAAGAACGACAGAATGAAGAAGACTAGGAAAACAAGAAGTCTTGGACTGCTATCACTCGAGGCTGGCTGCTTGTCCTCTTCTCACTAGATGTTCAAGAAAGGAAACTGATAACCGTAAGACGATGTAAATGATAAAGTTCCAATATCAACACCAATAGCTCTAGCAAATATTATATTAAACTCATATTGTTCTCAAGTTGCCACAACTCCCATAGAGTTTCATGTATTTATCTACTTGTTCGCCTGCAGAGAGCAATTGGCCACATATGTACAATATTATCCTAGCATAAACAAGAAATAAATTACAAAGAATCATGGAATTTGAGTGCTTGACAACAAGATTCCTCGGGAACCCATTTACATACTTTCCAAACGTACAGAATTCCATATCACCACAAACGAAAAGGCATCGTGAGTAGGGCTCGAACAATTACGACGAGAATATTGAGCGGCTTTGGGTACTCACGGCAATTCCATAGTATGGATGACTTTGATTCCCCGAGGTGCGATCGTCCACGCAGAGTCGTATCGTGGGATAACTCATATATATCTTGAAATGATAGTTTGTCCGTCTACAATGATGAGACCCAGTGGAAAACGCCCACAATAAGCCCACATTGTGTGAAATAAGTACCGGGATTATGCATAGTCACTGCAGGAGCGGTATCTCTTCGAATGTTGTACTCAAAGTCGTATTTACCTGCAATGGCCAAGTCTTGGATTCAAGGCATAATTCTCTCATGGGATCATCGCTCAGAACACACTTGTTGAACATGATGTGTCATTGTAAAAAGTAAAGACATTTCAATACTGACCGGATATCCATTTCCGCCCATCAAAAGAGTATAATGAATCAAAATATTTCGCTCTGCGTTTTAGTGGACTTGCTCATGCCCGCATATCAAGAGTACCTACAAGAGAAGATGACTGCCAAGTGGAGGCCAGTACCCAAGTCATCAGATGTCAAGACCGAGCCCAGACAAGATTCCTCACCCCTGCCAAAATTCGATTCCGGTATTTGCTGGAGCTGGCATGGTATTCAGAGATCAAGGACTACCCAATCAGGAAACGGCCTCCAAGTGATATCAAAGCACCCGCGTGGATCCACGCTGAGATGGGCAAGGTTTCGGGGTATCATACCCCACAACTTTGCATACCACGAGTGAATACTGGTCTAAATGTTCGCGGCAAGTTACATATAATGCATGTAAATTGTCTCCTCTTCTTGGTCGCCTTGGCTGCTGCGGGCTTCGTATACAAGTCCTCTCGATGTCGTTCTTTACTCCCCTTTGCCTCATGTTTCTCGTGAGATTCACATAAAAAACACCAAAAAAGCATTGCTATCTCAAAAAACTTGTTCATCATGGCACGGAACGCATCGTCAATGGCTCTTCTGGCCTTGGATGCCGTCAAGGATGCCACCAATGCTGATATTGGTCACGTTGCCGCGTGTGCGGCCCTGTTCGGCGTCATCTTGCACCACTCGATCCTCCGGCCTTTTGAAGTCGAGCAATTCATGTACAAACTCATCACATGCTTCTTTCTCCTGACCGGTGGTCTTTTTGGTGTTCATCTGCTCAACGACGCTGCTGTGCTTCATGCCGCCTTCCGGTCCGCTGTGGCCTTGGGAAGTCTCCTGGGCGGTACGTTGTTTTCAATGGTAGTCTATCGATTATTTTTCCACAGACTCTGCAGGTTTCCCGGCCCCTGGGGAGCCAAAGTTTCCAAGTTTTATTCTGCGTCACTGGCAGCCAAGGATGTCCAATACCACAAGAGCTTGGCTCGTATGCATGAGCAGTATGGCGACTTTATTAGAACAGGTATGTGTAGAGGCGTGATATTGCCAGTAGAGATTGGCTAATGGGCGATTCTTGAAAACCTGCAGGTCCCAGAGAATTGTGTATCGTGCGTAGCTCTGCAGTACCATTGATATATGGACCACATACAAAGTGCACAAAGGCAACTTGGTATACCCAGGTCGACGTGGATTGCAAAAAGAGCTCTATAAACATGACTAGGGATGTGGACGATTACCGTCGCCGGCGAAGGGCGTGGGATCGAGGGTTTTCCATGAAGGGCAAGTCATGCTTCAACCCCACCGACCAAAGAGAGGCCAAACATGCTGACCGTCGACTGGGAGATTATAGTCCTCAACACCTACACTCCGCGCGTTACTGCCAAGGTGGACGACTTTATAGCGCAAATCGCCAAGCAGGGCATCGCCGACGCCACCGCGTGGACCAGCTACCTCTCCTTTGACATCATGGGCGACGTTGGGCTCGGCAAGGACTTTGCGGGCGTGGCCTCGGGGCGGGAGCACCCGGCCATCAAGGCCATCCACGACCACATGACGGTTCTCAGCATCGGCGGCCATGTGCCATGGCTGCTCAATCTTGCCTCGCGCATCCCCGGCTGCACGGCCGGGTATGCTCCCTTTTTCAACTGGTGCGCTGCTGAGCTCCAGGCCAAGCAAAAGGTAAGAGACCTCAGTGTGATCTATTTCCCATGATGATGATAGCTTACACCTTTACTCGGAAATATTCAAAAGACATGGAAATCCGACAAGCAGCCAACAGACATAGTTTCCTGGCTCATCAAGGCCCAAGACGAAAACGATCCCACGGCCCCGCCGTCGCAAGCCGCACTGCACGAAGACTCGCGCGTCATCATCGTGGCGGGCAGCGAGACGACAGCAACGACACTGGCCGCCATCGTCTTTTACCTAGCCACGCAGCCGCGCGTGTACCGCAAGCTCCAGGAGTACGTCGACGCGGTCATGCCCCCCTCATCACTCGGCGGCAACAATAGCAACTGGACCTATGAAAAGGCCAAGTCCATCACCTATATTGACGACATCATCCACGAGACCCTACGCCTCAAACCCGCCCTGCTGGCCGGCAGCTACCGCGTGACGCCGCCCGAGGGCCTACAGATCGACGAGGTCCACGTACCGGGGGACACGACCGTCTTTGTGCCCACGCAACAAATCCAGACGGACACGCGGTACTGGGCCCCCCGGGCGGCCGAGTTTGTGCCCGAACGGTTCAGCCAACAACAAGAAGAGGACCACGCCCCCTCCACCTCCGCCTCCGCCGCCACGGACACGACGACGATTGAGGGCAGTAGCGGCCCTTTTCTACCCTTTACCCTCGGAATGCATGCGTGCCCGGGAAAAAACTTGGCCCTTATGTCATTGCGCATCTCTGTCTCCAAGATTGCCCAAAACTTTGACCTGTCCCTCGCGCCGGGTGAGGACGGCAAACATTTTGACAATGCCGCCTTGGAGACTTTCACGACTACTCTGCCACCGCTGCGAGTCCAGTTTTCAAAGAGAGTATAGTAGATGTGTAGTGTGTATAGGCTTTAACGACAATACTTGTCAATATCGCTGCCGCAAGAGATACAAGTCAAAGAAACAGGAGTTCATGTATCTTGGCAATGAAATTGTTCGTCGTCACATCTTTTGAGAGCTGTCCCCAAATACATGGAATCTGCGGCAAGGACTCCATGGAAATTCACTAAATATAAACATTTTCCATTCTTTTTATTCCTTTTTATCCTATTCCCTACGTGGCCCTAAAATACCAAAAAGAAGAACGATTTTTAAATGAAGAACGAAGGGGGTATCATTGTATTCTTCTTCTCTTACTCTCCTCTTTCAAACATTCTTCGAAATTGGTGAATGAATGGTGGCCTGTTTAGTTCCATATACCCGGCTTTTATGACGGGTTCGCAACCCGCAGGTCTGCATGGAACGAGAGCCGCAGACGCTGGGAGGGTCTTGCAATCTCATAGTATTGCTGCTGTCTTGACATATGGTGATATTTTTTGGTCACCAACTTGGTTTCTAAGTCCTCTACAGACTTGAGAATGAAGAAGACATTACTTAAAAAAACTAATATGTACATTTGCAATTATACACAGAAAGGTAGTGGGGGTCGAGTTTCTATACGACATCGCCGCTGGTAGGATACCCTAATAGACAATTAGTAAAGAATGACTTTGTGGCGTACTTTGATAAATACTTACACCATGAGCATACTGCAATGATCAAGTAGAGGCATATTAAAAGGAAGCCTTCTAGCCAGTGACTCTCGCCATCAGCAATCAGGTAGTTCACAAGCAGCACAGTCACGAAAACGACTGCCACCTGGAAGGTGTCGAATGCTAGGTTCATATCCTCGATACCCTTGCCCCAGCCAACAATGACAAGGAAGGGGATCAGGAATAGCGAAACCTGCATCGAAGAGCCCACAGCGACACCAATGGCAAGATCCATCTTGTCCTTAATTGCAACCGTGACAGCAGTGGCGTGCTCGGCAGCGTTTCCGACAATGGGAAGCAGGATGAGACCGACAAATTCGACGCTGACTCCGCTTTCAGTAATGCTAGAGATACCCTCAACCATGAACTCGGCACAGAAGGCGACCAGAATCGTAGAAATGAGAAGCGTCAGAATGGCAACCCAGCCCGCGAGCGTGGCCTTCTCCTCTTCCTCCTCTTCCTCGTCATCGGTGTTCTCGTGGCGACGAAGTTGGGCCAGAGGGCTTTGTTCAGAGTCCTTGTCCTTCAAGGATGCAGCTCCAGTCGAGGCGCCAACAGCGGTCGCAGACTGGATCATGGCATCGACACCTTCCTTGGAGGCTCGCTTGCGGAGAGGAGTTCTCTCAACCTTCTGCGAAGGCTCGTTGAAAACTTCAATGTGAGTCTTGAGCTGGAAGACCAGGTAAGCAGCATAGACGATCAAGAGAATAACGCTGGTACCGCGAGACAGGGAAGCGATATCCCTGTTGTCGACCTGTTCACCGTTTGTTCCGTCATTTCTGACATATTCCGCAAACACGGTCGGGATAATGTTACTAGCCACGGCCAGAGCGAGCAGACTGGCGGCAGTTTGAGCCACTGTCTTGTTGAAGTACTGCACCTGACGACCAAAGCCACCAAAGAAGAAGCACATGCCCAGAACCAGTAGTAAGTTGGAAAGAATACTGCCAATCAGCGAAGTCTTGACAACCTCGATCTCGTTCTTGAGTAGCGCTTCAATGGCGACGATCAGCTCCACAGCATTTCCAAATGTAGCATTGATCAGACCGCCAATGGTCTCACCAGTTCGCAGAGCAACCTCCTCGGTTCCAAAACTAAGCAGGGCGGCGAGGGGGATGATGGCGATGAAGTTGACAGCGAATACAATACGTCCGTCGACTCCGGCGTAGAAACAGGCGAATCCAGCGGGGATGGCGACGAAGAGAATATTGAGCCAGGAGTTGAAAACTGTGTTTCGTAGTTGGTTGGCGACAGTATACGGCTCCTTTGGTTCAACGTGTCTGATAAAACCCAGCATGAGCTTGGGCTCCTCCTTCTTGTCGTCCTTCTGATTCCTTGGGCTGCTAGGTCCACCATTGGTCTCCTTCTCGCTTGGCGTTTTGCTTTTGCGCCTCGTTATTGAGCCATTGTGGTCAATACTGGTCGAGCCATGTGCTGATGATGGGCTTTCGACAATTTCGTCGTTGGTCCTACTGCTTCTTCCGGGTGCAGTCTGTATATGTCTCAAGTCTTGAGTATTGTTGCCTTGTTCTAAATCGCCAGTCGTGCTTGCGCGATTTGGCTTTGAAACGAAGGGAATCTCCCATGCATGCTTGCGGCTCTCGCGCCGGGCGGCGGCCTTGAACTTGGTGAGGTTGAATGCTAGTCGACTTGAATTAGAACCCGGCATTATGGCTCAAATAGAAAATTGCAGTCTATCGCTTTGGCGGCACTGATAACGAGTGCCGCGGTGGGCAGCCACACGCTTTTCAGGTAACACGTGTGTATATGTATAAACGTCGAGTGTCTTGTGTGTACGTAGACGATGGGCGGGAAAAGGGGTGGCTGTGACAAAGGAATCTATTGATTGTTTTGCGTATTTTGAATTATGCCATTGGCAGAAAATTTGGAATGGGAAAGAAAAAAAAGGAAACGATGGACTGGATGGCTGTGAATTGACGACAGCAGCAACAACAAATGGGGTGTGAAAGAGAAAATGTGTGATCAGATACAAACGTTGTAGCCCGATTAGGGAAAGAAAGAAGTTGAGATGAAGGAAGATACAAGCAAAAAAGCAGGCAGATGGATGATGGATGGACGGGCCCCAAAGAGCAAGGCAAACGGACAGTACAGGAAGAGAAGAGCCATGACATCGGAGATCTCGCTTTGGCGTCAAGCGTCGTGGACGCGAGTGGGGGAGCGGAGTCAGAAACAGGCTTGACCGCAGCAGGGAGCGTTGCCCGGCCCCAGGTAGCCTAGCACCATCTCGGAGCGCCTGGGGCCCTTCACCCTGCATGCAATTGCGTCCACAACCCCCCATAGGCCAGGTACCTAAAGGCACGTTACCTTAGGTCGTAGGTAAGGTAGCCCAGTGGCACGCCAGTGGATTCGGGCTAGTACCCGTCGATGCAAATTAGACTTCTCCTGGCCCCTCTCTCATAACTCATGTTGATGCCCTTTTTTTCTTCTTTTCTCTGCAGCGGACTGGCGCATGCGACGCTCGCATTTTACAGGGCGGGTCCTGGTTTCTTAGGGGGCAAAGCGATGACTGGCCATGCTGAACTTTGAGCTGGCGGCTGCTGATGCTGCTACTGGCAACTATTGTGACGGAGTTGGTACCACAATGGCCTTTCTTTCTTTTTTTGGCTTACTCACCCCCCATCTTTTTGTTGTTCGGTGTTACCGCCCTTGAAGTATCGGGGGTTTGCTGCACCTGCCTCGGCATTGGGACTGCCCAATGATCCGAGTATGGAAGGAAATTGGGGTAATGCATAGAAATGAGCGACAGTGGAAAAAAAAAACATTTCAACTTACAACGAGAACTCGTGGGATGAGGCATCTTGTCGAGGTTGCCTCACAATAGCAGAGGATCGGTACAACCGTAATGGTGGTGGTATTGGTAGTGGTTGACGGTCGATAAATTGATAAAATGATTTTCTTCGTAGTGACGGTTTCGCCTCTTCCGTTTGTGCTGAACCTTATGATGGAATGCCGCGAGTAACGGTGATCAAGTATCTAGTATGACCACAGGAGGGAACCAATCGATTTTCCCGGTGAGTATTCCCGAAGGCTGTTGTTGGTGTGTGTTGCACTATTGAAAATGCTTCGCCTTGGTCGGGTGTACTGCTGCTCCTTCTGGGTTGCGCGTAACGCGCAAGTATAACGCGGAGTAGCGTACGAAACACTGACGATAATCCGTAGGCTGTACGAAATAGTCGCCTCCAACTCTGAAATAGTCAGTGGATTTGTCGATTGCAACCTGCAAATGGTTTCGCGTTGCTGCTGGCGCGAAATGTTTCTGCTCCTTCCTTATGGCTGTGCTGCTGCGTATAGGGAAGATCGTGGCAGTTTTTCTTCTAGACCCAGGCAGGAAATGGGAGAGTTGGTCGTTCACTCGAAAAGACAAACCAGCGCTGGGAGAGCACGGACTGGAAACTGCGAATCCACCGTTTGTTTTTTCTGATTCAGAAGAACAAAAAGTATGAAGGAAAGAAAAAGAGTGTGAGAGTTTGTTGACTGGCGACGGCGAAAGAAACAGGGAAAGTATGAGCCAGGACTGGGCAAGGACAGACCTGACGACAGCAAACGTGGAACGGGAGAAGATATCAATCAATCGACTTTCTCTCTTTCTAATAAGATTGGCAGCTACCTGAGCAGCGGCATTGATTTACACAGCAACAAGCGAATAAAGGAGTTTCAAGTGTCTATCGTTTTTGGCACCAACGGACGAAAGACCAATGAATCCCGGGGAAACGAAGTCGTCTAACTCCTCTGGGACCTCTAACTCCTGTTAACTCCTAGTCTGCTCGGTCTGTAATTTCAAATTCCCTTCTACGGACCCCGCTATCGAAAGTATTCTAGCGACCAGGGGGGCCTGTGAGGGAGCAAGCTCTTGTCCAAGCAATCCAATTCAGAACCCCCTTGTTCTTGATTCGTTTGCATTCTCCTCCAGTCAGACAGACTGGCGCTCGAAACTTGGCCCCAATAATGATGAAAGCAAGCATGTCACTTGAATAGAACAAAGAAGGTAAAATCCTCACAGGAACACGACAAAGCTGCCCAGAGGAATAACCCCTACGGCGGCGCTTAAACTTAGCTGTGGGTTGCCCTTGACTAAGATACTGGAATGCTAAACCAAGAGAGACCCACGAAGAGATGGAGCGGATGGAGAGCTTTTTTTAAATTTGAATGGTACGGAGGCCTCCACGCAACCAACGTTCTCCAGTGGACGGGTGGCATTGAATGAACAAGTCAGCAACGACAGATGGCAGCGACTCGTCATCGAACGTGGCAGCAGAGGGGAGGCAAATCGTGAATCGCGAGCAGGATGCGGGATGCGGGATGCAGGCTTATCTACCTTGAAACTGGGCGTAGCTGTCTGTCTGTCTGTGTGTTATGAGATGGTTGCTGCTATGCAATCCCAAAGGCTAATCCACGAAGTACTGACACGGCACATGAAATTATCAGACACATTGGCATCAGGCTATCGACAGTACTGGGCAATATATATGTCGCCCCGGTAATGAGCGCTCTAGGTATACAAAAGCATATGCTGGTACCTACTCTGCACTGTCGCATCGAGATTGCAGAATATATTAGAATGCGGTATGCATTCCCTACTCGGGGGAGATGACAGCATTCCATTTCTAGCTGCGACGGTCCGTAGTGGTGCAACGGTGCATTGAACTTTTCTTTCCCTCCCACCGTCCTCACCGCATTCTTGATTTGGTTCCTTTGGCTCTGCGCGTTTGCAAGTAAAACCTCTACTAGAGTGGGCTTGTGGTTCCTTTGTTGCTGTCAGATGGGTACAGACGGGGCAAAAAACAAGTGCATACGCGGAATGAATAGAACTTATTGTGTATTACATTGATGACGCGCGAGTCGACATCATTGCTGCTGAGGTGCAGCAGTCGTCGTTGGAACGGAGTCTCGTTAGTGCGCGAAACCATGCAACCAAGCTTTTGGTCAAGAACTTTCCAAGGTTCTTGGTCCTCCAAAACCAAGAAACCACCAAGAACACCCAAGAGAACCAAGACGACCAAGACGACTTAGGAGAAGCTTCACATTGTCGCCAAGTTGACTCAAGCATTCCCCGGATCTCTTGGTTGCTTGGGAAAAAAGCTTTTGCTTGGAAAAGGCACACACGCAAGATGCTGGGTGCTACTTGGCAAACGAACCATTCCTTCCCGCCCTGGGGCTAAGTACGAAGTAGGTAGGTATCATATGACGTTTGGTCAATGTAGCTATGCCATCATCATCGGGTTCCTAAAATCTCATCAAACATCTCGGTCTCGGGTGTGTAAAACATGTGCCTCCAACACTACAATATACATTGCAAGGTCGCGAAAGAAAGTAAGCGTCGGCGTTAGCCCCTTCTCGGCTTACCTCCTGTGCTCGGCTGTTGAACGTTTTGGAGGAGACGGGTGCTCATACCCTTTGTGAGGGCTAAGATTGCAGTGAAAAAAGATACGTGCCAAAATCAGGCTGCACATCAAACTTGTTTTGTAACAATCCCGGCAAAATTACTGCCTGTTGCATTTTTATACACGGTATCTGCGCTTCAGCGCTCGGAAAAACAAAAACAAAACAATTGAATGAAATACCAATTATTGGGCGCTTTGCCTCCCTTGTTTCGCTGCGCTCAGTCTCTCTGTTGGTATCTATCTACCTTCGGAAGTCTCGGTTTTCCCCATCTCGAGTGCTCGGTCTTTACCTTTAGTGTAACCCGCATTACAGGGCAAATCGTGGCCTGCTCACTCTCTCTTTATTGCCTTGCATAGCCGCGCAATAGTAGCATCTAGGTACTCTTTAGCAAAAAATTGCTCAATCCGAAAATAGTATCCAAGTACAAACTCTGTACCATGGTCACCATTGTTTTCGCATCTGTAAATACCTCCTCCCCGCAGGCAGGTAAAATGATCTCCTCCCCTGTCAACATGTGGACAAGACTGCCCGTTTCGTCTCAAGTAATAGTAAGCCCAAGCCCATCTTGGTCGATCAGCCCACCGGATAAGTCTTGAAACATTCCCGCTTGGGGTTTCGCATATGTATACATTTGCGCAAAACAAAACAAAACAAATACAGATACTTTCTCCTCCCCAATAAGACAACGGCTGTGAGAGAATTTATTATCCCGCATCCGAACGAGAAACCAAGATTTTGTCTCTCGTATATAGGAACAAAAAGGAAAGTCTCAGCGTGGTAAAATGATGCAAACGCGTGATTGGCGGCGCCAAGATGTCAAGTACTACGTGGCCCATGTCCTCGAGCGAAATTTCTCCAAGATTATTTTGTTTTGTACCGAATAGAATTTGGGCTTGGCCTACATGGATACACGAACCAATCAAAATGTGAGCGCATTACCAGGGTCCGGGCAGCTTTAAACTGTTGGAAACCCTACCACTGAGTTTCTGTGCATTGTTCATCTGAGTGATTCGTGGAGGTTGGGTAATGACAGCGTGGCTGAGCATGGCGCTTCAACCCCTTCCGATACGCTAGAAAGGCGTGTCTGAGATCTGGAAACAGTAATCCTTCAAGACCTATCGTATTGCGAGAAAAACTACCAAGATTATCTACGCAAGACTCTAGGCATCATCATAACTGCCGCGGGGATCAATCCTACCCCACCCTGGCATGATATACCATAGTCCCGCACTAACATGTCTCTCGGCTCTGTCTCTGATTCCTCGATACGCATGTTCACAAATGCTGTGCTTGTACACTGCCCCTTCGGAGCTTGAGTGAGCTGGCTAGCGTTGGGGCGCTGGTGGTGCGTAAGCTGTTGCCAGCTAAATGATCACTGCCCAAGATTCCTGGAGGCAGCCCGAGGGTTGGGATTCCAGCATCAGACACGGATTCATGGTCGCCCAATACGCTACCTGAAGGCGTCGGCGCTGAGGGTCCCCTTTCCAGCGTCTCCTTGTAAAATGCCTCCAGAGCTTCTTCGTCGAGGCAAAATTCCTCTAGACTTTTTACCAGCGATTCAGCTTCGCCTGTTGCAAGACCCGGGTTTTGTGTCGGGCCGGGCTTTGTCGCACCCAGCCGTGGTGACATGTGCGATGCATGTGGATTTTCTCGAGCGGCGGCTGCTTGAGCAGAAAACAGTACGGGCCTGAACAAGGGGCTGGAGATTGGTGTTGGCTCTGCCAGACCATAACTGGTATAAGAGCCTGTCGATATGAGGCGCGCGACACGATCATTTGTCGGGATCTCGGTGCGAGGAGGAGCATTTGTTTGCACAGCTACCGTCCTGTTGCTATATAATCTGTTGGCCAGCGCGAGGAAGTTTCCATCGTCTGTGATCTCAACCAAGAGCATTCCAGAACGATGAATATACTGTGTGTATTTGAAATCAGGCTTTCCCCAGGAGAAACTGACGTCCACATTGCTCGGGAAATTGGAGGCTGCTTCAACGTCTAGCACAAAGTCGAATTTGCGCAAGATAGCTTTCTGGTAGTAATGCTTCCCCGGCTGTGTTTGTGCATGAAAAGAATTGGGATCATAGTAGGTTACTGGTCTCTGACTTGGCGGCGGCAAAGAGAGCTTGACAGGGTAAGGTCTTCTGAACGGGCTCTGGTCGGTAATGGAACATGCCTCGGCGATCGGAACCTCGACCAAGCGAAGGCCATGAGATGCTGCAGTCGCTGCCCATTGCTTCACGGCGTCCTCTATAAGCTTGGCAGTGACACTCATCCAGTCGATGCGAATGTGGTAGCAGTTATCAGGGTTATGAAGGCGATCGTAGTGCAGGTTGATTCGCTCGGGCCGATAAGACCTTTTTCGATGATCAACATCATATCTCATACATTTGCTGAGCATCACTTTTGGTCTTTTGCTACTAACCACGGATGCCGTGGGGGTAGTGGCGCCAGAAGTTGGTGATGCATCCTCATTGAGGGATATCGGTCGGGACACCGACGGCTTGAAACCTAATCTGGGCGACTCTTTTGGACCTTGCTCGACAAGTGGTGTTGAGGGAACCGAATAATCTCGTCGTCTCATGTTAAGCCAACCGGACGGTTGAGGCTTTGCGAATTCGCCGGCAATCTGGTAAAAGTACTGCCCGTCGCGGAATCTGTGACGTCGTTCAACATGGACGAATAATCCCCTACCCCTTTCTCTTTTTGCTTCTTTCCCTGTTGATCTTTCATCGTCGGGGCTCATTAATGACTCTCCAAGAGCAATTGCTTCCTCTCGGTTTTCAAGATCTTCAAAGTTATCCAGCAGCCATGTTGTCATGTCAGAGCCAATGAAACAGTTGTAATGAAGCCGAAAATGCCATCTTCGATTCTGCATTCGAATGCCACCGTTTTCGACTGGCTGTTGCATTGCTTCGGCCAATGCTGTGATGTTGAAGTTCTGTTTCGAAAAGCGCTCCTTGTCGGAAATTAAACCTTTGCGAGATGAGAATTCTGGGCCTTCGTAAAAAGGGAGGGTCTCCATCTCGGCGGCAACAACCACCGAAGGATCCTCTGTCTTGTATACAATATCAAGTGGGTTGGGGTCCTTGGCCTTGCGCCCCGCCACCTGAAATTGATGCTCCGAGGGAGGCAGGTAGCGATGTCGTTGCCAGGCTTGTGCCAAGCGCTTGATACCCTCAAGCCGCACCTCCTCTTCATTGTCCGGTCCAAGGTGTGATGCAGACATGGAGGCCCGGGTACCCATGGGAATCAAGACGAACCTCGTTCGCCAGAACCGCAGGTTTTCCGTCATCTCCTCAAAATGACCCGCTAGATACGAGTCAATGTAATTCCAGTTCTTCTCAGGCTTGGGTGTGACAATGTCGATTTGACGTTGTTCGTACGTCGGATCCAACGTTGTGCGTATTGCTGGTTTGTAGATCGGGAGTGGCTGGTCTGCTGGCAAGAAGGACTCTGTAGGCTTGCGCACGAAGATATTCACTTCAACCTCAGTGCCATTAACACATGAGAGCTGGTGAATCGTGTTTCCAATGCTCATGAAAAGACTTGTTCCATCTTCCACAACACGATCTCGTGAAAATATGTCCACAAGTTTCATAAGTCTTTGACCGAAAGCTTTTGCTACCATGGGGCCAATAACAACCTGGAATCCGTGAGCAAATCGTGCACTTATCAGCTCCCTCAAAAAGTGTTCTCGAGATTTGGGTTCCTCAGCCATATCGTCATCATTGTTCTGCGCGATATTGTAGGGTGACCTCTGATACTCTGTATCAAATTGCAATTTTGTGGGAAAGTGCTCAGTCGTCAAGGGAACAGCGGCTGGTGATGACAATGATTTCCACTTCATCAGTTTCATGTCTGATGGACGCGGGAAAACATGCTGCCATCTACTGAAAAGGACCGCGTCGTCAACCTTATTCATGTTGGGATTCGAGGGATTCAACACGACCAACCAAGGGGCCATCGCTGTGCTAGGGGACAGAGTTGAGGGTAGTTCGGGGATTGCTCCCGCCAGAAGTTTCGAGTTGTACACCTTCTGTGCGTCTTCAGCTCGCAGCATGCTAGAAAACTTCTGATCCTGATCTTGTGGTTGAAGAGCCTTTGGTCTCGGTGTAGCAAGACTTGGGGCATGTGCACGGATTGTTCCGACCTTGAGCTCAGTCTCTTCTTCAGAATTGGATGGGGCAGCCTTGATGTATATCGGTCTGCTCGGCGTGGCTTGAACCAGATCCTGAAGTTGCTCAGATAGGTTCGACTTTGCCTGGTCAAGGGAGGAGAACGACCGTCCACTAGCAATAATCTGTGGTGAACTAGGCTCAAACCTTGCCTTTTTCGGGGTCTGCTGCGAAATCTTGGACGCTGCTGGTGTTTGTTGGCCTGCGTGTAAGGCATTGACGTTTTCTGCTATGATCTCAGCAGTAGCTGCTTTGGGAGCGGCAATACCGAAGCCCTTTTGACCCAGGCTGATTTGTCTCATCAGTTTTGGCATCTTGATTGCAGACATAGGTCGAGGCTGAATGGCCGAAGCCGCCGAATCTCTCCTTGTGGAAGGTGTACTACTGAACGGCGTAGTGCTTGTAGATTGGTTAGCAGATGCCAGACTAGATGGAAAGGCAGTTGACGAATGGCCGCTTTTCCCATTGTCGCCGATCGAAGTCCCAAATAAGGCAGCGTCTTCTATTAGCTGCTTCCTCGTGTTCTCTTCCAAATCTCTCCTGACTCTGGAAGAAGACGAGAGCATGATGCGTGACTTTGGTAACCGTGAGCGATTGTCATCAAATGCCTGCAATTGCTTCCAGATCGATGTCTCCCCTGGCTTCGTGAGCTTGTCTGTATTGAACTTGGTAAACCCATATACCGGGTCATACAGTCCATCAGCACCCTTCAACCTGCCAGGGCCGTAGGTAGATCTATCGCGAGGTTTCTTGGTAGCGTCTGCGTCGATCAGCTTTTGGGGATACTTGGGATCCGTGAACAGTGGTGGAGTCTCAATCTCGTTGGTTTCAAGTACACTCCGCATTTGTAAATCATACAGCCTGCATCGAACAGTGAAATCTTCAGCTTCTTGGCCCGATTGCTCAGATGCAGATAAGGAAATTCCATGGTACGAAAGAGCCTCTTCAGACTTGCCGGTCCAATAAGAGACATGGAGCCATTGCGGCAATGCGAATGCCCATTCGTCAGTGTATAGCCTATTGATTGGCTCGAGTCGACTGGCCCCATCAGTGGCTTTTGTGGGAGATAACGATTCAGACAGTGTGTTATAGCTGCCTACAACTGGAGTTGGGGCCTTTGGAGTACTGTCACGGCTACGGACAGACCGGGGATTTGATCTTCGGTTGGCTTCAAGAAACAGAGGATTGCGGTATCTGAATAGTGGCACAGAGTGAAGGGGTATCTTGGGAATGCAGATCAGGTCAATACCGATGCCATTCCCCACAAGAGCTTCAGTTGTCCTTCGTAGGTTCTCGTACTCGACCTCAAAGACACCGGATCCTGGGCTAATGACGACGATTGAGATACCGGTGCGAAGCAAGTCTCGGTCGATATAGTCATGGGCATACTGCGAGGATGCCAAGCTGATTGCCTCGAGGAAATTGCCGTACATGGCGCGGGACGATTCGGCTTTGATTTTCGTGGCCATGTTTGCTTTATCAGTTGCATCTTCGGAAAGGTTCATGGCGGCGCTCATAACATCTTGGTGGTGCAGGCTGATATCCTTGCGAAACGTGTTGAATTCGCGTTTCAGCTGGTGAAGGATGGTAGTCCACTCGCCGCTGGACATTTCACTCACCACGACGCGGTAAAAGTCCTTATAGGGGCGCTTGTCACCTGATGTTTGATAGCCAGTGTAATAGTCATTTAAAAGTTCACAGCTTGCAAGGTCGGTCGTCAGGCCTGCGTCGTACTCGACTCTTGCAAAGAGCACGATGCTTACAAGGTGCTTAACTTGCAGCATGGCCCATTTCTTGAACAGAGCGGGCAGAAAGCCGTTGACAACCTTGTAGAACAGGATCTCACCAGAGTCATCTGGGTCGAAATCCCACATTTCGCTCGCCATTTGAATAAAGAGAACATAGCGCGCGGATTCGCTCCGGAAGATGGGACGAGTATAGTGAGAGAAGAAGGCCGAGTGGACTTTGCGGCCATCCACGAATACAGAGGTAACGGTTGCCTTGATCGTTCCCATAAAGTATATGGCTTGGCCCTTGTAGACAGTCTTATCCTTGAGCTCGGTGGCTGCTAGCCTCCACATATCGGCACGAGAGAGGTACATGTCTCTGAACGAGAGCTCTACGTGCGAGGCTTCCACTGCCTGTGCCACTTCGTCCACAGGTGCCAAGACAACTTGGCTACCCTTTCTCAGACCAAAAGCATCGCCGACTTGTTTTGCAAGGTAGACTTCAATGTGTGGGTGCCTGGCCTTGAGCTCTTTCGAAAGATCCTTGACCACGAAGATATAGCGTCTCGGCGTTTCGCCCTCCTGCTTGTTGGCATTTTCTTGACTTGAGAGGGCACGCTGGATATTCGCCGGCCGCAAGGATCCGTAGTTGATGCTTGATGTCCGATCTTGGTCAGCTCTCAAGGGGAGTATAGACATGAGGTCGCCAGCTTTGATGCCACCGCCCAGAAGATCGACATTCAGCGCGACCTCGTCATTGAGAAGGGATTCATTGATGGTCACGGTGCAGGTTCTCTCGAGGACCCTTTTCGGAGGCTGCGCTTCTCGGACGGTCGACGCGCTGGAGACGGAACCTGGCGAGCGCGGCGATTCGGACGGCGCCCTGTCGAAGCTCGTCCTACTAATTTGGCGAAGATGCGAGGTCCATTGCGCCGGGCTGCGTCGAGCCGCCGAGGGTGATGTAGTAGTATTTCGAGACATTTCGGTCGACCCTCCGTCAACCCGTGTCGGATCCGTCGGTGTGGGCGTTCATCATCTATCAACAGAGCTCATGGCACGTTTGTGATGCTTGCAAGTAGGTACCGAGCTGTGGTGTTCCGCTGTAGCTCCAGTTTCCAAATCGCCGATAGCTCTTAATTGGGAAACACTAAGCTGCTGCTAAATAGTGCCGTGCACGTCCGCCTTACCAATCCGCCATAAGGCCTTGGCACGACATCATTAAAGCACTTTGTAACAATACGAAATCGAAACATATATTTGTGGTAATTCTCTGATTGTGGTCAAGTATGATTTGATACACTAAAATGAGATGGTGTTTTTTTATCTCACTTTTAATATAATAAAAAAAAAAAAGAATAATTCATTTATCTTCTGTGTTAAAACACACACACACACATTTTAGTTTGGTATTCCTATGTACTTTACAGGGTTGACTCTAAAAGTAATCTCCTTTATAAGCACAGGTTTGACCGTACAGAGGTGCTATTTACGTGTACTTGCAAGCGTAATGCAGTCAAGGAACGACAAGGAAAGTACGCTATTTAATGAAATACGAGATCGTCAAATGGACAGCCTTGGTCCGCCGATTGGCGTTTCGTCTTCTCCATCACCACCTGTCTAGTCAATTGCATGAGACGATCGGCCAGTTTGTCATCCTGAGCAAGCTCGTTACCCGACTCTGGAACCGCTGGCGGACAAATATACTGGCCTGACTTGTCTGTGGCAGTCGCCGCAAACATTGTAGACACGGCACCATCCCACTGATCCTTCTTGAACGGTTCAAAACCGACTGACATGGCATATCCACCGAGGGGATAAGGCTCATGGATATCGTCTTTGCTCATTTTGGTACTGACAAAGCCAGGATGAGTCGCATTCATGAGGACATTCGGATGGCCAGCCTGCGTGACATGCCGATTGAAGTATCTTGCATATAAGATCTGTAGTTCCCCATTGTCAGTATCTGGGTCCTACACGAAGTGATGCAAGCGGGCCTGTATAGCCGGGGGCATTAAATTGTGAGAAAGGATCTCGCAAGGATTGGATTGAACCAAGCAATGAATCAGACTCACACCCGCCAGTTTGCTTCGACCGTATTGCCCATTTGGGCCAAGATCCCGATTGAGCTCCTCAAGGTTCTCGAATTTGGTATCACTGGGCGTGGCTTGATGAGCGTTACTGGCTTGGTTGCTAATTCTGACCACGTTCCCTTGCTCGGCAGTCCTTTTCATCAACGGGAGCAAGTGTGACGTGAGAATGACATGCCCCATATGATTCAAAGCCATGTGCCTATCCACTCCGTAGTCCGTGAGTTGGTATGTCATGATGCCGCGGGCGGCGTTGTTTATCAAGATATCAAGGCGATTGCTTTCTTTCTTGATCTGCTCGGCCATGTCCTTGACTCTCGTCCAGTCGGACACATCGCATTGGAGCCATTGCGTCTTATTCGCGGCTTCTTGGCCCAAGTCCTCAGCGATGGCATTTTTGGCTCCCTTGACAACCTCTTCGGATACGGACAGAATGTAGATCTTGGCAATGTTATGTTTCAGCATCGTGTGAGTGCAGCCGTATCCAATGCCTTCGCTGCCTCCCGTCACCACCGCGACTTTGCCGGTCAAATCAGGGACATCATCGAGACTGAACTGATGTGTGCTCAACTTTTGAGCCGCACCACCAAAGTTCTCTCCAATTGTGTTCTGATATCTTGTCAGGACCACTGTGAAGTAAAAGACAGTGCGGGTGATGACAGGGAAAATCTGTCAGAAACAGTACCTTGATGGTGTCTATGGCTGACTGCATCATGGAGGAAGCAGGTTTTTCCGAATTTGTCTGGCGCTGAAGAGGTGAAGTCGCGTAGTTGCATGCAGCGGAAGGTCGTGTAACTGGTCCCAAATGAAAAGAATACCTCAATCGTCCTTGCAGCCCAAGCACTCGACTCCCTGCGGCTACCCTTTGTTGACTTATAGTGCAGAGTCTGCGGGTGAGTTGTTGACCTGATTGCATCGCCATGTCACTTCGACGTTAGTTGATTACGTTCTTCACTTTTCTATACCCCAACTTTGGCCAGCTTCTATAAGAACAATGAGACTCGGGAGCATTATATCCGCCAACCATTGTTAGAGTTGTATGGTCGACGGATCATGACTAGGGATCAAGGAGGCTCTTGGAGGCGCTACAATGTTAGTCAATGACGCGCTCACTTCTGTTGGGGCAGAGCTGCCATTAGAAGTTTCCGATCTACCGGCTTAATGTGTGAGTGAATCTGCCTGCGCCATTCTGTCGAGACTAAAAATGAATTTGCTTCTAGCGAATAGTCAGTGTGTGTTTGATTTCATTACCTATTGACCTAATGTTCTGGTATCAAAATTAGAAGACCTGGCCCAAGTATCATGAGCGTATGTTGTGAGAGGTGGTAGTTCTCGCAGTGTTCGATAGACAGCGCATGCAAGGCCCTGATTAGCGCTCGTCATGCCGCTTCGGGCCGCCAAGAATGGGGAATTAGGCTACATTAGTGCAAAGGAAGGTCCCTAACCTGGGTCCGTTCCCCCCACCCGGGAAAGCTTCTCCAATCATCCAAACAATAGTCGGCATCACTTTTGTTTCGGCCTGGTCACTGAGTACAGCAACGATATCCAGCATGGCCGATCCCTCTCATGTTACCGCGGCACGTGTTTGACGTATCTAAATTGTCGTTACAGCTGAGGTCTTGGTCGCCACGACTGCTTGTGCAATCGCCTTTCACACTCGGGCATTTTATCAATCTCGTGATCAAGGCTAAAGACTGTGCTCACCAAGTTGCGCGATCGCCAGCTGCCGTATCCGGACCCAACTCCAGGATGTGTACACAGCAGCACAGCATTAAAACATGACTAGATGCTCTTGGCACCCGAGGACGGTGTCGCCAGTCGTAAATAACTGCTACATGAGGTCTAATGACTGCTCGCGACATTACTGTTGGTAATGAGACTGGTAGAGAGACACCATTGCCTAGCACAGCCCACCTAGACCAATCGTGTCAAGTTGCGACCCAGCACTGTCTGAAACCCGACATCATAAGTAGCAAGAAGATGGCATCCCGGTCCGGGAATCTAACAAGCTTTATTTACCCTAGCATCGTTGTGCATAGCTGATAGATCAGATACGACCTTCCGGAATTACGAAAACGCTTTGGTATTCTATCTGGGTAATACCAAGCTGCTTCTAATCCAATGAATTTGCCGAGTTCAACACCTGCCGTCGGCTCCAGTGTTCTGCCTAGCCACAGATGGTCGATGTCAGGTTTCCGCATTTTCTTCACTGTCTTGGCAATACTCTGATGCCCATGTCTGGAGTCTCACCCGGCTTCTGCCCCATAAGATCTGCTGGGTAACAAAGCGCTGTGCGTCCTATCGGGGCCGAGCCGACCCTGCTTGCGGCAGTTTGCGTTTGAAGCTCCGTCGGGCCAGGCAATGCAATGAACCTCTTTAAGCAATGACTCTGATCTTTGTCTTTGAACATCTTCTGAATATGACCTGTCGTGTCATCATCTCTTTGATTCTGATGAAAAAAAAAAACACTGTTTCCGAGTCACTCATGAAGTCCTAGCTCTGGCCACCACGATATTTGTCCTGCCGGCCGCTCTTGGCCTTACTGCTGCTGCCTTTTCTGCAGATAATCTTGCAGATTACGATTGAGGATCTATCTTTCTGAATTTTTCACCAGGGATATGGCGTTCATCAGCATAACCTCGACCCAAAAGCTGAGCGCTATAATTGTAATCTCTTTTGCATTTTTCGTGGCTGAGGTCGCTGGTCAGTCATTCCAAGTCGACTCTTTGGATAAAGACAATCCCTAAGCTGATTTTTTATGGCAGTTGGATTCAAGACTGGATCTCTTGCCTTGGTCGCCGATGCATTCCATTATGTAAGCTGCATCATTCAGCATCCTTCTTATACTGGCTAACGATTGTAGCTCAATGATTTAATCGGATTCGTCATCGCCCTTGGCGCCATTCTGGTATGTATAACATCAAGTGCCAGGAAGCATTCCTTGCTGATATACTTGTCAGGTTACTCAACGTGCTACATCGCCAAAGGACTTTTCGTTCGGTTGGGCCCGGGCATCACTACTTGGTGCTTTCTTCAACGGGGTGTTCTTACTGGCACTAGGCGTCTCCATCTTCCTCCAGTCCATCGAGCGTTTTGTCTCAATACAACGTAAGGTCTCTGTCTGATCAAACCTCGGGCCTTGCTGATATCTGGCTAGATGTGGAGGATCCTAAACTTGTCCTCATCATGGGCTGCATTGGGCTCACGCTCAATATTTTGAGTGCTGCATTGCTGGGTCACGATCATCATGGGCACGATCATGGCCACGGGCATAGCCACGGGCATAGCCATGAGTATGGACACAGTCACGATCATGGGCACAATCACGACCATGCTGGTCATGATCACGAGCTTGGTCTGAGCCCTGGCCATAGCCACACCCACGATCATGGCCGTACGCAAGTCACGGGGGACGATGCTAGGTATTCTGGGCATGGTCATGAAGAAAGACTGAGCCAAGACCATGCCACAACAAATGATCGATCACCAGCTCAAAGCGTCCATCAGCACAACCGCGGGCACCACCCAGCAAACATGGAGTTGGGAATGATTAGTACAGAGAGTACGGACCGAGCACCAATGACAGTAAGGTCCTACTTCCATTTTAACAAGAGACATTCGCTTATAACACTTACAAATGTAGCCCATAAGCGCTCATGCCAATCATCGTCATAATATCGCCAAACTTTCTGCACCTGGTCGCGATCTTGGCATTATGGGCGCACTCATCCATGTCATTAGTGATGCCCTCAATAATATCGGCGTCATCATCGCGGCACTCGTCATCATGTTGACCAAGTACGATGCCAGATTCTACGCTGATCCCGGTGTGAGCCTGGGAATATCATTGATGATCCTTCTCTCGTCGATACCTCTGGTCAAGAACAGTGGCAAGATACTAATGCAAAGTGCTCCCCGAGGCGTGGATTTCGATGACGTGAAGCATGACCTTGAAAAGGTAATATAAGACTCAAGCTAACCTTTTGGAAAGTTTTTGTCTAACATAAGTCAGGTCCCCGGAGTCGAATCAGTCCACGAACTGCACATCTGGCGCCTCGACCAGCAAAAGGCCATCGGGTCTGCACATGTAGTTGTCTCAGAAGACAATGTGACGAGCTTCATGGACTCGGCCAAGACGATCAAGGAGTGCTTGCATGCATATGGGGTGCACTCGGTGACGCTCCAGCCCGAACTCGCACAATCGCGACCCCCGACCTCGTACACCACCACCACGGGGGTCGCGGCGGCAGAGACCGCAACGCCAGTCAATGGCACCACGCCGTCCATTGCTGCCTCGTCGCTTAGAAGGCGGCGAGTCGATGAGACGGCCTGCCAGATGGTTTGCGGAAATCTGTGTGAGAATTTGACTTGCTGCGCTGGTCCTTCGAGGATGGTCTGAGTCGACGGGCAAAGAATAAGTTACGAATGGCGCAATTTTGGGAATCCTTGGAAATATGGGATGGGAATTTTGATTGATACCCGCTTGGCCATGTATTATTGGATGAAAAACCACCTTGTTCATACATACTGTGGAGGGCATGAACTCGATCGGTATGGGCTCGGTTCTAGCTGAGCTGATGACCCCAAGCTTTCGCATGGAGGTGCACATTATTCATAGTCATGATTTCCATGGATACTGTCACCACTATATCTTTGTCTCAGCTTTTGTACTATGGTATCTCTGCTTGACAAGCATGCTACCCTTGATGAATGTGAATGATGTAGGTTTCCAAGCTGTGAATGAAACTGTAATAATCCAGCAATAGCCCTCAGCCGCAAAATACATGGTGCATATTTATTCTTTGAAATGTAAACACAGCTTTGTCATCAATATTTGCCAGAGACAGAATTGCATCAGTTTTGTCCCCGATTACCAAAACTGAGGAATGCCATTCAACACATCATGGACCGGAGCGGATAATAGATGGTCACTGCTTGCGCATTTTCAGGACCTTGAACTCGGTGGGTAGGGTAACGATGCGAATGAACGGAAAGTGACTAAATCCAACTCAAATTGTATTCGAATAATCGTTGACATCTAGCAAATCGTGGTAGGCTAAGATTTTGATTCAATATCAAAATGTGTCTCAAGCTAGGTACTCAGCATCTCGGTGTGTTGCCACCATGGTTGTATACCTACGGGATCTGCCCAAAACAAAACCACTTTCCTGGATGAGAGTGCAAAATCACCAGCTGATGACCTTGAGACCATAATTCTTCATGTCCATGGCGAAACAAATTTGCACATGCAGGTGACTACTACTCGGCAGCACAGCTTATTAGCCATGTGCCCGCAGACTATCTGGCTGCCTAGGGAATAGTCCACATGAAAGCTATTCTCAAACACGTTCTCGAAGAAGCTAAAACACTCGCCTATAGATGCAATCCACGTGGCAAAGGTTCTCCAAGGTCACGGATCCAAAGAAGGACTACCCATCACTAGTACAAGGAGTTATTTATTCCCACTTTCAAGCCTTGTAGAGATTCAGTCTCATGACAGTGATGTTTCTAATTTTGGTTGTATGCCCTTTCAGATCTCATGTATACGTACTACGTACTACTACTGGATTCTATCATGACCTACACGATGCTATCAAGAAACATTGCGGGATGCGTTGGCAATCTCAATGCGTTTGTGGCGGTGAGCGCTCTAGCTCCAGAATTCCCCTGAGCTGAAAGTATGGGGCTTATCATTGTTGTCTACGGGGAGAGACAGATAAGGAAACCAGATGAGAAGGATTACTACTCTGTACTGACCATCAACCGTGTCACTTATTATCGGCAATGCCGCATAACAACAAAGAGGGGAGCAGATGTACGTATTGAGCCTTTTTCTTGCATTGCTGTATTTTTGTTTACCATGTTTGCCGCGACTATGCTACCTACTGGGCCCTTGCAGATCCTTTTTTTTCAGTCCGGATCCTCGCCCCCCCCCCTTCTGGATCCTCGTCCCCCCCCCCTCCACTTTCACATACAAAAAATGTCTGTGCACTGCACCAGCCACGGCCAAAAACTCCACTTAGACCCACTAGCCACAACCTCAATTGCACGCAAGCCACTAGAAAAGGTACATATCCTCAAAACACCATAAATCCACGATATTTTATTCAAATAAAATGGGAAAAATGCGCAAATACGTTAGGATTAGCTATTAGGGTTAGTTAGCTTAGTTAGTGGTTAGGGTTAAGGGTCCGGGAGCTCGAGGGGCGGTGTGAGCCCTTCGTAATCTGGTATATGGTATTTGGTTGTGTGCGTAGGTACCTATCCAAGGGGGGGGGGCGAGGATCCAGAAGGGGGGGGGGCGAGGATCCGGACTGCTTTTTTTGGTCCCTCTTCTCCACGAAGAAGGGCGAGGAGGGGCCTTGCAAAGTGAGAAATCATTGGTAAGCGACAAGGGTTTTGTGGTAGCTTTGGTTGATCAGTAAGAGACGACTTTCTTTGCAATGCGCCGTTTCGACAGATCCGTGGGTATTCCGATAAAAGATCGTCGCTCTCTCTCAAGATATACTAGTGGTACGTATGTACACGTGCTTCGAGGTGCTGATCCCGGCGCTATGGTGCTTGCGGCAAGGTCCCTTGGGTCCCTTCGCCGCTGTGCATCTGATTTGCGGGGAGGGGAATGGAAATTCTAGTGTATGTGGTGTAGGTATGTAGGTAATGTATACGTATGTAGTGTTAATAGCCTCCTAGATTGCCTCACCGTGGGGGGAGGGGTCGCTCTCCGCCTGAGGGGAAGACATGGAATTTGGGAGATTGGGGGGGAAACTTGACAAAATCCAGGGTCCAGATCCTACGGTCCAGGTACCCGGCAGACCGATTTACGGAGAAAAGCGTTTCGCCCATCCAAGGTTCCTGACTCCTGGAGCCTTGTTGGTAGTATTCTTTCTGTCTTTTGTGGCAGGCAGTCTGAATAAGAGAATGGGGAAAAAAAAAAAAGCAAGTTCTCGACGAGTCCAACCTTGAACTAGGTATTGCACGTGCAGGTTCCTGGGGAGAGGAAATGATATTGAATGGTAAATGCTATCTAAGACATTTCCTGGGTGCTCCCGTGAGCTAGAACTTAGAAGCCACCGGCGCACCTCTGCCGAACAAGAGCGGGAACTTTTGTTCCACGTATACGCAGCTGGAGAGAAGGAAGGGGATTGCGAAAATTCAATATCATGTCATCTGTAAGCCACCCCAAGAGCTACCTAGATTGAGATCAACTGCGGCCCGAAAAGATCTGATAACAAGCACAACGAAACCAGGGATTGATGCCCAAAAGCCTGGCTCGGCCAGCTCACCGGTCTGAACTTGACCTGCCATTTCAGGAGCTGATTGGCTCGGCCGGGTTTTGGTGCTAACCGAGCTCGATCACCCCTCTGCTTGTCCGGTTCATCATGTTCACTGAAAGTGCAACCAGCAACGAATCCTCGGAGATGATCCTCATTCTATCCAACCACTGATGGCGCTACCGTTTGTTCTTCCCAGCAATAGCCATAGAGCTGTTGGCTGACGGACGAGCGGACAGGCAGGCAGACCCCCAAGGCCGCTTGAGCCCTGTCCTTCCAGGTGAGACTCTTTCTGCCGCACCTCGAGCAACAGTGAGGTCAACGTTGTTTGCACCTGGCCGGCTGCCGGTATACTTGATGCCTGGCTCGTAGCGCATGTAATGTTGCACGGATTATCATGCAAAGTTGCCATGATCTTCGAGACCGTGCCCATTTACCCGTGAGCACTGCATACTACATGTATACCATGAGAGCAGTAGTAGTTAGAATTCAGCGTGCATCCATGTACCGAGTTGAAATGCACCCCGCAAGACGTTCAGCTGCTTCGTGCAGATAGGTGATGTTTTGACAAACAGGGCTGACATGCGCAATACTAGGTACTACTACCACCGTCTGTGCGACCATGTGCCACGATGCAGCAGCAGTGCAGTCAGTAGTGGACATTGCTGTAATATCGAAAAAAAGCTGTCATGTGCTGGACAACAGCACTCAATAGAGGAGAGGCAGCCTCGTTGATCTATTAGTTTCTTGGTCAAGTCTCGTAATTTTTCTGGATTATTAGACGGCTATAACCAGAAACAGCATGTCTACCCTTTATCATGTCTAGTCGCTGACTGTTGGCACCATTTAGCCAATAAGGTTGCGACTCCAGTCCCAACTATGGCGGATCGTTGGACCAATATACACGGCAAATCGCCCGAGGTGGAGTGCAACGGCTTTGCTGCCGTTCGGAGTTGCCGCTCACCAGCACTGATCATGGCGAGGAACAAACGCCCCGCGGACATATCGCGGCATCTGAAGCGAGTTCAGGTTTCGCTGCGTCATCCCGAGGCGAGGGATCTCTACCTAGGTATGGCCTGCCAGCTTCAACAATGTGCATTTCTACTGTAGTACGTATGACGCAAATGGTTGGGAATGCAATTAGGAACGCGCCAAAACGAGCTCAAGGCCTTCAAGAATGGCTCCTCAATTTTTAAGTCTCTGGTGTTGGGGGATATGAGTCTGGACATTCTCATGACTGGCAACTTGCCCCCCCGATCGTCCCGTTCTTTGTCGAGTGCGCCACAGCGGAGGGTCGCTAACGCACCAGGTGCATGCATATAATTTACTTGACATATACTACAGCGAGGTATCAAGGTATGTAGAAGCAAAAGTAAGTAGATATGCATGCATGCATGCATACAAGCTCTGGAGTAGTTGCCTATGCCCTCCTCTAGCCACAGCTACTGGCGATGCAAGAGGATGCGAGCCAATCTAGCCATTTTGTCAGATCGACTACAAGCTGGCAGTCAGCGGGTAGCATGCAGACGTACACACTTTTGGCTTGGTTGGACAGCCCTTGAGAGTTTGGGTCTTGTGTCTTGGCAACTCACCTGAAGGTAATGTGAGGCGGTCTAGTTCCATATGCTATACCCAGGTACGTAAAGTAATTACCAGAAATGTGCGACCAAATTTCCGCCTGCCCAAGGTTTTCCTACCTACTAGCCAATCGAAAAACCATGGGAGCACACAATAGACCACGGAATTACGGAGAAGTTGTGTATACGGAATACACCAAGGCAATAACAAACGCGGCGTGTGATGATTCCGGCAGTGGGGCTAGGTACGCAGACCATCTTTAACTAACGTGCTGTGGGACAAGCAGAGTGCTGAGCAGACTCTGCTCAGCAGAGTGGGAATGGGCACACTAAACCAGCCGCAGATGCTGACTGATGGGGATGTGCCGTTGCCGAGCCTCAGGTGATTCCAAGCGGAGACGGCAGCTCTCTTCTTTCTTGCTTTTACAGTTTACACGAGGAAATCAGATGACATGCATCACGACTATCCACAAATCCTCCAACGGTGCCTGGCTGGCAAAGAGAGCCCACTACCACGTAAACAAGAAGTGCGCCGCGGCGCTCGGCCGTCCGTGAGTGCGCAAGACCAAGTACGACAACGATGCCTGCGAGTTGAACAGACAAGTCGCGCGCAATAGATGGAAACAGGTTTTGAACTTTGCGATTGTAGTCGTTTAGGTTTTGATATTCGATGGTTCGATCCAAGGGCAACAAGGAGTATCAAGCATACGGAATAGAGAAATCTGATCTTCCCACACAGCGGAATAGATACACAGTAGTATTTCGATCACCAAGACTTTATCTATCCAAAAAGTAGATTGCCGGGACAAGGTTGACAGGTAGGTTCCGTCAAAGCTTGACTCATTGCAGAGCAACGTATGAAATAGAGCTAGCCACTAGCCGACCTGCGGGTTATGATCGGCCGAAGGAATACCCATGGAGAATCACCTACCGACCTACCTTTGTACATGCGCGATTTGTTTTTTTTTTTTTTTTTTTTGGCAAGTGTATCAACGTCAGCGTGTCTCACATTCGTTATATGCAGTTGAAAGTGTCCATGAAGTAATGTATTTTGCATATTGCTTTTCTATTGATACGGGCCGTGAATCGGATACTTATCGTGTTCGTTCTGGCCAGTGGTTGATCTTGGATCGTCGAGGTAAGTATTGCAGTAGGTATGATCAGAGACGGACCCATCCCGACCACGTCTAAGAAGCACCAAGCCCATCTCACCTGGTTGCTGGCAGTGTATTATACTACCCGGTGGATTGGTATGTATTAGTGTACTCAGTCCCACAGCCGTTTAGTCATTGCGCCGAAACTATGCATATGAGGAGGGAGGAAAAAAGAATATCCTTCAAAGCAAAATTTGCGTGTCCATCGAGACGCCGAGATACCCGTAGGCAGGTCATACATGTCCGATGTGTGACTATTATGTACGTAGTGTAGATCACCACTCACGATCCTGTTGTTTTCTACGACGATCCAGAATATATTGGCGGGTTCAATACAGATTAGTGTTACTTCCATGCCAATCTACCGACAGACATTGCCGCCGGAGGAATGCGGTGCCCCCCAGAGAGTAGCATCCCAAGGGCAACTTCTTTTTTACTATGTACTGAGAAAATGACCCAAGATCAGCGCCACGAATAGAGCACATTTGTGTGATACCACAGCACTACATTTTCTCCTTCCCGTGGGCAATGGGCTGTTGATGTTTCTCGCTTGGCGTTATGGGCTGCATGCTCGCTGCACACCCATGTCTGCACTCGCAGGCAAAGGTGGGAACCCCACAGCCCAGCGAATTGGGTTGGGAATATTCTGGAGAAGAAGACCCTTGGACGGGCTGGACTGGCTGAGAGGGGAAGAGATCCATCAACGTTGCCCCCTCCAGTCTACTGTACGTGCTGTATCGAGGCCGGGTTGTGCGCACTCGCAGGTATTCTGGTACCTGTCGAGCTTGCTACTGGCGGCCTGTGTCAGTGGTCACTGATCAAGAGCAACTACTTTACCTACATACCTGCGTGACGCAGCTAAGCACATGTCTCTTGTATTTCCGCAGAGCGCTACTGCACCTAGAGGTCAACTAATGTAAGGTAAGGTAAAAGTCAGCCCAGAACGTTGTTACTATTTTTCCTTACGAGCAGATACACTACACACTCTCTTTTGTTCTCTCTTTCACCGCCAGACCGTGGTTTGGCTTCTGATAGCGGCAACGGAGCCCAGAGAGAGAGAGCGCGAGGGCTCGAGCATCAAGTCAGGCCCCCAACATCGCCCTTGACCTTTCATCAGAGAAGAGTCGCATGTTACAAACATTTCGTATTAACAGACCCTGACATCCAAGCGTTATGTAGGAAGTAGGAAGGGAGCTGAAGTCCCAAACCATCCATAGACGGGACACTGGAGCAGTCTGGCTTACACGAGACGGTGATGATCAAGCTGAAATATTTGAAAAGAACACCAACCTGCTTCTTCGTCTCATTTGTGTAGTGTACTATGAGGTAGATGAAGGAGAGGCTAGAGGATAAAACATCGTCTATTGCAAAAAGCTCCGACATGGTACCACTACTACCACCCAGATTGGTGTACGTGGGGCAAAATGAGACAAACCATTGATAACAAAATACTCTGGCTGACAAGCGTCCCTAGCAAATCTGCTGGTTTGTCAGGCAGTGCTCGCATCCAGGGACCAGTATTCAGTATCGATATGGTAATAGTTTGGCATCTGGACGAGATGTGACCACTTCTTTTTTTTTTTTTTTTTTTTTTTTTTTTCCCTTCTTCTCCCCTCTTGGATCCTCTCCCCCCTCCATTTTCTTTTCATTTCTTTCCTACAGTAGATCCAAATCGGTGGTTACTCCAAACCCGATCCGCCGGCCCATCGTTCGCGATCTATAAACGACTACCTGATGTAGTGACTTTTTGTAAATTTCAGCGGTGCAAAAGCACATGCTCAAACGAATAATAACAGAAAAGAATAGAGAGTGACTTGTAATAATCCAACAAGAGTGCAAGCCTGTATGAACAAAACTGCCCGTAGCTATCTACCTCCTACTCTACATACCTTAGTACCTCCATTTGATTACAAAGTCCCCCGCCTATTGATACAGAGCCCGCTACATAGTACATACCTCAGGGCACTCACTGTTTTTGCGCTACCAGCACGCGACCAGTGAGACGTCATATCGCTGGACGAGCTAGACCGGGGCCCATGCAACCCGGAATTGGCCCCATCCCATTCAACCACCTTTGGACTTGGGATTCCCATGTTCGCGCAGTACGAAATTACTTTCTTGCCTGCCTTAGTACTTAGGTGCCGCCATTCCATTCCATGCTGCCCCATCGTCGAGCTTCTTTCTTCTAGGTCACGCACCCAGTTGACCAGCCGTCGACTTGTTCTTGTCGAATCTTTACCAAAGGAAAGAAAAAATAAACAGGACTGGGACCTGTTGTCCCATTTTATTCTTTGGAGACAACAAAACAGGACCGACCACCTGCGCTGCGCGTAAACTGTTAAAAGGCTTTTCCCCGGAAGTGGTTGCGCGGGGTGCTTCTTCGCACGCCTTCTCCAACAGAACCAAAAGAAGGACCCAAGAAAAGCAATCAGTCGGCATCTACACAAATCGCCCCGTCTCATATCCGTGCCGGCAATCGGAGCCACCTCAATTCGCTACTAGTCCAGCGCCCGCAGCAATCCACGCTTGCAAGCAGAGCAACACCAGCATCACAACACCGCTGCAGGCCGTTAAACTTCACGTCAACCTGAACTGACTTTGGCGAGCGACTCTTCTCAGTGGTTCATCCCAACCAGGAAATACACGACAGATCCAAACAAATTCTCTCTTGTCCCGCTCCGTCGCGCCAAAAACACGCAAAGTACATACAGTACCAGTACACCTCGCCTCCATCCGCCCCCATCCAAGTAGTACATCGGCGCGCCCACCTCTTTCCTCCACCACGACGAGGGGCAGCTCACTCCACAGAGCATCCGCTGCAAAAGGTCACCACCTTATCTGTCTTGTCTTGCGTGACAATGATCCAGGAAGTCATTTGCGGCTTGATCATGGAGTCCCGTTGAGATCGGAACCACGTTTTGCGTGACATACGTTCGAATTAGGCCCCTCAATCAGGACCCCCCGAGCTCGCACGCTCGAGACGGACGGCTTGAGGCGCCTGCACCTTGCCTTTGAAGCCCGCTATGTTGGGCAAACTATTCAATCTCACTTCGGGCAACACCGCCGCATCGTCTTCCCAGACTACTTATTCATCAGCAAACGAATCCCCCGAGTCCGTCCAGGAGGAAATTCACACCCGAAGCTTGCTGTTCCCGGATACACAGACTCTATACGGCCGCCAGGACCAGGTTTTCCCGCTATCGACCACTGCCTTCACAGCCAATGCGCCCAGCGCTTTTGACTATGATGGCGAGGTCGATCTGGATGTTCGAGATGTCCGGGTCATTGTCATGCAGGACAGCCTAGGGTCTGTCAACCCTTCGCTGCTCTATGACAGCCACCCGCCCCCGCCTGTACCTGCCACGGAAACTCGCAATTCTCCCGGGACTGCTCAGCCACAGATCTTTGTAAAGGATCTCCGCCGGAACCCGACTTCACCCAGAAAGACAAGTCTTAGCTACTCCCGGCCCATGGTCATCCAGCCAGACAGCCCGCAGCCGCGTCAGGGCGCATTTGATCGACGCTCGTCGTTCCAGACACGCACTTACACCACTGCAGAGAGCGAAGCCCAGAGGGCTCAGCGGGAGTACCGTGAGGAGCTTGCAAGTTTTACAAATTGTATCTTCTCGAATACAGAGGTCATGTCATATAAGGGTACTTCCACCAAAGTTCATATTGTGCCCAGTGATTCTCGGCCAGATGTCTCTAGCTCGTTCGCTGGGGATGGGAAAGGATCCGTGGGCAGGGCAAGTATGCGGTCAAGCAGGCTTTCCCAATCTTTCACTGCTGAGTCCGCATCAGCGCCATTTGTGTCCAACACAGCAGGCAGGGCGGCAGACCGCAAGAAAATACTGGTCACACGTCTTTTTCCAGTCAACCTCCCTAGTGATGATCCTGAGACACCCAATGCGACCGTGACGCCTCACAGTCGCTTCTCAGAAGATGGCAGCGGGTTTCCATTCCCATATTCTCCTGATGAGAATGGAATGAAGAAAAAGAAGTCGCAACCGAAGCAGAAGCGCACTCCGATGTACGCTGTCGCTTTGGTACTTCAGCTACCATCTAATACCATGCAACAGCCACCATCGACAGGGAAGACTCCGTTCAAGGGCGCCAGCTCATATACTGAGCAGGACTCATTTCCCTCCTCCTTTAGCTCAGCAAGGCGCTCAGGGTGGACCATGGTTGGTGCTGGATACGGCGCCGAATCAATTGACTCTACTTATAGCAATGAAGTTGAGGACAAGATGGATGCCATTACGCAACACTGGGATATCATCATGAGGACACTCACACACCTGCAGTCCATAGTAGCCACATCCTTGTTTCCCATGCTGAAACAAGCCGATCATAGCTCGCCGGACCCGCAGCAGCCGTCAATGTCTGCCCAGGTCGCTCGGAATCCCTCGATAAATAGTCGACGAGGGTCAAATGCATCGCAAATTCAGATGAAGCCTCCAAAGACGAATGCTAAACTCATAACCCTACCACCAAACTGCCTGATGCAGGAACAGCTGATCAGCCGCGAAATCGACAGTGCTCGTGTGCGGATCATCACTGGACTGCGCGCCACGAGAGTCGTGACAGGCCAAGGGCGATGGGGCCCGTGGCGGGAAGAGGCTCGATGGGTCGCAAAATATGCTGGCGCAAAGGAGCAAGGTTTCTTCTTCTTCAATCTCCTCACGGGGTTTCTAGCAACTCACACCGATTGGCTTCAAGCATTAAGTCCAGTGTGGTATCGAAGGCGCCACTACCAGCAACAAAAAGCAAAGACAGAAGAAGATACTTCTCTCCCAACACGCACCATCATTGTCTCCAACGACAAGATGGCCGCCCGTCGATTGGTCTTCTTGTTGTCTGCATTCCTCCCTGCCAACCAACAAGTGCCCATCATCCGCCCTCAGAGACAGACTTCGGCGTCCTTTTCGCATTCACCACCGTCCTATGTGATTCCGATACTCAAAGAAGAATCTTTGCGGCGAAAAATCAATCGCAAGCCTCCGGGTCAAAGGGGAGCCTCTCACCAGCGAAGCTTCAGCATCCAGTCTCACGCTACAACCAGATCGGCTTTCGGCGTTCCAGCACAGTTGGACCATTTGAGCATGGATACCTTTCACGGAAGACGAGGTTCCGATGCCACGTTGTTCAAGCCAACAGCGCTCTCAAATCAAGGTAGTGATGCTATCACTCGGGTGAGCAGTGCTGCCACTACGAACACGGTCCTCCCAGATGCCGCTGTGCCTCATTTTACAAGCATCCACAGGTCAAACACCCGACGCTCTCATAGACCGGGCAGCAGTGGGAGTGTTGCTGCGGATGATTTAAAAAGGACACTTAGGAGAGGCGACGGCGCGAGCCAAGGAAGCAACACCAGCGGAGATTCCCACCGGCGCAGCTCCAATTGGGGCAGTGTCATTAGTGGTCTTTGGAGTGTTCGTCGACGAGAGTCGAGTTCTGGCACAACTCCCACACTTGACCTATCGCCGCGTGACAACGTACTGGGCTCACCGTCGAAACCCACAGAACGGAGAGACAAGCTCGCTGTGAAGGCAAATGACGGCGTTGCAGTTGATACCCCAATGAAGGAAGAGTTCGATAGCCCCATAAACCCTACATTTGGCATTACAGGCCAGGCCGACACGCCGCGTACATTGGAACGGAAAGGATTCCCTGAGCTCGACGAAGCTGCGAAAAGAGTTCCGGATCCATCAGGCGCTTTTGAGAGCCCCGTCAAGACCTCCATTAGCGCAGATGACGGTGTCATAGATGTTGATATCCAGTTCCCCGACTACCTGACATCGTTGGAGTCAGCTATCAGCTCGCCATCGAGCAGTGGATACCTTTCGACCCCTGGCTTTGGTACAGGCATCGACAGCTTTGAGCAATTTTCAAGGGTTGCTGTTGACGGAGAAGCACCGCTTAATGTCGCTGGCTGGCTTCAACAATTCCATCCGGATTTCGCTTTGCAGGCGATCCCACCACAGCCAGACTTGCTTGAAAGAGTCAAGGAATCCCTCAAAGCAGAGCCCACTCCATCGTTTCCGTTTCACCAGCTTCCAGTCGAATGGGCCGCCGAACAATGGGTCGATGTGAGCAGTGCTATCGTGGCTGACACCACAACATTCACGATAAAGCGCATCCGATTTCGACGTTTTGTTAAGCCAAAACACCCTGCAGAAAGGGGAGGACAGCTTTCGAGCTCAACGAATCCGTATAGCGCATCCCTAGTGACCCCAGCTCTTTCTCCTTATGAACAGCCATTGAAGGAAAAGTTCGAAGAAGAGGTGCTCTTTACATGGGATGAGTCCTTGATTGAAGCTGTGGAAAAGGTCATTGCCCACGTGGTGCCCAACAGCCAAGAGAGTTCAACGACAAACTCGTCGCGGTCTGTGAGTAAGAGGCGGGAAAGAAGCGATAGTGACGCTTCTGAGCCAGAGCTACACACAGCAGCGCCAGCGCCGAGTCAGCCCGAATCTCAAGAAGTACATCGTGCTGAATGCAAGACTGTTGTGCTTTCCGCGCTGGAAAACATTGTTCAAGCAGTGGTTGATGAGCGCGATAAGGAGGGTGAGTCATCCAAAATGAAGGTGACTTATGACACGAAGAAGGATAAGGAAAGCGTTTTGAGAAGAGCGATCAGGACGTGGTTGGAAACTGTTGAACTGGGAGAAGGAGCCTGATGAGACTGGCAACGGACGAGCTGTGGCCAAAGAGCGGTGCTTGGTGCTTGCTGATTGATACCCACAAGCCGTGCAATTTCCCCCACGAATATTCGGCTTCATCGGAAGCGATGAAGCATGTTGCGTTGTTACACGTTACGAAGAGCTAGACACGTTGAGATACCCTATGAGCAATTTGATTTTAAGCTACACTGTTGAATTTTCAGTCTTTCAGCTCAATGATTTGCATGTGTGATGTCAGCTCATTCAGTAGCAGCACTGCCATTGACTTGAGTTTTCATTCCCTTGCATCCTTGGTAGCGGTCACTTCACGCTTAGTAGCCTAGTGTGTAATTGAATCCTCCATCGTCGACGTATTCGGCGCAGATGGTATCGGCGTTCAAATCCATGACGTCTCCAACAGTCACGTTTGCCCGGAGGTCGTGGGTGTAGAGGACGTGGCCGAGCGTGGTTGTGTTGCTGTCTCCGTCGCCACTGTAGTCGGTAGTAAACTTGTTTGGCTGGGACAATCCAAGGTAGGAGACCATGATGTCCAGCTCCATGTTTCTGCCGCCCATATCATAGAGGCGGTTTTCCTTGTCTTGTAGCTGCCACTTCCACCATGCGCGGTCGAGCCAGGCGTGGTGTAGGAAGAAGAGAGGGTCTCCGGAAGATGTCACGGCGTTGGCCATCTAGAAGGAGAAGTTAAAACACAAGAGATTAGTTGTAATTCATAGATTTACCGTCCGGGTCGCCCCGCCAACTGTACTGGGGAATATTTACCAGTCCTTCTGTTCCGCCGACACCAATGTGTCCGAGACCGTGAATGTTGTTGCTGCTGCACTCCCAGTAAGTGGTATAATTGCTATAATCCTTGCACAGATCCCAATTGTCAGGGCCTTGGATATTGTTAGTAACTGGACTATTCGTACACGGTCCTGAACTCGAGCCGACGAAAAGGATTCCCCATCCCCCCTCGAAGGGACATACCTAGGTCGAACCGAGTCTGGTTGAATTGTCGCGACAGGCAGTCGTGAGCAAAGTTGCTCGTCATATTCATGACCAAGGTGATGTTGGCAAACGGGCCGTCGGAGATGCAGTACTTGTTGTTGGGATCGCCATCACCGCCAAAACCCATGACGGGGTCGAAGATGGCAGACTCGTTGAGGGGGGCAGTTGCCTGGTCCTTGAGCTCGTCCCCTATTTTCAATGGATTTGGTAAGTTATGTGTACTCCTGATAGTTGATACAATATGAAGGCCGAGTGTGGAAGAAATACTTACAGTAAGGGAGAGCACCAGTGTAGTTGCAATACTCTTGCAGGTCGAGCTCAAGCACCTTGATGTACCAGCGATGCCACGCCAGGAACTGGCCCGAGTCGTGAATATAGTTGGCCATGCTAATGTGGACGTAGCTGAACTCGTCCCATCGGTTCTGCGCGTTCCAAATTGTGCCTGTCCGGGGCGGAATTTCCATCAAGCACTTGTTGGCGCGAAGAAACTCTGATCGCTCGTCGTCGTTCAGGACATTCCACGACTTTCTTTGGTTCAACAAAGTACAAGTGCCATTACGCTTGGCCAGGGCGTTTGCGTTTACCACGGCCAGCAGTCCTACCAGTACGGGCGCGAGTCGTGAAAATCGTAGTGATACCATGATGTCGAACTCGATATCAATGATCTGCTGGAGAATGGCGGGAGATCGTTGGAATGGTGGACATCTTTCCCCCAAGAGGAAATGTTCATCCTTTTTATATCGTGCTCCATGCCTGCTGGCCCAGATCCGGTCCATATGCGTATGTCAAGGGTGGCTTGGGGGTCTTGCTGTTTATCATCATCATCGGGTAGGACGATTACGAATGGGCGGTGGGTCAACGCGGGCGGCTGTGGAGGGAATATTCAAAAGGTACGAGGCGAAGCCGTTGCTATTCTATCTTCTCTCCAGGAACGATCGGCTCCAGGAGCGGCATTGGTTGTGTTAGTCTGCTCTGCAGCAGCCTTATGAGAGTTTTGAACGAGTAATACAACCTATATCCTTGGTGGTTGCCCCAGACTAGGCAATGAATAGTGGATAGCCCACGCCGCGTAAATTTCCATATTCGGCGCTGGCGCGGATGGGTAATCGAGGACGTTTAGCTCTGTCAGCATTCTATACTCTACAGTCTGGTACTATTTAGCTACCGTGCTCCGGGGTGACGCGTCCCCGATGCTCAACGCCGACATGTACTCCACGCGGATCCGGGCAAACCGCGCTTATACATGGATTATATTTAGTATTGCAACTCCAAGGCCTTGTTCATCGCAATTCCGAGTACCTTTCACTTTATACAGCCCCTGGTTGGCAACTCGTGCACTTAAACGAGCTGACCCGCCCAGGAACCATTATTTGGTCGAGGCTCATGGCAAGCCCAGACATTAAAACTTCGGGTTCCCTCCTTTATTTGGGAAACTCCTGTCTGTATGAATCTCTTAGCCGCTACAGCTGCTATATGTATGGCCGATCGCGAATTACAGCCACGTATTCCCACGTATAATGGAGTCATTAGCCACCGAGTGACGATTGCCTCTGCCTCCTTGGTTATCGTCTCCTGCGCCGTTTTATTTGCATACGCCTCAGGGAGCTAGCACCTGGCTTTCTCTTCCCACCTTCACTGCCATCAATGCGCGCTACTGACCACAAGCTGCGGTCCCAAGTCCTCCGGACGTAGTCCCCATCGATTGCAGACTGCTCAAGAATTATTTTGATCGTCGTAGAAGACACGGTACGCGTCAAGTCCTCCAGAAACCTGACCGTTGCCAATCCATCGTTGCCCAATGCGTTTCTGATAACGGTTACATCTAGCGCAATGTAGAGCACGGGTAGGCCTCTGACGACACGATTCAGAATCTGTAGCCAGTCACGCTCATCCACGGCCTCGAGGAAAGAAGCCGCCGTCGGCGGGAAGGGATCGTTCTTTAGGATTTCCGTGTTGATTTGCAGGCACTGCCGAACAAGCACCTTGAGAACGTCGATGCAGCTAAGTGGCTTTTCCCAATGGCGCTCGAACCGCATTGCCCATACAATATTACGCTTCTCTTCCTGGATCAACTTGATCGAGTCTACCATGAAGTCTTGCGATGCCTGGGCGCTCCTGGCCAAGGTAAAGATAATGGAGCTGTCGGGTCCCTTGCTCCATTCTTCAAATTGCCTAATTGTCGGAGCTGGTAAGTAGTATCGCTGTCTTCTTCTGTCACGAATCGAGCGGCAGAAGTTCATGGACTGTCCCGAGGCCGGCAGACTCGCCATCATTGGGAGCGACAGGATTTGGTTATGCTCCATTCTTCGAATCACACCCATGGATGAAGAGTAGTCTGCTTGCAGCTGGGTCTGCATGGAATACATTTCTTGGGTCATGTCAGATGATGCTTTCACATGGAAGAAATCACAGTGTACTTACGCTGCATCATGATTGACATTCTTTCGAACTGAAGCCTGTTGCTGGCAAGCTCTTGGTACATCTGGTCTGTCTTGAGCGAAAGTGCACGGATATCTGCCTGGGACGACATCATAACAAGCTCCACGATACGGTTGGACGCAGATTTGATGTCCTGTACGTAGTCACGGAAACCAAGTTCCCACGGTCGAGATATAGCCGTCCAAGCTCGTCCAAATCTGCTCTTGGCGTACCATGCCACGGCGTGTTTGAGGAACTCCAAAATGTTGACATATAGCTCCGAGACAGATTTGATCAGGCGTTCCGATGTATATAGACTGAGACGAATTTCAACATTTTCGAGAATATTTCCAATCTGGGCACATGTTTTGGCCAATTGCTTTACCTGTTCCTCATGGCTACATATAGCCTTTTATCATATCAGAACATATTTCTTCTAAAATGTTGACTGCCGGTTTTTACTCACGCCAAAAAGGAGTTTGAATGTCCCCCAAACCAGAGAGACGTACTCCGGATGGTGCTGGACAAGCACATCGAGTACTGTGCCGTAGTAACCAACCTTTTCCGACACCCGTACCAGCCACTTATAAGCCTTGGAGCCTCTTTTAGCCTTGTAATGCTTTTCAGCACCGTGCACGACACTGAGAACTTCCGAGATTGAGTGACTGTGCTCCACGAGTTGTCTTGCTACATTGTCTGTTCCTAAGTGGTCCAAAAAGTAGATCTTGGCTGACTCATATGCCTGCTTTGAAGGCTCCAAATAGTCACTACAGAGAGGTTTCAGAAAAAAGCGACCACGAAGACTTCGCCAAGGGCTCAATAACAGAGAATACTGAGAAACCTACGTGGTTGATCCTAAAGACGGATCTTGCCCGTTACCTGACTTGGCTGACATGCCAACGGTTTGAGATTCTTCGAATCAACCGCGATCTCGGATGAGTAAAGCAAATCTTGAGAGGGGCACAGGCTTAAAAAGAAAATAATGTTTGCCAAATTCCCAGCACTACCGGGCAATTTGCAAGATGTGCAGTACTCCGCGAGGCTGTGCCTAGTTTTCCTGGCTGTGTAATGCAAAGTAACACGCCACTGACGCGCAGCAGCCAATCATTATGTGTTTGATGCGACCTGGACTGTCCAAGCCCCTCCAATATCTGCAATCTGTGAGAGAATGAAGTCGACGCCCGACCAAGCGGGAAGAGCGTCAATTCTTCCTTCACGATCAATTCGATAAGGTGACGTGACTGCGGTATAGATTACTGGCTTTGACCTTGACCTTGACCTCGACATCTCACTTATCTCCATTCTCCCCCTACCCTTTTCCTTCTGTGCTTTCTGTCGTTCACGCGCAAATGAGACAAGTAGTACCGGGTTTGCCTCGAGCAAAAACCTTTAAACGACAGCCTGCTGCCCTGTCACGTACAAAAAGCGAACTCGTCCATTCAACAATATCCAAAGACTTCTCCCAAGGAAAATCTGTGATGGAATCTGCAGCTTTAGCAAGTTTCGCGAAGGCGACAAATTTAGCCACCTCTGCAACTTCAGAAGCCAAAAGCTCTGGTTGGGAAGACACCGAACGAGAACACAATATCAATTCATTGCAACGGCTTGCCACACCTGAAGAGCATCAAGAGAAGAGGCAGGATATCAGCTGGACAACGGACCCCACGTTCGGAAAGCGGCGCCTAGAGCCTGAGGCGTCGCCGGCGTCGCCGGAGTCGCCGGAGTCGCTCGCGGAACTGCCTCCTGCAATAGAACCCGCAGCCAAGCGACCTAAGAATGGGCATGAGATCGAGGTTGATGCTGTACTGCCGCCTTCGCCCGTCGTACCGGTTGTCACCCTGTCCACGTCAGACACTCCTTCCGTCCAGGTAAGGCTCCATATCCTCGGGTAGGGGCTTCCACGTTATGGCTGTGGAAGTCATGATGGCAACATCTGATCAGTCTCCGAGCCAGGCTGACTCGAATAAAGCTCCACGATTTGTCTCCATCACACCAAATCAGACCTCATGCCCCAGAGAAACAACTAGATCGCATGAGCTCCAATACTTCTGAGAGGGCTGGCACTTCATCCGATCTAACAGGACAGCAATCCATCGACTTTCGAATTGTGCATGAAGTTATTTGCTATGATAAATTCCACCGAGATGAAACGCTGTTCGCAACGTCGCCTACTTGGGAATCCTCACGCGAATCCTCTGGTAGTCACGGCTGGAAAGCACATCTCACCTTCACCCAAACGATTCGCAACATAGCTGCGTTCATGAAAGAATCTCAAGATATTTCATTCCTGGTCTTCAGATACTATCGGTGCAGCGACTCAAACAGATGGGGTCGTCATCACACTAAGACTACATCAGACACTGGCGTTAGATATGATGAGACTATTGCTATCGTCTCGCCCTCCTTACAGGCAATATTCGATGACGTGAGCCGGTGTGTGCCAGATAAAGGGAGCGCAGAGAAAGACGGTCCCAAAAATTATTCGGCGGATTTCTTTTACCACCACAGGGCGGCATTAAATGATCGGCACTCGCAGCTTGAAAGTATGCCAAGATCAGAGCTGACTGCAATTTTAGGCTATGTACAAGCAACATACGGTACTAGGTTTGGAGAACTTGATATGTCAATCGCCCAAGGATTCATCCAGGCAGACGATCTTGCAGCAATTTTCTGCCCGAATCAAGTCGTCATATCCAGAAAGGGTGTAACACTCGAGGCTTTCGTTCTCAGAACATGGCCATGGAAGCGCGACACCGGTGTCTTACTCGAGTGTTGGCAATGGGGGTTCGACGGGGGCTCTCTTCGGCGAAAAGAGGTCGATTTGGATATCACCAAGTTGTCGCAGTCGGTGATGAAAATTCGCGATCTAGAAGTCTTTCCCGCGAGTTTCGCGTCAGAAACGGAAATTGAATACCTGCAGTCACGTGGTGTCAAGATTTGGAACATGAGATATCCAAGCTTCGTGGCGTATGAGGGATGGGACGGTCAAAAAGATTATTTCTACGTAAGCTACATACCCGTTACTATCTAAACAACTTGTCAAGGCGTTAATCGTGGTGCAGGCCGCAGAGTCAAGATGGATGGTAGACTACCGCACATACAAGCAGATGCATCCAACTGCGAAAACTTTCCATTTTACGTCCATGCCAAAGTTGCCTTTTGATCAGTGGCCGGATACACTGTCTCTTGACCTGGAAATGCCCCCGGGTGATTGCCTCCTCGCTTTTCCCGCGACGATCTCAGCATTCTCTTTCAAAAAGAAAGCCTGGAGTGCGTGTCTTTCCCACAAGCGCCATAACGTGCTCACTAATTATCGCTTATAACATTTACAGGTATTCTTCGAGTCGATCATGTTCGTCGAATCAAGTGGAATACGGAGGCATTCGACCGGCTGGTTTTGCCTGCAAAGACCAAAGATATGGTGAAGTCGCTCGTTATGGTACGCGCATCACCAAAGCATTCGAAACAGAGGAAACTATTGAACGGAATGCAGGATGATATCATCCGGGGTAAAGGCAATGGCCTGATCATGCTCTTGCACGGACCGCCGGGAACAGGCAAGACACTGACCGCAGGTATGTTGTTACTTCAACGCCGCTAGAACATCATTGGACTAACCAGTGTGGCAGAAAGGTAAACCACAATACTTCTTGTTTCGAGAAGAGTTCATTTCCTTTATTTCTATGCTCATTGAAGGACTGATGAAAATAGCGTCGCCGAAATCGCCAAAATGCCATTATACAGTGTGACATGTGGTGATATAGGGACAAAGCCCGAGGCTGTTGAAAAGTACCTTGGAACGGTCCTTATGCTTGGCAAGAGATGGAATTGTATCCTTCTGTTGGACGAAGCAGATGCGTTTCTCGAGGAACGATCCATGTCCGACCTAGAAAGAAACAGCTTAGTTTCTGGTAGGGTGAATACTATGCGACAAGTACAAGTTTTATTCACTAATGAAAACAGTTTTCCTTAGGACGCTCGAATACTATGATGGCATACTCATCCTCACTAGCAACAGAGTTGGCACGTTTGACGAAGCCTTCACCTCGCGCATCCAGGTAAGTATCCCGAGGCTACCACACATCTTGATGGAAGCTGTTATATACACATTTTGAAGCGCATCGGCACTTTACTTCTTTTATAGAAGATCTCCAATGAAGCAGTTAAGGGGTAAGCGCTGATTCTCGATTTTAAACAGGTGGCGCTCACTTACGGGCCTCTTACAGCCTCATCACGGAGAAAGATCTGGCAAAACTTCCTTGACATGGTGCAAACAGATAAAGATGATGTCGATATGGATGATCTGCTCAGCCATTTTGATGAGTTGGTGAGGGGTTATGAGATGAACGGCCGGCAAATAAGGAACGTCTTCACGACGGCGCGGCAGTTGGCGATTTTCAAAGAAGAGACGCTGGTCTGGGATCACCTCGAACAGGCGCTTCAAAGCGTCAGCGCATTCAACAAATATCGCCAGGGCTTGCATGGGCACACTGATGACGAGTGGGCCAGAGAGGAGAAGCTGAGGTAGCCTATCCCGAGCATATCCAAGTAATACTACTTGTGAGCCGGCCGGTCAAGTAATGCCACGAGTTAGATAATTCCATTGACAAACTTTCAGTATCACGGTGGGAGACTTCAGTGCACGTCTTGTTCATTTTTCTGGACCATGATCTGAATGCCTGACCTAGTGATATCTCAGATGTAGTCATAAGGCTGATGGGCGTCCAGAGAAGAGAGCGCTTCCGCTAGCTATTTTTAATGAGGATATACCACATGAAACACGCAGGGATGTGGGACATCTATATGTAGCTCAATATTGGCTTGAGAAACAAGAGTGGCCACGGACGGCTCGGCAGCGGAGTGCGTCGTCAGAGCTTCCGCCAACTTTACCAAAGAGCGTGGTTCGGATGTGCTCCCTCCGCGACCAGTATGCAACCCCGGGAGGGCGGCACCCACATGGCACCCAATAACCACACAACGGAAGCCCATCCATATTGGTGTTTCCAGTCTTTATCTATCTCTGGGCGTATCGAATGATTGTCATTTATTCATGATTGGCGGGTCCTGGCGGCGGCGCGTGGGATGTTGGGTTGCATGGTGCGCAGACCATGGTCCGCGTTCCGGGTTGACGAGAAGAGATGCTGCGGGTATATATATGAAGATAGATGAACATGCACCTCTATAAATTGATCAAGGCTGATCTCTTCAATATCATTTTTACAGTGTGTAAAATCGTCGAAAGGAAGTTGTTCGTCAATATGAAGTCACAGACCATTCTAGCACTCGCAGCTCAAGCTGTTTGCATCAGCGCGCACACCATCTTTGTCCAGCTCGAGAGCGGCGGCACGACGTACGATGTCTCCTATGGCATCCGCGACCCTTCTTACGATGGTCCCATCACTGACGTGACCTCGGACGACTTGGCCTGCAATGGCGGACCGAACCCGACAACGCCCTCTTCGGACATTATTGACGTGGCGGCCGGCTCAACCGTCACGGCCGTCTGGAGGCACACTTTGACTTCGGGGTCCGACGACGTCATGGACGCGTCGCACCTCGGCCCGACAATGGCGTATCTGAAAAAGGTCGATGACGCGACGAGCGACTCGGGTATTGGCGATGGCTGGTTTGTTTGGCCGTACCTCATGACAAAATGCGGGCCAGTGCATCTGACACAATGATTCTCAACAGGTTCAAGATTGTCGAGGACGGCTATACCAACGGGGTTTGGGGCACCAGCAACGTCATCAATAATGCGGGAGAGCAGAGCATTCCCATCCCCAGTTGCATCGCGGACGGCCAGTACCTACTCCGAGCTGAGATGATTGCGCTGCACTCGGCTTCGTCGACGGGTGGAGCACAACTATACGTGAGGATGACATGAATGGTACATTTGTATCATGCGAGACAGATTACTGACGGTCAGAAACAGATGGAATGTGCCCAGATCAATGTCAGCGGCGGCACGGCATCGGTCTCACCGACGACTTACAGCATCCCCGGTATCTATGCCGTAAGTCATTCGACTATCCTTCATGAAATTTGTCTTCTCATATATAAACTGACATGGAAATCAGGCTGATGATCCTGGATTGTTGATCAACATCTACTCCATGACCAGCTCTAGCACCTACACCATCCCAGGTCAGTACTTTGTAACGCTTTATTGAACGAGATTGACTGTTTGCTGACAATGGACCCAGGACCGGATGTGTTTACTTGTGCTGCATAGTATCTCTACGCCTACCATTTTCGGCGAGTTTTGAGTTACGATGTATGTAGACTGCGGTGAATTGTTTCTTCAAGGGATAGTGCTCGGGTCTGAACAAGTCCGTATCAAAGACCATGCATTGACCAGCTTCCTGTATATATATGAGTAGCATATATAAATTATTTAAAACATAGATATCTGACCTTGTTGACCAAGAGTCACATCAAATGAAATCAAATTTGTGGAAAAGCAACATGTTCATCCGTTATTATACAAGCAATAACCTCCAGCATAACTATATACCATTATGTTAAAATGTGTTCCAAGTGTAAAATCACTTGTGACCTTTCGCAGTTTCTCATGACTTCGTAGCCGCTTCATCATTTTTAGAATACAATAAAGTCCTCTCTCCCCTGGAAATAATCATCCCATTTGACCTGAGTACTGGGTCCCCGTTCCGCGTCAATGTTCCACTTGACCTCGAGCGCGTTGATCACACCAATGGGACCCAGTGTCCCCAGAGCCAAGCTTAAGCTCGAAAAGCCGCTGGTCACAAAGCCACGTAGATTCTCATCTCTCAAGTCCGTCTCCATGCCGAGCATGAATAACGGCCACATGATCAGTTTTCCAATCTGGTGCATGCTCACCGGGTCGGCAAAGACCGGGACCAGTGCTCCGTAGAGCAGCTCAAACGTTTCCTGTCGGAGCGACTCGACGCTGACGGAGATTTCTGCGGGAAGAAGATGCGCTGTCCCGTCTTCAGAGTCCACTACGAGGGTGCGGAGCGCGTACAGGAGTGTGGCGGCGCGGTACATGACGCCGAGGCCGAGCCAGAGGTCATGCGCGGGCTTCTGAGAGGGCGAGTCCGTCGCCGGAGACGAGGACGTGCTGCTGCCCCGGGGGTCGCGCGACGAGGTGGACGGCGCGAGTTTGGGCTCCTCGCTAAAGCTCACCTCCTTGCCGCTCGTTGCCCAACCATTAAAGTTGCGCATGATGGTCGAGTAGTCGGTGGGCGAAAAGTCCATGACCTTTTGGATGGCCATCTTTGTCCCGGATCGTCGCTTGGCGCGGAGGCTGGGCTTGTTGGCTATCGTGCGCAGATAGTTTACCAAGGTAATGACCCTGAACAAGACGTCGGGCACTGGGATGCAAGTAGTGGCGACAAATTGCAGGACTCCAGGCTCGATATCCCAGTACTGCATCGCCATGTTACATGCCACTGGCATATCTTTGTGAGTTGATGGAGTCGTGGTCGAGCCAATTACATCAATCCTTCAGCTGGTATCAGCATCATTGCTAAGGCTGCCCAAAGATTAGAATGGTACTCACAGCATAAAGAAGGTTAATACTGGTTTGAAGTATGGGTTCACAGAGATGATCTTTTTCAGGCTTCCTCTCATCTGAATGATCCTTCTCGCACCTTCGAGATGTGCTCGCCACTCTGTATAGGCGGAAGCTTGAATCTACATTGCGCCAGGTGAGTACAAGAAAGCAAGACGTAGAACGGGGAAGGGGGCGTACCGAAGCAACCATGAGAGAAAGAACACACAGTAAAGTCGCATCGCTCGTTTGTTCTTCCGGCATACTCAGCTTTTCGTTCAGTCCTTGCAGCGCCTCCACGCGCAAGGCAAAAACATCGGCATCCCGTTGTACGAGTGCTGATGATGGAGTCGGTTCTGGCCCGTACGACATGAGCCTATGGAAGCTCGCAACGGAGACAAGAACTTTGACGTAGATATCGGGAATCCTGTCGACAGTTTGAATGTTGACTTTGTATGGGTTAAAGTGGCTCTCGAGAGACACCAGATCTGGACATATCATCTTATTGACTGAGAATTGATTAGCGGTCAACACACTGTAGCATAGTATTCATTGTATGCGTACAATAATCCAGCCCCTCAAAGATCATTTGTGCTCTTCGATACAGCGACGGAACGGGTTGACTAAACAGGGGCGATCTTGTTGCAGTCGGCTTCATGATCTGATCAGACGTGAACTCGGATGGCTCCGAATCCTTTGCACCGGAGGCCCTGCCCCCAGAGTCCAGGTGCCGCCGGTTCGCATGGCCCTCCTGCACAGCTACGTGGCCACGTGCCTCCTCATCGTAGCCATCGCACGCGACACCGAGATTCTTACAAGTCGAGCAGGACGGATAGAGGCCGTCACACCGGACGCGACCTCGAAGGCACGTCCAGCATTGAGGTCCAAGTGGCATTGGATCTAAAGTGCTGCACATGCATTGCTCCGAAGCCGCAAGGAGAGAGAAGGAGAGAAATGCAGATGATAGTTACGAGACTTGAACAAAACGTATGTAGCCTCGGGAAGCAGTGAATAATAAAAACGTCGGCTGTTGGGTTCTTGTGCCTATGTGTTCTTTAAATAGAACCCACACTCAATACCTACACCTGCATTGCATGGGATGCATGTGCGCGAGCGAGTGAGGAGGCAGACAGGAAAGAAGCTTACTTCCTTGAATGGTAACCGAACCCATGGCTTGACGGGGGACTCTTTGAGCCCTGTGTCAATGAGGATCATCAGAGGAGGGGTTCAGCTCTTGGGCGCCAAGACGAGATAGCAGAAAGCGGTTTAGCTGGGCGTTGCGACAGGATCGGCAGGGATTCTTTTGCTTCACCGTCTTCTCGCGTGCACAAGAGATCGTCCCTTCTTGTATTCCATTCCCCAGCCTCACTATACCATATTTATCTTTCGTGTCAAGTCATCCATGTCGTCTTCTTGGTAATAATTGCTTCAGTCCATGTCCAGTATCATATTCTAGCCATTGTGGGCCATGAGCACAAAGTAATAGACGCTACTGTACAATAAGGACAGAGACTCCTTGGATGCCGTCGCCCATAGATAAAAATACAAACTATTTCAGGGTCACCGTATCATATGGGATCTTTTTTCGTGAGATGCCTGCTGGTCCTACATATGTACATTTCATGACATAACCCATCTGCAGCCACAGCAGAAAGGTCCCCAGAGACGGGTCGACCAGCATATATAAATGTCAAACCAATCAAATGACGCCATCCCGCACTCTACCTAGATGAGTGTAACGTTGGACCAGTGACAAGCTTCATGTTGTCCGCTTAGTGTTGTATTGCACCGTCGCAAATCCTCGAATCATGAACCACGATCCCGTAGCTAATTTCGTTGGAGCCTGGACGACCGAGCACTGGCAGCGGTGCCTCTTGAGGTGGGTGAGCGAGTGATTATTCAACTGTACAGAGTACATCAAGCGAAAACGAAAGCTTGATACCTTATTCGTCTTCTTTCATCCTCAATCTTCAGTCGTGGTCTTAGTCATGGAGTACAGCCTTATTGTCATTTCGCCGAGACACCAGGCAAACATATACTTTTCCATAGGCCGATACCTGCATAGTACAATAACTACATAGTAGTGACAATACTATTTGATTGTATGTGTACCTACATAGGCGCCACAATGTCGGCTTACACCAGGCTGCACTTTTAGAATTACCATCCCATACATCCAAGTCCTACTATCAAGTAACATCATGGCTCATAAGGTCCCTTGGCGCGGACACCAGTCAACAGTTCGGCCTCGCCGTCTTCTTTGACCAGGTAAATATCTTCGTGACGGACTCCAAACTTGCCTTCGAGGTAGATGCCTGGTTCATTAGTAAAAGTCATGCCAGCCTGGAGCAACACTCCCTTATTCCACATGTTGAGATAGGGCGACTCGTGGGCCTTGATACCAATGCCATGGCCAAGTCGGTGAGTGAAGCCATAGCCGTACCCAGCGGCCTCTATGACGTTGCGCGCGGCTATATCCACGCTTGCTGCAGTATTGTTTGGCTTGAACGCAGCTGCGGCAGCCGTCTGGGCGTCTAGAACAATATCCCATACCTTGAGCTTCTCTGCACGCATGTCTGACTGCTCTAGGTTTTCTTGCTCGGCTCCATCATGCGAGGCTCCCAGGCCGACGAGCGATCTCAAGACTGCCATGAACCGCGAAGAGCTAGTCTTGGGCGGATCAATAAAGAAACTTCGGCATATATCCGACGAATACCCCAAGTAGTGTGCACCGACGTCGATGACAATCATGCTGCTCGGAGTGACCTTTTTGAAGCCGGTGACAAAGCCACCGTGCGGGAGAGCTCCGTGCTCCTCGAAGAGAACAATGTTGAAGAAGAGACTGAATCCAATAGACAGAAGCGAGTTGTCCAATATCGCCGTGACTTCGTTTTCGGTAAGTCCAGGGACGAGACAGGGTCTCATTGCCCTGACGGCCACGACGGTGCCGGTGTTTACAACACGGATCAATTCGACTTCTGCCGGACTCTTGATCTGTCGCACGAGTTCGGCCCTAGGGCTCAGACCGACGGTTTCAAAGCCGACTGAATCCAAGCCGCGGACAATGTAGTCACGGATTTCCTCATCCATCATGAGTTTAGGCGATTCGCTAGAAAAGAGACCCGACTCGAGTAACGTCGAGTAGGGATTCCAGTGCTCCTCCCAGATCACGATGTCGAGCTCCTCCTCTCTCGAAGGGATTCCAAGCATACGGACTCGTCCCTCTTCAAAGTGCGGGGAGAGGAAAGCAGTCTTGGCGACAATCTCGCCTCCTGACGATACTTGGGGAAGGATGAGCATGAGAAATGGTCTCTCCTCGGGCTCCCACGGCTCCCAGTCAACCTGGGAGATATTTCCATAATATCTAGAATATCATAAGCTGAGTTCGAGCTGTGAAACCTGTCACCACCACCTACTGGAATGTGTAGCCCGGCTCCAGCACGAAAGCATCAATCTTGTCGGCGTGCAGTGCCCGAGCGAGCTTGTCCCGACGCTCTAGAAACTCCTCCGCGATAATGGGTTTCGCATCCTTCATAAAAGATAGGTCGGCATGAAGATTGTCAATCGAGCACTGCTGTACCTTGGCGACGTCCACCTCGGCGCTATGCGCTCCGAGGAGTGTTCTCAGGCAGACCCAGGCAACCGCCAGTAGAGTCAACCCGGACACAAAGGCGACACCGGACCGGCGCCGGACTGTCCCTTGCCTCGCGAGGGGCGGTGTCAACTCTTGGTAACCCATGATTTGTTATTTCGATGTTCTTGTCCTGCTGCTTACAACACACGTCCCCTATAACGAGCTTCCTCCTACGTCCGGGATTCGCCCAGGGTGAGAGGATGAAGAAGGCGGTGATGTCAAGTCGTGCAATGCTGGAATCTATGGCCAAATCTGTAAACAAAGTCGCTCACATGGCAAGCTCGGCAAGATTTCCCAAGCACAATGCCAAGATTGGGACAACAAAGTAGCTCCCCCACTCTTGATCTTGCGATTTGATGCTGGGGGAGATGCCGGCAGCAGTCAGGGATTCCCACATTAGTTGCGGAGTGACTCCGCGACGCTGGATCGGCCCTCCCGATTCCAACCTCCGGAGGTCAATAGCAAAGACTTTATGCTTTGTCAGTGTCCGAATGTTAACCTCCAAATGCATTTTATGTAAGCCAGTCTATTCCACATACTTGAAGGCATAGTACTTTATAACTCGGATTAGGACCAATCTTTGATTTATGCCCTTCAACGGCGTTGTAGTCTTATTGATATAAGCCTTCGGCTGTCAACTTACAGGGCTAATCTCTTACCCCAATCTTGGCGTTTCAACTACTGCGTAAAGAGCCTGGTATTTTGCACAGGTCGTTTTCAGGACACTGCCAACATAATTCTCATATCTGTTCCCTTACGCGTCGCCGGCACATTTATGGCCGATAAGACGGCTCAGCTCGGTTATGAACCACGGAGACGACAGGGGTCTACTATCTGCCAGCGATTAGAATGGCATTCATAACGATGGGCATGGAAGCTCTCTCAGGGCTGTCGAAAATGCGACAGTTCTCTTTCTCTATGCGCCGTAGAAATGGGCTCTGCTGAAATGGTTCACGAGTCTACCAGCGCTGCTCAGCTGGCAGCCATGGGCAAAGATCAGATAACTGCTGATGACAAGGTCGCTCATCAGACCACATCTGTTGACGCTGATGTGGAGATTGTGCCGGCAGAAGAAGAGAAGTCATACTATTCCAAGCTCTCGGTGTGGTTGATGGTATTGTTCTCTGGTCTTGCTATCGGGTCCGACGGCTAGTAAGAATGCAAACTCCCCCGGGACATTCATCAAATGTATTAACACGGCGTTCTTCTAGCAATGCGGCCGTCATTGGAAACGTGGAACTGCTTTTGGCGGTGCTGTACCCCGAGGCCCTGACGACATCCATCTACCAGCGCCTAAGTAACGCGTTCCTGATTGGCATGATCGTTGGCATGCTGCTCTTTGGCGTCGTCGTCGACCAGCTCGGTCGCAAGACGGGTGCCGTCGCAACCACTATTCTTCTTGTCCTCGGCATCGTCCTCTCCGCCGCCGCCCACGGCGTCGACGCCACTGGCATGTTCTGGATGCTCATCATTGCCCGCGGTATCGCTGGCGTCGGTGCTGGTGGCGAGTATCCCGTGTCCGGCGCCGGTGCTCTCGAGGCTTCAGACGAAAACGGCACCCTGCGAAAGCGCCGAGGCTTCATGTTTGCTGTACGTACACGAATCGGCTCTATAGTAATCTTGCTGAACTTGGAAACGCTAACCTCCCCGTCTCTCACACTAGATGCTTGCTGATCTCTCCGCCTCGCTCGGCTACGTCTGGGGCGGCCTGGTCCCGCTGCTGCTGCTCCTGTGCGTCGGACAAAAGGTCGAGCATTACGATACAGTCTGGCGGACGTCGTTTGCGCTCGGACTGGTGCCGCCTCTCGTCATCTTTTGGTTCCGCCTGCGCATGGCCGTGTCCACGGCCTATCGTCGATCGGCCATGCGCAAGCAGCGCACGCCCTACCTGCTGGCGTTCCGCCGGTACTGGCGGCCGTTTCTCGGCGGTGCCGCCACGTGGTTCCTCTACAATTGGATCTCAATCCCCTTTGGCATCTTCAGCTCGACCATTATCTCCCGCACCGGTGCCGAGAATAGCTTGGTGAAGAACTTGGGCTGGGGAGTAGTGATCAACTGCTTTTACATTCCGGTGAGTTTCTTTGGTTGTCTTCCCTCTGATTACGAGGTGACTGTTTTCAAGTTTCTACACCAAGTATCTAATACAATATCCAGGGACCATTTCTCGGCGGATATCTCTCCGACAAGCTAGGAAGACGTCAAACCATGGCATTGGGCTTTGGAGCCCAGGCAGTACTCGGCTTCATCCTCGGTGGTGCGATTGGACCGATCCAGACCATATTTCCGCTGTTCGTCGTGCTCTATGGCGTCTTTCTGACCCTCGGAGAGGTCGGCCCCGGCAGCACCGTCGTGCTCGTCGCGTCCGAGTGCTTCCCCACGTCGATCCGCGGTCAAATGATGGGCCTCATCTCGGCCTGCTCCAAGGCGGGAGCGGCCATTGGTACCCAGGTCTTCACGGCCATTCTGAACGCCTATACCGACGACTCCAAGGGAGATCAGGTGGCTTTTCTCATTGGCTCGGGGTTTGCGGTACTGGGCGCCTTGATCGCATGGTTTGTGATCCCCGATGTTTCGCGCCAGCTCGACGACGACGACGCGGCTTGGAAGGTGTATCTGGCCGATCATGGATTCCAGGCAGAATGGGGTGACAACGTCACGAAAGACCCAGCCGGTGTCGTGATGGATCAGCGCAGCTCATAGTCGAAAACACATTTAGTGTGAGTACACTATCGCTAAGTACCGAATTTAGGGGCATGGTTTCATAGGGTGCACGCCTGTTTTAATTGGTCCCACGCCTTGCCAACGATCTACCGAAGATCTGGGGAGTATATTAAGTGCGGGCGGGCCCAACTACGTACACCGTGGTATACAACGAGTAAGAATTGAAATTGGTGTCGATATACGAGCTTTCCAATGACCCATCTGTCACGTGTATCTGTCATGCCCGTAACTTTGCGTGACATGTGAGTGATCGGCAGAGTGATCTCGCGGTAATGCCGCTAGTGACGAACGTGCGCAGCCTTGACGATGTCGAGGTTGCGATGCTAAGATGTTGCTCCTGGATGCCATACTTTGAGTGCAAGTCCACGAGGTTTTCGTGACCAAATTTGCATCAAAGGCCTCTCTTTCAAATCCATGACGGTACCAAGGTATGAGGACTCGATTGTAGATGGACATGATTCGAATCTGCCGAGTTCGGTCCAAAAAAGAAATCTGTAGTTGAGATTCTCCCTGAACCTTGATTAAGGATGACAGTGCAGACTGAAAAGATCGCGGCATCGCCCTGTGCTGTTTGGACTTCCTAATGATCCCTGCGCCTCGTCAACGACAGAACATTTTGCATTGATTGTGATTTGCGTCCAAATCCACACTATTGCTATAATCCTGGGCATATCTTGATAATAAAGCAACAACAACACTGTGTGCAACAAGGGGGGGAAACGTCCCCTATTATCAACAAAAGCATGTCCATGTTCAACTTGTCACCTTCCACAAGCAAGGTAGCATCGCCAATAAATCAAGGCCCAAACTAGCTTGCGCAAGCTATGCTACAATGAGGTTGCAATCACAGCTCATCCAGTGGGACTTAGATCATCTACAGGGGCTGGCGCCGTCCTACCGGAAAACACCGCGGGCCCCCACAGTATAAGCGATTCTCAATTCGTCCACGGCATTGGACAACCGTCCATGATTATGCTCAAGGAAGAAATTCCAGAAGCAAATGATCCGATTTCCGCGCCCCACTGGAACAGCGGCTCTCGAGAGAAACTTCGACTGAACAAAAAAAGAAGCATCAGTCTGGAGTGTTAAATATGGAGTCGCAATGGAGTCTGGCCAGGGATTATTGTTGGGTTGTCATATTTCTGGATATTATTTTGAAAGAAGCATCGAAACAACTGATGATTTACGCATTCTTGACGTGGCCAATTTTCTATCCTTCAACTTGTCGACTTTTCTTTTGCTGACTGAATATGACTATATATGACCGCTAATAATGTATCAATATTCACAACGACACTGATCTCCTCTATATACCCAAATGTTTATCATGTCTAGATCAAATCCCACCGAAGATGTGGACGACCTGGAGTCGGCCCAGACTCCTTTTCTATCCAACAGCGAAAGGAAAGAAAATCATTCAGATCACGAGCAAATATCAACAAAAGGGGAGGAGAAGTGCATTTCACGGCGGTGGTTGGAGCACCAGACGATATTCCACAGTATTGTTTATATACTCGCAATATGGGGACTAGTATCACTTGCTTGGCAGGCTGCTGGAACGATATCTGCTGGGTCTTCATTCTCAAGAAACTCTTCCAACTCACAACCTGAATATGACGTCTATCGACCCGAGACGCTGGCGCCGGGACTCAACGAATGCGATTGCGGACCTACGACGGCCGACGCCCTGGCCCGGGACTGCAAATACGACAGCCTGTCCACGGCCTGGCTGCCACCATACTGTCGAGACGACGAGCTGACGGCCGAGTTCGACCGCTCGGGCCCCGGTCCGGACGGAAGCTGGGGCTACTTCGCCGACGAGGCCGGGACGATACCGCTCAGCGCCGACGAGGTGGCGGCGCTTGGCGAGACGGGTGGCTCCTTTTGGGCCTCGCGCGACTGGCACGTTGTGCACTGTCTGTATTACTGGCGTAAATACGCACGCATGCGGCACACGGGCGCCGTCATGGAGGCCCGCTTTGACAACGAGGCCCACGTTGAGCACTGTACCCGTCTCATTCGCAAGCCTGCCCCCGATTACTTCTTCCTCATCGAGGTCCCCGTCATGATGAACTCGAGCGACCATCACCACCGTGCTGAGGGATCTTGAACTCCCCTCTCAGAATTTTCTTCAGATGAAAGCGACAATGACAGCATGTCCGGCTCCCAATGCAACCCTTGGATGTGGCAGCGCAATAGTCCCACGGCAAAAATTCCCGACGTTTGTTGGGATTTGTGTATGACCACGTTGCTCTGCATGCCCGCAAATTAGAGGAACACCAAAATTATGTACCGTCATGGCAAATACGGAAACGATTTTGGAACAATCCTCTGTGCTTATAGAGACAGGCGCTGATCTGCCGCGGACATGGCACAATACCGCACGTCTCCATGGCCAACACTCTTTGGCAATGTGCTGAAACGAGAAGGCACAGGGACTTTTCGGCAAATTGCCAAACAGAGCAAAGCATAGGCGTACCAAAGAATACAGACCAGAGTAAATTCTTGGCTCGTAAGGTCTCCATGGATGGCAATTGTTCCTCGGCACAATCAAGCTCGAGCACTGGCCGTTGAAGCCAAACGTGAGCGGGACATGACATGAATGATATGCCATTTGTAAAATAGCTAGAACACAGCTGAATGTGGTTTCATCCCACATCTATGTATGATATCTTGTCAATGCAATGTACATAGGAACTTATAAAGCAAGTATATTTGAGCGCTGGTGAACTTTGAACAACCAGGCCTCGTGGCTTCAACTCTCGGTCCAAAAAACTGAACACTTCAGCGTCATTTCTCAACCCCCTCAACTCAAACTCCATTGCGCCAGCCTAGGTATCGTAAACGCGTAAAGTGCAATCAATGATGTACAAGTCCATAATCCGGCTCAGCTATTGACATTCGGCTGTGCCATCACCTAGCTCATGAACCGCCATTCTTGGGTGGTTCGTCATTGGCATTCTCGCAGAATTCTAGAGTCAGAGCTGCGAGGAAACCGGGGATGCAGCCTTTTTCTCTGACCCAAAATTGGATCTGATCTTGAATCTTCTTCGCGAATGGGCTTTGTGGACCACCGCTGACCTTCATGGTTCCGCGCTCGCCGTCGAACACGATGCTGTTCTCGTTCTCCTCGGTTTGGCTTTGGTAGAATACACTCTCGACACGCATCTTGCCATTCGGGATAAAAGTGACCTTCCAGCCGAGGGTGCTGAAGATGGCCTCCTTGAATTCGTTGGACTTTGCTGCCCATACTTGCTTGAGCCGAAGCACCTTCTTCTCGGCAGATGCCTTTTCTCGCAATGCTTCTTCCACCTCTCGCTTCGCTGCTGCTAATTGAGTAGCGGGAATGACAGGTATCGACGAGTTGCGACTGACTCCTTGCAGTTTCGCTAGCAATTGCTTGTTCTCTTCCTTGAGCGCAGTAATATCGCGCATCTTGATAGCTTCCCAGTCCGAAGTCGGATTAGACCTCAGAGACAAGACTCGTGTCTTGTTTTGGGCTTCCGCTGCTCGGAGGCGTGACTTTAACACTAGCTTGTCCTTTTGCAAGACCTGTAGCTCAGATTGGGCTTTGGACAAGTCGTCCGCAAGCTGCCGCCGCTTGCGGTTGAGTTCTCCGATCTGCTCAGCCTCAGGGTCCTCTGTACTCTTGCGCTTGTTGCCTACTCTGGGCTCCGGTGTTTTCTGGCTTGCCGAGGCCTCCACAGACGACAGCTCGGCATGCAGATTCTGGATCTCGGATTTGTACTGGTCGAGTAGGCGTTCCAATTGGGAGATGCGTTCTGCTCGGTCATGATCGACCTTTTCTGGCTCAAATGTTTCGTCTTCGGCGTCGAATGTTTTAAGTTGTGCACGAAGATGCTCGACTTCCTTGGTGACAAGAGATAGTTGACGTTCACTCCTCGCCCTCGCCTTGTCTGCTGAAAGAGGCACCGCTGCCGTCTGGAGTTTTTCAATTTCATCAGCGAGGCCTAGCTTGTCGTTCTCCAGAGACCTTATGATCTCATCGCGTTCAGCAATCTGTGGCTGAACTTCGCCCAATTTCTCCAGCAACGAGGCAGAATTGTACCGCTCCTGGACGAGGGCCCGAGCGACGGCTTCTGGGGAGTCAAACTCCATGATGCCGTCATTCTCACTGGCGTCTTGGAGATACGAGGACCAGGCTAAGCGCTCATCTTCTAATCGTTTTCGCTGAATTTTGGCCTCGGCCAGCTCGGCCTCGAGGCTCAATGCCGCCTCTAATTTGCGTTGCAGCGAACGCTTCTCCTCCTCGACCACCTCGACAGCCTTGTGTATTTGTCGTAAATGACTGAGTTCCGCATGCTGTTTTGACGTTTTCGCCTCCAGCGACCGGATGTGTGCGACTTGTTCAGCAAGCTCGCGCTTGATGACAGCAATGGTATCGGCATCGCCCGTCTGTGCCTTCAAACGCAAGACATCTGCCTCCAGGTCGCCTACAAGCTTGTCCTTGGCTGCGAGTTGCTCTTGAGTCTGCTGCAGCAAGGCTTCGCGGGCTTGCGAGTCCTTCTCGATCTCATCGATTGATTGGTTCTGACTCGTCAATTGCGACTGGATATCCATGTATCTCTTCTGATTGATGCGTTCGGATTCGTCTTTGGCTGCCGAGAGCTCCTCTAGCTGTTCTCTCAAGAGCCGGGCCTCATCCTCTGCATCCCGTGCTTTTTTCTCCAGTGCTAGTTTCTCGCGCGACCAGCTCTCTTTGTATTCGGTTGACTCTGTCTGTACGGACTCAATCTGCCGTTGGAGTCTGTGGTATTCCGCCTCAGCAGCCTGTCGTTGCTTGAAGTCCTCGTCGGCTTTTCGTTGAGCGTCGCGCACGTCATTTTGATATTGCAGCAATTTCATCTCGGTCTCCTGGACCGAAGTATTACTTTTGAAGCGCTCCGTTGCAAGTTCAGCCTTGAGTTCTTCGATCTGCTTTCGCTGGGTCTCGTAGTGCTCAGCATCCGGAGGCGCCATGTTTTCTTTGAAACTCTCGTGTGAGGATGCGCGCGCCGAGCCGGCGGCAGTCTGAGCTTGCCTTGGACCGTTACGACTATTCTGATGATTCGGCGCATCTTCACCGCTGACTAGATCATATTGAGGCTGCGTATTGGCGCGATAGGAAGAGACCTGAGACGAAGGGGATGAGTTGATGGTTCAGAACTCGAGGCTGCTGGCCAGTGAAGATTGCGACGGCAGTTGCCGATTGTTTACTTTGAAGCATGCGAGGGGAGTGAACCAAACTTACCCGTGAGACCCTCAGAGATGATTGTGCGCGGGGGATGCCCGTCCCGCCTGCACTGCTACGAAGATTGCCCGACATTGATCGCCTCTTTCTGGCCGAAGAGACTCGACCAGGTGTATCTGCCGTCATGTTGGAGCAGGTCCGGCATCGACAGCGACCTTGAATTGTTTTGATTGATTTCGGGTGGCCTGGGGATGCTGCCGGGGTTTGTTCTTGGCTCCGGCCCAAGTGGCAGCAGCTGCATCCACTAGTACTGGTTGGTGCTGGAGCTTTGGTGACCAGTCGGGCAGTGTTGTGGGCCGTTCTAGCCATCGAAGCTTGGTGGAAGCTCCCTCTCACGTGACTTTCATCCGAATCTGTCCATCCAGTTGCCCCAATCTAACCTAGTGAGTTTAGGTCGCTCGGCGAGGGAAAAGCCGCTATGGGACCTACCTAAATTGAGTTCTGTTCTACTAACCACACGAATGCTGGAGCCTCGGTACCAGCTGGAATTGTCTCTATGCCCGCCCAAGGTTTTCGCCGACTCAAAAATTATGTCGCTGATGTTGTCTTTTAATCTTCAAGGAAAAGAGAACAAGTGTTATCTCAAAAACACATCATTTGAACCTACAGTTGCTTGGGATTATTTGCGACAAACAAAGGCAGGACAAGCTCAAGTGAGTGATGCTGGATTGCGCCATTCCATTTCCGACACGACGGGACACAAATAAGCACATCAGTGTTCAGAACGCATGGCATCTTGTCCGGTCATCTCTGTATTTTCTGGTTTCCTGTCCAAGAAACACCCTCTGCAAATATCTATGTAGGTACTCTTTGAAGTAGACCTATCCTCCATGACCACATGAATGCGGCATCTGTCGATCATGTACTGGATCGCCAGGGCAGAGCACTGAGCTTCATACCTACGTGTATGATCTAATAGCTAAACACCCCTGTCATGAGACTGAGACCCTCCAAGAGGCCGGGGAACCCTCCATCTAACCTCTAGCTTTACGTCAGTGCCTGGCTACGTATCGGATGTGGCATGTGGACCAGGGGTGAATCTCGGCCCTGGGAATGTGGCTAGCTGCGTCGTCGCTCGGCCTTGAAGCTCTTCTTTTGCCGACGAGCTTAGCTGACGATGGTTTGCTCTGGAGCTTCACATTCCCCTCCAGTATCTGTCTTCGTCTCCACGTTGCCCGGTGGGCTGTCTCTTTGCACCTCTGTGATCAAACCCATTGTTGTGCGTCCTGATTGACCGGGGCGCAATCATTTATGGCTGATCTGGTGGCATCATAAATCCAAGCAGCTTTTGCTGCACCAATTTACCTCCCCAAACCTTACAACTTCGAACAACCACTTCTCATTACGGAACCACCACCTGTGCCAACACGATCGCAGCATCGCTCAAGATATGGCGTTCGCTGCTATGCGTCACGCCGCCTCGGCCGGAGCTCGAGGTGGTCAAAGTATCACCATGCTCCGGGCCATTGGCGCAAACCCCGTTACCGGTAGCGCCGGAGCTGCGATGCGCCTCAGCTTGCCTATGACTTCGAGCCTATACCGTCCGCTATTAGCTTCCACGCCTTGCGCCCACTCGAGAACCTTTGCCTCGACCTCTATCAAGTTTGCTGAAGGCGGAGATCAGCAGTCCAATCTGGCCAAGAAGGCACAGCAAGAGGAGGAAACCAAGACTGATGCAGTAACCAATGCCAGCAAATCCGCAGACGAGTCTGGCAAGCAGAAGCCAGCCTCTTCAAGCTCGCCCCCTGCCTACGACGAGTCGGAAGAGCCTCCCCACTACGACTGGGAAGAGGAGGCCAATTTCAACATTGCCAAGTTTAAGGAGCTCCCCTACACCAATTTTGGCGTCAATCAGCATGTTGTCATTGACCGCGAGTTCAAGGAGTGTTTGCGACAGATTCCCTGGAAGTTCCGTGCTCCCATCATGTATGCCTTTGCCTATGGTTCTGGTGTTTTCCCTCAGTCCAAGGGAACTGGCACTGCGACCGAAGCCGAGATTCGCGCTGTCCACCCAAAGGCTCCCATGGCTGTCCAGAAGGCTCAGAATGGATCTCCCAAGATGATTGATTTCATCTTTGGTGTCACGCACACGCAGCATTGGCACTCGTTGAACATGATGCAGCACCGTGATCACTACTCGGGCCTCGCATCACTCGGTTCAGGCGCTGTCTCTGCGGTTCAGGACAAGTGGGGAGCTGGTGTGTACTTTAACACCTATGTGACTGTCGATGGAATTCTTGTCAAGTACGGCGTTGTCAATATGGAGACTCTGAAGCGCGATCTTCGTGAGTGGGACACGCTCTATCTGTCTGGCCGTCTGCACAAGCCGGTCAAGATTCTGCGTGATAACCCAGCTGTGCGCATGGCCAACCAAATCAACCTTCTTTCGGCTCTTCGCACCGCTCTTCTTCTTCTACCAGGCTCATTTACCGAGCGTGAGCTTTACTCGACCATTGCCGGCATCAGCTATCTGGGCGATCCGCGCATGGCCTTCCCAACCGAGAACCCGCGAAAGGTTGCAAATATTGTGGACCACAACATGCAAAACTTCCGAGCTCTGTACGCTCCTCTCATCGATTCTCTCCCCAACGTGGAGTTTGACGATCCTTCGTGCAAGAAGGACAACTGGATCTGGGATACCAAGGATGTCCTCAAGCTTCGTCAGGATATGGATCCAGTCAAGCGAGGTAACATGGTCCGTCGCCTACCCAAGGCTTTCCGCTCCAAGCTATACTTTGAGTATCAGAAGAAGTTCCAGATTCCTCAGCTGGAGTTCAACAAAATGATGGAGGAGAGCAAGAATGATGACACCACGTCCTTTAAACGCCAGCAAGGTGGTGGCTTTGAGCAACGAATTGCCCAGGATGATCCTGAGGAGCTTAGAAAGATCGTGCGACAAGTCATCAAGAAGACCATCAACTGGCCCAGCACTTCGCAAACGCTCAAGGGACCCTTCACTGCCGGCATCAGCAAGACCATCCGCTATATGAGTGAGAAGATGGCCAAGCACAAGGAAGGGAAGCAGCCCCCCAAGACTGGCGACAAGGACAAGAAAGATTAGAGCCCTAAGCTTGGCGAGCTTCAGTTCTTGGCCCTGTACATAGGTTTCCTCTACTTGTGCACTGCTGGTGTCTGGGTTTACGTGGGTATTTACGGTTTCTGAGCGGAGGTGGGCAAATGAAAAGGACTCGAGCTGTCCAACTGTATCTTGGCATGATCTGGAGTTGTACGGCGTTTTGACTGCACATAGAGAAAGAGAGAAAGATACTCGGGACATGGGCCAATAAGGCCTCGATTTGTGAATAAACTACATTTACGGTTCATGATGATCATATACCGAGCAGTATGAGCTGAGTGTAAAAACACCATTGTAATCACTGAGATGTGGTGAAAGCAACAGGTCAATACGAAGTACCTCTGGGCAGAAATATACAAGGCTCATTCGAGTGTCCACGCTCCTTGGTGACTGTTGACGTACAGTATTTGAACCTAGTGTACCAGCGAACTCAAGCGCCCCAAGTTTTAGTGCTCGATCACTAAAGAGGCGCCGGATTCGACTTGCTTCATTCCTGGCTACAATTGCCTTTCGCCTCCCCCTCCTGCTTCCTCTCGGCACCAAACGTGTCGTCACTGCGGATTCTACTGCAGGCTGCTAGATATCTAGGCGTCGTTTGCAGCCATGTTGCAATGAGCACTACCTAGTCTCTGGCCCATATTTTATTAGCGAGATATCCATAACTAGGTCATACACTCGATAGGAAATCGCTACGAGCTGAGTGGTACACGTACATATCTAGTTGACCCCAGTAGCACACTACACTACCTTGCTCCTCTTCTTTGTGATTTTCAAAAGCCATATGCTCTCGCCAAACCAATTGCACGATGTTGACTTTTGACCGTAAGTATAATTATTTCTCAAATGGCACAATCATCTTCAGCGGACCTTGCAGGATAGGATTCGCTGCATCTTGGAAAGAATCTCGTAACGGCGATGAGTGGCAAATGTGGCAAAAGCTTGAAACATACTGAACGATCACGAAATTGATTATATGCAGAACTGATGACTAACTTTGGGTCTCATAGTGTCGCGCCTCTGGCTTGCTGCCCTGGGTTTTGTTGTGGCCTATGTCACGCAGTCGACTGCACGTTGGTTACATCATGGGTATAAACTTCGTAAAACTGTCCGAGATATGCAGGCAAAGGGCGCTCCAACACTACCTCACTCATGGATATTTGGTCATTTGATATTCATGGGCGAGTTTCGCAAGGACCACCCCGAAGATGCCAATATTTACAATATGCAATGTTGGTTCATGGACAATGTTGCCCGCTTCTTCCCAGGCGAGGAAACGATCCCGCCCGTCATCTACCTGGATCTTTGGCCGCTCCTTAATTCTCCCATGATCATGACCACTCATCCAGCCGTGTCAGCGCAGTATACGCAGCTTAAGAGTCTACCTAAATCCAGGACGTCTACCGTCTATCTAACTCCCCTTACTGCAAACAAAGACATTGTGTCTGTGGAAGGAGATGAATGGAAACACTGGCGCTCAAGGCTGAACCCTGTAGGGAACTGGCTCGCATCACTTGATTCCCACCTCCATAATTACTAACTGGTGAGCAGGGTTTCAGTCCTCGTAACATTACAGCACTCCTGCCAGAGCTGGTCGAGGAGATGCTGGTCTTTATTGATGGCCTCAAGAAGCTGGCAGGCAAGGACGGAACGTGGGGCGAGGTATTCCAATTCGAAGAAAGGACCATGAACTTGACATTTGACATAATCATTCGCGCTTCGCTTGATACACGGCTTCACCAGCAAACCCTAGGTACCGATACACCCCTCAAATCGGCACTGTTGGCACAATTGGAGCAAATGGGTCGGATGGCAAATCCTGCACGAGGCTTCTTACATGCATTCAACCCATTTGGATCGTTCACTATCGCTGAGAACAACAAGGTGATGCGTGACTTTTTTGTGCCGAATATTCAAAAGAGCATTCAGTCCGAGTCTCGAAGCTCGGGAAAACGAACCATTGTCGACTTGGCGCTGAAGCAGTTCAACGTTGAAGCCGACTCGAAAGCCCAAGCAAAACCCGACGAGGAGTTTATTAATATCTTGCTCAGCAATCTCAAAGCTTTCCTCTTTGCTGGCCACGACACAACGGCGACCACACTCTGCTGGATGTTCAAGAGTCTCCAGGACAACCCCAACTGCCTCGAGAAGCTCCGCGCCGAGCACACGGCGGTGCTTGGGCCCGACGTCGATCAAGCACACGAGGTCATTCTCAAGTCCCCGCATCTATTATATGCACTGCCATATACCCTGGCAGTGATCAAGGAGACACTACGGTTGTACCCGCTGGCCGCAACTGTGCGCGAGGGAAGGGCGGACTTTTTCCTTACAGCTCCCGGTTCACCTTTCAAGTATCCCACCGACGGCTTTGCACTTTGGGACGGAGTACCAGCGATTCAGTCGAGGGCCGATCTTTGGGTCAAGGGCAATGAATTTTTCCCGGAACGATGGCTTGCTACCGAAGGTGACACCCTTTACCCTCCCAAGGACGCCTGGAGGCCCTTTTCTATGGGTCCTAGAAACTGCATTGGACTGGAATTGGCACTTGTGGAGCTACGCTTGGTCGCAGTGATGATGGCCAGAAAGTTTGACGTTCAAGAAGCGTGGCACAAGTGGGATGCGAAGAAGTGAGTCAACCTTCATAATCATTGGGCTCTGTGTAAGAAACTAACAGGACATTTTACTAGGGGAAACACAGGCTCGAAACCTATGGTGAAGGGCGAGCGGCTATATCGTGTTGGTACTGGAACAGTGCATCCGAAAGACGGAATGCCCGTGCACATCCGAGTCAGGCAATAAATGAGTTACTTTCAGGTGGTACTGAAACCCGATGGGATGTGTACATTTGGATTATAGCGGCTTCATATGTTCATGTCCAACAAGAATAATGTACAGCTAAGCGCCCAACGCCTACAGGTATTAATTGAAACAAACCTCCCTCATCGAATAAGAAACTATGATCGTTGGCCAAAACAAGGCACGGTATTGGAAATTCCGTGCCGTTATAAATCATTATATCCAATACACGTCCTAGGTAAATTCATTTCGGCCACTGCCCAAACCCAAGCGCGCCCGGCTTCGCCAGTATACAAACTAGCAGACTCCTCGTTCCTAGTTTTCTCCTTCATCCATCCAAGCTTCTTCATCGAATTGGTCGCCATGCACGACAGAAACACACGGAAGCTCTCATCATCGTCGAGCGCCAGCGCATTGCCAGCAACGCCGTGGCAGAGACAGGGTTCCTTGCGCAGGACGCCGCGCTCGCGGACATCAAACTGGGCGCGGGCAATGGCGAGGCGCATCTTGTCGCCGAGAGATCCAGAGAAGTAAGGGAGCAGGGAGCGCAGAGAAAGCACAAAGCCGGGCCCGCCGTGGCAGAACTGTACCAGTCGGTCATGTCCGCTCCCGGGCACCGACGAGGGAAAGTTGCCGCTCTCGAACTGCCGGTCCAGGACCCGCGACAGCAGGAGCTGCAGCGGCGGCGCCGTCGTGGGCCGCGACAGGACCACCTGCGTAATGACCGAGAGGGTCCCGTGCGCCGCGCCCAGGTACTGCGAGCCGTGCCAGGTCCAGGGCTGGGGGACGCGCAGAATCCGGCTCACCGTCTTGTCAATCGTCTTGTTGAGCAGTTTCAATGTCGTCTCGGCCTTGGTGCCACTTTGCTGGAACGCCGCGCGGCAGAGTCTCAGTAGATAGAGCCATCCGGCGCGTCCGTACAGCCATTCATTGGACCCGTCGTCTTTGCTCGAGTTGATGATGGGCTCGTAGGCACAGAGCTCCTCGACAAAGCTCGTCTCCTGTTCAATAGCGGCCGAGAGGGCCAGACGGGCGAGTATCTCATTGGCGATGCCGCAGTGGCTCGGTGTCGGGCTCTTATGATCGACCCGACTGCCAAGATCGAGATATTCCTTTGCCCAATCTAGCAGAGACTGGTCCTTGAGGTCAAGACCGGGATAGACGGAAGAGAGTCGGTAGAATAAATACGCGACCGACGTTGGGCCAGTGTATAGGCCGTGGAACTCCCAGCCTGTTGAGCATGTATGGACGGGTGGGTTAAACACATTTATGCGGTCCAGGCTGGCCAGCAGCTCCTTGTGCTCCTCGAAATTTGTAAGTAGCTCCTCTGGGTTCGCAAAGTATCGGTGGTGATGGGCTGTGTGGTGCGCCATTTCATTCCACTGATCACACACAAAAGATAGTATACATGTCGATTGATGCTGTTGAAGAATAAACTGCCGATGTGAAGGGGATGCGTTCTTTTTGACTCGAGGATTAACATTATGTAGCTAGAGACCTTCTTACCCACCCTACATGACAAGCATCTGCCCACTGTTGTACGAATGCCATGGAGCCCGAAACGCGGGGAATGAAGTTTGGACCAACCATATTTTGTCCCCGTCATGTATGCATCATCGAACTATCGAGGCTTTCAGCTTCTGATCTGTAGTATTGGTGGCGAATATCAAATGAATGTGGCATCCTCGGCTGCGAAATAAATCAGATGTGGTAGTAGCTCGCCAATGTTATGCCCGTAAACCTTTTTGGTACGACCTCTTCATATCAAACTCTAGTAACATCGTCTACTTCATCACCCCCAAGTGATGGATCGATGAACCCTCTAACCTGCTGACATTAAGACCTAGTTTCATCAGTCCCTTACCTGTAATCACTTGGTTAAACGGCCCGAGCCTTTCGTACTCGAATGGTAAGTCTGACCTAGAAGGAATCAGGGGTCCGAAAAGTATCATCTTACATAATAATTCTTCAGAGATGCATGATCATATGCACACTACATTCTGGGATTGTTGAGTTGGAGATAACAAAGGGAGATATAGTAGATGCCGAGGCCTTACTAGTTAGATACTTCAATATGTCTTTGCAAACCGATCAAAGCAGCAGTACCCAGAAAAGTCTTGATCTCATTTCTGATTCGAATTATGAGAACAGTTTGCTTTATAGCCTACTCGGCCAATGTATCTCTCGCCTCTCAAGATAAGATACCAATTAGATGGCCTCCACGGACAACACCTCTTGATGATTTCGTATTCACAAACGATCAGTCTATAAATTGATCCAAAGCCTCCAAATAAACGGTCGTCGATGCTCTAGACCTTTTCACACCCTTGCGATCTATCCATATCTATGCATGAACATACACGAGGTGACACTGCAGGTCGGCAAGAACAGTGGGCTCGTACCGAAAGGCGGGGAAAGATTGCGACTCAAAAAGAATGTTGGATCCAGGGAATATTCTTCCGAGTAAACACAGCTTAACTTTGCGTGATATAGCTGTCATTATAGTTGAAACATTGCATTCTCTTTGCATTTCTCCAAGAGACCAAACATGGCTACCTTTGATACCGTGAAAGAAGAGTATAATGCCCAGGCCAAGGCATATAATGACGAATATCCCTCGCTACCATATGGTCAACTGGAAATCCAACTCTTCGGTGCCGCACTCGGTGATGCAACTGGACAGACCGTCCTAGACCTCGGCGGAGGTACGGGGTTGCGTGCTCGTCAAGCTCTGGAAGCCGGCGCAGCTTCCGTGGACGTTGTCGATATATCGGCAGAGATGCTCAACGTGGGAAAGGACATTGAAAGGGAGCTGGGACGGGACAAGACACGATGGTTCGAGGCCGATGCGTCCAAGCCGCTGGACCGCCTCGGGCTACTGCCCGGGCAGTACGACATTGTCATGGCCAACTGGCTGTTTGACCACGCCGAGAACGAGGAGAGCCTGGACGGCATGTGGAAGAATATTGACGCCCACCTCAAGCCAGGCGGCCGGTTCGTCGGGATTCGCAGCGGAGACCCGCGGTCCGATGCGCTGAGCAAGACGGACAAGTACGGGATACGGTACACCAATATTCAGGATATCCCGGGCGGCGTCAGTCTGCGCTTCTTCATGGGCACGAACCCTCCCATCAACTTTGATGCCAAGCTCGTGGAGAGCTCGTACAGTGGCTCGACGAAATACCACACCAAGTACGGCTTGGAAGATGTTCAGCTAATTCCTGCTGAGGAAATGCCCTCTGCTCGAGAAGATCCGGACTTTTGGAAGGTGTTTCTTGATAATCCACCGATGATTGCTGTCAAGGCAAGGAAGAGAGTCGAATAGGACGGGACGTCAGAGTTTATGTCTTCCCTAGATTGCAGTCAATGAGGAATTTTTCATGCATTTTTACCAATGAACTGAACACGACATCTGGCTCGAAGCCATGAATACTCTGACTTGACGGTTTGACGTGGAAACCTCAAGACTTGCTCTTGATGCGCCTGCTGTGAACTAGGCTAGGTATTGTGGTTTCTCTGTACGTTGGCCAACTGTTCTCCAGTGACGCTAAGGGTGAGAATAACACTAAATGTTTGAATTACGCCGAATCATCAAGACTTACAAATCAACTGCTCAGATGTTGCAATACAAGACCCGATTCTTAATGTTGTGATCATCAGATCTTGCAACAATAAATCAGACCTCGCAAACTGAAATATGGATTGATCAAAATGGTCCCGTACCCCGAAGTTGTCTACTCTTGCTTTAATAATCCGGAACATGTAGAAGGAGAGAGTTCCTCCGCTGAGATCGTGGGGCAGCTGGCTCGACTTGTCCGAATTGTGCGGTTTCCACCGACGCTACATCCCCTTGACTCCTATCCGCAGAGGTATGCACTTGTACGAGCAGGCAGTTTTGCGGGCTACCTAGATTATCAATTTTTACAGACTCAATATAGGATGCCAGTAGCAATACTAGAATCCACAATGGAAGTTTGGCACATGAGAATTATACAAGTATCGTTGTCCGAGTCCATCCGGCGACTCAAGTATATAAGTCTCTCCAGAGATGCCATGATCACTCAAAAAAATAATTCACATTAACCAAGGAGATTGTTTGCAAGCATCAAAGTCACGCCTTACCGCGAGCCGCCATATCCAGCAGAATGTCCGACCAACACTTCCTACAAATGGAGGATGGTGTCCGCCTCAACTACACGCAAAGCGGTGAACTTGGAAAGCCAAACCTCTTGTTCTTGAATGGTTGGCGACAGACAGCAGCTCAGTGGAGCAGCCAGGTCCAGTACTTTCAAAAGGACTTTCGAGTTACGACATATGATTATCGTGGGCATGGCGAGTCGGATAAACCAACCTCTGGTTACACTGGTGCGTAGATTCTTTTTGACATTTTGTGTTATAGAACTTACCTTCTCATGCTGTTATGGAGTCATGAGAAGCTCGTACTCGATACTAAATAGGATATACTAATCGGAAACATGTATTATAGTACCAGTCCTCGCAAGCGACCTCAATACTCTAATCCATGCGCTTGATCTCAAAGATATCACAATCATTGGCCACTCCCTGGGCGGTCAGATGACCTGGGCCCTCTGGAAATTCCACCCCGAGTCCAGGGGACGCATCATTCGCTTCGTGTCCGTCGATGGCTCGCCGTGCATGTTGATTAACCCGTCTTGGACCGAGCAGGAATCAAAGGACTTTGGTGGCGTCTTCACCCAAGGACAGCTGGAAGAGATATCCAACGCTTTCGACAGTGTGATGCCAGCCGTCATCAGGGGCATGTTCACGGACAAGACCAGCGAGCAAGACTTTGCTTGGGTGTGGGAGCAGATTACAAAGATGCCCAGTGATGCCGCGCTCGCCTTGTTCAAGGACTTGGTATCTAGGGACTGGAGAGAGGTACTGCCGCAGGTCAAGGTGCCGACTCTGATCATTGGAGGCGAAGCCAGTGTTCTCCAGCAAGACACATCGCGCTGGATGCATACGCAGATTCCAGGCTCGAAGCTTCACCTATTTGGCAAGGAGAAGGGCGGCCACTTTACGTTCTGGGAATTCCCTGAAGCATTCAACAAGGTCCTTGACGAGTTTGTTCATTCAGGATGAGTTTTCTTCAAGAAAGGCCAAACTACATTACTGAACCATCTACATGTGCGAGATTGAAATTTATGTGCATCATTTATGAATATATTTTATCTGCTGCCTAGTAGTCATCATTCGTTTCCAAATGAGAGGGGACAGGTGATTCATGATGTAACACCGAAACCCTTATGTCCTCGACTATTGTTTAGATCGGAGTAATACTCCATGATAAGTGACGAGTCAAAATATTATATATATCATGAAGGGAAGGGACAAAGACTCTAACGTGGGTCAACGAGCACTGTTTGAATTGTTGACATGTCATTTGCATTACTGAAGATGCTCAATCATGTAAGGGATCGTTCACCGAGGTGATGTATGGGACAACGTAAATAGCAGAGACGCTCACGGAATGCAGGAACAAAACGCTGATACGAGCAAAAGGTGAAGAGCAACGTTGCAGACAAGGGCAGCTCAACTTGTTAACCAAAAACCCACATGAAGTTGTAAGTTGCTTCCATGCAATGCTCGGTTCATGTGCAAACTTTGACGTGCACTCTGTAGATGTCACGCAAATGCAAGTTCTATGCAAGTGATTACCTAGTATTACCTTAATGTGTGTATCCATTGTTCAATGTTCAGCATCAAAAGAACCCCAGATGCCTGTGATACTGCAATGCAATGCCCAAAAAAATGAGTTGTTTAGTGGAGAACCGCGTGGATGACAGGTAGGCATACACCCTAGCGACAGCTGGAGCCCCTGTGGGTTTGCGCAGAACGGAACATTAAACACCGTTTGACTGCCGTGGATTAGCGGGTCGCTGGTACCTACGGAGGAACCCAGACAGACCCAATGAACCCCAGTTGCCAGCCAGGAAAGACGCTGGATGAGGAGGAGCCGAAAAATCAGCTTCAATATCGCTTCTGCAGTTGAATCAGTCACTGTTCCATTCCGTCCTCGCTTATCACTTTTACTTGCCGTCCTGTCCTCGACCCAAACACTCGTGTCTCGGCGATAATCTCAGAAGAGACATAGATTCAAAGAGCACAGAACGACTGCACGTAGACAAGGATAAGTAACAGAACCGTGCTTGACTTAGACCTTTGGCGCCAAAAGCCCATCGTCATCCATTGTTCTTTCTCAGAAAAAAAGCTACCCCACCTTCTTCACTGTTCTCAATTTCGCAAAGTTCCCAGTCGACCAGGGCGAAGACAAGAGGATAATCGCATCCGCGAGAAACTCCCGATTAGGCCTCGTCCTCACTGTGCCAAAAACAACCACCACCTACCTCCCAGGTTACCGCACATTCGACTTGCCTTGCCTTGCAGCGCACCGCACCGCACATACATACGCCGCTTTCCTTGTCCAAGACCACACAGCAACTCATCGCCCGTTCAACTACCCGAGCAACAATCGGGACGCATCCACTCAGGAAGACGACGTTGCTGCACTCTTTGCGCGCACACGACCAGAACCCCTCCTCCCAAACGCCCAAATGACAGACAAAGCCTCGACGCCCGATATTACAAGGAGTGCTTCACCGGCTGATCGCTCCAAGCCTTCTTCAGCTGAAGATCCCGACACCGCTACCACTCGCAAAGAGTTTGATAACACCAGAATTTCAGAGCCCAACGCTGCTTCCGCCATGTCTGCCTTGCAGGCCAGCTCCAAGCTCTCTGCCGACGGCGACAAGGCAACCCTAGAGCTGCCCGTTCCCGACAGCCAGAACGACAAGCTAAAGGAACAGCTCTCGTCGCCTAAGAAGAAGCGAGCGCACGACGAGGTAGAACCCAACAAGGACCCCGCCCAGGATCCAAATGGCGACGTTTCGCCCATAGGCGCGAATGGCTCTGCTGCTTTGAGCAGAACAGACCGACTAGAGCCCGAGAAGAAACGACACCGAGATATCTCCAGCGAGATCAAGGCTGACGCTGCCGAGACCAAGGTACGAAGAATCGTTAGCCCACATCCAGCACTTCTCGCAGCTGGGTTATGTCATGTCGCCTGTTGATGGCCCCTCACTAACTCGTGCCCAGGACTCTGCTGAGCCCAAAACCACATCGACCAGTGGAAACACACCAGACGAGACAAAGGCACCCACTGAGAAGCCCACTACTACTTCCGACTCTGCCTTCAAGAGCTCGGGACTTTCAGGATTTGCAGCGGCGTCTTCTTCTCCTTTCCTGGCTGCCGGTGCCAAGCCACTCACCTCGTTTGCCAGTGCTTCGGCATCGCCGTCGCCATTTGGCGCCTCGGCATCATCCAAGTCAAACACACCCTCGGTCTTTGGTTCAGGCAGCGCAGCCAATGGCTCTTCGCCATTTGGACAACTTGGCGCAGCTTCCAAACCTTTTGGGGGAAGTGCTTTCGGCGGTGGTTTCACCAGCACCTTTGGCAGCAGCAAGTTGACCTCGTTTGCTCAGCCGGGCGGATCTCTCAAGAGCAGTAAGCCCGCAAAGGCATTTGGAGCCCCGGATAGTGACCCCGACTCGGATGGAGAAGATGAAGCAGATGATGCAGCCAGCACCACCCAAGGCGATGCCGACAAGCAAGACAAAGATGAGAAAGAGGGTGAGAGTGACACCAAGAAGACAAAGCTCCAGCGAGGTAAGTTTTATTTGTTTGAAGAGGCTGCCTGAGTCATGTAAGCTGACGGGCTGTATAGTGACGGTAGATAATGGCGAGGCGGGTGAGGCTACTATCCTCCAGCTTCGCGCGAAGATCTTTCATCTGGACAAGGGAGCCACGGCCTGGAAGGAACGCGGTGCCGGCAACCTCAAGGTCAACGTTCCAATTCAATGTATCGACACGGACGACAATGGGCTGCCCATTCCTGGCAGTTTCGACGCTTCCAGCCTAGAGGATGGAGATGTCAAATCCGTCCGACTTATTATGCGACAGGACTCGACGCACAAGGTCATTCTGAACACGACGCTTATACCTGCCATGACGTTCCAGGAAAAGCCTATGAACAAGACTGTCTGCGTATTGTTTACTGCCATTGAAGGGGCGGGCGAGGCCATCAGTGTCCAATTAAAGGTATGTCGACGTTCTTTTGGCGAGGCACCTGCTGAATTCTTCACTAACAATGTAAAACACAGATGAACCCCGCAAATGCTAAGAGCTTCCTCAACGAGGTCGGCAAGATCCAACGCGAGCTTCAGTCGAATTAGTGGCACGACAAAGCTTCAGTTGTCCATCTTGGCTCTGGAAAGAGCTCGCCCGTCACCAGTGATGAGACCCCAACTTCAAGACCGGCCTCACCAGGATGGGCGCAGCATCACGTTACCCCCCAAGACAATTAAACATTCAGAAGAGGATTCCACATCAGAAACCTCATATGGCAAATCCATCAAAGGACAGCACGTCAACATGTGCGAGGATTCTGATGAGCAGAGTCCTGGCCGTGACCGACACGCATCGCCGTAGGCTTCGGAAACTTAGATTGGCCCGGAATCAAAGGTCAAACGACGAGGCAGCAACAGTAAAGACGAACAGACATAGCAAACAGCTCTAATTGTCATGAAACCCACAAAGCCGCCGTGAATGATTGCGCTCACACCTCGAATGTCGAGGACCGCTGCCACAGTAACGAGAGCGAAAAAGGGCTCAAGCAGAAGCGGTCGTCTCAGCGGAAGGTTGACGAGACTGGCACATCTGCTACCGAGAGCGCCTCGACCGATGATACTTTGACCAGATACAGGTAAAGGATGATGGAGTAGTCTGGCGGTTCGAACCCTTCACCATAGCCAGAGCTGGTTCATGAATCAAGCATGTATACGTCATACGCCAGGGCAAAGCAATATGAAAGATTCTGGCTTATTGTGTAAAAAGGATAGCATTGTTGCACACTGTGGCCAGTAGATGGAGTTATCTTGCATCGCCAGAACTGTGTCTCTATAGAAAGGACTAGATATGGATTGGCAGCGATAGTTGTGCCCAAGGAGGTATATGCTGGGCCGATGCAGTACCTCGTTTTAGAGTTCTCTACTTGAGCAATACGGACGTAGGTGTATGGATAACTCTCGCCGTCTAGGTATTCATAATGGTTAATTCATTTTTGATATGCGAGAGGATCGAGTTCATGGTCAATTGTTTATTCTGACTTCTGATTTATGTCTTAATCCGCTGCGACCACCACAGCATACATAGATGGACATGGAGTTGTATTTGAGTAGTATTATCCATAGAATACTGCTGAGAACAACTAGCTATAACCACATTTCGAGGTTGATAGGATTTTGACCACGTGGGTTGGCCTTGTCTAAATGCTCCAAGGCTGAGGACGTCAATAACGTCGAGTAATACGGCCAATCGGAAACCACGAAGATGTGTTTTGTCAATATATGCGTATTAGTGGAGACCAAAGTCCTATTTGGCACTCTGGGCAATTCGATTTTGTATGATGATCATCCATGTCCAACAGACACCAGGCGAGCCACTAACTAAAAATGGTAAATTCATCGTCAGCTTTATCTCGACCATGATCTTTCTGGGCGCCTGCATAAAGGATGCAGTTTGTCTTGATAACGAGGATAAGGAGACGGGCATACATACACATTTGGTACTGACAAGAGTCAAGCCATCATGATCTCTTTAGCATTCTGAAAAGTCGATCAATGGTTGATCAGAAAAGACATCCCCGCCTAAGTAAGGTCGACTGGCGACCTCTAAAACAAAACCCCACCGGACTCACGATGAACTGTTGGATCCTTGCCGTATCCTGCGGCCCGGCTGTTGGGCGGATCCAAAATTGAGACCCCACGTTGCCTATCTTGCATGCTAGCATCCGATATCCTCCAGGGCCAGGGGGGCACCCAAGAAAGAAATAAGAGCCCTCTGGCGAAATTTTGCTGCGTGCGCATATATGGGATGGAATAGATCACGCCATTTGCCGCGAGAGATGGGAAGAAACACGGCCGGCCTTCTCTGTTCGCCTCTTTATTAACGTGTCGTCAGTGTTGGTGCTACCGAGGCCTACAGAGTACATTCACAAGGGTTGAATCGGCAAACATTCAAACGTGGGCGACAGCATCCCAAGAGAAAACATGTCGTCGGACACGGCTGCCGTATCATCGCTGGCGCAGCTGCCTCTGGCAGTGAGCGCCGTCGTTGTCGGGCTGCTCTCGTTGCTATATTTAGCCTACCAGTGGGCTCTGCCCAAACCTCTGCCAGGCATTCCGTACAACAAAGCTGCTGTCAAATCAATTCTAGGCGATGTGGTTGAGGTCAGGGAGCTACAGAAGAAGGGGGGCAGGCCGCGGGCCTGGCTGGGAGAGCAACCATGGCGGCACAACAGTCCGCTGGTTCAAGTCTTTCTCGCGCCGCTGGCCAAGCCCATCTTGATTCTTTCCGATTTTCGCGAGGCCCAGGATATTCTGCTCCGCAGAGGCAAGGAATTCGATCGCGGCGGCCGCAACCTCGACGCCCTCGGCGGTGTCATTCCGAATCATCACATTGGCATGCAGACTTCAAGTCCTCGGTTCAAGGCAAATCGGGAACTGGTCAAGGATCTCATGACTCCTAATTTCTTGCACACTGTATGTAAAAAGAAGCAAAAGAAGTCGGCTCTCAACGTTCATATCGAAAAACATAAGCTCATCTGGTTACAGGTTTCTGCTCCCGAGATTCACCGCAACACGCTCAAGTTCATCGATCTGTGGAAGCTCAAGGCGGAAAAGGCCAATGGTCGACCGTTTCGGGCAGACGAGGACATTCACGTCATGACCTTTGACATTATCAAGATTGTTGCGCTCGGCGAGGGTGACTCGCAGAGCATGACGGAGCTGTACCACGATATCGTGCGCAAGACTGATCTGGAGGGCCAGGTTCCCGACAGCAAGGACGCTCCCGTACACTTCCCTGACCATTTGCCCAACGAGGACCTCCGCTCTCACCAGGTCCAGCAGGACGCCGTCGGGCAGTCCATCAGTGCGCCTCTACCTGGTCTATTCCACAAGATGAACAACCGGAAACCACACATGCAGGAGGCCTACGCCACCAAAGCGCGCATGCTCGAGAAGCAAATCGGCCTAGCCATTAAGCGCGCCGAGGCTGGCGAGGACGTCAAGTCGGCACTGGACCACATGGTGAAGCGTGAGATTAACGCAGCCAAAAAGGCTGGCCGGGCTCCCGTCTTTGACTCCCCTTACATGAAGGATGAACTCTACGGTTACATTGGCGCCGGCCACGAAACCACGGCCACCTCGTTCCAGTGGGGTCTCAAACACATGGCCATCCACCGGGACATTCAGCACAAGCTCCGCGCAGCCCTGCGCGCCACCTACGCCGACGCCGCGGCGGCGCAGCGCTCGCCCACCGTTGCCGAGATCACCAAGGCGCAGGTCCCGTACCTGGAGGCGGTCATGGAGGAGATTCTACGGCTGACGGGACCCGTGCTCGGCGTTTTCCGCCAGGCCCAGGTCGACACGACGCTGCTGGGCCACCGGGTGCCCAAGGGCACGCAGGTCTTTATGCCCACCATGGGCGCCAGCGTCGCGCGGCCGTCTTTCGCCGTCGACGAGGCCGTGCGGAGCGAGAGCTCGCGGTCCCACACGGAGAAGCGCGGCGACTGGGACGACCTGGACCCCGAGGCCTTTGTGCCGGAGCGCTGGCTCAAGACTGAGGACGACGACGAGACTTTGCAGTCGTCTTTTGACTCGCAGGCCGGTCCCTTTTTGACGTTTAGCAATGGCGTGCGTGGTTGCTTTGGACGCCGTCTCGCGTACCTCGAGCTCCGCATCCTCATGACGCTGCTATTTTGGAATCTGGAGTTGGGTTCGCTGCCAGAAGAGCTCAATACTTTTGAGGCTGTTGACAGTCTCACTACCAAACCTGCCAAGTGTTTTGTGAGGATATCCGAGGCCAAATACTAGACATGAATTAATCTTCTTTGTCTTTAATATGATCTTCATATTATTGATCTAATCAAGATCTCATACGAGATATGGAGTTGGAGAGCGACTGGAATTTTTCCTTTTTTCCCCTTAGATGGAGTTTGAACGCGAAGAGCGATATGGGAGAATTAGAAGTATAGACTTAGAAGCCCTTGATTTACCAGTCTTGAAAGATACTACCACCACGTTGCTGCCTACGCCCATCTTCGTATCCAACACATGAATGAAACGGCTTTCGGCGTGTGCTTACTCACGAGCAAAGTCGGGACTCTCAAGACGCGAAGTTCCGATCGTTCCTGATCCCAAGTGGGGAATTGTCAGATGTGCGTAATGTTTCTAAACTCTTTTGCTAGCTAAAGGATTCAAAGGATTACCAGGCTATACCGGATGTAGTATCGTTTGGGCCAGCTTCCGACCTCTAGTTGAACTACCATATTCCGACTCAATGTACCATGTGTAAGCAGGGGACTTGACACCTGGGTATGAGGAAGATTATAGCCAGGCACCCGTTTCGTTCGGCGCTGAGATGGGTGGATTTGGGCTTACATGATACCAATATTTGTTAACTTTGTAAAACAAAGCATACCTAATCTAATTTATATAAAGTATGAAATCTGCCGTCATACATTCATCTTGATCACCTGGTTCATTATATTAATTCACCTCTACGTCATTCTCACAAGTAAAAGCTACACTGCTCGCCATCAAAATTCAAACCCCAGCTTTATTATCCAATAAACATTATTAACATTACTCACAACAACATGTCATCCTCATCACCAGACCTCCGTGTAGTCGTCACGGGCCACACCCAAGACGGAACCTCCATCTTCACCTCGGATACCACGGTCCAGCCCATTCACCACTTTGGTCCCGCGGGCCCATCATTTGCCGTGCTCGACGCGCAGTCCTCGGTCCCGGCCTCTAACCAGACCCCCGGCCCCGACCTGGCCGGCTCGCTGCCGCGGTGTCCCCCCGAGGGAGTGCTCTTTTCCGTCGTCACGTACCCGCCGGGGTTCTCGGCGCCGGCGCCGCACCGCACCACGACGCGCGACTATGGCGTCGTGCTGGCGGGTGAGATTGTGTTGGAGCTCGAGGGCGGCGGCGGAGAAGAAGGAAAGCAACAAGGAGAAAGGAAGACGTTGCGGCAGGGCGACTTTTTGATTCAGGGCGGTGCGAGTCATTGTTGGAGTAATCGAAGCAGTGAGGATTGTCGGGTGGCGTTTGTCATGGTAGGCGCAGACAAGGTGCGGACGGCTGGTGGAAACGAGTTGGAGGAGACTGTTTTTCAGAAAAAGGGATAAGAGTACCTCATGGATTGTGTGTACAAGTGTTAGGAGAGTTGGCCAAGTTAGGAAATTGGATTTATAGCATGAGAGATTTCTATCAAATTTCGTCAACGAAAGCTACCGGATTTCAAGTATCTGATTATTATTAATCCCTACAGATCCAGATCCATCAATAAACTAGCGAAAGGGAAACAAGGGCCGCTCGATTAGAATTGCGTCTCTCCCAGAGCCGTGTCCCGGTGCACCTCCTCGAAGCTAAACTTGAGTAGAACCGTACACTTTGTCTCCTTTCCGTGGGGGTCCAGCATCCTCACGAAACGCCACTCGTCCTTTGCAACATAGGCCAGTCGGACGGCGGAGACGGCAAAGATGGGGTTGATGGAAAAGGACTCATCGCTCTTGACCAGCATACGCAGAAAGACGAGCTCATTCTCCTCGTACTCCCACTCAAGCGTCTCGTCCCACAGCGGCTCGTTGGCCGGCGGGTTCTCGCCCCGGTGCAGCAGGCCCAGCGTGTGCTGGCGGTAGTGCTTGGTCCGGTGCTTGGCCAGCTCCTCGCCCATGTCATCGGGGTGGAAGAGAGTGCAGGTCAGGTACGGCTTAATGTCGTCGGCGGTCCGGCCGTCGAGCAGAGGCACGTCGGTCGCGCCCGCTACTTCGAGGCGGAGCTTGATCTTCTTGCCCGTGTTCAGGCGGCCGTTGCCTCCGGCGCGCAGCGGAGCGGGCTTGAGCACGTAGCCGTCCGAGCCACTGAAGAGGGCCTCGTTGAGCTGCAGACTGGTGCCAAAACTTTGCCAGTTCAAGGCGCAAATCTGGGCACCAATGGCCCAGAATGTTGCCGGTTTAAGGTTGGTCGAAGAAATACGTGTTCCTGATCGTTGTTAGAATAAAAGTAACTGCAAATTAGTTTTTGAACACATACCCTTGGGGAAAACGCGCATCAAATGCTTCGAGTTGTGAATCGCAATCTTCTCATTGTTGCCAGGCATGTGCGATGCAAGCTGGACCTCTGACACGTTGATAAGATGGTCATGAGGACCGTTCTTCATCTGCGGCTCCTCGAACCACGAGTTGTCGACGGGCTTGACCGACTGGGCATAGACACCGAGCTCGGCCAGCTCGGGGATGATGCCCGACTTGGGCGCGGCCTTTTTCTGAGCCTTGTAGTCGTGGCGTGCCTGTCTCTCCGTCTCTTCCTCCTCCTCATCGCTCGACGAATCGGACGACGAGGTGTCCTTCTCGTCCGTAAAGTGGTACTCGACAATGAGCACAATCTTGGATCCGAGATCGTCCAGTCGGACCTGGGCGTCGTGACCTTCTTGCTCTTCGTGGCCCTTTTCTCTCACGGCCTTGCTGAGCAGTCGATCGCCCCAGACCTCCTTCATAATGGCAACCAGCCTCTCCTGGCCATGCTGGCTACAGTGGTTCTCGAGAGACAGCAAGATTGGGGCCGCGCGGTATCCCTGCTGGTCCTTTGCATCGGCAGCCTCCTTGTCGACGACATCACGAATGGTCTCACACACGGAGCGGAAGGGAATGTGCGACACGAGCGTGTAGCCGTGGGTGACCTTGGGCTCCTCCTTGTCGTCCTCGTCATCCCAGGCGTCGATCTCGACGCAGCGGGCGCCCGTGTTGAGCGCCGTCCGGTACGCCTCGGCCGACGATTTGCCCGTCAGCTGGTGGGCGAGCAGATAGGTGTTGTGGCTGGAGCTGATAAAGTACTCGGCGAGCGGGTACGATCTGTCCGTCACCTCGGGCGGCACGTTGATGTGCGGTAGGTCGAGCAGGGCATCGAGAACGGGGCCTGGGCCGTCCACGTCCAGACCGGCTTCCGCCTCTGCCACCACACCCCGATCGACCAGGAACGACTTGAGGGCGTGGCTCACGCGAAGCTCGTGCCGGGTGAGGGCCGTTGACCGCGCGCCGTGTCCTCCACCAGCGATGGTATAGTCATCGATTGATCCGCCAACGTCATCCAAGCTATTCTCGTGAGTGCTGGACCCAAATGGGTTGAGCTTCCCGAGGAGCGACGCCATGGTATCAAGCTACAAAGCTTCTTGGTGAATGTGGATTGATCAAGGAAGATCCCTAGAGGTTTGGTCCAATGGGTTTGTGGCGCCAAGCTGCAGCAGGCGAATAGCCAATGTAGCTCCGTTTATTCCTTTTTTGATATTTACACACAGTTGCACCTCTCTCTGCCTCAAATGAATGAGCAACGGATAGTCGCACCGGATGAAATTCGCGTTCTTGTCAGTGTTTACGAGACGGAGGGCCACCCTTAAGCATTTGAGCTGGCTGCTGACACTTGATTGTCGGTCAAGAGCCTCCACAACCAATGATGCCGCCTAACCGGCGGGGTAGACCAATAGGCACGACTTCAGCCCTTTCAGATGGAGCTGACACCGCCTCGATCTCTCACTGGAGTCAATAGGGGGCATGTGCGTTATTTGGCTCATCCGTGCTGATCTTGTGAATCATTCGTCTTGGGAATCCTTTTGAGACAAGCGACGCCTTATCCACTCGAGAAAGTAACATGATAGTCAGCTGCAAGATATAATAAACTCAACTCATCGCAGGCTAGCTTCTTATTGGTCAATTGCACAAGAGGGGCTCAAAGTCATCTGCAGGAAATAATTCCAGACTTGTGTGCTACGATGCACGGTACCTGGAGCTAATGTAGGAATAATATGCAAGATCGTGCATGTTCACTTTAGCAATACATAATTTATTATTTTAGATTCTTGTATCCCCTCGAATAGCTACTATCAAGTTTATATAAGCGAAAAAAAAGGCAGCTGCCCCAACTCCTATCGCCAGCACTTGATCGTTCGTTCGCACTTCATATGAATATCGTATCCTTAAAACAGAAAAAGTGGTATACAGCATCCAGTCGCCGCCATTCAACACTCAATCTTTGTCCATCCAACCACTTGCAAAAATTTGTGCCGCAGTCTAGGTACTCATGCATTTTGAGTCCTGTATTGGCGAATCACTGGACCTCCCCTGTAATGTATCCAGACGGCCCTGGTATTTGTCTTCTGGCGTTCGGGCCTCCACCTAGACTTGCAGCAAGGTGGCTCTGACTGTCGACCAGCCTCTTCTGTTCCTTGATCCTCTTTTGGAACCGTTCGTCGGCAGCAAAGTCCATCCTTTCAGTCTCCTCTCGTTCTCTCAATCTGATACTACTGAGCTGGTTCGCATTGCCGACCCTCTCGTTACCCAAATCTCTCTCCCACTCCAACATCCTCTGCTGTTTTTGTGTCTCGTGGGCCAGCTCTGCGTCACCAAGCTCCTGCACCCGGCGGCGCGATGCTTCGGTCAACGCCTGCTGGTGTGACACTTCGGCGCTCTGTTTCGCTCTCTGCTGAGCAAGTGTTCGTGCAAACAGTTCATCCTCAAGGCGTGCCTTGTCTTGTATCGCAGACAGGTCCGACTGATGCGATCGTTTTCTTCTAGCGTCCTCGAGCTCGGCTTGATTGGCCCAAATTTGAGCTTGTACAGCTGCAAGCTCCTTGGAACGATTGATTGCAAGGAGGTGCTCTTCATCTTCACGGCGCTGACGCTGAAGGCGGGCCTGTCGTTCTGCCTCTTGATCTTGTAGAAACACTGGCATTCCAACTGCGTCTTCTGGTTGGTCACCAGAGGTGGCGTAATAGACATCGGCCCCTCGGTTCGCCTTCAATAACTTCAACAGCTCCGGCGTGGCATCAGTCTGAGGCAGCACGCGAGAGACGTATTGCGTAGGCGAGTACGTGTACTTGCCATCAGTGAACTGATTGAAGGGCTTGTTGATGAATTTCCACATGTCTGCGCGGAGAAGGACCTTGGTTGTCGTTATCGGGTCTTTCGATTCCAAGGCAAGAAGAAGCACTGATTTTCCTTCAGACTGTATGGTGATGTCGGACTCTTGGAGAAGAAAATTTATGCACTTCTCCATGGCTTTCTCGCGCATAGCTGTAATCTCGCCCGAGTCGGCAGCGTGGAGGCACAACTCGCCCAAGGCACTACGTCCATTGTGCTCTGGGCTTGGGCTTGGAAAGTCGGGGTCGTGCTTGTATTCCATCAATATCTGCATCGCCTGCAAGTTGAGTTCCCTCGCAGCATTATGTAGCGAGCCGTCATTTCTAGACGCACCAGCCGCAAGAAGGTTGGACATCATGGAAATGGCAAGGTCTCCACCTATTGCCGAGGCCATTGATAGCGGCGATCTTCCCATGGCGTCGCAAACATCAACCTCTGCACCAGCAAGCAGGAGTGATTTGACTAGGTCCGGTCGTCGTGTCTGGATTGCTAGCATCAAGGGACTGATTCGGCTCAGTCGCGTCTCGTAGTTGACTTTTGCCCCTCGATCAATGAGCATTTCAATAACGCCAGTGCTAATTTTCTTCTGTGGCTGCAGTAGCGTCCAAGTGATCAGATTGACCTGCTCTTCCTCATCTATCTCAGGCAAGACTCTGGCACTGGTCATCTGATCGTGGTAGTAGCCAATATCAAGTAAAGCCTGCAACAGCTTCGTCGACCTAGGGAACTGTGACAAGGCCCGGATAATCACCGGCTCAGACTCAGGATCGGCAAACATGGTGTCTATCTGGTTGCCGTCATCATGGTACTCAACGAATAATTCAACGAGCTCTAGCACTTCATCTTCTCTAGCGTGAGCATCAAAGACTTGAGGAAACGCAAGAGTCAATGACTCGGAATTCGGCTTCTCTTGCAGCAGCCTTCTCAAAAGGACAGGATTTCCTTGTGAGGCCACGTTACGTAGACCTTCACCATGATTGTAGTTGATATCTGCATCATACTTGAGCAACAGTTCGACAAAGTTGTCGGCAATATCTCCAGGGCTTTCCGCATGTGCGCCGAGGACTGCGACAAGCGCAGATCCCACTGCGTCTCCGGATGCACCCTTTCTCAATAGACAACGAGCAATCTCGAGGCCCCTGTCGGATAACCAGGATTGAGCATGGGCAGGTACAAATGCCTTGCCAAAAGCAAGTGAGGCCTCCTCGGGGGTAATCTTTGATTCTAAAAGTTGGGAGAATTGAGACGCTGACAACGTCCGTGTGGCATCAATCAACGTCTGACAACCATTTGCAGTCGGTGAAGCTCTGTTGGCGACCAATAATTGAATGATTCTTTCTTCGGGGTTCTCTTCATTGACAGCTTTGGTTAAAGCCAGGTGGACAGCATTGGGAACAGGCTTTCCTGCCTGGAATATCCATTCGAGCACAAGGAACCGCGTATCCCTACTAAGACTCCAGCATGCATCCATTGCGCGCAGTAGTGTGTGCGACGAAGGCTTCTTTTGCTTTCCACCAACCTCTTCGATACATAACAGCATCTTCAAGTTGTCTAGAAAGGCGCTCTTTGTGGCCTTCACGATGGCTTCGCCTTCGTTGTAGTCGGGACTCGCTCCATAGACGAGAAGAAGTCGAACCAGATTCGATCCGTTGTCGCCGAATCTTTCTGCTGATACCAACTGCATGTCAACAACATCGCCAGTCACTCCGTGCTGTAACAGGAGCTTCAAGATGGCAGCTCTGACTGCAAGATCTGATATTTCTGTGGCAGCTTGAAAGCCCTTTTGCAAGGTCTGCTGGCTAATATTCACGTCACCTGATAAAAGCATGCCTAACACATCCGCAGATCCTGAACGGCAGGCCTCGATTATGGCTTGGCCATCTTTGTGTTCGACACTTCCACCGTTACGAACAAGAATCGTGCCAAAGTCGAGATCGCCATCAGTGGCTGCAGCTAACAGTGCGTCAGAAACCACCTCGCCAGAAGCACCGGCCTGCAGCAAGCTGCTCGCGGACATGCTGCGCGCTCTTTGGTCCCGAGCTTTTGTGGCATGTGTAAATGCTTTGTTTAGGATGTCGACCGAGAAGCTTCTCTTTTTCTTGTTGAGGATAAGATCCACAATATCCTGCTTCTCCATCTCAATGGCTTTGATGAGGGCAACACCATCCTTGGCATCAGCATGAGATAGCAATAGGTTGATCAGAGGGATATCATCAGGATACGTTTGGACGGCAAACATCAGCGCTCTATTAACTTCGCTTGATGCAATGCCTCCCTGAATAATCTTTTGTGCGAAGGCTATCCGGTCCATAGCATCCTTGATACGCAGGGCATGAGGCATAGCCCAGGCAAGGGCGCGCGGGTTAGGTTTTGCTGAGAAAAGGAGGTCTACCATGGGCCCGTTCGCCGCGCCGACTGCCCTCTGCAATGCTTCGCCGTCCTTTGCATTGACGTTGGCGCCATTTGCCAGCAGCGTTTTCAGCACAGAAAGGACTCTCTGGGAAGGTGGTGTTCTGAGAACACTTTGTACTTCGTCTATTAGCAACTGGCTCAGTGAATCCTTTGATGACACTCTCTTTAACAACATGTCGAGTTTTTCGGCCTTTGTTGGAATCGAGGCGAATCGGCCGAGGGCGATCATGGCAATATGTAGCGTTTCTTGTGTTGGTTGACTAAGGTCGAGCACCATTTGGAGCAATTCTGGATCGGTGCTTTGAACGGCATACACGAGTGCGCTGCCGTTGTTGGCGTTAATATCTGCCCGACCTCGCTGCATTAATGTCACCACAAGATTCTTGTCTACGGACGTCGATTGGAGCAGAGTTGCCAGTGCCGTTGAGATTTCTGGTCCACCTTGCGATGCCCCGGCGTCAATGAGCATGCCGACCATTTGGCCCCTTTTAACCGGATCTTGTACCTCCATGGCTCTGGGCAATGCCTTTGCTGCGATTTGAGGTGTTGGATTACTCTTCAACAACCTATGCAGAAGACTGACGTCTTTCTGTGCAATTGCAGCTGTGATACCGGCACCCTCGTTGAAGTTCACATCCGCATTTGAGCGCAACAGCAGCGCAATGAGCCTCTCGTCGCGGTGTGGTGGTGTTTCGTCGATGGCGTTCTGGAGTGCAGAATGCACACAAGGACCCGACAGCCCAGCAGCAAGAAACGCTTCAGTCATTTGATATCGTTCGAGTCGTGGTAGAGTTCGTACACTCGGATACACTTCCGCCATGGCTTCGTTTGACGGCCTTTTCTCGGCGGTGAGTATCAGCTTGGCAATTGGAATGATGCGGTTCTTGACGGCGAGCTGTAGAGCCAAGCCCCCCTTATGATCCGTGGAAGCGACAGCATGTCCCTCAAAGACCATACTTCGGGGGCCTCTCTTGAGATCTTTGTTGCCAACAATTTTGCCTCCGGGGAAAATGGGCGTCAGCAGTAATTTTGCAGCTTCGACATCTCCTAATTCAGTCACATTTATCAAAGCCTCGTCCAGCGGTAAGCCGGCCGCGCCTTTTTGTAATAACAATTTCAAGAGAGCATATCTGTCTTCGAATCTGATCTGCTGTGGCATGAGACTCACAGCTTCAGACGCGTGTATCGGGCTCAGCTGTGTATCTCCACTCAGCATTATGTCGACAAGGTCGACTCTGCCGGCAGATACCGCTTTCCGCAGAGCCCGGGCATCTTGGTGATCAATCGATGCACCATACGACACGAGCATGTGCACCATCTCGATGAAATCGGTAGCACTTGCCTGTACTAAAGCCCGAGCGACCGGATCACCTCCTGCACCAGCACAAAGTAAGACCTCGACCATAGCGAGTTTCTCGTTTGGGGTGATATTTTGGTGAGCCATGAGCTGGTCAAAGGCTTCGTTAAGTCCAATCTGTCCAGGCGGTTTGCAGCCGAGTATCAAAGCCAAAGCTATATCGCGTCGTCCCAGAGATACTGCGGCTTTCAATGCCGCTGCCGCATCGTAATTACCATCGGCAGTAGACTGGCTCAAGGCTAGGACTGTGTCTAAGCATCCAGCCCTGGCGGCTTCAACCATGGACTGAGAGATCCACGTTTCGTCCGGCCGTCCGTCAGATGATAATATCATGGCAATCATTTCCGCCTGATTTCCAGTGCCGCACGCAGCCCGAAATGCATCCTGTCCTTCGGCTGTGTGAGCGGCATTTGCGCCGTACTGAATCAGCATCTCAACAATTTCGAAATCTTGGTTACGCATCGCAATGGGCAAGGCCGTGTCCAGGCTGAGAGCATCAGCAAATGGTAATAAGACTTGGACCATTTCTTTGTGGCGATTTGCCACCGCCTTTTGTAGGACTTGGCTGCGTTCTGCAAGGTCTAGACTCTTTCGCCGCGACAACAGACTTGGTCGAGTAGTTTTCTGTGCTAGGTTCACGTTACCACCAACTTGGCTGAGCATATTGACGAGCGCTTCTGCCACACCGGGCGGGCCGCGATTTGCGACATGATTGACGAGGGCGCTATAGATCTCCTTGTACTCCCACGTCTTCTTCTTGGTCGTAAAGGCCCGTGAAAGGCCCCCCTTGGTCTGCTGTGCCTGTTCTGCCGCCCGTTGATGCCTGAGCAGGTCCTCGGCAAAAGCGTAGTCATTTTGCGTCGCTACTGACGGAGGATGACCCGGCCGCACCGGGGGCGACGGTAACGGCGACATGTCCAAGCCCCATTCCGTGCCGAGATGCTCCAGTCGGCGTTGCCGCCGGTCCTGCAGCGACATGTGCTCCATGTTCGAGCTCTCGATCAATCCTGGCATCATGAGAGCGTGGAGCCGGATTTCCTCCTACGCAGCGAGTTCCCGCGATCACTGCGAGAGCTACTGAACTGCGTATCTCGGAAATGGCTCAGGGTATGCTCACTCAAGGAGCTATGTGTCGCATTTGAAATTGATGAAGATCGTCTGGATGTTCATGCAGCCATGCAACAGATGGAGAGGCGTGGTTCAGTGATCACCATTCGCCATCCCTGACATGACCAGGAACAAGGGCAAAATGAGAGTAGAAAGATGTCGACTTCCGCGGGGGATTAGATTAGCGATGTACGTCAGGTATATAAATGGCCCGAAAGTGAAGGGACAAATGGGTTGCTTCACAGCCTCATGTAAATCAACCTTGGCCTGTGCCTACCCGTTGATAGTGCGTTTGTGGGGGGTACGAGGGTGTGCTGTGGCCCGCTGGGGTCGTCTCAATGAAGGACCAATGCAATGAATGAATCGACAGCCAAGCGAGAGAGTCGTCGGAATAGATACCACGATGCCGGACTTCGCCAAGGGCATGGAAAATGACCAGAAGAAATATCTTGGCCTTCTTGAATTACGGGATCGTACAGATTTGATGAGATGAGACGAAATAAAAGAACCCATGAGCATCTTTAAAACATGAAACGAGGAATTGGCCTGTCAGCGTGCCATGAGACAAGAGCTTCGAGCTCGAGCCACTGAACCCACCGGGGCAGTCTGCCGAGTCGCTGTAGGGGGTTTTCCAGGTATGGAAGTCCAAGACAGGCACCACTACCAGGGCGAAGCAGGCGAGCAAGCAACCTTGGAGCAAGTCAAAAGCAGGGGGCCGGACAAGCTGTGCAACAACAGTGCTTTGCTGGCCAACAAAAAGGGCCCAAGCTGCCGCCCACAAGGTACTCCCAGCAAGCTCAATTCTGGCAGAAGCTTGGAAGATTCCCAGCGCGGGCAACCGTTGGCTGCTCAATCAACGATCATACCCTATGTTGAGCAAAGCTCCTGGCTCCAGTCAATCCAATAGGTAGATTGTAGGATTCGATCGCCCTCGGGTGCACAGCCTCCCTCTGCAAGCGCAGCTAGGTCGCAGGCACCAGAGTTTTGACTCTACTGAGAAAAGGACCCCGCCACATTCTCGCCCACACTACCTACCTACACTACATGATAGGACAGTGTGTAGTCTATAGGTGGGAGTCGCGGGGCGCTTTCTGTCATGCAAAGCCAAAATATGCACTGAACACGCGGCCTGCTTGGCCAACTCTGGTTTCTGCTGCATCGCTGATTATTACCGAGCACTTGAGCAATCTGAATATTTGCCGATCGTGACGTGATCATCTTTATGAAGACAGGCACCAAACCATGATCTTTGGCTATCCCCATTTGCGGACCTTACGGAGCTTCTTTTAGCGTCAAACAAGTAAATCTTTCTCCACTCGTGGTCTGTTTAAAGATGCCCAGGCGGTTGACCAGCGGGTCCAGATCGTGCAGGTGAGCTCAGACGAACAATGCGGTAGCAGCTCATCATACAAACACTATACGAAGCTCATGTCGCCCTGATCATGGCGCTCAACCTGTCATTGTGACTCAGCCTCAAGGACACGAATGCTAGCTTTAAGATGCAGATGCCAAGGCGGGATAATAGGTCCTGCCGGCTCAATCGTGGCCGGGGGAATAATAAACGAATTTTTTGTCTATAAGGCTTTATACTAATAAAGGGTTCCGCAGGTTTCGTCCTGTTCCGGCCCTGTCTATCATCAAGAAGTTTCCAAACGTTTCATTACAGAGAGCCATACCCAATTCACGAGGTCTTGGCCTTGACGGCAGCCAGCAACTCCGGCGGGGGCTCCTGTCGGTAGCCCTTGGGGTTGTTGGACACCCAGCGCCAGAGATCCTCACAGGCATCTTCCATGGTCAGCTCAGTCTTCCAGTTGAGCTCCTGGTTGGCGCGTGTCGGGTTGGCTGTGAGGTCCAGAACATCACCCTGTCTGCGCGGCACAACATCGTACGGCAGGTCGCGGCCGACGACCTTGCTGAAGGCCTTGATCATCTCGAAAACGGTGCTGCCACGTCCCGAACCCAGGTTCCACGCCTTGATACCGGGCTTCTTCTCGCGCAGGTAGTTGAGGGCAACCAAGTGGCCACGTGCAAGATCGACAACGTGGATATAGTCACGAATGGCGGTTCCATCCTTGGAGGCGTAGTCTGAGGGACCAATAGTTAGCTGGTGATTCATATCATGCGCAAATCAGAGTCTTCCTTACCATCGCCAAAGACCAGGAGCTTGGGTCGGTCGCCAGTGGCAACCTTGCCCAAGAGAGGCAGCAGGTTGTAGGGCACGCCCTGAGGGTCCTCTCCCATGATACCGGAGGGGTGAGCACCAGCAGGGTTGAAGTATCGGAGGTTGGCACCGTTCCATTGCTCAAAAGGCTTGCCAGCCTTCTGGGCGTTCTGTCTCTGAGCGTTGATGAAGTCTTCAATGATGTTCTCAACGAAGCTCTTTGTACGGCCGTAGGTGTTGGTAGGGCCAATCGGGCAGTGCTCGGGAATGGGAATCATGTTCTCGAAGCGGGTGGCATCACCGTAGACGGTCGCGGACGAGGAGAAGACGATGTTTGTGACATCGTGCTTCTGCATGGAGCGCAGGAGAGTAACGGTACCGCTGACGTTGACGCGGTAGTACTCGAGAGGAATCTCTCCAGACTCACCAACAGCCTAACACTGCTTGTTAGCGTAGCTCTCGGCGATCTGAGCGAAAGCCTGAAATGATGTAAAGGCTTACCTTGAGGGCAGCAAAGTGGATGACGCTGTCAATCTCGGGGTGTTGCGCAAAGACCTTGTCGAGCTCCTCCTCGCTGGTGATATCGGCCTTGTGAAACTTGGGTCGCTTGCCGCAAATGAGCTCGATGCGGTCAAGGGCGACCTCGGACGAGTTGTAGAGACTGTCTACAATGATGACCTCGTACCCATTTTGCAAGAGGGCAAGAGATGTGAAGGAGCCAATGTAGCCGGTACCACTGCAGCAAGTTAGTGTCAGAACATTGACCACGATTTTTATCTGCGTAAAGCCGGCTGCTATGCTCTGCTGCCACTGTTTCCAAAGCTCATGATGGATTGGCGGGGTTGAAACTTGGGCGCGCACAGCAAGCACCCCGCCCCAAAACTAGGGTCTCAAGAGGTGTCTTTAACATTGACTTACCCGGTGATCAGAACGGTTCCAACGGTCATGTTGGCGAATTGGTATCAATATTTGGAGGTCAAGAGTCTTCAAAAGGTCTTGCTCAGGATTGGGTGAGGGAAGGAAGAAGGAAAGAAAGGAAGAAATTGCGAACAGAGCTGGAGGAGTAAATGAGCCGTTGTTTGTAACAGGCGATCAGTCGTCACCTTGGTCATTTAAATGAGATTTCCCGTCGAGAACAAGCAAGTCCCAATGTCCAGGTTCGCATCCCACTCACGAATCAAGCGTGGTGGGGCTCCAAGCTCCCCAGCAGCGCATTGGCGCGCCACCACCACGCCTTCGTAACCTTGTAGGCTGGTACGTAGCTGAGCATCAGCGCCCATCCCTGTGGGTCAAGTCTCGCTAGGGGGTCTGGTCGCCGGCCGCCCGCATGAGAAATGCCCGCCACAGGCCTGGCGACTCGCGAGCCACCCAAAACCAATCGCCATCAACATGAACCAACCTCGAATGTAGGTATGTTGAGAGCTTGCTCTGCTATTGCTGGACCCTCACCGCCTGTTATAATGTCATGATGCTATACTTGTTGCCATTATATGCACAGAGGTTGGTGCAGTAGGCGGCAGATACCTAAGGTGGCCTGCATCGTTGGCTGATGCTCTCAGTACGGCGGGGGATATACTCCCTACATTATTGTACTACGCAAATTATCTTCCTCTACTTCTCGGCAGGGTCTAGGCCAAGAGCTACGGTAGGTATTGGCAAAATCGGTACGCCGAGCGGGAACTCAGCTGAATACTTGTCTAGTAACGGACCGGCTATTATATACTATCTATATATAGGGTGGGTTAGGAAAAACAGTCCGCTCGACTTTTTCTTCACAGCTGAGAGGCTTATTGGAGCAGTCTGGCTGGCCACTCTGTTCGGATACGAAGTGCTGGTGCTAGGTAATTAGCGCAGAAAAAGAGAGAGAGAGAGAGAGAGAGAGAGAAGTTACGAGAAGCACAACATGGAAGCAATTTCGTGAGGCATTATCTACCTAGGTACTAATGCATGCGGCAACGTTTCATCCTGCAGCACGAAGTATCGAAAATACCATGAGCTTGTGGGTTTTACTTTTCGCCTCGTGTTTGCGGCAACTTGTACATTGCGCGGTGGCCGGTGTTGCGACAGCATGTATTACGAGGTAGGGTTTGTTCTGCATTGATATTTACCCTCCAAGATGAAGCAACAATACACATCTACATGTTCCGTACATATCTTGGTAGATTCTTTTGGAATCGCATGTGGACCCTTCTTTTAGATGCCATGCCTATATTGACCTAGCATGCTTGTCATGTTTGTAGCTGCTTTATTATATGATCGTCGACAGACCGACCCCCCAATCAGTATATCGTGCATATCCTCATCTATAACACTCCACCTGCAACGATTAAAAGGTTTTAATGGGAAGCATGTCAAGGTACCTGAGTACACACCCGCAATTGCAGTACAGTTCTGTCTGTTGCTCGTCAAGACTCAACGGTAATGAAAGCATGGATGCCATTGCCATTGATGATCCGGCAAAGTTGCTGATTAACTGGCTGAAATGCAGCCATGATTGTGAGGACTTGAGCTTGTAATGATCTCAGTAGCTGCTAAATGATGATTCCGTCAAGAATTGGCCATTCAGCAAGCACGCATCTCACTGAAAATGTCAATAGAGGAAACGCAGGCGAAAGTCATCAAATTGGTGTCCGTGGAAGCAAATCACGTGATACAGCCGCCTTGGGCTGAATGTCTTGGGTAGGACGTTGCTAGCGCTGTCTCTCCCACACCTGTATCAATTCCCCGACGCGACGCGTTGAACTGCACAAAGCCTGGCACATTCCTAGAGTACGGAGACAATGACACGGAACTCTGCAAACTACGAAATCAGAAAAGGCTAGATTAAACCAGTCAAGTGTCTCAACTCTTTCTTCAACAGCCTGCGCTCTCGTCCACGTTCTTTGCCCTTCGTTGCGACTACCCAAATGCGGTTGCGACAAGTTTGTCATTAAACAACCACAAGACAAGATCCATGTCACATGCCCGGCTGCGGAAGGCCTGTAGTTAATCTCAAAATCTCAGCCTCATTGGGGCTTGCAACGCCTACAGCATAAATCCACACCCGTCTGCCGCCCGGTACATACACCGCCGAGTCCGGCTGACATTCAAGACCGTCGCCTTTCATCGGTCTTTGTCCAACTGTTCGTCAAGCCGCTGCTTGCAGGAGGTGCGGACAATGGAAGTGCATCTCTTCGGTTGAAGTCCACCTGTTTCGGCCTCGGTGTACAACAAAATCATTCATCTATCAAGCTACCACCACTCATACAATCCTCACCAATTCTTTATCTTTTCTTCCCCCTTTTTTTCCCACTTCATTTCAGGAGTGCCAGAGTGTTTGCCTCTGGATTTCAGTGGAGGCCATTCATATTCATTGACTCGGCAATACAATATTTTCTTACGTGAGCATTCAGTCTCTTGATCCTCTATAAGGGACTTCTCCGGGACTCGCGACTGACCTGGACAAACAGCGCTCCTGGTGCATTTTCGTCGTAAACTTGGCCAAGATGGTTGGAGGCACGCCGCGGCGCTCGGCGAGGATAAGTCACCTAGATGGTGGCATCTCCCTGCCTGGTGCTCATAACGACTTCTATGGCCAGAACAGCTTGCTTGGTCCGACTAGAGGAGGTTCCAAGGGACCGATCAGTGAAGATGAGAACGATCGCAGAAACAATGAGCTTTATAATGAAATGTTCAGCCTGAGCCGCGGAATCGGTCAAAACAAGCTCCCCCAGCAAGACACGAGCCCGTTGGATACCGCCATGGCAAACATTCGCAACTCCTCCAGAAGGAATAAAGGATCCCGAGAGACTTCCCTAAGCGATGAAGCTACACCGTCCGATGATGATATCTTTATCCCTCCAGTCAACCAACGGGATCCTGTGTCATCATATCGGCCATTTTCACAGGAAGATCCTTGGAAGTTGCGGAATGAAGTTGGTAATCGCAATCTCTACACCGCCGGCGTACAGAACCCCCACCAGACTCCTTACAACAGGAAAAATCACCCATCGGAGCCAAACTCGCTTGCATCAAAATGGGGCATGGCCGGCGGTCGACCGACCCCGGCTCCCTTGTCAACTAGAAGCTTCGTCCATGAAGACCATCTCTTTAATGCGGCCAATATACAATCCCCTTCAATAAGACCACCGCCCGCGGGCCGTCAGCAGTCTTCCAAGAACCAGGGCACTACTGAGACTTCTCCGCCTCCTCCGCCTCCTCCAGCTCCTCCAGCTCCTCCAGCTCAACCAATTCCTCCAGCTCCTCCAGCTCAACCAGTTGCTCCAGCTCCTCCAGTTCAACCAGTTCCTCCAGTTCAAAATCCTCCGCCTCCTCCTCCTCCAGTTCCCCCAGTTCAAAATCCTCCGCCGCCGCCTCCTGTTGTAGACCCAGCCCGTGTTCAAGCCCTGCGGGATCGGCTGGGAAAGAATCCTGAGCGCGAGCACAGTGCACCGAAACCTTGGGTCACGAGGGACGACTTATCCGATGCGCAGAAAGATCACGTTGAACGCTTCAGAAGCCGGGTTCGTCTAACCGAGGGACCCGTCGTACCTTCCCCTCCTTGGAAAAAAGCCTCCTAAACCAACATATCCACCCATCCCGAAAACAACCAAGACTGCCAAACCTACAGCTTCGTCTGCCACGTCTACTAGTCATCTGCTGTCTCCGCATTTTTCTCTTGCCTGGCCTTCTTGGGGGACGAAATTTGTGGATCAAGTTCAGAATTTTGGGGGCTGGACATATAACCAGATTCAGTGGACATATAACCAGATTCGGCGATATCTCTTGCCTTTGTTAATGCTCCTTCTGGCTTTGTTGCTCTTCCGGGGTTATCAATATCTTCCATCACTTCCCCAGCGCGACTCTTTCCCTTCTACAAGTGGACCCTCGCTACCGAGCGTCTCACTACCAAGTCTCTCACTACCAAGCCTCTCGCTGCCGAGCTTCTCTTTGCCGAGCTGGAGAGGAAGCGGGCAGAGCGAAATGAAAGAAGTCTTCCACCGACTTGAATCAATCGATCTAGACATTAACAAAATCCACTCGACCTTGGACGCACTCAAGTCGGGAGTCCGGCCGGATGAGGATGGTAGACAAGTCTTTTGGGTAAACAAGGACAAAAATGGTTTACTGGTCATTCCTCAAGACTACTACCAGGCCATAAAGCAGCAAATACTCAAAGACAAAGACCTACTGAAAGGAGTCACACGCGAAACCTGGTCTCCTCTCATCAACCGTCTTGTGGCCGCTGGATATCTCAATGACTTGCCACGAGGCAATCACTTAACTCACGAGGATCTCAGCGACGCTGATATCAATAGCGCTTGGAACTTATGGCTTCGGCAAAATGATGCCGCGATAGTCAAAGCCTTGGGAGGTCCACTCGAAAAAAGCATTGCAAACCTGTCCGAAAAGGAGCTCAAAGTCCTCCTAGCAAAACACAACGTTGGCGACAACGATGGAAAATTGGTGACCCGCGAGGAATTCGAAGAGCTCTACCAAAACGAGATCAAGGCCGGTTATAGTGACAAACTCCGGGAGCTTGTTGGCCAAGTCAATGAATTCAAGGACAGTCTTACAGAGCTGAAAGCCCATCCACCACAGGGACTATCTGCGGATGCCATCGATAAAGTTGTTGATGCCGCCGTGAGAAAGTACACTGATGCACTCAAGATCGAAGCTGCTGCCAAGTCGGGTAGCTCTGCCGCTCTCTCACACCTTCGTAGTCAAGTCAACTACTTTTCTGCCGGCTCCGGCGCCATCATCTACAGTGGTCTCACTTCCCCCATTTGGAAGTCACCCAAGCCAGCCTACAAAAGCAAGCAATTTTGGGATGTGTCTGGGTATCAACCTCTTCCTCCCTCGGTTGCTCTCCAACCCTGGGAAGAGGAAGGAGACTGCTTCTGTGCTGGCCCACGCCGCAACGGCCAGGGTGTTGGTACTGCGAACATCAGCATCTCGATCAGTCGAGATATCGTGCCTCGGTTTCTCGTTGTGGAGCACATCCTGCCGGGCGCCACACTGGACCCAGGTGCACGTCCCAGGGATATGGAAATATGGGCTCAATATGAGGATTATGATCTCCGCAAGACTGTCGGTGCATGGTCTCAGAGCCGGTGGCCCGAGACTTATTCAGAGCAAACGCTACCTGAGACCTTTGTCAAGATTGCCGGCTTTACCTACGAAGAACAGAAAATGGGTGATGGATCTCAAATCCATACACTGGTATCAGAACTGAGTGACATGGACGCTGCGGCGAATACCTACGTCATCAGAGCACTGAACAATTACGGCGCCGATCATACCTGCTTCTACCGTCTGAGGCTTTACGGCGATGAGCGACCGCGACCTGAGTGATTTCGAAGACACTCTCTTATAGCAGCAAGTGAGAGAACTCAGGAAGCTGTCGAACCAGACATAGACAGAGGCGAAGACACTGAGAATGGCGTAAACGGAATGACGAGCTCTCTTGATCATTCAACTACCATATTGCTTTCATGATTTTTCTTCTCTTCATCGGCATCAAGACCATAATAGTCATTTGGCGTCAAAGGGCAAAGCAAAGACGCTTTCATCAAAGGTTGCCTAATTGGCAGGAAGCAAAAGGAGTTTGGCGAGTTGATGATACCACAAACCGTTTCTTGCGCGTACATAGTCCCTTTTCATCAGCATATCGAATTGATTACAAATGTTCTCTCTTTTGCTGGAATGTGCGTCATGCTGTTGTAATTCCGAGCTGATCCGGCTGGCTGGTGGATTTTATCCTCCTATTTGACATGACACTTGATTGCACTGCATTGCGCATAGATCTTGGCATCTAGGCCAGGAAGGTCGCATGTCAGTCAACAGCCTCTGAGGTAGACTTGACAGCCCGCAGATTTGCATGGGGAAATAAAATTGTTAGTAAGCCTAAGGTCATGAGGTTGGTTTTGCAAAAAATCAATTTGTCCTTTTCGTAGCTGTCTATTACAATGAATCCTGGGTATAAATGTACAGCTCTCTTCTTCTTTTTTAATCCAGCAGACCCTGCGCCAATGCCTCGTAGTCCTCCAGAGTATTTGGTGCATCCGTGACCTCGATGACCTTGCCCTTGCCCTTCTTGTTGCTCTTCTCGGCCTCGTCGTCCGAGTCGTCTTGGAACCACTTCTTGGCCTTCTTCTTTGGTCGCTCGTCCTCGCCGTCGCTTCCGCCGGCGTCTTCGCGAATGGGCAGCGACCGCAAAAAGTCCATGGCCTGTTCTGCGTCCTCGGACGTGCCCAGGGCAGGCTGATCCTTGCCCGGCATGTCCTGGCCAGAGTTCTCCAGTCTTTCCCTCTCCTTGCGCTTGATCTTCTTTTCTTGCCGCTTCTCCTTGGCGAGCTGTTTGTCGTCCACGTCGGCCTCGCGTACACGGTCGGTCTCGGCATCCACAAACGCCCTCCGCTGCGCCTCGGCCGAGCCCTCCCGCTTGAAGTCGTCCTCGCCCTGGAGCTCGTATAACTGGTGGGCCTCGCCGTCGTCGTCGAACACAACCCTCGTACCTTTGCCCTTGTACTTGAGCATCTGCTTCTTGGACGTGATGAGCTTTTCCCTGCGCTTCGAGTCGATGACCAGCTCCTGGCCACCGTACACGGGGACCACCTTGCCTCGCACGTCTTCGTCCTTGGCTGCCGAGTCGAGGTCGTCATCCTTGAGTACCCGCTTGACGCCAAAGAAGTCGTCGTCCTCCTCCACGTCGTTGCGGAGTTTCGAGTAGTGCTCGGACAGCACGTCTTGATTCTTGCGTTCAAACATCTTGTCGTATTTCGTGCGCACCTCGTCCTTCTTCTTGGATTTGGCAATCTTCTCGCCGTCAGAGTCGTATTCGGAACCGCTCGAGAGCTCGGCCCGTGACCTGTTCTTGAGCTTCTTGACATCTTCGGGCTTCTGATACTTGACCCGTGGCATCTCGGGCAGACCCAAGCTTGCCGAATATCCCTCCAGGTCCAATGCCCTAAGGTCGAAAATGTCCTTGTCCTTTTGTAGTCCGACCGAGCGTGTATAACTGATGAATGCTTTTTGTCCCAAGTATTTCAAGTCTGGGTTGTGGAAGCACATGTCTTGTATGCTGTTGGTGATCTGTTTCTTCTTCTTATCGCGGACATTGACCTTTTGAACTGTAACCTTCTTTTGCTCGAGCCTCTTCAACATGCCTTCCTCCTCGCTGGGGTCAAGGAATAGAATGGCCTTGCCGTCTCTTTCATATCGTGCGGTTCGACCTACTCTGTGAATATAGGTATCGGCATCCTCGGGGGCGTCCATCTGCACGACCCAGTCGACAGAGGGAAAGTCGACTCCACGGGCGACAACGTCCGTAGCCAGTAAACAAGAATATTGAGCTGATGTAAAACGCCTCGTGATTTCCATGCGCGCAACTTGCTTCTGGCGACCGTGCAGGTGGAGCAGGGGAATACCCGGCTGTAAATGTCTGAACGACTCGTAGACAAATCGTACTTGCTTTCCTGACGACATGAACACGATGATCTTGCTCTTGAGATTCGATTTGATAAATGAATACAGTGTATCCAGCTTTTCGGGTAGAGGTGTGATGAGATAATGTTGTGACAGTGTGCTCGGGGTCGCGGAGGTTGATGCTTCGTGGACAGAGATGTATTCGGGGTCCTTGAGCGACAGTCTAGCCAAGTCAGAGACCTTTCTGCTCTGCGTTGCGCTGAACAAGACTGTCTGCCTCGACTTTGGGAGATGCTCTACAAGGGCGTCGACGGCGCTCTGGAATCCCATATCCATGATTCGGTCGGCTTCGTCCAGAACAAGTATTTGTAAGTTGTCAACATTAAAGCCAGCGGTCTGATCCAGGTGCTGGAGCATACGGCCCGGTGTGCACACCAAGATGTTCATGCGGCCCAATCGGTCCGCCTCTTCGCGCAAGCTCTTTCCTCCTATCACCAGACCGGCCGAGAATGTGTGGTGTCGACCAATCTTGCGCAGCACCTCGAAACTTTGTACTGCCAACTCTCGGGTCGGCGAGATGACGAGGGCACCCAGCCCGTCATGCTCAGTCCATTGTGCGCGGAAGAGGGCCTCTAGCACTGGCACCATGAATGCCAAAGTCTTGCCGGATCCTGTCTTTGCGGCGCCGAGAATGTCACGACCCTTGAGAGCTGGTCCGATGGCCTTGGCCTGGATATCGGTGAGGGTCTGAAAGTGCGATGCATCGAGACCGGAGCGAGTAGGTGATGAGAGCGGTAGGTCGGTGAATTTGGTGATCTCTGTCGCCTTTGGGTCGAACTCGTCAACTGCCTTCTTCAGTTGTTGCAGATCGTCCTGGTTGCGCTTCCGTTTAAGAGACTTGTCTTCGGTCTTGACCTTCCTTTTGCCATTCGGCGCATGACCCGAGGTTCTAGCAGGCATCGTGAGCGACGTGTAGCAATTGGCAATGCTGCTGTTGACTACGACCAGCGACGACTACATAAGCTTTCGCAAGCGCCTCTGCTGCTATTACATTACTCTTCTGGATTTTTTTTCGGTTCGCGGGGCCGATTTGAAAAATTCTGCCGCCCAAAAAGTCAGGTCCCTGGTCAGTTGTTGTCTCACCGCCTGCGCTATAGTGATTAAGTGGTACCCACCCGAGGCGCGAACAGCACCAGCCTTAGTCGTGCCGAGGAGCGGCGGCGAGGGGCGTCAGGGGGGTTGATCTGGGCGGCACCCGGCGGGATTGGGGGGGACAATCGACCCCTCTAATAGGCATCTGCGACCTGAAAGATAGAGTGAGTCGGCCGGTACACTTGCCATTTAGTATGATCTGTCAATGCCTGCAGGGTTCATTCTAGAAAGCCGAGAGCCACCCTAACTAAACCTCGAGTGCGAATGCAGCATCCGTCGTTATACAAGAATAAGACCACTGCCGCCAGTTCCTCCGTCTTACCTAATTTCTTCTCACTTTCTTTGCCTTTTGAAATCTGCCCTTCTGATCAGACAGCGACGCAAACAGACATTTGGGATCACTTCGTCACGGTAGACCCGACCGTCACAATACCTACCGGCAACAACCCCGCCGTCATGTCGACCAACGGCGCGGGGCAGCACGATGCGGAATGGAAGCCTAGGGATATGGAGGGCGAGATGCGCACGCTTTGTACGGCGCTCAAGTACAAGGTCGACAAGCTCCTGGAGACAGAGACAAGCGACAAAGTTCTCCTCGATGTGCAGAAACAGGTCCGGGTGGCCAAGGGAGTCATTGATGATGCGCTCAAGCGGTACCGGTACGTTTTACTTTGATCTTTTTTTTTTGCTCTCTCTCTTTCACCTGCTTTTTGCGGCTGTCGTAAGCACACTTGCTTGTAAATGGGTCTTGGCTGACATGTTACTCAATTACAGACCCGACGAGCTGGCGCTCTCATACAATGGTGGCAAGGACTGTCTCGTTCTCTTGATCTTGATCCTTGCCTCGTTACCCGATCACTTCCCGCCGCCTTCCAAGCCTGCGCCGCCGCTATCTTCGTGCGGCATCGCTTCCCTCCCAGTGCTCCTACAGGCTATTTACATAAGACCCAAGAGCCCGTTTGCTGAAGTGGACGAATTCGTGGCACAAACATCAAAAGAGTACCACCTTGATCTTGCGACAAGCGACAAACCCATGAAGCAAGCCCTGGCCGACTACCTACAAGAGATGTTCGAGGTGAAGGCCGTCTTTGTTGGCACGCGGAGGACTGATCCACACGGCGCCGACCTCATCCATTTCCAAGAGACAGATGGTGATTGGCCGAGGTTCATGAGAATACACCCCGTCATTGATTGGCATTATAGGGAGGTCTGGGGGGTAAGTCTTTCTACTGAATTGCCATGGTCGTCTCTGAACCTCTGGACCATTGTTCTCAAAAGGTCGAGGCATGCAATACTTACGAGATTATAATTACTGACTCATCATCTCTGTTCTCAGTTTATCCGTGCACTCGACATCCCATATTGCCCGTTGTACGACAAGGGCTACACTTCCCTGGGCGGCACTGACGATACCCACCCGAACCCAGTACTCAAGTCAGGTAATGAGGAGAAAAGTGATCATTTTAGACCAGCGTATGAGTTAATAGAGGACCACGAGGAGAGGCTAGGCAGGAACTGACACGACTTTATGGGTGATGAACGGCCAGATTATTCTTGAAAATAGGATCATGTTCTAGATGACGTTATTGAGCGTGGCGAATCTAGAAACTGCGGCTTCTGTAATATAGAGAATGGAGCCTACTCATATAGACACTGTTTGCTCACTTACTTGTGATGCCAGCCTGACTCTTGTTTCACGGATGCACATGTGATTCCACCCGTCGTTTTACTTTTTTAAATGGCTAGAGCTAGTACCGGCCGGATAGCTTGTCAATGAAAGCGGCACCGATTAGATCTCACGTACCGCTGACAGACTTTGGTTTACGGGACACCGGAAGTCAAGTTTGAATTATGAATTCCAATGTACTGTCGAATGAGGCAAGTATTATCAACAGAGTACTAGTCGGGTATTATAGTTGAGCCAGAAGAAGACTTGGCGCGCTCCGAGACATGGCCCACTTGGAGAACCGTCATTAAAGAAAAGACTTTCAAGTGGAAGAACGTGCCACAGCTGTTGGCAACACATGGATCTAAACAATCTGAAAACAATATGAACAAATCTGATCGTTATACAACAAGATTTTAGACGGTGATTCATTTGAACTGCGAAATGCAATGCCAATATCGTAAAAGACGGTGGCAACATAGTCTACACTTGAGATTGTAGAGTCATGGTATCGGGTTTTCCGAATGTCCACAGTATTGCCATGATGCGGATTCTACAAACCAGAGCAATGAGTCGATGGTATATGGTCATGATCAAACCCAAATTGAGTTTTTGATTTACCTGAGAAAAGGTTGACCAGGTTACCGTACGGCACAGTCAGAGTGGTTCATTCCCTTGGAAGGCACGGACTGCCCGAAAAAGGAAGCACGACGCGCTTGTTAGTAGGTAGCAATCGCGTCTCGAGCTGCTGCTGCCTATTTCGATCCCTTGCAATCAAACAACAAAAATAAAAAGGCATAAAAAAGGGGTTGAAGGAAAGAAACTGGATTTCACAAGAGCAACATCACAGTGCAAGTCTCAATTTCACCAAAGTCTCAACAATGCCACCAAAAAAAGTCATCCCGGACGAGGTCTATGTCATCTCGTCAATCGTAAGAGATGATAACCCTGAGCTCGACGGGCTGCAGCCGGCCGAGGTCTACACGACCCTAGCTGCCGCGAATGCAGCGGCCAGGAAGATGATGATCCGCCATGCTGAGGCCTGCAATCCATATGGCGACCTTGACGAATTCGAATTCCGTCATGAAGAGAAGGCCGATGGATGCTACTATGGCGAGCTGGAAGGCGGACCACACGGACACGTTACTGCCGAGGTCAAGGTTTCCAGGGCAATTCTGAAACAGGCCGAGGCCGATAAGTCGGCTACCACTTCTGCCAAGGGGAGGGTAAAGAAGGAGATCAAGTCAGAGCCCAAGGATGACGAGGACGAAAAGGAAGAAGATGATGATGATGATGCCGAAGAGGAAGAGACAGCTCCAAAACCGACCAAGGGAAAGAAGGGCCCACCCAAGACCGCCATCAACGCAAAGACGCACCGGAAAACAATCCCACAAGGAGAGCCAGACTGTCTAGCGGGGCTCAAGCTACTCTTTACAGGCACATTTGAGACAATGGATCGCAAGACATCGATCGCGACAGCCATCAAGTATGGCGCCGAGGTCATTACCAAGCTCGAGGACACGGACTACATTGTCATTGGCACACGCGCCGGGCCTGCAAAGCTCAAGAAGATCAATGAGCTAGAGCTTGAGACCATCAGCGAGGAGGAGTTCTTCCAGATCCTCGAGCACGGCATTCCCGAGGAGAAGAAGCAGCGAATGGAGAACCGCCGTTTCGCCGACGAGGAGGAAGGACCTGAAGAGTCGGACGAAGATGAGAAACCAAAGAAAAGGGCAGCGGCCGCGAAAGCAAAAGCAGCCCCGGCGAAGAAGAGAGCTAGGCGGTAGTGTCACCATGTGAAGACTTCGGAGGAGCATGAACAAATGGAATAGCCTTCTAGTGAAAGCTACTCAAGGCAGGTGTACAAAATAATAATCAAGCTACGATGGGACACATTCAATACCCAACAGCATGGCGTTTGGCAATCTACTCATTCGACAACTATTCGCTTATAAATCCGTTTTAGTAGCTCTTGTCCTAACTACTACTCAATAGCTTTCAGGTGCGTGACCCGCTTATATGAACCCGCGCTTGGGAATCCGCCAGCGTAAGGTTATAGTAACGGCGGAGTTGAGAGCCGCGAACGGCGGACTTGACACCGGAGCGCGAGAGAGTCCTAAGGCTAGGTGTTATCGTGTCATCCATGGATCAGCATACTAGATATTCTTTGCTCTCGGAAGGTTTACATGTCCTGGTTCCATTGATTGACGAATCGATCAATGGTACAGTGATTCCATCTCGCCGTCATCCAATGGTCAACTGCATGTGCTTATTCATCTTGGCTTGCGCAATCAGCCAGGAGTCCGAAGTCAGCATAATCAAGTAACCCCTCATTAGTAGGTGACACAGGAGTTTCCCCAATAGAAAGCGCTTTAGGTTTCTGCCTTGCTATTAGAGTATGAGACAGCATTTCTTCGGACTTATCGCTCTTTTTTGCGGGGCCAATCTCCGGAGTTCACACCTTGTATATAAACTCTATCGCTAAAGAATCGTTGATGCGGCTCTCTCCAAATACGGTCATCTATGTAACATACCTTGATATACAAGAGTATATATACAATATCAATCAATCAACAAACGGCAAATCAGCATCATGACAGTATCAGAGTGTTGTGTTCAAGGCTTCACAGTAAGTCAACATTGAACCAGCCCGCCATGTTCGGGTTGCCGGTAGATCTACATGAAAGAATGTCCATCTTTTATGATATTTACTGGAGCCCAGCAGCGCGTGAAATAACCCCGTCTAGTTTTGGTGGTAGTGACTGACGGCCAATTTTACAGTGGGATGGCACGCCTGCAGGGCGGACTGGCAAGCTGGCTTCGAATGATACTTATATCACTGGTGACAACCCAGACAGTAAGTACCTCGGTTGCAATTCTCTAGTCAGTGCGAGTATTACCTTGGAGAGGCCCCTAAAATACTGGTCCCTATTACTATAACCGCAGCCGACTTATCAACATCAAGAACACATCATGCTTACTACATTATCCTCACAGAGGCAATCATGATCATACATGATCTGTTTGGCTGGACTTTTAAAAACCTGCGTCTGCTAGCAGACCACTATGCCCGCGAGACGGGCGCAACCGTCTACCTGCCCGACTTCTTTGGCGGCGAGGTGGTCGCTCCGGAGCCCATAATCGAGGAGCGCTTCGCCGAGCTGAACCTGCCGGCGTTCCTGCAGCGCAACAGCCGCGCGGCGCGCGAGCCCGAGATCTTTGCGTGCGCGCGGGCCCTGCGCTCCGAGCACGGCTTCCGCAAGATTGGCGCCGCCGGCTTCTGCTACGGCGGCTGGGCCTGTCTCCGCCTCGCGGCCGCCGAGCACGCCTCCGCGCCCCTGGTCGACGCCATCAGCATCGGCCACCCCTCGCTCACGGTCGAGGCCGATATCGACAGCGTCAACCCCGCCATACCCGTGCAGGTCCTGGCTCCCGAGTTTGACCACGCCTTTACCGCCGAGTTGAAGGTGTACACATTTACGACGCTGCAGAAGCTCGGGGTCACGTTTGATTACCAGCACTTCCCCGGCGCGACGCACGCGTGTTTTGTCCGTGGTGACGAGAAGAAGGCGGGAGAGCGGGCGGCAATGATTAGGGGCAAGAATGCTGCTGTGAATTGGTTCAAGGAGCAATTGGAATAGAAAGATCAAATCTGATGGGAAATTCGATAGGTGGGCATTGATTGACGCGTAGAGTGTTGCTGGTCTGTGTATCAGGAGCCAGTCATTCTTGGAGAAAGTTCAACACAATGAGCCTTGTGAAATACTCACAGGCGATATCAATTCACAAGCACTACTAATCGTTGACGTCAAATCCGCCCTGCCTTGCCCATTGTAACAACGCCTCCCGATCTGCTTCGACAAATCTGGCCCTGGCGCGTATCTTGTCGATTGCTTGAGTGAGAAGCATTTCAAACGACTATTATTTTGTTAGCACCGGGAGTTTGGCAGGGCTTTGGGATGTGATGATAAACTGACCGAGTCCTTCTTGTCTGCGAAGAAACATTCAACCTCGGACAATTGGGCTGAGGTCGCAAGCCCCCCAAGTGCATACTCGATGAAATCATAGCCACCAATTTGCCCTTGACGAGCCCGGCGTAATGAGTCCCAGTTCTTGCGCAACCAGTTCCATCCGGCAATTGCACCATTGGGGTGAGTCTGCAAGGCTCTCAAAACCTTTAAGCGCGCCGACCAGTTTAGGACGAATGGTGTGGTCCTTTTTGCCAGTGTAACGGATTCTACGGATGACTTTGATGGAGTAATCAGATCAAGAGCACGCTCAATGAGTTCTGGTTGGGGCGATACACCCAGGGACTGAAAAGCTTCCAGGGGCGCACTTGGATCGCCCGAGTGAATATATGATCCTTTCAGAGCAATCGACTTGAGCTGGTTCCACGTTTCCTGCGACGGGTTATTTAGATTTTCGTTGGGCATACTTGAAGAATCTACACTTACATCCGTGTCATCCATATAGACCACAGTTTCAAAGATTCTACCCCTCACGTTTGGGTTGAGCGCATTCTTGTCCCCAGACAGCAAGTTTTCCCAAGCCTTCTTTGCTCGTTTTTGAACCTCGGCGTGGTCCTTGAGCTGACTGAACAGCAAAGCTTTCAGGAGTGTCTCCTCTGTTGAATCAGTGGACTTGAATGTGAGCAGCCCTCTGTCAATAAGGTGGGCTACCAATCGATGCCGCGCTGTTTTCAGTACCCCGAGAACTTCATTGCCTTCAAACATGAACGCGGCTTGGACTTTTTGTAGTTGTCCCAGCACTTCACTCCACACATACAGATTGTCGACGTGGTCCTTGATGCGGAAAAGAAAGTTCAAGAAGTCGGCCAGGTTCAGATTCCTCATTGCTGATCCAGTCGCAACAATGGCTCCTAGGTCCGCAACGATGCCTATCTTGTCCTCAATGGAAAGATAATCGCCGGCAAATTGTACTTGGAATTTGTGGATCCGCGACAAAGGGTATGCCACGCGATAAAACCCTCCCGTGTTTGCATTCAGCTTGTACTTGAACGGGTTTACGGCAATCTTTGTGCTTTCACCAGCCATCAAATGGGTGGTTACGGAATCGGGCTCTCGCATCCGTATCAAGACCGGGTAAGGAGCAGTGTCTGCCTCAATATCCCCGTTTTGTAGGAACCGATGTTGGGTTACCACAATCTCTCCTGTTGGGCGGAGTTCATTGACTGTCAAGAGCGGAAAGCCGACGTTCTGGGTCCAGGACGTCATGATATCTGCCACATTGCGGCCGCTGACCTCGCTCAGAGCATCCCAGAGCTGTTTAGTCGTGGCATTGCTGTACTCGTATCTTCCTAGATATAGCCTGATGCCTTGCAAAAAGACATCGACACCCAAAGTCTCCGCCATCATGCGAATGACACTGCAGCCTTTGAGGTAGGTGATGGAGTCAAAGGCAGAGCCCGCTGATATATTGGGATCCTGGATGGGGTGACTTCCAATGTTGGCATCGAGCTCCATGGCCGTCTGGAAGCCACCCGCGCGTGGAACATCCGGAGACATGGCCACAAAGGCTGCCCATGCATTGTAGTTGGGCAGCAACTCGGACACGGTGTGAAGGGCCGCCCACTCGGCAAAGGCCTCGTTGAGCCATAACGAGTCCCAGAACTTCATGGTAACGATATTACCAAACCACTGATGCGCGAGCTCGTGAGTCATGAGTGATACGACCAGGATTTTGTCGTATTCGGATGGGTTTTCGGGAAGGAGAAGACCATGCTCTTGATATGTCACGCAACCCCAGTGTTCCATACCGCTGTCATCAGTCAGCCCTGAATTATCTATGATGTATACTTTGTTACGAAACAGAGAATGACTTCTAAACAGGTTCCTGTGTTTTTAGGGATTGATTTTGTGAAACATTCAGCACTCACCCTTGGTGTCCTGGAATGGCAACAAGATCAAGCTTCGGCAGTGGATACTTGAGGCCAAAATTCCTCTCATGTGCTTCCATGGTGGCAACTGCGACATCAAGTGCATACTGAGCATTGCCAATGTTCTTGTCGAGGGCCGCCCAGATGCGAACGGGCACGCGGAACTTGTTGGTCTCGATCATTTTGAAGTAGCCCGCTACCATGACTACGAGGTAGGTGGACATTTTCGGACTAATGTCAAACGAGACACGTTTCTTGACATTGACGGCTGCAGATGTGACGAATTTCTCTGATACAATATCCATGTTGCTCAGGCAGGTCAGGCTCGAGGGCACAACCAGCGAGACACTGAATTGCGCCTTCAAGGCCGGCTCATCAAAGCATGGGAACACGGTTCTCGCCATGGTGGGCTCAAACATGGTCTCGAACCCCATCTTTGCTGTACCATCAGGGAACTGGTATGGGGTAGGAGTCAAGCCGCCCATGTTCCCGACTTGTGCCATTTTGCCATCATATTGCAGGAAAAGAATGGCCTGCGAGCCGGCGTGTAGTTTCCTGTCCAGCTTGAAATACGCCGTCTCCTGGTCGGGATTGTAGTGCACTGCAGGATGCGAAATGATGCCGCCTTCGGGTTCAACTCTGGCTTTGTTGATGTTGAGCCCGACGGCGTGTAGAACAATGTACTGCGTCGGTTTCGCGACATGCAACTGAATCGAGACCCGTCCTTGAAATGTGCTGGCCTCGAGATCTGGCTCGATTTCAATGGCGTAGTGTCGTGGCTCAATTGTGTCGGGCAGCCGAAATGGCGCCGTGACCCTGGTAGTGAGAACTTCGCGCATCTTGATGCGTTCAATTGCTTAGTGGTTGATCACAAGGAATACTTCATTGAATGGGTGATGGTATCTTGAATCTTTAGAGTACAATTGATTCCGAAGGAAGCACGGTGATCGGATTTCGGTGTTGCCAAATGTCAGCCACAGTGGTCTGGCGCGTTGACGAACATGGGTTAAGAAGTGATGAAAGCGAACACCTTCCAGTTTCGCTCATACTTTTATTGATGAGCAGGCGAAGTTGGAGAGTATATAGTTAGTTTGTAAGGGTGCCGCATATGTGACGAGACCTTGTATATATATCCCAGATACTGGGAAGCAAGAATTGTCCATTATCTTGTATTGCGAACATATCCATTACTACTTGGCAACAACTTATCGCACGGCATTTCCACAAGATCCGAATATGGCTTATCATGTATCTTGTAGAAACAATACTCCGTATGTCCCTTTCAAAGGGGCTGGCGGGGATGTTTAGCACCGAGGACGATAATCACAGACACTATGAAGTATAAAATGAGATGCCTCTAAGCTTCAAGGGGCAGTTGGTCTGTGCGCTCGACGAAAGGAAAAAATTATGGTGTCAGAAAAACTCTCGTCTTCATCCGATTGATTAGTAGTGCTAAAACTTCCATTGGCCATCTTCCTTCATTTCCATTGGTTGGCGCTCGAAATGTTTCATTGTATACTTGTTCTGGACACTCATTATTAAGTCTTTTACTTCATTTGTAATTTCAACCTGTCCCTTTGAATTGATCGTTTCTCTTGGTGGTGCTGCGGCCTCTCGGCTGCTCGTAGCGCGCTCGGCCGTCTTGTCCCGCTACGTGTCGGCTTTGACATAACCGCGGCCCCCTTATATAATGGTGGACATTGTGCCGTCTTGAACATGTCACAACCTTTTCATGCCGGAGGAGCGGCGAATTTCCACCTAAATGACCCGGTCGGGCTGCTGAAAACTCTCGCCTATCGCTGGTCAGAACTTGATATAACACATCTCGGCTCGATTGTGGCACTCGCAGGCATTGCCCCGTCAGCATGGAGGTTTGCCAGATCTGCGTGGTCCGAAGTGTACTCTTGGATACGGCGCTTCTTTATTGCGTCCGTGTCAATCCCTGGCCGCGATCCTCTCAATAGGAGCGTTGTGAGCTGGGTCTTGACCAATGTGATTGAAGGCCGAAAGGTTCGTTTCTTTACTGCGCGCACCGAGTCACAGTCGGGACGTGATGATGTGTCCTCGTTGAAGAAGACCCGGAGGATGGCGCAATATTTGCCACATTGGGAAACAGCTTGGTTCTGGCATGAGAAGAATCTCTTCGTGGTGACGAGATCCCTCGACAGCTTCAACGCCGCCATGTGCGATCCTGGCTACGATGGCATAGGTGGCGAGGACCTTACAATCAGCTGCATTGGCCGCTCAGTAGACCCCATCAAGAGTCTGATCGAGACATGCCGCATATACGCCGATAGGCAGGCCCAGTACTTTGTCACAATCTACTCGCGAGACCGTTATGGTATTTCATGGCAGCCCAAGTCGAGAAAGCCGATTCGCCATCTAGACACGGTCCACTTTGATAACCAGGTCAAGAAGGAATTGCTTGCCGATATCAGGAAATACCTTGATCCCAAGACCCAGAAGCGCTATCGTAATCGAAGCATGCCCTATCGTCGCGGCTACCTCCTCTATGGACCTCCGGGAACCGGCAAGTCCTCCTTGTCGACCGCGCTGGCTGGCGAATTCGGGCTTGATCTTTACGAGGTCAAGCTGCCGAGCGTCCCGGCTGATCATGATCTGGAACAAATGTTCCAAGAAATCCCGCCTCAGTGCATCGTGCTTCTTGAAGATATTGATGCTGTTGGCATGGAGCGAGGAGACACTGGAGATAAGAGCGACCAGAGCAGCATCCACAGCACCAGGTCAAACTGCACGCTTTCAGGCGTGTTGAACGTCTTGGACGGTGTCGGATCGGCCGAGGGGCGCATCGTCATCATGACCACCAACAAGCCCGAGCAGCTGGACAGTGCTCTGGTCCGCCCGGGTCGTATCGACATGAAGGTCTTTCTCGGAAACATCAGCCAAGCATCGGCGAAGCAAATGTTTGTTCGCATGTTTTCACCCGACCTTGACAGCTCCGACACACCTCTCTGCCTCGCCGACATAGAGAGGCTGGCATCTGAATTCGCATCCCATATACCAGAAGACACGTTCACTCCGTCCCAACTGCAAGGGTTCTTCCAATCGAACCTCGACAGTGCCAGTGATGCAGCTGCAAATGCATCATCTTGGGTGGAAAAGGAGTTGTCCAAGAGATCGGCGGACGAAGGTATCGAGATCGTCCGTCAGGCCCAGAGCCATTAAGATATATATACTGTACTATTTAAACCGCAACAGAGGCAAGAGCCAACTGTTGTCCAGCTCATTTCATAGACTCTGGGATCGGCGTTTCTGTTTTAATAGATCGGCTTTGGGGGCCTCTAAATGTATCATAATAGATGTATAATTTATTAGAGCATAGAATTCAATATGTCAGTCATCAGGATAGGGCTGATTTAGACAGTCAATCGGATAACCTACACAAACCTAGAAGCATCCTATTCTAGATGGCCGAAGAAGCCGTTAGTGCTAAACAGTCCCCTTGCTAGTTCCACAAACTGAATTCCTCTGGAGTTCTAACAAGGAGGGCGAGTCGCCAGGTACAACGCAATGATGCAATAATCAATATTATAAGTAGGAATGCACCACTAATAGGTATTCGTTTCTAGTCCAATCCACTCCACGTGCGTTTTTACACTTTCAAATCTATCCACCAAGACTATTTTAACCGAAGACTCTCAATAGGGATGAAATTCTTTGCTGTACTTTTTACCACCCAGAATCTCCACAGGTCCCAGCGAGACCGCGCCAGCAGTCGGCAAGTCGGCAACGCTCTAATACTGTAGCTCATAATAATTCGACTCCATCACGGAGTACGGCAACGACACAACAACACATCATTGTTTCGCTCGATAGAGTTCTCCATTTCTGTTACGTCATGGTCACTACGTGGACAAGTTCATCAGTCCAAGCCAATTAGTACTGTAGTAGTCGGATTTTAGAGATTGTGTCCAACGCTACGCGGGCACTAAAATTCAAGGTGAAAAGCGAGTGATGCAAAATGAATGTAGAGAGATGCAGTATTGGGCGCGAGGGCATTTCTTGATTCGGAGTATAGTCATATCAGATGGGACTAGGTCAAGACTAGGACTCAACCAATATGCGGATAATACACAGTAGCTACATGGATACCTTTCTTTTTAAGCTCAAGGAACAAAGTAGTAGACAATATGTCGACCGCAACCATGGACCCGAAACTGGGCCACTATTGTATCAATGCGGAGGCCTCTAGACAGAATTTAGGCAGCATAAGATAGGCTTGAGAGGCACAGCCATGCGCCCCCCGTGTCAGCATCGCCGCAATAGGCTTGCTCCTCCGGCTGGACCTGATTGGACAGGTCGCGGGGCGGGCATAGCTGGGAATCCTGTAGATGGCCGGGCCTTCTCAGTCTGTCCTAGAAGACCTCTCTTCTTCCTCCATCCGCAACTACATAAATATATCGTGATTCCTTCAAAACTTTCAGACAAGACAATCTTTCATCATGGTTCTCAGACCGATTTATGACCCAAGCAATCCAAACATGAGTGGCTATCCTCCATCTGGTCCGCCTCCGGGGTATGAGCGCAACGAGTCAGGCGAGCATCAATTCGATCAGTACCGCTCGCAGTGGCAAGGCAATCCAGACCACCAGGCAAGACCTCCGTATGCAATGGCCTCACCACCGCCCGGCGGCGGACAGTCGTCATACTATGGTGCTCCCTACGGATCTCCTCAACCACCACACTCGCCCCAACCAGGAGGGTATTATCCTCCCCAGCAGCCGCAGTATGCGGACCACCCGGCGTCTCCACCCCCGGCTGGGCAGTACCCACACAGCCCGGGTCACGGCTATCATGGCAGCCCCCAGGGCCAGCGGCCGTATATGGGCTACCAACCGTCCGAACCACTTCAGTCGTCGTCGCCGTACCAAGCTCCCTCCCAGCCTCAGTATGCGCAGTCGCCGCGACCTCTGTCGTCACAAGGGTATCCTCCCGTAGTCAAGCAAGAGTTTGGCAGTCCCGGGCAAGTCCCCGCTCAGGCGTTGTACCCCGGCGCCACGCCCCAATCAGAGCAGGATCGAGGAGTCATGGGCGCCCTCGCTGGTGGTGCCGCCGGTGCCTTTGCAGGTTTGTTTTTGGCCCGAGCATGATACACATGACACGTTTAAAAAAGCTAACAAGTTCAACAAAGGTCACAAAGTTAATCACGGCTTTCTCGGTGCTCTAGGCGGCGCCTTTGCCGGCCACAAGCTGCAAGACGCCTACTCTGACCACAAGAAGCACAGCCGTCCATCATCGCGGCGATCGTCTTCGTCGTCATCTTCGTCTTCGGACGACGATAAGCATCACAATAAGCCACCACCGCAGCAGCAGCCATACTATGGCCATGCAGCCCCTCCGCCTCCCCCGCCCGCGGCTCACGGGGGGCTTCGGGGCAACTTCTCCCACAGCGCGTCGCGCATCTCGCTGGACCGGGACCACGACCTGATTGCCGAGTGCGCCACCGTCCACGGCAGCCGCAAGCTGACGTCCATCTCGCTGAATCGCCTGCTGACGAATGACGATGGACATTTCCGCTGGTCGCGCGAGGGCAACTTTGCCGGTAGTGCCCGCAACATTCGTCTGGTGCACGACGGCAAGTATCTCGAGGCCGAGCTGTGTCGGCGGGACGGGTCGTGGCGGACGGATCAGATTTGTTTGGATGAGCGGATTGAGAACTCGAATGGAGATTTACAGATGTTGTGGTAGGGGGGCTTCCATATCCTTTCAAAGCAACAATTATCTTGCTGGTAGAGTGAAATATATTGGGATTGCGCAGAATAATACTCCTCTGAATTACTCAATTCAATGCCTTTATATTATATGGCTATTTTTACTGTGTTTTTCATTCCAGGCCATGCGTGTTTGGCATTGCTTTACGACTGTATGGGAGAGTTGATATGGGTTTCCCGCGACTGTGGAACACTCATTGGGTGATGCATATATTGACTATGAAAATAATGTAAAGAGAAAGGCAAATCAATACAGTCAAGAACGCCAGTACCCATTTTGCGCCGGAGCTTCTGAACGATGAAAAAACCGACCTCCTTCATTGGCAAGAATTCAGGATACTCATTCCTCTTCCGGTTGTTTCTGCGAGAACTTCATAGGCTGCAATCTACCAAATCTTGGTTTCGAGACCAAGCCGTGTCGTTTCCAGGCAGCTACTCTCTGCCTGTAGGCATGAGCCTTGAGAAGCACCTTTGTGCAATGATCCCATATGACGTCTTGAAAGTTCCATTCTTTGTAGCCTGCTTCTTCGAGTGTGGCGTGCCATTCATCGTCTCTAGACTTTTCAAGGTCGTTCTTAAAGGCTATGTCCGCTTCATCATCCCCGCAATACCGGAAGTAGTGTAACGGAACTTTTCGTGGAGGCAGGATAGCATCCAGATTGTCCCACTACAATGAAATGAGTTAGCAATTGCCTTTTCAGGTAGTGAAATTAGTTTCAAGTTGTTCTTTAATTTTGTTCCTTTAAGGTACCGTTTTGGGCAATGCTTGCTCACAATGCCACCTAGGAAAGGAGAGAGAGATCACACCGGAAGTTGCTTACCCAAAAGTTCCAGAACACTCCGATGGAGATTTTCCGATACTCTTTTCTGGTCAGAATATAAAATTGCAATAGCAAATCCAAGTTCTGTGTGGAATCTTCATCTTCCAGGGTGATATTACGTCGGTCTTCTCTGGTTTCGTCATTCGCCCTACAACACAGATGTGTCATTCCCAATCGCTCGAACACTTCAAGTCGACAGATTTCTCGGTGAATGAACTCTGCATCTTTTTCAGAGTAGTGCCAATAGCGAATCCATTTCCGTATGTTAGGTAAACGACGACCTAAGCGTTGTTTGTCCACCGTACCCCAGGACGGCGCCCACCAGTAATGGTTCCAGAAGCCGAAGGACGGAATGCAGCCTAAAGAAGAGCACGAACATATACACTTGTCGTGTAAATATTTTTCTGACTGGTGGCCCAAGAGCTTCGAGAATCTTTCATCAAGTCTGGCGCCAGCCCCTTGAGCCACAGTGAGAAAGTGGTGGACATGCCTTCCATCAGAACCAAAAGAATTAGAGGACATCTTGGGACTCGCGCCTCTTGATAATAACCACATGAGGACTTCCTGGAAGTTCCCACTGAGCTCATCAGACGCTACACGGGGTATGCCACTCCAACCTAACCTGCATTTGTAGAACAGTGGTGTTCCCAGGCTACCGCACCGAGTATCTAGGTCTGTGAAGCCGATTTCGAATAGAATCTGGTGATGTTCGACTTTTAAACCAGGAGAACAATGCGCTGCTGAAGAGAAAATATTGTCCAAACTTTCCGTTTCTCTAGACAACCAGTCTGGCTCTAAGCTATCGTACATAATAGCGTCTCTGGCAGGTTTTGATTTCGACCCCAGCAGTTTTGAATTATGCTCTCGATTTGATGGATCCGTCCAGGAGGCCTTGATTTGATCCTTCCGCCGCCATAAATTTTCCGCAGTCATCCGGAAAATGGACATATCTCCACAGACCTTTTCCAGGATGCTATTAAAGCAAAAAGGATCCCTATCTTGCAACATTACATAGGGTCGCCTGGCTCGACTCTTTACATAGGGTCGAGCTGTGAAAAGTGTGACATCCTTGGATGAAAGAATAGTAGCAGCTGACTTGATATCGCGGAATTGACATGCTAGCTGAAATGCTCTAAAGACATTGCCGTAGTCGTTATCAATCAAGAGTTGGAGACCTTCAGGCCAGCCCAATGCCAGCTGCAGTGGCGAATATGTTTGGTGATCCGATGAGCGATCTCCCGAGGAAAGGTAGACGCACTTTTCCAATCTTTCCATAGATCTTGATATGACTGCTAGTGACAAGTCAGAGTATCCTAGCGCTATGGATTTATCAGTAAGTTGCCGAATGATGACTGCTTACGTAGAGTCCTTTGAATACCTACCCTCAGACAACGATGGGTCAGAAGTAATGGCTTTCCAAAGATGAGCGTTTCCAGCAATGCCTGAGGATGATTCGGCTAGTCCTTCGTATTCCAGAAAAGCTTCGTACAGGGAGGCACTGATCTTTCCCATGCTGCTTGCATAATTCACAATTGTTGCACCCAACGTCAAATGCGGGGTTGCATGAAATAGTACTCCATAACTTCGTCCATCGCTGAATTCGCTGAAACGCGTTGTGGGATCGAGCTTCGAACTGAATGCCATCTGAAACAGCTGGAGCATTTCATAATCGACATCGAAAATTACTTCTCCCAAGTAAGCGAACAGGAGGGTCAATTCCTGGTTGGGTGTAAGACACTTTTTCTATTTGCGGTAAGCTTTTGATGACTCACGGTGAGTAAAGTGCAGCCTCGCTCATCCATATCGCTATATGAAGCAACACCAGAGCAGACGGCTTCTTCAATGCCGCGAACAACACCCGCTAAACGATCTTTTGCTTTCTTCCCGTTCCAAACAAGTTGAAAAAATACAGACTTGGCTTTGTAGTTGCGGGTCAGGAGCGCACCTGGTTCCCAAGATGCTGGACTCAAAATATCAGGTCTTTCCTGTAATGTTGAACAAGATGATATGAATTCATCAATGAGTTTGAAAATGGGACTTTCTGCCCGTTTCACAGTTCCCTGGAAATTGAGGGGTCGCGAGATTGACCAAGTTCGCCCTTGAAATAGCAGACCAAGGGACAATTGGAAGGAACCATTTGTCCAAGGATGCAGGTTCGCCTCGACCGAATAGCTCCTTTGTCCAAGCCGACCATGTAAGGGACAGACCTGAACTGGTTGCCAGTCTGTCCTGAACGCGAGAATGCGAAATGTATGAACTGATGAGAACTTGTTCCTGTAGCATTTGCATCTGAGAGACTTGGAGCTTTGTATCTTTGACTTGCGCTTGACAATCTGCTTCGAAGTTATTCCAGAGTCTAGATCGTTTGATGAAGACTTGTTATCGGTCCCTACTTTGCTCAGAGTTTCTGTGGTATCTATTTGAGGTCGAAACATGCTCTGCATTGCTTGGAATTGCGTCATCTGAACACAGAGGAGCTCTTGATATCTGTCATTCTCAGCCTCCCTCAAAGCATGGAGGGTGTGTACGAGGGCATCTTTCGACAGTCTTGTCTCTTCGAGCGTTTGTCTTTGCAGCGTGCTGAATTGCTCCATTGACCTAAGCAGCTCGCCATCACGTTTTGAGAGTTCAACGACAATGGAGAAGACTTGGGCGCTTTGCTCGCTGCCATGCGAAAGTTAACATCACAATTGCGTATTCTTGGCTTGAAGAGACTCACCGAAGAAGAGACTGAGTTTCGAAACCACAGATTTGCAGTTCACGCAACAAGGTAGCGTTCAGCATTCGGATGGTGTCCAGATTTGACTCGATATCCTTCATCATCTTCATGGTGAATAATGATTTCCAAAGCAGCATGATTTTCTTTCCAAGGTCATCTCGATCCTTCAGTCTGCCAATGTCGTCAACTAATGGCGAGAGCACAAGCTTGACTTTGTCCAGTGCCTTTCGGGCATTGATAGCGCACGGTGCGACCTGTACATATTGAGCCGTCGTGAGGCTTGCGAACACAGGAGAGTCTGGATGGAGAAGCCTTTGCATTGAGATTAATTCCTCTTCGATCCAGGCGAGGAGCTCGACCGCCCTTTTTGGATCATCCTTGATGCCTTGAAACAATTTGGCAGCGCCCAGTAACGTTTTGACGGCTATGCCAACGAACTGAGCACCTGCAGCTGCAGCTCCGAGAGCACTGATAGGATCCATGATGACAAAATTTCCTACTTGGCGTGGAACTCAGCCGTGGTTATCATAGTAGCGCATCATATTTGGGCGGTTGAAATATGGTACATGGTTGCGCTAAGCTTTTGCTTGTTGCCAGATCAATACAATTCGAGACGATCAGAAGAGATGAAGAACAGGAGAAGATACCGAAGTTCGATTCTCGAGGCACCGTAAGCTTCATGTATGCCTTGCCAGCCTCGTCACACCCTTGACCGTGAGGGGTACCTGCGCTGCGGCCAATCCGAACGACAAACGTGGTTTGCTTTGCAGGCACTGCCCGCTCATCATACGCCACCGCGAGAAAAGCTATTATCCAACTCCAGCGCAGGGGAAAAAAGGAAAGAAGGAAATACCGAGGAGATGAACATCCAGTTAAGCGCGGGTCCAGTCAGACAAGACACCGAGGCATCGGCACGAAACCATCATTCGACTCCGAAGCCGTCACAAACAGTCAGAAGACGCAGGACTACACAAGGCTGCCGTACCCACTGAGGAATTTTTCACCTTTGCGATTTATCTACATATTGTCGCAGCTAGCATTGGTGGGTGTCCTTCTCAGCTTTTCAGCCTGCGCTCTCTTGCACAGAGAATCGCTCAACCACGGCTTGAGTATAGCATCACGAGGACAGCAAGACAAATCCGTGTAGAAGGCAATGTAAGGCCGGCGAAGCTTGGATGACGCCATTAGAGAATCAGTTTTCGACTTCAATGATCTTCCGGAGAACAATGGATAGTCTACTGAAAAGGTCGACTGTCGAAATTCTTTGTTTTTGGCTGTGGGATCATGCTGTGGGTATGGTCGAGTCGTGATGAACCCCAAACCATAATTGTACCTCATGCTCTTCCGGCTTCCACTCACTGACATTGATCGAAAATGGGCAATCTGTTCTTTTCACAAATCAATCTGCAAAACTTTATAAGATGAAATAACATGTTTACTTTCAACAACCCGTGAACCACAGCGTTTGACAATGGAGGAACTGATAAGCATAAGGTGGTCTCTGGTAGGTCGCTTTGTGCCTGGAATGGATGCCTGCCACTACAAGAGCCAATTTGACAGGTATTGTGGAGACACTTATTTCACGTCTATTGGTTCCGCCAATGCTCCAACTGAATAAGGCATTCTTTCTTATCTATCTATCTATCATCATATGCTGGTTGGTGCGAATGATTACGCAGATGGTCAGCAGCATGTTTGTTTGTAGCTATCGTAGCATGGTCCCTCTCCGGATGCTCAATATGTTGATGGCATTGCGTACATGTTTGTGTGTTTCCACTCCCAGCCCTCGCAGCCACCTTGCTTGAGACAAGACCCCAATTCCAAACCGAAAACCCTAAATTCCTTGTGAAAAACTAGTATACTTCTAGATGTCAATAGACTTCTTTTACCAATTCGAGACAATTCGATAATACACCCTCGAATGCTAAGCATGATAACTCCATAGCAGTTCGGAAGTGCTGGGAGATCGACGCATTCCCTGCTAGTATAACCCGCCAAGCAGCCCTAGAGGCGCCACGGCGGAGTCTTCTATGGGGCCCTCTGCCTCTACATTACCGACAGGGCGGGAATCTATTGCATCATTGACTGCAAACGTCGTGCACACCACTGACATCAACATCCGATTTTCTACGCGTCTCCAGCGCGATCACTGTGCCATTTGTACGATTCAGCCTACAACACATATAACACATCGCGTCCTTCTTGTCGCCAATACCCTGCCGGCTTGACGGACTTTTCGGACTGCTGTCGAGCCCGATAATATGGATCTTTAGTGAATGCATGCGATGTGATTCTGGACCTGTTATTTATCTGATTTCTGTGCGCTAGGCTGACAAATGAGCAAATGTCTTGGTCACTGATATATCTGCCCATACGTGCTGTTTTCAAATGATTCATATTTTCCAACATTCCTAAAACGTAATCTTGTCTGCGTCCAAATGTCTTGACTGCCCGCCGTGATCGTCGTGTACCCAGGTACTCAATTCGCAGGTGACGACTTTCTCAAGCTGGCCGTGTTCCAAGTTTTGTAAATTCGGCAAATATGGACAGACCTACGCCAGCAGATACGGATATCCCAGGAGGTTTTCCAGAAACGCCTGCGTCGATACTTCCGTCATCAGCTACTTCCACCACTCATGACGGTCCACAAGACCATGTGACGAACGTGTCGGCAGCAGGAGTACAACATGATGAGGACGAAGCAAAAACTCCCACACAAAATGGAAAGGCCTCGGGTTCTTATTTTGCAACCGCAACGACAGGTCCCTTTGATACCAAGACTTCTGAAGAGCCGGCCGCACCTCTGTCCAGCAGATCTTCGAGCACCCCAGCGTCTGAGAAGACTCTAGCAACACCCGCAGACGAGCTCAACCAACATGGCGCAGAAAAGAGCCAACACACCGACAAAGGCGTCGTCGGGGATGAAACACTCGAGGCGGATCCGCAGTTTGAGGAGATGAAGACGGGCACGGAAAGCCGACCACCGCTCGGGCCGACGCGCAGCACTATTAGGTCCGAGGAAGACCTGTTTCGTGTGCTTTCGCGGCGTCGCACAACGGGCGCGGACTCGGCTGCCGAGGAAGACCACGAGATTGAGCGGCTCATGTCGCGGCTCTTTGGACAGAAGCGTCAGCAGCAGAGCGAAGAAGAAAAGACGCGCCACTCTGGCGTCGTATTCCGTGACCTGACGGTCAAGGGCGTGGGACTCGGAGCAAGTCTCCAGCCTACTGTTGGCGACATCTTCCTGGGCCTGCCGCGGTTCTTGAAGAACTTGGTAACCAAGGGCCCAAAGGCTGCTACAGGCAAACCTCCCGTCAGAGATCTCATTAGCCACTTTGACGGATGCGTACGACCAGGTGAAATTCTACTCGTCCTCGGCAGACCGGGCAGTGGCTGCACGACATTCCTCAAGGCCTTTTGTAACCAGCGAGCCGGATTCCAAGATGTGCTTGGAGATGTCACCTACGGCGGTACCGATGCCGCAAAGATGGCCAAGGACTACAGAGGCGAAATCATCTACAACCCGGAAGACGACTTGCACTATGCGACGCTGTCGGTCAAGCGCACCCTCACCTTTGCTCTGCGCACGCGCACGCCCGGCAAGGAATCTCGACTCGAGGGGGAAAGTCGTGAAGACTATGTCAATGAATTTCTCCGTGTCGCCGCCAAGTTGCTCTGGATCGAACACACCATGGACACCAAGGTGGGCAACGAGTATATCCGCGGCGTCAGTGGTGGCGAGCGTAAGCGTGTCAGTATTGCCGAGGCACTCATCACACGAGCCAGCGTCCAGGGCTGGGACAATTCGAGCAAGGGTCTCGATGCGTCGACGGCGGTGGAATATGTGCAGTCCCTGCGCACACTTACCAATATGGCCCAAGTCTCGACCGCCGTCAGTTTGTACCAAGCCGGAGAGAGCTTGTACGACCTGGTAGACAAGGTGCTCCTGATCGACCAGGGTCAGTGTCTATACTATGGTTCCTCCGATCACGCCAAGCAGTATTTCCTCGACCTTGGCTTCGACTGTCCTGACCGATGGACCACCGCCGATTTCCTGACATCCGTCACGGATCCTTTTGAGCGAAGCATTCGACCAGGATGGGAAGATCGCATTCCTCGATCAGCAGAAGACTTTGCTGCTGTTTACAAGAAGTCGGATGCCTACAAGAGAAATCTCGAGGACATTGACGACTTTGAGTCTCATCTACAGGAACAGATGCGCGCCCGGGCCGAGAATCAGTCAAAGAAGAATAAGAAGAAGAACTACACTATCCCCTTCCACCAGCAAGTTGTCGCATTGGCTCAACGTCAATTAATGGTGACGCTGGGAGACAAGGCATCCTTGATTGGCAAGTGGGGAGGCATCATCTTCCAAGGTCTCATTGTCGGTTCACTCTTTTACAATCTTCCGGACAACACCAACGGTGCATTTACCCGAGGCGGTGTTCTCTTCTTCATTCTCTTGTTCAATGCACTCTTGGCCCTGGCTGAGCAGACTGCTGCTTTTGAATCGAAACCAATCTTGTTGAAGCACAAGAACTTTTCCTTCTACAGACCGTCAGCTTATGCTGTTGCTCAGACGTTGGTTGATGTGCCGTTGGTCGCGATACAAGTCATTCTATTTGACGTTATAATCTACTGGATGGCGGGACTGGCGGCGACGGCTTCACAATTCTTCATCTCACTGCTTATTCTCTGGACAGTCACCATGGTAACATATTCTTTCTTCCGCGCCATTTCAGCCATCTTCAAGACTCTGGACGATGCGACCAAGGTTACTGGTGTCGCCATTCAGATCTTGGTTGTCTATACCGGCTACTTGATTCCACCTTCCAGCATGCGACCCTGGTTTGGTTGGCTCCGTTGGATCAACTGGATCCAGTATGGTTTCGAGTGTCTCATGGCCAACGAATTCTACGACCTGGAAATGCCCTGTGTGACCCCGTACTTGGTGCCCCAGGGCCCAGATGCCACTCCTGAATATCAGTCCTGTGCTTTGGCCGGATCTAGCCCTGGGTCAACTACAGTCTCAGGATCCGCATATATCGAGGAATCATTTAGTTACTCGCGCGGCCACCTGTGGCGTAACTTTGGGTTTCTGTGGGCTTTCTTTGCCTTCTTCCTTGCCATCTCAATGATTGGCATGGAGCTGATGAAGCCCAATGCTGGAGGTGCTGCCGTTACCGTGTACAAGCGTGGTCAGGTGCCAAAGTCTATACAGAAATCAATCGAGACTGGCGGTCGCAAGAATAATGGTGGGGACGAAGAGTCTGGTTTAACAACTCAGAGCGACGTTGCACGGGATCATGCCAAGGAACAAGACGAAAAGGACCAACAAGCCATGAGGGATGTTGCTGGCAACGAGACAATCTTCACCTTTCAAAATGTCAACTACACGATCCCGTACCAAGGTGGTGAGCGCAAGTTGCTCGATCAGGTTCAAGGCTTTGTGCGACCCGGCAAATTGACTGCGCTCATGGGAGCTTCTGGTGCTGGAAAAACTACATTGCTGAACACGCTGGCGCAAAGAATCAATTTTGGTGTCATTACGGGTGACTTTCTTGTCGATGGCAGACCACTCCCCAAGTCTTTCCAGAGAGCTACTGGTTTCGCCGAACAGATGGATGTACACGAGCCCACGGCAACCGTGCGAGAGGCACTTCAGTTTTCTGCCCTGCTTCGCCAACCTCGAGAGGTGTCCAAGGAGGAAAAGTACGCGTACTGCGAGACCATTATTGAGCTTCTCGAGATGCAAGACATTGCCGGCGCAACCATTGGAAATGTAGGCGAGGGTCTGAACCAGGAACAGCGCAAGCGTCTCACTATTGGTGTTGAACTGGCTTCCAAGCCCGAGCTGTTGATGTTCTTGGACGAGCCCACGTCTGGACTCGACTCGGGCGCCGCTTTCAATATTGTCAGATTTCTTCGAAAGCTGGCCGATGCCGGACAGGCCATCTTGTGTACCATTCACCAACCCTCTGCTGTACTGTTTGAACATTTCGACGAGTTGATCCTGCTCAAATCTGGTGGCCGCGTTGTGTACGCTGGCGAGCTCGGCAAGGACAGTCAGAAGATGATTCAGTACTTTGAGACCAACGGCGGACCCAAGTGTCCTCCCGACGAGAATCCCGCCGAGTGGATGCTTGAAGTCATTGGCGCCGGCAACCCCGATTACAAGGGCCAAGACTGGGGCGATGTGTGGTTGGGATCAAACAACTACGAAGAGCAGTCTCGGGAGATTGCCAGCATGAACGAGAAACGCCGCAATGTCGAGCACTCCAAGAACGTCCAGGACGATCGCGAGTACGCAATGCCCTTGACGACACAGACAATGGCAGTGGTCAATCGTTCCTTCATCAGCTACTGGAGAACGCCAAACTACATCATGGGCAAACTCATTTTGCACATCTTTACCGGCCTCTTCAACACGTTCACGTTCTACAAGCTGGGCAACGCCAACATTGACATGCAGTCCCGCCTGTTCTCAATCTTCATGACGCTAACCATTTCTCCGCCCTTGATCCAACAGCTTCAGCCGGTATTCCTTCATTCGCGCTCCATCTTTCAGTCTCGCGAGAACAATGCCAAGATATACAGCTGGGTGGCTTGGACCACGGGAGCTGTCCTGGTCGAGATTCCGTACGCCATTGTTGCCGGAGGTATCTACTTCAACTGCTGGTGGTGGGGCATAGCCGGCTACAAAATGTCGAGCTTTGCCTCTGGCTTCACCTTTTTGTGCGTTATTCTCTTTGAGCTGTACTATGTCGGTTTTGGGCAAGCCATTGCCGCGTTCAGTCCCAACGAGCTGCTGGCTTCGCTCCTAGTGCCCATCTTCTTCCTGTTTGTCGTCTCCTTTTGCGGCGTCGTTGTGCCCGCGGCTCAGCTTCCGACCTTTTGGCGCGAGTGGATGTACTGGCTCACGCCCTTCCACTACCTGCTCGAGGCCTTTTTGGGCGTCGCCATTCACGATCAGCCCGTGCGCTGCGACACGGGCGAGTTTGCCACCTTTTCCGCGCCGCCTGGTCAGACCTGTGAGTCCTATGTGCAGCCCTATATCGAGCAGGCGGGCGGCTACGTCCAGACGGCTGCAGACGGCCTGTGTCAGTTCTGCCAGTACGCCAATGGTGATGAGTTTGGCAGCAGTTTCAGTGTCTACTATAGCCACATTTGGCGCGACTTTGGCATTGTCTGCGGTTTCATCGTCTTCAACTATGCTGTTGTCTACTTTGCCACTTTCCTCAGATTCAAGGGTAGAAATCCGCTCAAGGGCATCATGGGTAGAATGAAGCAGAAGAAGCAGCAAAGCTAGACTAGAAGAGTGTACATGTTTTGAAATTATGACTTTAGAGTAATAGTAATATAGCGTGTCGGGTAAAAAAGAACCCCTTCTCAAGATTTGTGATGAAATGAAATTGGAGTAATCTGTAGTGTAAAATTTAAGGCGCTACGAAACCTTTTTTTGCTCTTTGATCTGTAAAATGTGAAATAATTTCTACCTAAACGCCCAAAAATGCTTTGACAAAATTTATGCCTTATTTCGATTTCCTGGCAAGAACACACAGTGTCTTTCCAATCTCCTTCTCTCCAACTTAAGTCGTAAACCATCGTGTCCTCGTATAACCGTTTCGCCCCATATTATCTACATTTCCATTGTCGCTATTGTTATCATCAAGAATCATGAAGTAAGAAAAAAAAAAGAATCAAAAGGAAAAGGGAAAAAAGAAAAAAAAATCAAGACTTTTCTCTAGTACTTGATCCCCTTCATCGCGACACTGTGCAAAGATCTCAGATCATAGTCGCTTTGCCCACCTTGGGATACCCTGTTGGGGTCATGCTTACCTTGCAGCTGTTCGCTAGCCTCTTCGGCCGCAGTTTTTCTACCATTTCTGGATGTGGGCAGCCTTCTTGTCGAGGACGAAGCCCGTCTTTCAGCCCTCCTCTCCTCGGCCGAAGACCTGATGGAGCGCATAGAGGGCTGGTCACGTGGCGTGGGAATGTCCATGGGCAGAGCGGCTGTCGCCGTTGCGTAGTTTGCTTCGTCAACAGACGGGTCGGCCTCTTCCTCTTCCTCCTCCTCCTGATAGTCGTCCTCAAGGGGCGCGCCGGCTCCAACGACAGAGGGCTCGATCTTGGGTGGAGGAGCATTCTGCTTGTCTCGCTTCGCCTTGTACTCGGTAAGGGCTCGCTTGAGGATGTTGCGCATGACGGCCTTGTTGACGCTGCGGCGCAGGCGATCAAAGTACCGGGCGACTGTTCCAATGACCATGACCTGAGCATCGTGGTCGATCTCGATAATGTCGGCATAGTTGGCGCGCGAGTCTTCCTTGACCCTGAATTTGCCTCGAGCTAGCTCGATGCCGACGGGAGGGTAGTATAGGCGGTTTCGCTCCGCGAGCTTCTCATGCCACTGGTCCGGGCTATTGTCGTCGAAGATGAAGCCTTGCTGACTCGAATCTATTCCGGGCTTGGCAAAGTTGTGCTTGCTGCCAACAGATATAGGACTATACAAGGTTTGGTGTGAGCTATACACGTCTTCACCAAGGCGGGGCCATGTGCCTTTTTGGGGGGCCACTTACATGCATACAGCATGGTGTGGAAATGTGTCGCTATGCCTCAGCACGATGAATCGAACATATCCCAGGCATTTCCACTCCCACTCGAACTCATTCGAGTCTGCCCACAGGAACTCGAAAACATCCCCAACCTCAAGATTGGCGGCAGTGCCTATCTCGTAGCCCTTCTTGGCTGGAGGTGGAGAAGATGGTCAGCAAACGTGCAAGCTTCAGGTGTCATGTAAACCAAAAATGTCCAACAACAACAACAACAAAACAACTCACCAAGTGGATGATCAGGAGTGAGATCTGTAGGCTGGGTTGATCCAGAGGCAGCGTCGTCGCCAAACCCAGAATCACTCTTTTTACTCTTGTAGCTCGCCATTGGTCGAGAAGGAATCTCTGGCAGAAGGAGCAAAACGACAGAGAGGACTATTTAGCGGCGGCGGGGGGGTTGAAGAATTGTATGATGAAAGCTTTATGTCAGGTAACAACAGGTTCGTTCTTTTCGGAGCGAACCTTCTACTACTGCTGCTGCATGACCGCACACAACTTGACTGCGACTGCGCCATGTGTCAAGTCGGGGAAAGAGTCGAGAGGTAGTGCTGCCCGAATAGACTCCACCGCTCCACCGAGATGCGCAGCATAGTGGCATTCGCGATGCGACGCGATCCGTGATACGCTGGTTGACCTATTTTCCTGACCTGCATGAGGTCTCGAACCAATCCTCTGGCGAAAGCCTCACCAGGGGTCAGCCGGGACCCATCATCGCTCTCGATTTACCTCTAACTGCTGCTCGTGTGTTGGCAACTGTCGGCTAGCACCGCCCTTCCGACCTCTTTCACCGCTCCGCTAATCTCAAACAGTCTGCACTGTCTGATGGAATAGCGCAACTTTGCACTCGCCACAGCAACCCACTGGCCAGAGAGTCGGTGACACAAGCCCTGAAATATTAGTAATAAAGACGTTGTTGCCCTTGGGCCGATGACTTCTTTCTTTGCTCTTTCTCCGCCGAGATCGTGCTTAGCATTGACCAGGTAACGTCTTTTGTTACGATGATCCCGATCCTGGGGGAGATCAGATAGTAGCGTCCTATATTCCCTGTAACAAGTAGGACGACATTTCATTGTTGGGTGCGGCAAGTTGCCAGCAGCTGGCATTGGGCAGTTTGTATGTATATTTGGAGAATCCTGGGATGACCATGTCCGTCTGGCCAAGGCAAGTCTTTTGTGACCCCAGAGTATCATCTTACTGTGCATAACATGATAAGTAATCCCACTTTATGGAAGCAGCTGACGATTGTTCGGACGGCTGGTTTCGAACATCTTTGTCCGATCAGTCCTAACGCGATAGATTCCGACTATGGGGGAATAGTGGAGGCTTCCTGCCTTGGTGCTGTTCAGCTTGCATGAGAGGTGGGTTTCCCCTTCAAAAGAGGGCTTCCATAGGTGGCTTGGGGTAGGTAATAATCTGTAGAATGTAATCAACTGTGCATCCGGGCCTGTCTTGCTTCTAGCTTGGTTATCATCTCATCCTTCCAGGATTTTACCGTCTCTCCCAACGTCGGTTTACTCTGGTTGACAAAATTTTGGGTTGGGCATCGTGAAATTGGTACATGGTCATCAATCTTGGTAGCTGGCCACGCGATCAAGGTGGTGTAGGTAGTTGGTAGAAGAAAAGGAAACCTAACGACGTATTGGGCAATGCTTGGAAGATGAGATGGGCTGCAAGGTGTCTCCGTAGTGTCTGTCTTGGAGAAAGTGCATGATCTTGTCTCCTACCCAATCAGCATTACTTTTTTCTTCCTAGAATTGAAAGTTTTGCTCAGGTGGAAAAAAAAAGAAGAAGGTCGGAGTAACCCACAGGAAGGCACAGGCCATTATACTAATCCAGAGCTCCCATCCATGTTAAATATCGTCATGTGCTTAGAAGAACGCTTTGGGAGTCATCCGTCATGAACCAATTTATCCAGAATAACCTGCTAGAGGATGTAAGTAGGTATCTAGACAAGTCTCAAGCTCACTTTTGAAGAAGAAAAAAACGTAAAACAACCAATAATGGACATTCATGTTGGGCTGCACAACAATAGCTCTGTCTTTACCTTACTACTGCCAACAGTACGCGGTGACGCCTATCAAGATGGCAGTTGGGTCTTCCACGCAAGGCCAGTGAAAGATGGTCCCGCGATAAGCACCTAAAAGCACCAACCAAGCCGCTGGAGCCATCCCCTGAATTGAGCTGCGGAGCACTAAACAAGGCTGGCATTGGTGTTACCCCAAAAAAGCTCCCGGAGGCTCAATGGATTGATTGCAGCCTTCCAGATTCAGCCATTGGAGCCAAAGTGTCACCAAAGCCGCCAAAGACCATCTGGTTTTGCATCTTCCCTTTCTTCTACCCGGGAGATCAAGGTTCCAGCCGAGCTACATTCACTTGTAGCTCCCACGATCGCAAGGCCTCATCTCACCAAGGGGATAGCTTGCGACTCCATTGTCCCCTTACAATGCTGCCCACGGTCCAGGTACTGCTGGGCGCAACCGCTCTCCTTGCGCGTCTGGTGGTAGCGTCCAGCTCGCATCAGGAGGACGGGCTACCTTCGTACCACTACGGTGCCGCGATACCTGTAGAATGTATGAAACGGAATATGTATGTCACAGTGCCTGATGCATTTTGTTTGAAAGGAGGCCACTCCCCTCTCCCCGGATGGCTGTAGCTAATCAAGTTGTTACGCAGAGAAACGGGCGAACATATCCAGAACGAAAAGGACGAGATCGAATGGATGCCCTTCCCCGTGTGCGAGGAGACGGCCAAGCCGCTTCAATTCCATTATGGCGTTGAGACGGAACAGAATTGCACTGTTCCCATGATTGACGACCCTTTCTTCCACCTGCTCGAGTTCTACATCCACAACGACGCGCCCCTGGCATGCCGACTCCCTGCCCGTCCTGCCCCCCAAGTCGAGACTGTCGGTGCGAAACCATACGAGCAGGAGTATATACCTCTTGTTTTTGCCCTAGCTGGAACCCTCCAATTGAGCCATTTGCACATCAGCACGCACCTCAATGTCTTGCTTCACAGCACGCCGAAACACCACCTTCACCCGCACGATAGCGGCGTCCTCGACTCGGGCGCTGCATATAGTACGAGTCCGCTCAGCCACATGCAGGGCAGCCAGACCAAGAGATTGGTCATTGGCGATCCTCTCCCCTTTAGCTTCAGCGTTCGATGGTTCCCAACGCCCGCATTACCCAAGACCGAGGGCAAGGTCGAGTGGCAGGGCATGGGTGGACACATTTACTTCAGCACCGTCTTTTACGGCCTTGTTTCCTTCATTGCTGGCGCATTGGCAAGCACCATGTACTTTTTCGGCGTTGTTATGCCAAAGAAGCTCAAGGGCAGAGGACTAGGAGGTGCTACGCCCCTGGGCTATGGAATGAATGGAAAGGGTGTGGGCAATGGATGGGGCATCGCGAAGCGCATCGACTAAAAAAAAGCATTTTCATGACCATTTTATACATGTTGTAATAAGCCCCCAACAGGAGGTTCGGATATTTTCAACTTCTTTGTATATGTTTTATTTATGATTGGGGGTTTTTGTTGTCACGTTGTACGAAGTGTATGGATTATGTACGCGTAGATTTGGCACTGACTGGAGTTCTGGGGCGATTCCGGTCTGGATCTTGATATGAGATCTGATAGTAGGGAATGGTTTTCCAGACGCTTCAGGGTCTATCGCGGTTATGTATGTGAACAGATCAGGCCATAATTAGAGCCGAGCTGGCAGATCAGACAGCGAGGATAATTTACAAGTAGCCAATAAGCCATGGCTTATTGCGTCTTCTTCTTTGCGTCTACATCATCAAATCTCTTCCATATCCGGTGGTACATGTCGACACTCAGTACAGCCGCTATAAAGGGTCAATTTTCATCGTGTCAGGAAATTTGGAGAAAGAGTCACAACTTACCAAGAGCAAAGTACGAACCATACAGGCCTCCGAGAAGCACGGCCTTCTCACTGAGGCTGATGAGCGCCTCGTCCCACTGCAGTAATCAGAGTCAGCCGTTGCCATCGCAGGCCATGACGTACCATGGAGGGAGGCCATAGGTTTGAAACATGAACAGAAGATTGATACTTACGAGCCACGCTTCATACATGCATATGCCAGTAGTGAGAACAGTCTCGATGCCGTAGACAAGGAGTAGGAGCTCAGCCCGGCCATCAAGTCCCGGCCCACCAGACGACCAGAGCCGGCGCACCGCCCAGACCGAGACGGGCAGATGAAAGACGAGCTCCAGAACAGCGAAAAGCGGGAAGAAGGACGGGATAGGTGCCGGAGGCGGGGCAAAGAATTGGTCCTTGTAGGTCTGTTTGGGAACACGTCAGTTTACATCGCGTCCCTCATAAAGAGAACGCCGCTGGGCATGAGAAGGGCAGGCTCAGGGCCACGGGTATCTCCTTTTTGGGGAGGAGCTACGTACCTCTAGGTAATAGACGCGTAGGTCACCCAGGAAAGACAAAGGCGCGTCGCTCGTGGCCCATAGTGAGCGCGGGTAGAAGGGGACGAGGTCGACCACTTTTTGGGGGTGAGATTGTCAGTATACAGCCTCGCCATGTTTCTAGACTCAGGGGGCAAAAGGTCGTCATGCCATGGTGCTTACAGAAGAGAATTTGCTTACAAAACAAGATTGGAATGTGTAGCACAAAATACACGAGGTACACCTTGTCGAGCCATGAGCGCTGCTGCGTGGAAGCCATGATTGAGTTTGCGCGGTGGGAGCAAAGAATGTTCAATTAATGCGGCAGCAGTTGGTTTGGATGTTGAGGTTTATGAAATGTAATAAGCAAATTCAAGGGTGAGATGAGCAGTGTCCGAGTGTTGATTAAGACTAAACACTGTGTGGACGCACTGTCACGCAAGATGGATTCACTCTTATGTAAGTGGAGAACATGTTGTTCGGAATATAATCAATATTTTTTTCTCTCCGCAAACCAGACTCAAGAGAAGGGGTGTTGTTTGAAATTATTTGATGTCGAAAAAGACACTATCGGTAACAAAGAAGAAGAAGAAATATGCCCTGACCAGACATGGCCTGATGATTCCCAGCAGGAAGCATAATATCTTGAGGCCTTCATCGAGAGTTAAAAAGTTCAAAAACATCAAATGAGTGTGTTTTGGGATAAACTATCAATATGGGTTGTGTTAATCAATCTGTACATCAAGAGCCTGGGCTCAATCAAGGAAAAAAGAAAAAAGCCCTACAAAGATTGACATTTGGTAGGGCCTTTGGCGACGCTACTTTGCAAACTATCCCCATGGCTCACATCTTGCCTTCAATGGCAATTTCACCAGTAAAGAGGGATCGCAAGTACTTTTCACTCCAGCCAAAATCATTGACGGGAGCATCCGTAACAGTCGGATCGTCCTCAACGGGCTCGGTCTCTGCCTTTTTCCCGCCACCAAGAACAGAGCCCAGTGTGTTGGTCAAGGGGGACGTGACAGTACCGACCACGGTCTCTGCTGCCTTGACGAGCTGAGCCCACTCACTGTCTTCCTGAGGCACCGCAGTGTCCTTCAATATCTGCTCAGTCATGGTGAAATACATACTCGGCCCGAACTCGTTCAATGTGACAGTATCGGCAAGCTGCTCATTGTCGATTTCGTCTTCCAGTCGAACGTCGTCCGTGGTTGCAACAAGACTCTTGGTCGTGTCTGCTGTGAACACAGCAATGTCCTCGGCGGCTCTGCCATCGCTAGCGAGCGCCGCGAGCGCAGCCTCAAAGTCTTGGCCGTCCAGAGCCTTCAGCTCATCAATGATGCTCGTCTCTTCCCTGGAGACAAAGGACTCGGGTTCGGGGTTAGAGGCTTCAACATCTTCATCAGCTGCGGGCTCGCTGGTCAAGGCGGCCATTCTCATGGTCGTCGTGGGCCTAGGACCCGACAGAAACTTGGAGCCAAGGGCTGATTCTTCCCATCCCTCTGGCAGGTACTGTTGGACATTCTTGGATGAGTTCTCGCCGATGGAGCTGAGCAGCTCCACAAGCTTTAACTGCAGATCGACACCGGGACATACGTTCCTCATGGTGTCCACGAAATTGTCCGGGTCTGCAATAGCCGTCCAGGCGAGCGGGAATGCAATCGCAGCGATCGGACCGATGCCGGGGATGAACCCCACGGCAACGGTGAGTGAGTTCTTTAGAAAGTTCTCCAACCAATCTTGCTTCTTGATGGTGGGCTTCCACTGGATGGGCAGGCCGTGGTTTGCACCGGAAATGGTTGTCCAATCAAAGTCGGCCGAGTCGCTGTAGCTGTGCTCGATCGGAGGCGAAGCTACCAGGTCCTTGTCAATCATCATAATGTTGCCAGAGGAAAAGGCGTTCTGGCGGCGCAGCTGGCGGGGCAGGGACAGCAGCTCGACCAGCCCGTTGAAGTTGATTCCAACCGTCAGAGACCACCAGTCGGAGAGTCCCACTGTTTTATTCAATGGTACGTCTCTCCAGTCAACTGTCGGGTTGCTCGCCGAGCCCGAATGGTGCAGCATCCTCACTTTGTCATCGGCAACAGTGAAGTTGACTTGGTAGAAGGTGCAAAGCTCGGGATGGTCCTCGGACGCTTGCTGGGCAATGGGGATGTAGATTGCTCGTATGTTTGTTACTCGCTAGATGAGCATTAGCAATCAAGGTGCTGCTTATACGTGAATTTGGAACAAGTTGTGCTTACATCGATGAAAGCCCAGCCTTCCTCTCTCTTTGGCATTGGCATGGTCATGAACCACGACTGGCACGTTCTGTAATCAGCGCAGCTGTAACATCGAACATGGCGTGATAGGTAGACAGGGGATAGGCATTACCTCTAATGGATCACCGTCCATTTGTTTCTGGAGGCGGCCGCTCGAGGTACAGAGATTGTGCTGCACGCGGCGGTGCTGACCTTTGCTATAGTGGGACCCATACACGATAGGTAACTGTTTCCAAGCTCCAATGAATGGGCCTACACGGAAGCCCCCCATGGGTAAAATAAGAGTCTCGTCGATCAGCTGGTAGGACGTGCGTGGATGAGTGCGTTTCTCCCGAGCATCTGATCCGGTATGACTCGGTTTGTTCCAGATGAACTCGAGCAAGAAATGACCATAGAAGTGGTCTGGACGGTCCGCCTGATAGTATTCTTTGTTGGATGAGTTCAGCGCAGATCGTCGGAAGAAGCATTCGCCTTCTGGATATGCGAGCGCCATGATGACAGAAAGTGTATGTTGTGAAGGGACTAGAAATGAAACTTTTTGATCTGTTGTCTGCTTAGGGTGTGAGATGATGAGGACATTCAGAGCACACAACAACTGGATCTCCGGTGCTTTTATATTCAAGAGAGAGGTCGTTTAATTCCACGTTCCAGTAGACTATCTCATTCCTCTCATACTATTGAACCGACTTTGGATCTACCAAATCAGTATTGCCACGCCCTTAAGCCATCAACCCACGACGTCAACCTCGGCAGCGATGTAGCCACTTGTTTCAATGCCGTATCAAGTCACTCCAAACTGCATGTCATGTTGATGAGTGGTCTGGAAAGGTCTTGGATTGGGGCAATTGCTACACTTCTACACCCTCATTCTTAGCGAGGCGTGCACAACAGCTCTTGGCTAAGATACTATGACACCATCATATCATTTTCATTGACAAACCATGAGCAGACTTTGCAACACGTCGACTGATTATCCACCAATCCGTTAATAATGAGAAGAGTCAAGTCATTATTTCTCTGCAAGATGCCTCAAAGCTGAGTTGATCGTCACAACGCCGCTTGATCGGCTCAATGCAGTTTCACCGACTTCATAGTTGTTCTGAAGATCAACTTGCTCCCCATCCTACAATTTTTTGACTCTGATTGATGCGTTATACATCAGTGACTACAAGACTTCATTTGGATATTTGGATATTCCCATGGCAGTGATCATGCATTTATACACAAATTTTCCAGAAGATTGTCTAGAAATATCATTTAGAAATGAGGAACATGCGTTTGATAGATCTTTGAATGGAAATACAAGGCATCCTCACCACTTTGCCATTCCAACTCAACAACCATTGGGGCTTTTTTGGGAAGGTTGCAGAAGATCTTTTATGTTGTGTACCTGAACCAATGCAATAAGATCTGCATCAACTCCGCTTTGTGACCACCTATCTGGATGCCCATCATGCCACCCAATACGGGACGGGCCGCTTGACTGGGAGGACCCACTGCGTTGCAGGAGTTGAGAGGAACGCAAACGTTGCATCCTCGAGGCAAACCAAGCCGCATTTCTAGAATATCAACGCATCATATGTTTATAGACGACACTCCATCGCTTAATCCGCTTAGGCTAATTTGAAGCTTAAATTTTCACTGTTCTCATTTATCCCGTCACTTTCCGCAAGGCCATGTTCGCTCGCCCCAGTCCATCCAATTATGCGATATGGCTGCTGTATTATATCTAGTGAGCAGTTCATGCAGATGGATCAATTTGTACCGAGTGGCGTTTAGCATTTTCTCCCTCTCTCTTCACATGCCGCATGAGATAGACCACCAGTGACGGCCGTATGTTGTTCTCTCGTTGTATCACTCGGCCTTGCGGTAATAACGGCAGCGGCATTCGCCATACAATAATGTGCTTCGCGCGCCTAAATCCTGCCATGACGGCTCTCCATTGACCGGTGTAATTCCCCAGCACTTGAACATTCTTTTGTGTCTGCTTCAACACCATGCACGCTTTCTACTCGGTGGTATTGTGGCGTACCGAGAAACCAGTAGGACGAGGGAGGCGTGATATTAGACCGAGATCGTCTAAAGTGCTCCCGTCGTGGAACTACTTCAGAAATACTGTCTGCTAGCAAGTTTCTCAAACCAAAGCATGTGACCGCCCTTATTGTTCTAATGAAATCGGCGTCTTAAATTTTAGTCTTGAATCTTCGGTTTACAAGACGGCCTATGATGAGACACGAGAGAAGATGGCCAGCCCCGCAGTCTTTGTGTCTCAAGACTTGGATACACATTAGGAAAGGGCCTGGTTCAACCGTCTCCAGCTATTGGTCTAGCCTTGATATCCGCCAGCATAAAGTTCATGGAGTATCTTTCACCCTCTCGTGGTTGTCTGGATACGCCAAGTGGCTCGTCAACGAGGGGAACTTAAGAGTAGCTTCCTCTTGTAATTTCTTTCTTCTTAAGCCGCTTAGCGCAATTTGTATGCCGTCGACTTTAGCTGCACGAACATTCAAATATGCCCTTGCCATCGTCAGTTGGATTCTATCCAAGTATTAATAAATATCGAGGTAGAAAACCACAAAGATTTTCAAGATAGTGACAAGAATCGCCCATCGAATTCCATGTCTCAACCCAAATGTCAATTAAACGACTCTGTATAGGATATTGTACCTGTTGTATATTTATAACCGTCCTTGCCATATGATGACAGCGATTGATAGATCATGATGGCATGCAGAAGAAATGAAGGTCACCATAATTCTTTACATTGCTACTTGTACAATTTCCTCATAGTCGGCGCAAAGGTGGGGACAAGGCAGCATACATATACTGTATATAATTTTGCCATGAACCAGGGTCTGGACCGAAGTTCCGACGAACCCGAATAACACAATCAGACATGTCAAATACCGGCCAACCTGCGAGAAGTGTCGTGAATCAAATGAAGTATTTCCAGCAGATGCATCTTATCACTTCCCGGCTTTTGTACATGATTCTTGCAATTCAAATCACCAATTACCTGCCAACATTTACTGCTGGTGTAGATAAGAGATCTTGTTCAGCAGAGCCACTCAATGCAGTAGTGAAAGCCTAAAAAGGGCTGCTTGTAAATCTTATCATGGTTTTACGACTCAGCCGAGGAATTGATTGTCCGTTGGATTGCGGCTGCGAGAGAGGGGCAAACAGGCTTACGGGCACTTTCTGGATTGTCTTTCTTCGCCTTGGTAAATGGAAGGCGGCCGCACTGTCAAGAGGCAAGGGCTGTTATGGGTCAGGATATATGGCGACCTTTGGGGAGAAACATTCTCTGGCAGTCACATTGCTACAGAGAATTGTCAACTGCAATGAGGCGTCGGCGGCGGTCATTGGGCATAAGTGAGTACATACAACCAGCAAGCACATCTTCTAGGTGGGGGGAGCCCTAAGATAATTATAGTAATCCTCAGTAGTGCGTAGACGGTGTTCTAGTAGCGCCCAACTCAGAATTTGAGATGTGCATGTGCATGTGCAGGTCGAAAAGAATAAGCATACTAAATTGAAACAACAAGCCATAGACCAATAGAGTTGACGTTTCTTCGGAGACATTGACAGGTCTTGACTGTGAAACGCCGATCCGTCTATAAAACGCCCATTCTATCCATCTCTTCTAGTAGGAACGACAGTGGATGTACCAGGTAAGGAAGGTCAGCGTTTGGAGGGGGAGGGCTCCGACAGGACACACCATATGCAGTCTTTTGAAGGTATCAAGTTTTGGGTGCTGTGCCCAGCCCTGATCCGTTACATCTGCGCCTACCATTTCCATTGCACCCGGCGCTAGCTGCGACCATGGGTGGGCGTTTAGGCCAATGGTCCCGTCCCTGACCAAGCCCAAAGTCACACACAATCCAAGACTTTTTGCGCCGCTCGACCAGATCGAGGCTAATAACCATAGTGAGATGAAGAGCGACACGGGGGGGAAAGAATTGCAGGGTAATCACTACTAATGCAACATTCAAGAGAGACCGCATGAGTCTGTGATGTTTATTGTTGATAGTAAAGTCTAATGAAATGTCATAGATTAATAAAAGGTGAAGCAAAAACTGTGAGACTTGAAAAAAAAAATGGACAAGTCCCAGGTGGAAGGATCAAGCATCTAGGATGGGTAAGTTATACCCAGAGGTTCGCTGTCGTCGTCGCTGAGACCCCGCCTTGGCCGCCTGTTATCCCTGTCACATGTGCAGACAGTGTTCTGAAGTCTTGTATTTTTTTGCTGGTAACCAATAGAATTAGGTACAACGCTAGCCACTGCTGCTACGTAATCCTTCCTGCCACCAACACATGCAGCACGGCATGCGCTAACAGTGGCTGGTCGCTGCCCGGGGCGACGCAACCGATGGGCCCAGAACTTGAAATCGTGGCTCCGCCTCCACAAGCTTTCTCTCTCTCTCTTCTCACGGGCCGTTACCTATGACATAGCTGGTCGCATCCTATTCTATCTCCTGTTACAACGCCTACCAAGGAATTGTTGAGTACGATTTTGTGCTACCGTGAAGGATTCATTGATTCGCAAGACAACGTGCTGTGGGCTTGTGTTTTTTTTTCTACCTTTGTCTCTTGCTTTCGTAAAGTAGAGTACGTATACGCGGCCCAGGCGCAGTCAATACTCTTACACATTGTTGGAACGCTCATCGCATCGTCTTTCGGGGGATTTCCTACTGCAGCGCACCCTCACCGCATTCAGCGTCAACTCCAACGACTCCCGTTTCAAAGTCGACACCCTTTCTTGTCACCTCTTGGGACGACCAGCGACCTGCGCTGTATCGCTACTAAGGAAACCAACAAGAAAATTGCCCCAAAACAACCGATTGACGGACGGGAAACATCAAAGCGCCCGAGATCATCCTTCGACACGAATAGCGTTCCGTCGCGCAGGCACTGCCTGTCAACCTGGTCATACTTACGAACCCTTCCCCACTGCCTCAATTGGACGTTCGGTCGAGCCGCCTACTACCAACCAACCGCTCCCAGGGTCGTCCTTATCACCCAGCCCGCTCCGGGTCCCTGCGCTCATATTATCTTTTATGCTGCCGACCCACGATCCTTACACAACAATCAGATCTCGATTATACAAAGTAAACAACACAAAGGTGTCGTCGCACAAATAAAAAAGAGGGAGAAGAAGGTTGGACATATCCGGATAGCGACTAGATCGATCAAACACAAAACACAAACTCCAACCCTCGAGACTCGCGGCGCTTGCCACTGTAAGACGACGGCGACGACTCGCCGTCGCCCAAGCGACTCATAATAATGGACAATGCTGGCCACGTGCTCGAGATCGTCCACAATGTATACGCCAGAGCTAACGATACCTCGACCGACGCCGAAGACGAGACACGACCGGCCGTCTTCAAGGTCGTGGGTATATCTCTCGCCATTGCCTCGGGCGCATTCATTGGCACATCTTTTGTGTTGAAAAAAGTGGGATTACTGAAAGCAAACGAAAAGTACCAGGAAGTCGCTGGCGAGGGCTATGGCTATCTCAAGAACTTCTACTGGTGGTCGGGAATGACCCTGATGATCGTCGGCGAAATATGCAATTTTGTCGCATATGCATTCACCGACGCCATTCTGGTCACCCCGCTCGGTGCGCTCTCAGTCGTCATCACCACAGTTCTCTCGGCAATCTTCTTGAAGGAACGGTTAAGTATGGTTGGCAAGGTCGCCTGTTTTCTCTGCATCGTCGGTTCCGTTGTTATTGTCATGAACGCGCCGGAGGAATCCTCAGTCGCCAACATCCAGGAGATGCAAAAGTTTGTCATAACACCAGGCTTTCTCAGTTACACTGGCGTCATTCTGGTCGGATCTGCCATTACCGCCTTTTACTGCGGGCCGAGATGGGGAAAGAAGAACATGCTTGTCTACATATCCATATGTAGTTGGGTGGGAGGCTTGAGTGTTGTCGCCACACAGGGCCTGGGTGCCGCGATTGTGGCACAGATTCAAGGAACTTCGGGCGGTCAATTCACCCACTGGTTCATATATGTGCTACTGGTCTTTGTGATTGGTACATTGTTAACAGAAATCATTTTCCTCAATGTAAGTTCACCCTTTCCAATCCCAAGTGAAGCAGTTTTGCTCATTCCATACAAGAAAGCACTGAATTTGTTCAATGCGGCCATGGTTACGCCAACCTACTACGTGTACTTTACTAGTACGACTATCATAACTTCGGCGGTACTGTTTCAAGGTTTCAAAGGAACTGCATCGTCCATTATTACTGTCGTCATGGGCTTCCTCGTCATCTGCTCTGGAGTGGTTTTGTTGCAACTATCCAAGTCAGCCAAGGATGTCCCTGATACCGCTATATTCAAGGGAGACTTGGACCAAATACAAACAATCGCTGAGCAAGAACAGCCTGAGACGGAACCCAAGGCTGATGCTATTCGTGGTACTGCTGCAATTGTGCGGCGGATTTCCATGGCTCGCAAGAAGATGGAATTCAAGGAGCTTGAGCGTCTGCACCAGGAGAAGGAGGCTCAACGCTTGGAGACTCTCAGCGAGGACGGGCAGGCACAGTTTGAGTGGGACGGATTGCGCAGGAGGAGAACAACGACCATGATGAGCCAGCGTAGTCGTCCAACGACTGAGCCTTCGCCCAATCCTTTCACCCATCCTCAAGGCATCCCATTCACACCTCCACCAAGAACACCACACCCACCCCTGGGCATGTCACAGTTTCCCTCTGATGACGATGACATGGATGTGGAACGTCAGTCGTCACCCGGTTTGTTGTCGAGCATCGCCGGCACCATTAGGAGCCGTGCAAGAAGCGTCATCCTACCAGGACACCCAGATTTCCGGGGTGGATCGAGTGATGGAAGGGTACAAAGCCCCATGCACCCGGTTCAACTCAGCAATATCAATGTGCCGGGTCAGAAGACGAGCGGAGATGAAACCCCGTACGGAACGACTCAGGAACACGTATATGGCCTGCCAGACAGCCTTCGACGTCAAGACACTGGATATGGCGGCGCCGCAGCTGCCACTGGTGGGAATAGTCGCCACATCCAGTTCGATAACCCGGTTGCCAGTGCCAGCACAGGCTCGCTAGCAGTCCCGCCAACACCACCACCACACAGGGGTGACGGCCACTCAGCACGGCGCCAGTTCTCGTTCCAAAACCCGTTCCGTCGGCAGGCTGCTGATGGGGCACAAGATCAAGAAGTGCGTCCGCCGTCATCAACCCACAGGCCAGGCAGTCGTATGGGCATGGGAAGCAGAGGCTACTCGAATCCCAAGGTAAAAGATGCGACGGAAGAGGAGAGGTTAGGACTTGTTACAGGCGACTCGGCCACGTTGCCTACCTTGGCTCGGAACAATGACGACTATTATGACGACGATGAAGATGACCCCGAGCAGTACCTGGAGGAGAAGCGAGCCCAACGCTATGGACGTGGCATCACGAGCAGCAGCCCGCCTAGACGCGGTAGTGACGACAAAGCTGAGGAGGCTGCTGATTACGAAGCCAATAGAAGCAGGTGGAAGGAGAGGTCGAGACAGGGCACGCCCAAGAGTTCACCACCAAGACAATCGCCCCCACGACCTGCACCGGGGAGGAGGGACCCTCCACCCGGAAGCAACGGTGCTTTCATTTGATTTAATGACATCAGGATGACACTGAAGCCCATGCTGGGTACCAGTGCGACGACTTTTACTTACTTGGATGGGATCTGGACGACCAGCAAAACCATGTAGAAATACGACCATGACGCGGCATACGAGACGAGATGCGCAGGAGAACAAGCTGGCAGAGCCTGCATGAACTTTTCTGTACACATTGCATTGCATGGCTGGTGGGACTCTTTGTACCATAGATGATAATGGTTTTATTTATTTTATTTTTTTGCTTGCTTGATGTGGCACTGGGATACCGGGGATTGGGGGGAGAGGGGAGAGGGAAAAAAAAACAAAGAAGGTTGTGCCGGACGCCGGATAGCTGTCCCCGGAGCTCAAGTTACAAGTTTGGACATGGGATATATGTACATGTTTTAGGACAACAACAAGAATCAAAAAGGAACCACGTTCCTGGACTTAATCTTACTGAGACATGCAGGAACGGTAATGCAGCATTTGATATGAAACCTCATGTGGCAAAAAAAGGCGTTGCGTTTGTAAGGCGACACCATTCAAGAGCTACCGAGCCGAACCTAGCACTATGATATGCAGGAACATAACCTTTGAAAAAAGCCATGGCAGCACAACATAGTACTACTACCTACCTACCTACCTACCTCACCTAGGTATATGCAAGAGACGATGTATGACTCGAGCTGGTGCATGAGTATTTGATTGGGCGCCCAGGATCGATCATGTCGGTACCGGTGGGCTGGTTTGACTATCCCACCCGTAGAACGGGTTTTCGGAACCCTTTTATTTTGTGGTGGTCTGTCACACAAGAAGCCACGCTCATAAGGCTCCAATGCAGGTTGTACAGGCCGGACGGGAATAAATGCCACATATGCAAGAACAAATTGTGGCAAGTGGCAAGTTGAATGAGGAGAAAAGAAAAAGGATACGGGACCAAGTTTGAAAGGAGCATTTAGCCGGGCTGGTGGCACGCAACAACCAAACACTTTAACAACGATCGGCAACCTTATGTCGACTTCAGTGAAACGTAAGCGCCGAAGCATGGCATGGTTGAGGGGTTCGCCATCATCATCATCATCATCATCATCATCATCATCATCATGACCATGGATCATCAAAATAATATCATCAAGAATTTCCCAAGCGCGGAGCGAGGATAACACGTATGTAGACATGGAGCATTCCTAGAGAGAGATGATCAAGGGGTCACCGGGTTGCAACCTAAACAAGACCCGCGCGCAAACATTGGTCTCGGGCAAATTTCGCGGAAGTCTCATCATCATCAAGATGTCCTTTTGTTTTTCGTTTTGCTCTTGATGACGATGATTCTGAATAATGGTAAAAAGCAAAGATAAGCACAGTCCTGAAGATTGATGAGGTTAAAGGGGGAGGGAGAATAGCTTTGGAGCCGGGGCCATCAATCAGTATGGCATGGAGGCATGGCATGTAATACTCTTTACCCCCTCATTCAAAGCCAAACTTTTTTTTTCTTCCACCCCCAAACCGGGCAAGCAGAGCGAAACAGGACCAACCTTGCAACGGCGACGGTGAGGAGAACGAGACAGGTGATTTAGAGTTGACGCCAGCGCAAGCCTCCAACCAAAAACCCGTGTTTGCGCCATGATATTTTGCAACAGTTTTCTTCTTAAGCAGCAGCAAGCGAGCAAGCATGAAGAAAAAAAAAGGTAGCTGCCCAAGGAAAAAAGGGTAATGAACAATCAAAAAAAGCATTTGCCGGAAGCATGCCGCTGTCGCCGCCGTCCGGGATGTAACCTCTGAGACAAGATTGTAATCTCATCAATTCATCAATCTAGTCCCGGGTTCCCCTTCCCCATATTGATATGCGGAATGCTTTTGGGGGCCCATGGAGTTGGCAGAATGGATATGATGTATGGCGTTTTTCGGTTGAGATATGCGGCGCTCGCCACGCGTTGGGCTGCAGGATCATGGCCCATCAGAAGCATATCTGATGTGGTAGTCCCTGCTTTTTTTCTTTTCTTCTGTCCTCATCCCTCGTCTCTGCGTTGTAAAAGATGCTTTTCCTTTTCTCTCTTTCTTACTCCCCTTGCCAAACTCACTGCAAGGCCGGCATGATCAGGATCATCTGCAAGGTACGGACGTGCCGGAAGCATAGCGGAAAGCAAGTCTCCCTCTCGCTCGCTCGCAGCAATGTCTCCTCCCCCAGGCAGGTCCCGTTGTCGCCCATGTGGCTCCCGTTGTTTCTTTGCCGCTCCGCGATAAAATTTTTGATTACTCGTGTTTGAGGCAGAAGTCAAAATTTTTGAGTCGCTCGCTGCATCAAATCATGATTATCATGGCATGTTATTGCAGCAGCAACAAATAACGGAAGATAAAGAAGGAAAGAAAAAAGTGTATCAAATTGCGCAAAGGAAAGTAGACGACCACGGAATAATAATGATAATGAGAAAGAAAAAAACAACAACCACCACCACCACCACCAAAGAATTGGGTACAGTACACAGTACCTACCAAATTACAGTACCTTGCGCGCTCTTGATAAAGAAAAGCTAAGGAGTGAGCTGGGATGCAAGCTTAACTTCCGCGACCGACAGCCCAGGGTCCCCATATTCCAATCCCAAGGGTTTTCAGGGTTTCCCGATTTAGGCAAACTTCGTCATCCAGAGGGATAAAACAGAGATCCAATAATCCTCCTCACCTTGTCACCTTGCTGGGCCGTCTATCAAGACTCTCGGACTGCTGCCAATGCTGTCTTGTCTATCTGCCTGCCCTAGTGTACGGCTTAAAACTGAATCCTGATACTTCGATACCTTGTCAGGATAAGCCAAATTATCCCACACCAAGAGAAAGTTGCACCACCAGACGGGCGACTGAACTGCCCAGTCCGCGTCCACTAGAAGAGGGAAGGGGGGGTCCGCTGTCACAGTCCGCATATCATGTGCGTCCATTCCGTACTTTCGCTCCCTATAGCGCCCCCCACTTCCTTCCATCTTCGCCCTCTTTCGCTTAAACGACGCCCCCCCAATAGGCGTTTGCTGGAACCCGGGAACCTTGCCGGGGTGTGTGTGTGTGTGTGTGTGTGTGTGCCTTCTGGCCCTCTGCTGCATTTCTTTCACTCTGTACCTACCTACGGCTCCCCACACCTTGACGCAGCCCTCTTTCTGTCTGACCGCGACCGCGACAGACACACAAACTGGGACACACGCCCCCCCAGCCCTGCGAACCTGCAGTGGGATGAAATGGATTGCGAAAAATGAATGGATCCCCCGTTTCTCTGCGTTTACCAGTACCTCGCCGCCGCATCAGATCATGTTTCTACTTTCACGATATAGTCCACCAGCGTCACTCCGATACGATCCATCATGTCAAGCACACAATATGTATCAACGCTTCCATGTGATGCAAAAATTTACTTCTTTCACCATTTGGCTGTGGGGCAACTCTCGACGCGCTCAGGCTCGCTCGCGCCCGTGTCAGGGGTGGAAAGGGAAAGGAGATTCCCCAAATCAATGCTGCCCAGAGGGTAAGTAGTAGTAGCTAGTACGAGTTATGCTGCATTACTATGCTATGCTGTCTCTCAGGTTTAGAGGCCTCTCTCTCTCTTTCTCACTGTCTTTTTCCCCGTCCCGTCAGTTCTTAAAGCGGCGGACGAATAAAATAGACAACAGTGTCCATAGTTACATAGTTAGAGAGGGCTTTCATTGCCCAAACTAGACACCATAGTAGTATGGTCACGGTCGACAGGTGATTCCACTCCTACCAGGAAAACCATACCTCCAATCCCACTTATTGCGCAAGATGGGGGGGTTGCAAGCTTGCAAGGTCAAGGTTGCGGATGGGTTCGAATTGTTACAAGGCCCGCCGTCACGAACTTCTAGAATGTTTCGCGCCTTTTTTTTTTCTTGTCTCCCTCTCTCCCCCCCTTCTCTTTTCTTCTTACTACACGTACAATACCTCATCCACTCATCACACACTCACTCTTTTTGGTTTTTGTTCTTCGAAATACAGTACCTTATTCCTTGCGCCAGCCACGCAAGCCTGGGTACCCTGTTGCGTTTTGCCTCTTGTCTCTCTTTCACACAGACACGGACACGCGCTATTACATCTTGACATTCTTTTTTTGTTTTTTTCCCACACCCACGGAGCTAGATACGTATCTTTTTTTAATTCTTTCTCTACTCCTCTCATCTCTCCATCTAGTTCTAGTCTAGAGGAGGCGTGCGCTACGTACCGTTTACGCACTACGTAGTCTATGTACGCTACGTCCATAGCACCATAATTCGCAAAATCTCCATTCTTGGCTCTAGGCTCGTTTAGCTCGGACTCCCAGCTACTTACGGCCCACGGCCGCCTACTCTTTTTTACATATTAGGACCCGACTATCCCTTCCCTTTTCCACGTAGATCCTCTCGACCTTGAGACGAAAAGACATTCCCCATCAGAGAGACCCTTCCGACCTTTCAGCAAAGACTACCATCTGACCTGAACCTCGAACAACCTGTTCTGCTCTTGTTCGAGAGTGACATTCATTTTTTATTATATCCAAACAATATCCCTCCAGCAAAGGACTTCAATTTGCTAAACCACACTCACTCTTTTCACTAACTACTCTTGTTCCATCTTTGATATTATTCATCTTTCGTTCTTGAAAACAAATCTTCTTTCATTCCCAGTACTGCTATTTGCTATCTATTTACTACAAACGATCACCACCGTCGATCATCTCGTTCATTCGTCATTTACTACAAATCTGCCACAAACTTTTATCCACAATCAACTCTGGGAGGCAATATCTTTTTTCTATACATTATATTTCTTTCCAACCCAGTTCAAAAAGCGAGACTGTAATATTCCTCCAAAATGAAGGCCACATTCATCACATCGTCGGTCCTCTTTGCATGCCTGGCATGCGCTCTCCCAGTTGCCCCCGCCGCTCAGAATGAGGTCAGCGTGAGGTCAGCGGCCAAGGCAGAGGCCTGGGACTATGGCACGGCTGAGAAGCGTGGCAGCAACTCGACAACATTGCCCTCTCACTCCCAGCCCAACCAGGCTTGGGACTATGGCAAGCGCGGCGACAAGGTCGACACTGATGAGGCTTGGGACTATGGAAAACGTGGCGAGCACAAGAAGGTGGACACGGACGAGGCATGGGATTATGGAAAGCGTGGTGAACGTGGTGGTGACCATGGCAATCACAAGCCGGGTGGTGGTGATGAGGGATGGGACTATGGCAAACGCAGCGACGACTCCAGTGTCAACACCGATGAGGCATGGGACTATGGCAAGCGCAGCAGCGACTCGACAGTGGACACGGACGAAGCATGGGACTATGGCAAGCGCGAGAACCACCACAAGGTCAACACGGACGAGGGATGGGACTACGGCAAGCGTTCTGACTCGACTGTCGACACCGATGAGGCCTGGGACTACGGCAAGAAGCGAAGTGATTCGTCCGCCGACTCTGGTGACGGCGACGAGGGCTGGGACTACGGCAAGAAGGCATGAAGGAATCAAGTCTAGCGGATCAACGATCAGATCAAGTCCAGAGGGCCCGGGATCTGCGACATGCATGGGAGGATATATAATGAGAGGACTATAAAGACGTCCGATTCATTTATATATACCCCCATTCGACTTGTCACATTTCTGCCATGACCCTCTCCCGAGTCCCGTGCGAGCCATGGAGACATTATATATGGACTTTGCGCACCTCTAGCCACGGTCCTATTCCCATCGCGATATATCAAAAGAGGCTTACGCTCAACCGCCAGCCGCTCATCGCATCAATCAACACATGATTCCGCCCGCCCGTCGCTGGAGGTCGACTGGGCAAAAGTTTTTGCACCAAAACGCAATCATCACTACGCGCCATCCATACTGATGGCAATACCAAACCTATCAATCTTAATCGACCGACGTCCCACCTTGGCAGCCAAGGTCCGTCTTTTTGTTACTGGAGCTGGAGTGTATAGGTTACAGAGGAATTTGTCGGCATTTGTTGTACTTGTATGTCTGACTGGTCTGTTTGTTTGTCTTTGTATTTAGCATAGCGTTCTGGGGTTAAAATCTATGTCTGTTATACACTACAAAAATTTTGCAACCACAAATATCCTCTTGCATGATTTCTCGCGATGATAGTAGGTATAGTACTTTTGCTCATGATATGATGATGGATTTCCCAGGTGGTTTTATTGCATGTATTACTCCGAGCAAGCATGATGCGTAACGCAGTAGCATCGCATATGTTGAATTCCCACGTGTCGTGCAAGGGACCTAGGGATTACAAGGGGAAGGGTTGATCAAGAGGCCTGGGCAGTGGGCGAGGGTCTCCCGTAATTTTTTTTTCTTTTTTCTTTTCGGTTCTCGCGGTAGAGGCAACGAACGGGGGGCGGTTCTGAAAGTAGGTACACTGTAGAAGCACTACCACCACCAAAAACTCAGCCGCAATGCAAATGCAAATGCAATCTATTTTGACACATTCAGGTGCCAAGGGCTCGGCTGGTCGGGGGAGGGCTTTGGATGGTGGCTAGGCCAACTCTTGTTTCTTCTTCTTACCTCGTTTCCTGCCCTCCCCTTCTTTAGTCTGTTCGCCTCGCCTGTCAAGAAATGTCTTGTACAACCATTAAACGTCAAAGGTGGTACCGAGTCTTCCGCATTTACTAGGGGGGGGGGTTAGGTGGGCACACACGGGCGCGCGCGCGCCAGCCAGCGAGCGAGCGAGCGGGTGGGCGGGATTGTACGTGCTTGGGGGGATGGAGGGGGCGGCCCCCAGCCGGGGCTGCTTTTTTTGGCGCTGACGTCAAAATTAGTTGCGAGATGGGAAGTAGTAGTGGTAGTAGTAGGAGCATTGACATTTGGTTTAATGCATTGGCAAAATCCTACCTCATGTTGGGTACGATTGATTCAATGGGATTATTCCCAATTTTTACAGGGCACAAAAAAGGTGAACAAGGGGGATCAGAGAGAGTACCCAAGTAGGGGCTGCTGTTGGCTGGCATTATTTGACATGGGGTTGTGATGGTGGTGGTGTTGGTGGTGGTGATGGGAGGTTTCCTCCTCTTGTCTTGGCAGATGGCACATGGGGGCAAAAAACACAGAGGCAATGATACTCTGACCTACATAGTACGATCGATCATGCTCATTGATTGGCGATCCGCATAGCCTAATCCAGCACAATAGTGTACAGAGTAGAGGGTTTTTCCCTCTTCTTCTGTATCTTTCATGTCAGATGCGCAAGCGGAGGCTGATCAAGAAACCAAGGAAAAAATGCGGAGAATGCGCGGACGGGCGAGATGGGTAAATACCAAGACCAAAAGTGTAGCGTCGCTCGGCGTCGTCGTAAACTGTACGAGGCATTCATCATCAAAAAAATGGAGAGAGTAGAGGAGCTCCATAAAGAGGCAGTCCAGTCAGTCAGTGCCAGGGTTATCGGCGTTCACTTCTTTGTGATCGCAAGCATGGGTTCGGCTTTAGCCTCCTGCGTCGACTGGGTTTACTGTGTATTTTTTTCGTCAACACGCACACCCCCCCTACCAACTCACCCTGGGCAAAAGCGGACGCCCGGATGAGAAACCTTGAAGGCCAAGAAGCCCTTCACCCATTTCGCTCCGTTTCGGGGGTCATTTCATGGTGGGCTTTCAATGCCCGAAGATTTGATGCTTGATGCGCATTGTAAGCACTCAAATTCAAAGTTATAACCAAATGCAATAGGGGCATATGTTCAGTGATGCCCAAGATGCCTTTTTCTCCCTAGGCAATATTCATCCGAGCAAGTTACATATTTGTGTTCAATGCAGGTATCATTATATGTACATGAGAGAAGACATGGGCTTAAAGCAGCAGCAAATCATCGCTGCACCTACTAAAATCTGCTACCCATTGGCTCGGGTCTCTCGAGTTCCACAGGCCCGGTGACGCCCAAGGAAGGAGGCTGTAAACGAACTGGGCTCGCTCGAAAAGAGAGCTGCCAAGATCAAAAGTGGCCAAGCCCCATCTCCCAGACGTGGCAATGGTGATCCAAAAGGGTAATCGGAAACAAGAAGCTAGGTTAGTTGGCTAGCAAAGTAGTCCACTGCCTGGCTGGAAGGGATTTAAAAAAAAAAAAAAAAAAAAAAACAGATTGCGTGAGCGGACCCGTCTACCCCCTGGCCGGCGTGCTCAGCTAGTCTGTGGCTCTTCGGGACCGGCGTGAAAAGAAATTATAGTATAACATTACGACTGCTTCTACCGGGTGTGAACGAACTGCTCTCGGTAACGGTAGTAAGGTAGTCTTAAATTGTCTGATGGGTAACGCATACTACAGATTTACTACATACTTCATACAAAAGCCAGACTGATGACTGACTGATGTTCCTTGCACTGCCACCACGTGCGAAATGATATGACCTCGGGCCGGTGGAGCAATTGTGCACCGCCAAGAACAGGGGCTGGCCTCGGCGGATCGCATCCGGGAAAGTCTTTGCAAGTCAGTCAGTCAGTCAGTCAGTCAGTCAACTTGCTACTGCTTCAGATACGATTACTGGGCAAGTCAAAGGTGGATTCCCAGAGCGTCATATCATGCAACTCGTCCATGTGTCTCTCCATTTTAGTGCGCTATGTATCATGAAGACAGTGTAAGAGCTGTCACTTATCAACATGGCAGCGCAACCGGGCCGAAGCTACACAGAGAGAAAAGAATAAGTTTCACGCAGATTGAGGTAGAATTAGCGGCCACCCAAAACCAACGCCATCATGTTGAAACGAACTACTAGTAGTACTGGCAAACCGTTACCTTTCTTGCCAAAACAGTCCCCCCAGCGCCGTCGATTTGCTAGACATCTTTTTTGGCACTGCTATTTCCATGAAAACTGGCGCTTGTTTTTTAAGACCTGTTTATTACTTTCCGAAGCTACACTGTCTTGGTAGCTCTTCCCTTGGCGCTCGCTCGCGTCGGTCTTGTTTGATTTTTCCCTCACTTGATAATGATGGAGACTTATTTTAAAATGAAAGGAGACCTATGCGGGCGGCGCCACACCTAAATGAGCTGACTGCCCTAGTACTACTATGATGCACGCCAAAGAAAGAAAGAAAAAAGGTGTCAGAGGTGAGAAACCCCCCCACAACTTCAACCCATGGGCCAGTCTTGATGCAGGATTGGTTTGCTTTATCCCCGGTTTTCTCTATCACCCCCCCTGATCCGGTCCACGAACCAGAGACTCGGGTCACTGATTTCAGGTCACTGAAGAAGAAGAAGAAAAATTAGTGTGCGGGAGGAATAAGCCGATCGGAGTGTTTTTTTTTTTTTTTTTGGGTTAATCTTCCTCATATCATATCATGACCATCTAGATTTACGGTGCAGGTTGCGATTAGTCCAGCCCTCATTGATCCACGATGACAAGAGTCTGGAACCGTCTTGTCCTTACATCCGCCAGAACTGGCCAGTAGCAACAAGGTATCAGTTTCAAGGATCAGCGCCGTTTCCTGCCATTATGATTACTCACTTCCAAACTTGTCTATTCGTTCGTCTTGAAGGGGGGGTCTGGGTTTGCCGATCCGGCCCTGACGGCAACGAGGTACGGAGATACTACTGTATAGCTCCAGAGAAATTAAGATGAGAGGCTTGCTTTTTGTTTCTTTATTTTATGTTATTATTATTTTTAACTCAGCTCTCGAGTTTTCATGTACTGTGTAGTACTATTATGTATGTGTATCAGGTTTAATCTTGGGAGCTATCCACCAAACTTGGATAGGCTGGCCTCATGAATAACCCGAACCCATGAACGAAAACGATAACCCGACGACACGGAAACTGCGACGATCATTTCGCGGGAACGAAGACCATTGAGTATAAGATTGACAGCAGGCTGAGCTAATAACCTGGGGGCCTACCTACCCAGAAACCGAACTCGACCTTAAGACTACTTCTGTTGCGTCTCGATATATACATAGTATGGCGACTTCTTACCTGTTGCAGAATTGTTGGCAACCTGCGAGCAACAGAATTGTTCGCTCGCAACTTGTCATATCCTGGCTCTAACAGCTCGACCTGGCCATGATGAAGTGGCTGCAATATCTTATTCAGTAGTGCGTCTACTCACAGATTGGCACTTCCTTTCTGGGATGTCGAGCCTGGTCTTTTGGCGTCCATGGCATGCAGCTGTACCGGAGTCCAGCTGAGCCTGAGACCTCGGACGCCCGCCCCAACCAGGGGGGTGGTTGAACTGCCAAGATGTCCATGTGTAGAGTAATGATTATACTACTCCAATACGCCGGGCCCGTTTTCTCCAAAAACTTGCTACGTACTTGTTCATGGGATCCCCAACACCATAGCGTGAGCGCCACCTTTGCAAAGTAGTGGCATTCAAGTCCAGAGTCTAGACGATTGTTGTAGAGGTTCCACTAGATGATGGAGAAAACTAAGTCGACCTCGCTTCGGTCTTCTCACCTTTTGGTAGGAGATGACCGGGCTGGATAGTTCAGCCGCGTCAAGATGTTAAAGGGCCTTGGCAAAGACGCGGGAGATTGCCTCCAACACGCCTAGCCACCGTTTTTTCGTTTATTCTCTACACAGCACGTCCCCGTCTTCTTGTGCGGAAATATATGCCTTCTCGGATAGCTAGCAGCCTTGGAGGGTTCACCCCCATCCTCCCAAGAGGCCGGCTGACATTGACCATGGAGATTTCTTCGGACTATACTTCCAACCTCGTATACACTACGCACATGTGGGCTCCCTTTCTTTTCGTGGAGGAGGAGCGGACCTTTGGTGGAGACTGAAGAAAACTACTACGGAATACACGCAACCGACCTCCATACCATCCTTGCTCCGGACGGCTCACAATCATTTTTTTCTCTCGTTACGCGGACGATGGATAAAGTTGTCGTACTCCTTGTTATATGGAGACTCCCCTCCTACCCTCTTTCCGAAACGAAGCACCGATTTTCGGTCCGTCGGCAAGTCGCATATATAGTAATAAAATACGGGGATATATAGCAGTAGTCAAGTAAGCGGTACAGGGTTCTCTGCTATCGGAAAGTGCGAGATGATACAATAATCCATGATGATGGAATATACACAGTAAATCCACACAGACGCATACTATGTCATGTATAAAAACACGCAAGGATGTTGGAGGACAATATCGTATGTCTACCGTTAACAGAGTACGTAGCCATCAACACTGCTGCGTGTTCCCAGCCAATTGATATGTTTGATATGTAATGAGGCGTGGCGTGGCGTGGCGTGGCGTGGCGACTTGGGTACTCAAGACTTCAAGTTTGTTCTCAAACTTTTTTCCCTCAGAGGAAGCAGTGTTATCATATTGTAAAAGCCATTTGCCTCGTCTAGGTGTTACGAAGCCTCGTCTAATTGTGGGACAAAAGTATTGGCTTGCATCTTATACATATTTCCTGCTTTCAACATGCTTGATCTGTTGGCCATGCCTAGTTTGATGGGATTTCCCAGCAGTTTCCGGAAGCAGGTTCATCAGACCTCAGTGCCCAGCTTTGAGAATTATTGATCCTAGGTAGCCAAACAGATTTTTGACTTGCTTGTTTCCAAGACTTTCTACTCCCTATATTCACTTTTACCCTCGGATCTTCCAACAAGTCGAGTTTCATCGGTTCAAAACTTTTGATGTCGTTTTTCATGACAGTCTTGATAAAAATGATACAAGCTTGGTCTACGATCGAGCACACCGGACATTAAGACACTGAATATTCAGTGAGCTTGTCGAGAATGAGATAAATAGCCTCTTATCTAATTTTGATAAAGCCAGAATGTATTCAAAATCACGACATTTTCCATTGGCTCAAGAGCTTAATAGATGATCCGGATGTGTGCTTACATGGTATAGTTTTCATAACAATCTGTATGAGTGGCATTCGTCTAGCGGGGGATTCAGCCGCCTCTTCAGCTTCTTTTCATACCCATCATAAGAGCCACAGAATATATTAGAACGGTGTGAAGCACTTTGTCCATTTTTAATACTGGAGATGCTGTTCCTCTTCGGAGGAAATAGATCTCATGAGAGTGAACAATGTCGGATTGCATGATGCACATTGCATTATTTGAAAAGATGCATACCTGTGCAATATTGAAATGGACCTTGTTTTGACAAACAAGGCCAAGAACAAGTTACTCCTTCCATGGCATCTAGTTCCTCGCATCGTAGTCTATACACACGTGTTGGCATCCTCCCTACTGGCACCGAGACTTATGGAACGGGCCTCGTCGCAAACGCAGCCTTTTCCAAAGTTGTGCAAGCCAGCATCATTTGTCTGCACCGCAGAGCTCAGGCCGCGAAACCATATCAGCCTACAAGGAAGGGATTAAAAATAGACCCATGCGAGCTGAAAAGGTCAGAGTGGTCGCCACGCTGCATATTGGCATGGACTATATGCGCCTCAAGATGCAGCCCTTTCCACGTCCGTCCACATGATGCACATGATGACTTGTTCGGCCTACAAATGATTGTCAGTGTTCTAGACCTGATCTTCCCATTCCCTAGGGGGGAGACACATGGCAAGAACGAGGGGTTGGTGTGACCTAGTCTATTTACCCGTCCGTTGTAGGGGAGAGCTGAGAGTGAGAGTGACAAGAAGGGCTGCAACCCCCCCGGCAAGGTCTAGAGTGAGGGGTCTCAAAATCCATCATATACGGGTGCGAACATCCGAGTAGGGCAGGGTCTTGGACGCGTATCAGAGAGCGTTCAACTTGCACGTTCTAGAAATGGCCTGCCCATCGACAAGCCGACTCTCGTGGGCGAGTACCGAGCGCACGGTACAGACCCTGGGTTGCCTTGCATGACAAGAAACGCCTGGCCCAAGAAGCAAGTCCAAGAGACCCGCAAATAGATAGGGGCCCTGTGACTGTGTAGTCAAGCTGCCCAACAAGAGACATTAAGGATAAAGAGATATATTCATAATTCAGATACAGATTGCCCGAAATCAGACAGCAACAATAGATGTAATCAATACATAATTACCATACATACAGCCGTGAGATCCCGTGACCAAGATATAAGAAAATAGGAAAAAGTAAGGAAAAAAAGCATCAGGAGTAGGTATTGTTCGCCTCTCTTCGCCGATAGTCAATAAGCAAGTCCACCCAACCCACGAAACTCCTCAGCCATGCAGATTGCTAGAATGGAAGCCGTACTTTCCATCTTACGATAGCAATGGAGAATGCGGTGGCGGCGAAGGGGCCGCTGACGACCAGGCTACCGGTGACTGTCCTGGTGACCAAGGTACAGGTGACTGGCCTGATGACCAGGCAGCTGGTGATTGTGCTGTTGCAGCTGACCAGGCAGGCGATGATGCTCTGGCCGGTATATCCAGCGAGCCAATAAAGCGAGTGAGCGCATCTTGTCGATTCTGCACCAGTGCTTGGGCTGCTGCAGTGTCACCATCCTCCAAGTGCCACTGCTCGAGGAGTTTCGAGTCCTCCCATATCTCCCTTAGTGCTCCACCACTCAGCCCTCCAAAAGTTGCGTGGGGGGCCAAATCCAAGGCCTGTTGCATATACTGCTTTGCATAACCATACCGGGGGTTGGCTGCGGCCATTGCTGGTGATTCAGGTCGGCATCGGCCCATGTGGTAGTAAGCCAGCGCGCGTAATGATAACCGCCTTGAGTTGAGATCTGTTTCTGACTTGTAAAGTTCTGTCGCTAGAGACAGACACCGCTCGTCTTTCCAGCCCGTCTCTAGGCCAATCGTGAATAATTCGTGGAACCGGAAGAGGGGGTTTTCTGGCTCCAAAACGTCCTTGGCGCGTGGAAGCGACTGGGATTCAATCGCTAATGTGAACCTCCGTACCGGCTGTATGTGGTAGTGGTGACGCGATTTGCTGTTTACCACACCCTGTAAGAATAGTTGCATGTTCTTCTTCGTACCCTGAACTACCATCAAAGGGTAGATGACCCCGACCTGTTCTGCCAAGAATTCAAGGCACGTTTCGATTGGGTAGTTTTCAAAGAATTCGTGCAATGCCTTGAAGACGTTATGTAACCATTCCAAAGGTCCTTTTCCGGTCGCTGCATAATCCGCCAAGAACTTCCAGATGAGCGTTTGGTGACCGTACTGAAGGACACCCATTTGGAACATGAGCAGATCACAGAGGGCCCAGGGATTTGGATCCTCGACCAAGACATGAAGATGGTCAAAGGCTCGACGCACGAGCACGCCACCCTCCCTGGTCCGGTCTTCCTTGAAAAGCCACGCGGCATCGCGAAGGTTCCTGATTGTAAAGTAGAGATCTGTTGTGGGGTAGTTGGTGTAGGCAGCAAGAGCAGAGTCCTTGTCAAGGACAGAGTCGGCACGAGCTCCCAGATGGCGGAAACACTTGAACAATAGGTCCCTAACATTGTAATAACCCAATGGTTGAATATAGTCGGGCTTTGGGTTGGCGCTTTGCGGTGGCGGTGTCCGCGACCTGACATAGCTTGGTAGATTCTCCTCCTCAGCGGCCTCGAGGAGGTCTTCGGGGGACAGCTTTGCCCTCTTGATATATGATTCGAGATTGACGACCTTACCATTGCGGTAATAGACGGTCGACTTACCAGCAACTTTGCGCTGCTTTTGATGACTGACAATTTTTGCCACGTCTTTCTTGCGGTTATTCTTGTTGAAACCCCATTTGGCGAACTTGTCCTTGTACATCTTCTCGCTGGTAGGATGTGTCAGTATTTGGGATGGAGTTCTTGTCATGCAGCGACGGGGCCGAATTGAAAACAAGCCAGGCCAGTGCGCATATTTCAATGCACTTACGTTGCGACGAAGCCTTTCCGCATCATGATTTCGCGGACTTCCTTGAGAGGCAATTCTTCGTCGATGTAAAGGTGGCGAATCTCCTGTTTGAGACTCTCCCAGAGGCCGGGTGGATGCTGGCCGCGAAACTTGGCTGGTGCAGCCAGCGTCACCGAGCGTGGCATGGCAGCATTGTCGCCCGCGGCCACTGGGCTGGGGCTTGTGGTGGTGAAGGTGGTGACAGGTGAGCTGCCATCGGCCTCGCCAGCGCCAGGATCGGACTTGGGCGACTTGACAGTAGCATCTTGTTCGATTGACGGCCAGACGGGGATGATGGTAGCCTGCTGTTCCACCTTGATGGTTGGGTATCGCTCAGCGGCCATGACCTCTAAAAAACAATTACAGTCCCAGCCTACACGGCCAACCGCCGGTAGTGAGACATGAGCACCGCAAAGGCGTCCTAATATGAGTGCAGCAGTTGAGTCGCGACGATTTGGTGGCCGTTCAGCGTTGTAGGTGTTTTGCGCCGAGGGATGGGTTGAGGATTTGGTGATGATTTGGATGGAGCTGAATGAATTGTCGTCGGTCGCGCGGCTGCGGCCTCCGTCCGAGGGGTGAGAATGTGACTCGCGCACCCGTGGCGTCGGTCGCCAGCTAGCCTGGTTTTTTTTCTCTGGTTTGGGGGGGAAAGAAGAGGGCCCTGGCATTTGGATCCCTGCTCCCTGACCGCGACCGTGACCAGGTAACATGCGCTTAAATTGATGTACCGGATCGATCTATCATCTCATCAGTGTCGCACGGCTATAGTGCATATTTATGACCTGTCTATTCTTGTAACCAATCAACCAAACCGACGACTCCCGGCCCCCCTTCCAAAAAAGAGATCCAGAGTGACGACCAGAGAATACTGGTAATGCGGGAATCCCAAGTTGTATACCTGGACAAAACGGGATATGGCAGACTATTCTATTGGTAAGATGGCATTTGCGCGCGCGCGCACAGGATTAGCACCTGTATTGAACCATACGATCAAATGTGGAGGATGATGGTGTTGGAATCTAGTACATCCCTGCGTTGCGACAGACCTCGTCGAGTGAGGGTCGGGTTGGTCCAAGACCTCCTTTAACCTACCTTGCCTATCTACATACCACCTTACATACACGAGATATCTGCGTACCTAGTAGTAGTTGTGGCTTGTGCTGCCGTTCGTCGTCACCGTCGGCACCGGGTGGTTGAGCTAAGCCGTGCCGCGTTTGGGGGTGGAAAAGCGAGAGACAGAGTGAGAGAGAGGCCAAGGAGACCAAGTAGACCTCACCATCTGCCAAACAGGTAACGTTGAGAGGGCCAAGATGGCATTACCCGCTTGCCCCTGTGTTACAGACGTGGCGATTGCGTCTATCCCTACTGTATGCAGCATTCGCACTAGGTATCTTTTTTTTTTTTTTTTTTTCGACTTATTATTTGCACTCGGTGACACTTTGTAGTCCAAACCGGAGATGGACGATTTATGCGTCAGTTCCAAACAGGCATGGCACAGGCTGCTAATCGTCAGTAGTCAGGTCCAACACTCCCGGAATGCCATAGCTTGCGTGTAGCTGGATGACACCAAGCCTAGGGGAATGCAGGCACATTGAATTTAAATAAGAGCCCGGCGAAAGCCCAGGCAATTTCCTTTGGCAGCCAACGATGCAGCTCGTGGTGACCGCGCCCTGGCAGTAAGCATACTTTCCATGAGTCGTTGTCTCAGCTTTAACGTGATCCCGACGGCGGCACACCGGAGCACGTCCAATCACGACAAACACATCACACATAGCAGATGATGGCTCATGTTGTTTGTTATTGCTTGCAGTTGAGCTGATTGTGGACGGAGGCAAGGAGGCCACAAGGAGAAGGAAAATACGAAAAAGTAAGAACAAACACAATGCCCGTTCCATCTAACCCACCGGTATTCATTCCCAGTATGCTCTCTCCCATGACGTGCATAAACAAGGAGCCGATCACCTTGCTTGAGATACCATAGTATATCTGGGCACGCAGCACCAAGCCAGGGCGTTTGAACGGCGCAGAATACGGGGGAAATCTCTCCGAGCTCAGCCTGCCACTCTCGAGAACCCTGTCTGATAGATAGGTGTTTGAAGGCGCCATTTGGAGAATGTCTCACAGGTAGATGGAACAAGGACTTTCTTTGCGGAAAACGGCGCACCCTTTCTCCTATCTTTTGCCTATCGATATGGAAGACAAGGTATTCCGTAGTGAAATATATCGGAACTGACGACAACAGCGACAGCGACAAAGGATTGAAACAGCATACGTAAAGTCCTATCCATCCTAGTACTACACTACTACGTAATTTTGCACATGCACAATGGGCACACATACATGGGATGCATGCATAGTAGCATACCACCTTGGACCAAATACCGAAGAACATGTCCAGGTACAGAGTATTCCAGACTGCCGGCAGTTCAGAGAATACCTAGGTAGGTATCCAGATCGATCGGGAGCCATCTGTGATCCATTCGCAATTTACCAGAAAAGAAGGGTCCAGAGACTACGTACTGTGTATTGCCTATGGCCACTCAGCCGTCTATCCGCTGGCATTAGTGACCCACCTCATCTCTGTTGTCCTTCCTGGTCTTTTCCACTGCAGCTCCCCCCCTCTTATCGTCCAAGCATCCCCTCTCTCCCCAGCTTCTAGCACACTCGGATGAACCCCGCACGCACACGTCCCAGCAGTTCCAATGGTTGGGTTTTTTGGTTTCTTTCCCTTCGCTGGACTGATCAATTATTCCGTACTATTCCCCGCCCCAAGGCAATCATAAGCTGTCAGGGTGCCAGTGCTGCCACCTACACAGTACATTAGACTCAAGACCGCTGCAACTGGCAGGCTGGCAGGCGGGTGTTCAGTGCAGGTGCCAGAATAGGACCCCTACCGATGCACTGCAGATTCTCAGTTAGTGTAAGCTCAGAGGGACCCCGAACCCCTGGCAACTAGACCACCATCTTCAGTTTATTCTCGAAGTTTCCCTCTGACAAATGGAGCGCCGCAAGCTTTCCGGCAACACCGCCCGACGTGTCTGCCCACCATCGCCGCCGCCGCCGCCGCCGTGTCTGACGGCAAGGCTGAACGAACGTGAATGGAGCTCTTGCAATCATGCGGTTGAAACAAGCCGCGACAGTCTCGAGACTGACATAATCACTGCATCCTTTTTGTTCTCTGGTGTTGATCTGTGTTATTGCTTAGACCTGTGATACCCCGCCATTGCCCTTGCATCGCCATTAGCTTCTTCGTGCGGCCTTCGAGACACGCAGTATTGGCAGTACCACCTGTTTGGGCACCTCCAAACAAAGAATCCACCTTGCGCACGCCGCAAGAGGCACTGGTCTGGCCTGACAATACCCAGTTCGACTTACCAAAGCGAGTTTGAATCCAAGGCTCTTTCGGCGCGCCTCGCGTACCTCGAACAGGCTCAAAGAAGCAAACGACGATTGCTTCATCAGGCCGTCATGCAACGCAATAGAGATCCCGAATGGGCCACCTCCCTTAAGAACGAGGGCAACAAGCTGTTCACAGCAGGTGACTACGTCGGCGCCGAAGGTCTCTACTCGAAGGCGTAGGTTCTGACTATTCAACAAGCCCCCCTCGATGGTGCTGCTCTGCCCACTCTCTATCGAGGTACTCGTACTGATCAGTGTCTTTCCCTATGTAGCATTCTTGCGGACAGCCAGAACCCAGCCATCTACACCAACCGTGCTCTCGCGAGGCTGAAACTGCAGTTATGGGATTCAACCATTGCCGATTGCCTGACATGTCTGCAGCTAAATAGCGAATCGATGAAGGCCCATTACTATCTAGCTCAGGCACAGGTCGAACTAGGGAACTATGACGAAGCCCTGCCCACAGCCTTGAAAGCACACGCCTTGTGTGTTGCAACCAACGATAAATCGCTTGGCCAGGTAACTGCGCTTGTTCTGCGATGCAAGAAAGAGAGATGGGAACACATGGAGAAGCGGCGGAAGCGTGAGAACCAGGCCCTGGAGAAGGAATTGCTACAAAATTTGGCCAGCGCACAAGAGGAGATGCTCCAGACAGTAGACTGCGATGGCGACCGGCAGCAAATCCGCCAAGAATTCGACGAGAAGTTTCTCATGCTAAAGAAGACATTTGATCGTGCACGAGACAATGAGCACAAGAAGAGAGTAGTGCCCGACTGGATGATCGATGAGATCAGCTTTAACATCTTTGTTGATCCGGTGGTTGTAAGTCATCTCAGGATGGATCCCGTTCCAGCCAGCCAATCTCAACCCTTCCATGCTGACCCAACGTTGTCATAGACCAAGACTGGCAAAAGCTACGAACGATCATCAATCCTCGAGCACCTCCGGCGTTCACCCACCGATCCTCTCACCCGTGAGACTCTACAGCCGTGGGACCTACGCCCTAATCTTGCGCTCAAGCAGGCGTGCGAAGAATTCCTGGTCGAGAATGGCTGGGCTGCTGATTGGTAGTAGTCCCTCGATAGCCACCTCAATTCTACTGAGCTCTACGTCGCATATTACTTCTAGTCATCATGATCGACTGTTTGAGATACCCAGTATTCATCGAGCCGGATTCTGGTACCTTTTTTTTTCTTTCTGTTTTCCTGCACCTTGAGCATGTTGAGGGAATGTATATATTGCATCGGATGGAGTTCAGGCATCGCACTCTGGATCAATTAAACTAAACAGCGTCTGTAAAATCAGGAATATGAAATACGAGATCATTTCTTTAAATTGGGTTTTGGAGAATTATCGTGATCGTGACTAGTATGGCATAGTGATACGGACATTCCAGAAGCACTCTGACGGATAGGCATCGCACACTTGATTGGCTTCATAAGCTACCACTACAAACTCGACTATTCCCGCATGTCTGCAGGGCCGCATAATCGACAGCTGACTAATCTCGGTTCTTGGAACATATAAGTCCACAAGAACGCCGATTTCCTGTTGATTTCAGTCTTGGAGATTCGAACAATGGTAGTTGTCGCGACAAATAAACGAGATTTGTCCCAGTCGATGGATACCTGCTTGACTCCCTTAGACTGGCTTATGCCTCAAGTATACGTCAGCCAGATTTTATGCTTCCGAACCAACAACCATCACGCCTTCGAAGTCCTGAGGGACGGCCTGCGCGGAATAGTTCAGGATGTTCCGTATCTACTAGGCGGAGTGGCGGGCCAGGTGACCCCAAGAGGGTCGATACAACTGGTGGAACCATATCAGACTGTCGATGACCTGCTATCGACAGAGGATCTCTCGGAGTCGCTAGATTACGCTTCACTCCAAGCAAGTCATTTCCCACCCTCGTCGCTCAGTGATCCCGCCATCAGACCGCCGGGTACGACGCCCCCATACCCAACACCGGCGCCCGTGCTGCGTGCTCGGTTATCACTAGTCAAAGGCGGCGCTCTCTTGTGTGTCGCGGTGCATCATGGCACAACGGACATTACCGGCATCGGTGCCTTGCTCAAGCTCTGGGCTGCGCATTGTCGGGCAAGGTCTTCAGCTGCTGTGCAGTTTGACCGATCTTGCTATGACCGCAGTGAATTGTTTCGAGCGGCAGTGACAGACCCAAACAACTCAGGCCCCCTCGTTACCCCCGAGCTCGTCCATGTTCTCGATGGGCTCGAGCAGCCAAAGGCGAAGATAGATGGAGCGGTCTATGTGACTAGGATCTTGCATTTCTCTCAAGCTCTCTTGCAGGACTTGAAGACGATTGTGAATGAGCATGTGCGTTCCGTGCAAGGCCCCATTAAATGGGTCTCGACCAGCGATGTCCTTACCGCCATCTTGTGGAGTGCCACGGTTTGGATGAAGGGCAGCAGTGATGCCCATGATGATGAGTTGGCGGACAAGTCGAAAGTACTCTGCACAATAGGCATTCCAGTCAATTTCCGCACACATCTCAATCCGGCACTGCCTCCAAACTACCTCGGCGCGGCCTTTGCCATGACTACGGCTTCTGCGACCCGCGCAGACCTTTGCGTGGCATCAACAGAAACCTGTTCGACGGATTCTGCTTCATTGAGCCAAGACTCCGTGTCGAGCTTGGCAAGAATCGCCACAGCCATTCGCACCTCCCTGGGCCGGGTGAATGATGCCAGCGTCAAAGATGTACTGCGCTTCGTGGCAGCTCAGCCAGACACTACGCGCATCAAGCTGGGACCTCGCCACAATGGCATCTCGCTCGTGTCGTGGGCAGACCAAGGCGTCTACGAGCTAGATTGGGGCCATGCCCTGGGACGCTGCGACGCCGTGAGACTACCCCGGATGGCAAACAAGCGGGACCCCATTGTGCTACCGCGCGTTCCGGAGATGCAAGGCGTGCCAGCGGGTCTCGAGGTGATTGCTAGCTATGAAATGGAGGCAATGGAGCGGTTTTGTCGGAATCCATTAATTCAACGCTTTGCATCTGTCAGATGTTGAAACGAGGGCTGCTTGGGATGCAGTACCATCAATGATGGTGCCCTGGATACTTCAATATGATCATATTTTTGGCAAATACATACTCTTTGCAAGATTCATCAGATCACGTGTATACAACGCCCAGGAAGTGTAATCTGGGCCGAAACTGTTGCCAATGTATATACTGCTCGAGCCAGAGGATCGTAGAAAATTGGCATCCATGGTATCATCAGTCCGCGCTACTCAAATGGTGATTCACAGAGTCTCAGACATCTGCAGGGTCCTTCAAATAGATCCAAAGGTTGTTTCTCTGGTGATTGGACCTGTTCCATCTCAGCTGTCAAATCGGCCGTAGAGATGGGAGCAACTCTTGTACCGAGACATGACTGGTCAATCATATATTGTGTGTGATTCGGCAACTATCGAAGTATAATTGTATTGCATGACGTCATTGTGTAGTCCATTGTATCTCCAGATAGTGGTGAATAGTTGCTAGAATGGTGAAATGAGATTGAGGGTAAAAAGATAAATCGTAATATGCGAGTTCGCAATGTTCGTTGTGTCCGTTTGGGACTGCAGAGCACAGCCAAAGGCTAGAATGACATTGATAGATCAATTCGAAAAGTAATATTGCAGGTGTCAAAAATGAAGAGGTTATGTGTAAAGTATAACTGCGACAGAACTCGGTTTTGGCTTGGGTCTCACACAGCCATCGGCCGGCAGGAACAGAGTTGACAATAGATCGGGTGTCGTTGAATAAGTCATGATTGCCGGCCATTCCCTCAGCTGCAGGGACCTTGTTATTGACTGACGAAAATCTTGCACTATCCACGAATGACCCAAAATATGCATACACAAGAAGCTGTGTGCTGCGTGATTCTTGAAATATGAAAGGCCTGATATACGTACTTATGTAGCCTTCTTCCAAGCCATAGTAGAAAGCACCCAAATCAACCTGATTATTCTACCGCTCAGATACTTCGAAAGCACAAATTTAACTGCGAGACTTCGGATACTGACCTATAGCTCCCCTCTCTCAACTAAGTTTTTCTGTTTCCGGAAAACAAAGATACGAGATGATCCATTCGGGATCCAGGAGGATGCATCTCACCTGGATCCTACTCGATTACGAGCAGGGGGCGGAGGCTGCCCTACCATCGGGGCCAACTCGGCTGACCTCACTCGGGAGAGGGCTGAATAAGATGGGGCCAATATGGACTCGTGTTGTCTATACAAAATATCGCTGATATTATTTGGGGGCTTGATGCGGTGTCACTTCAAGTAGGCTGTTGTCTATACAAAATATTGCTGACATTATTTGGGGGCTTGATGCGGTGTCACTTCAAGTAGGCTATTGGTGGGCGTCAGCAGCAGGACTTTGCGTGGTGGGCATGTAAGGAAGAGGCGTGGTCAGCGTGTTCAGCCTGACAATCTTAAGTATGTATACCAACAAAAAGTCCCCTACGTCTGAGACAGGGTTCCTTTGCAGGACTGAATGTCTCCTGTGAGGGTAAAAGGTCGAATACTGGCAACTTTATATGTCTCTATTTTCCTCTCCTTATCTTGCCTTCCTGTCTGCATCCGCCAGCCGACAGCGGTACTCGTTCAGCGATTTGGTAAATATGGGTTATACATCGATCGTCTCGGGAATTCTTATGAGCCTTGCTCTGCAAGGCACACAGGCTGCTTCCATACCAAGAGATGAGATCTTGAATAGGGCGTCGTTACTAGACCCATACACGTTGCCATCAAAGGCGACCGACTCGTTTGCTCGCTCTTTGGCCATCACCCTGAAGCAAAGCGGCTACACGTACGGTCCTCCGGTCGCAGGTGGACCATACTTTCCAACGGGCGTCCTAGGTTTAGTCAGGGTGGCAGCGGATGGAGTTGCGATTTCGGCCGACCTCGCACCCGTCACAGCTGCCGCTGGACTGGACAGTGCCGAGAGCCTTGCATCGGCAGCGGAATATAATGGCCTGCAAACGTTGCATGACTATACGCTACTCTACGATGGCCACTGGAAAGACACGCTACCCTCTGGGCCGGTGCCAGGAATTCTGACCAACTACACCCAGGACCTACTCTTTTCAATGGAGCGTCTGTCACTGAGTCCCTATCAAGTAAAGAGGCTCAATCCAACCTCAGACGAGCTACAGTTCAGCATTGATGATGCGGTCGCTCAGAATATCACTGGTTTGACGCTGCAAGGGCTCTTCAGCGACGGACGACTGTTTTACGCCGACTACAGAGACCAGAAGGACTTGACCAGGACAGAACGCTACGCTGCTGCTTGTGATGCCTACTTCTACATTGATCAAACGTCTGGAGACTTTTTGCCCCTGGCTATCCGGACAAATGTGGGCGAGAACCTGATCTATACCCCGAATGACGAGCCCAATGACTGGCTTCTTGCCAAGATCATGTACAACGTCAATGACTTTTGGTTTGCTCAGTGGAACCATTTGGCCAGCACGCATGAAGTTGTCCAGATCACCTATCTGGCCGCCATTAGGACGCTGAGTGACGATCATCCCGTCCTGGCCATTCTCGACCGTATCACTTACGAGGTAAAGAAACCCCCAATGACATTCACTACTTTCAGACGCATGCTCACTTCCATAGGTCTTTGCGATTCAGCCACTGGCTGCCAGCTTGTTGTTCAATGCGGGAGGCGCTGCTGATGAACTGTTTCCATTTACTGGCACAGAGGCTCAGGATTACTCAACTAAACGATACTCAGAGGACGGCAGCGGTCGTTTTGAGGCCAACTATTTGGAAACCGACCTTGAGTCTCGTGGACTCTTGAACAGCCAGTTTGGACCAGCACTCAAGCACTTTCCATTTTACGAAGATGCTTCTGTCATCCACGACGCCATTCACGCATTCATGACTTCATTTGTAGATTCCTATTACCAAAAGGACTCTGATGTGACTGGGGACACGGAACTGCAAGCCTGGGTGACTGAGGCACAAGGCCCAGCGGAGGCCATCGACTTCCCCACGATTCAGAGCAAGTCTGCACTGATTGATGCTCTGACACATATGGTAAGTTACAATTATTTGCGCCATGTCCCTTGCCTCGTAATAATCCTATCTGACCCATGTTACTCATTCAGGCTCATCTCGTCTCGGCGGCCCACCATACCATCAACACCAACGAGCTCCTCTCGGCCAGCTCAACACTGCCCTTTCACACGCCCTCGCTATACCAAGCGCCGCCGGCATCCAAGGGATCCGTGGACAATGTGGCCACATTCCTCCCAAAGTTGGACAAGGTAGAGACGCAGCTTGGGTTCGCGGCGCTGTTTGCGCGTGAGGGCTTTGCCGGCACCAACCGCACTCTGTCGCACATGTTTGACGACAACGACATGCTGGATCGCATGGATGATGATGTTCGGGCAGCCGCCGCTACCTTTTACGACAGCATGCAAGAGCTCAGCGCCCAAGTATCCTCGCGGACATTTACAGCGGATGGGCTGAGCCAGGGCATGCCGTTTGTTTGGAAGGCTTTGGACCCAAATGTCGCCCCTTTCTCGTTGACTGTCTAAGATATTTCTTCATGGTAGATTAGAATTAAGAATAATAATTTTGGTAATATGTTTATCAAACAACATGAAGTTGATGTTTACCGATGCACTGGTGATTCCTATCGGGTTCCTATATGACATATATATTTGAGACCTTGCTATATCGCTAGGGAAGTATTACAGGTAGGTTTGCTTCATGTACTGTGATTGTTGTAAATTATATCATTAAAAGGATTACGTTACTCCAGCTCTTTCGTGGTAATGTATTGCTTCTTGTCCTGTTGTGAATGGCGTTCGCACGCACGAAGATTTTGCGGATGTCTCTGGGAATGACAGACCATACGCCTGGCTATCAATTCTTTCTGCACAAGTGGCTGCAGACATGAAATCCATATCAGGTGGCCCAATGTCCATTGATATCACAGAAAGAGTTACTCGTGTGGAAATAATTTTTAACGCTCATCTGAAGTTGATCAATGGAGGGTTATTTATAACCCTTCATCAAAGAAATGATCGCTCAAAACCTGAAACAGCGATGATTCACGCGGCATACTCCATACCGACAATGAATCAATCCATATTCGAGTTAGGCAATTTGCGTTATTCATAGTCTGTCCTTCTCATCATCGACGCCCGTGGAGGGTCAACAACTGAGAACATCATAACGCCACCATGGCTCTGAAAATACATACCGCTCTATATAAATATCAGTATTTCCCCCAAAAAGAACGATGATTTGACCCACTGAATCTCTTGACTTCAGCCTCCTCCCAACCCATACCAGCATATTTCGGTGAACAAAGATGGCCTTTCTCAAGAATCTCTTTCGCTGCAAACTCTGCAAAAGCAGAAAACATGAGCTCGAAGCAAGAAACACAGCAAACAGTAGAGTTACGCAAGAGCTCCAACCATTGCCTACAGACATTACCAATCCGGTTCAACCCTCTCCTCCATACGATGCAACGCCACTATCCGCCACCGAAATCGCCGAGGCTTACCGCCGCAAGGTCGATTTGGAGATGACACCCCCCGAGCCTACCTGGAAGCGCCTACCCCTGGACAAGAAGCTGGAAGAGGAGAGGAACCCCGGTTATCGAGCCGACACCTGGTATCACGTCCACATTGGCGAGGTCATCAACGAGAGGTATCAGGTATGCACCAAACTTGGCTGGGGCGACACTTCGACAGTCTGGCTGGCCAAGGACTTGCGGTATGACATTTACCTTTTTATCCCATGAGTAAAAGAATGAACAAAAGTTGACTCTTTGGATTACTTTCTCCCGGGGCAGAAACGCACGCTACGTAAGCCTCAAAGTCTGCGCCAACCCTAATGACCAGCGCCTGCGCGAGCTCGACTTTCTTCTGCATATTACACGGCTCTACTCTGACCATCCGGGTGCACAAAGCGTCGCCACGCTGCTCGATCACTTCCGCGTCCACCGCCGAGGCTACGCCTACCTGTGCCTGGTGACCAATGTGTTGGGCCCCAGCCTGGCTGTTCGCGTCCGTCCCGAGGTCCGTCAGCTTGAGATTGACTGGCTCAAGGAGCAGCTCTATCGCCTCTTGCAGGCAGTGGATTTCTTGCACTCTGAGGCACACATTGTACATGGAGGTGAGATTCTTCACTTCTTCTTGAAACCACTTCATAGAACTCGAGCTAAAAACTCTTTTCAGATATATGGCCCCCCAATGTCCTCTGCGCCATCCCGGACCGACGCGTCCTCCAGGCCCTCGACGACCTCGAGGCGACGCAGCCCAGTAACCGTAAACTAGACGGCGGCCGGGTGATTTACGAGTCGCGGGCGGTACAGCTCACGGGAGAAGAGGAGCCGTCCTTGTTGACTGCGCGGGCGCCGCCCGTGCTCATTGACTTTGGCAACTCGCGCCTCAGCCCCGACGCCTTTGACCTCGAGCATATGCGCTTCCTGCGCGAGAGCGATAATATGCGCGCCGACGAGCCGTACCAACCCGAACGGGATATTCAGTGGATTGGTCGATTGGTGAGTCTTGTACTATTGACCAGAAGTCTTTTTAGCTTCTGCATTTTGTTTGGTGAGCTTGACAATTGGGAATTTGTCCACGAGCAAAACTAGAAAATTACGTTTGCTAATACTAGATTATTAACAGTTCGTCGGTCTGTTGGAAGGTCGAGCCTTATACAAGAAGAACATGGCAAAGGAGGGCGATTGTACCAAGAACAAGGATTTGGAAGGCGAACTCAAGGGCGAAGAAAGCGACCTGCGAGCGCTCGTCTGGAGGATGAAGAACATTACGGTACCAAAAGAGAAACCGGCGAGCGCCGCAGATGAGGAGGCCAAAGAGGAAAAAGACATTGGCCCCGTCCTGACTGTGAAAGGGCTTCTTCGAGACCAGATCTTTCTGAGCGCGTCTTTTCATCATAGTTGGTAAAGGAACTGGGAAAAAATTTAGATCCATGAGGGACCATTCAATGAGGTATCCTCATGTCTTCATCATTGCCATTAGAATAGCTGACTCGGAACTGCCAGGTAGAAAAACGTAAGGAGAATTTGTTCGCATTCATATCAAGTCATCTGCAGAGTAATAAACCTCGGAGCCCATCGAACCTGGGCCATCTGCCCCCTAGAAAAGACGGAACAAGATCTAAAAGCCAGCAAAAATGACATCCCAACTCCAGGATTCGAACCCGGCTCTTCTCCCCCCTAAGGGCCAGTTCCGCGCAATAGGCTTCCCTGGTGACTACAGATGTGCTGCCACTACACCAAGCTGGGCAAGACTTTTCCGCAAATACCGTCTCATAACCACAGGTCAAGCCAGGTTGCAGGATGGATAACCTAAAGAGGCTGTGAAACCTTCTTTTGGACCAGATTCCCAGACTCACGAGCCCACAAGCTTCCATAATCTGTACTTTGGTTACTAGTTCCCATCAGTCAAGCCTCTCTCACACGCCACGATAGCCTTGTACTCTTCCAGCACTAAGCTACAGATCTGCTAATATAAGGTGAATTTGGTATTGTGGACAAGGATCTATAAAGTTGATTTGATGATACAAGCACTAAGCGGGTAGAAGTTTACTGAAAATTTATAGCAGCAGGTCCGTCAGTAGTCGCAGCAGCTGTCCGAGCAACAATCCCATCAACCAAAGCAGCGTGGTTTGTAAGAAACAACTCCACGTTCAACAACATGCCCATGAGATGATTTAAATAATAGTTTCAGCAACATTAACAGCAACTTGTTCCTCCTGACCTAGACGAATCTCTGCAGTTCAGGACATCTGCCGTTACTGTTCTATGCTGTTTGATGCAAATTTCTCCATCGAAATAACCTATGATGAATGCCTTGAATGAAAATAAAATATTGGGTGTTTAAAAGGCTGTGACACAGACTACTAGGTACTTATGATCTGACCAGCGGGCGACTGAGAATGGTGAACTCGTGTTGATACTCACACACGCCTATGTATCGACATGTGGTGCTCGAAAGACATCGGGCGTTATATTCCTAAGTACAGAACAATACCTGTCAGTCATTCGCGGTGTCGGAAGTAGTTCCTCTGCTTGACCCTTCTCATTGATCCTGTTCGCCTCGGCCAACTCGCCTTCTGTAAGCACGCTCCGCCAAGCCAGGAACAGTGAGTTCCATTCAAAGGGAGCACATTTGACTTCGGGCAGCGTCGTAACGGGAGCGAAACGCGGCCACGTATCAATAAGTCCATAGCCCTGCATCCTCGCCTCACACCAAAAGGCAAACCCCCGGCGTCGATAAAAGTCCCACGGGACGCGCTGCAAGGGCGAGACCTCGCCGTAGGCGTGATGGCTATCGTCGGGATTGTGCACCACCTCCAAGACGGTCATCATTTCCGACCAGTAACTCTCCACCTCCAAGACATGTTGACGACAAGAAACCGGCGCCGGATAGTCCCTAGTCTTGGGCAGAGTATCCAGCGCCGCGGCAGCAGTAATGTTGGCAACCCCTTCCATGTCCTCGACATAGTCCATCACCGTATACACGAGCTCGTCCTCGAGACAAATCAACTGTCGCAGCCAATCGGTCGTACCAGAATTCTTGTTGAACCAACCTGCACAGGTCGGATTCAGCAGATAAATGGTTTCGAATCTCTGCACACCACAGACATCGGAGTCCGGCCAGTTCAGCTCGCCGGCCGCCGCCGCGGCCTTGAGGTCCTCGTGGACCTGCAGCCGCCACGAGGCGCGGAGCACGCGCTGCTCCTCGCACCACTTTGGCGGGCCTTCGTCGCGCTTAACCACGGGCACCGCCGCGGGCTGCTGCTCCCAGGCCCCGACGAACTCGGTCTTGTTGGGCCCGCGGAACTCGCTCTCCCAGACAAAGTCTTCATCCGCCACGTGCATGGGCGGCGGCATGTTGCGGAAGCGCGCCAAGTACGTGGACAGACAGCCCACCATGAGGCGCTCGAGGCGGTAGTGGCTGACGAGGACGCCGCGCAGGACCGAGGCGGGCACAATGGAAGCGTCCAGGCGCAGCGGCGGCCGTGTCCAGTGCGGGGGCTTGTAGGTATGCTCCGTGGTCTCGGAATTGCCCATGTGTTGAAAGTCTTTCAGATTGGAAACCCCCGGTAGATCCACACCGGCACGTATATAAGCCGACATGCGGATCAATGGGCCGGTGTACCGATGGACGGCACCCGAGGCCAGGTTCGCCTCAACAATCTCGGCGCCATATGTATCAAAAACGCGGGCTGCGGCGGGCGAGGCTTCGAGATAGTTGTGTAGAGCCGTTAGATCAGAAAGCTCTTTAAGAATGGATAGTGAGATTTCGACAGGAAGAGACTCCCAATCCCGCCCGGGAGTTGGTGGTGACATGGCTGCGCGCAGTGATTCTGGGATGAAAACAATAAACTTGAGAATGGTGTGCAATTACGTTGGTGGAAGAGGTCCCATATATAGGATCTATCATCATATGATGGGTTATCTCAAGTATACTTTTCGAGTCATCATACAAGGGTTAGCCGGATGCAAATGCGCACTAAATCAACCAAGGGAAGTGGATCAATATGCTTAAATATGGGAATAAATCACAATCAGGTACCTGCTCATATCCATGGTTTGGTTGGAGCAGGGGTAGGAGAAGGGGCCCATTTGCGCCGCAGCCTGTGACTCAATTGAGGCACAGTGACAAGTGTTGAGCAGTAAAGGCGAGAATGGAAATTGCACTGACCAAAACTCACCTGCTGTACAACTGGGTCAAAACCACCCAGCAAACTCAGAGTCCCTTAATCATCAGGTCGATGATCATTTATCCAGCTGGGCGGCAACGGCAACAAAAGGCTAGCCCACTGTATGGGAGTTTGATGACAGCGAAAAGGCCACTGATCACAACCAAAGAAGAGAAGAAGAAGAAAAGACTCGACAACAACATTGTATAAGTCCCTAGCTAATAGTAATGATATTCAATGAGTAGAATGACAATGGGTTCGTTCGCGAGAGAGTATGTCATGTCATGCAAATATACTCGAAAATAGAGGTGGAGAGACCAGAGGTTGGAAATGGCGACGAGCACAGTCGGCTTCCAATACAATTAATCTAGATGAATGACAATGATCTACGCTGTATACTTTTTGAACCTTTCAGGGATGTTCAAAAGAGCCCCGAGCCATAGAGATCATTGAAAGTCCAAGCCGTTGATTCCAGCAGAGAGTACGTCATTACTACCATTTGCAAGTGTGAAATGTGGTTGGGAAAACATGAACGCTGTATATACTGTATCGATCGCTATATCAAGTGGACCTTATTCAATAATCAGGAAGCGGCCATATCTCCTTGTGTCTTTCCAAAATCAATGTCAGCGCTGCTATCTATTCTGGGGAACATCTACGTCTCCCGTGTATCTCCAAGCATTCTCCGGCCACTTATTGTTGTCAAAGATATAACGGACTTGCGGCAGGGACTCTCGTGTTGGGTGCGCGGCATCCATCCAGTCCACGATAAGGATCCCGTCATGCAGTCTCAACGCGAGCTTTTCGAGTCTGAGTAACTGGAAATATACTTGAATGATATCCAGGACCGGTTGTATTTCGTACGGCTGTGCCCAGGTTTGTGATGGCAGTGGCACCGTCAAACGCCTAAAATGCGCCAAGACTCGGAAGGAATCGGCCAGTTTCTAGATGATCGAGTCAGCCTTCTTCGTCTAATCTAGTTGTGCATCCATATTGCACCTACTCGTGCTGCGAAAGTACCCTCAACGGCAAAACCATAACATCTACCGGCTCGGCTGCCATAAATGTCCAGCTCTTCCAAGTTTGGGAACCATCTGGGGACAAACTTGATAACATGGTCGACAAGTCGGTCATGTTCATCATTGAAAATGATGACATCATCTGCGGCTCGTTCGATGTTGATCTGTAGATACTTCAAATTGAACATTGTAAAGTACCCCTGAATTCTCCAGGCTTGGGCATAGCTAGCATCGATCCCGACCGAGCTTAGGCGCTCCAAATATTGTTTTTGGCAGCATTTTAAAAATTCGCCAGCAATCCATTCATTGCCTGGTGCTTGAAAACTGATGGATGCTATTCGGAACTTGAAATCCTTGCAGAAGAAGCTGAAAGCCACCATGGTTGACTCGGCAAGACCGGATAGGTCGAGCCATAGACTTGCTAGTACGCGACGCCTGTGACACCCTGCAATTGCATTGATGGCATTGGCAAGAGATTGCGGGAGTTGCCTGTTGTCAGAGTGTGTTTTGTGTGCAAACTTTCGATGGTAAAGGATAATACTGAGGTGTCTGGTCTCGCATATACAAAGTATCAATAACCAGCGTCATCTCTTCAAGATGGACCACACAAAAGACATACCGGATATGATCCCGAATGTCTGGTAGACCAGTATGACGGCCCAATCTGGCAAAGTCCTGCAGCTTCGGGGTAATACTGTGATTGCCTTTGTCTTCATGGCCCTCAAGAGTGGTGGATCGGAATAGTATGGGAACAGAAGATTTGCGGAATTCTTTGTTGACCATTGAGAGCGACTTTGTGGAGGAAAATATAGCGCCTCCTCCATCGGATGTAACCTGATCATTGACGTGGACCCATTTCGCGATCTCGCCACGCACTTCTGGTACCGAGAAACATTTGTGTTGTTCGGCCATTTGATCGGTATGTAACTCGTCTCCGGATCGAGGTCTTGAATGGAATGGAACAGCAAGAGGTGGCGGAACGAAAGGTTCGATAATCGAGAAAAATGTGTAGCGAGGCCGTGAAACTACTGAGTAAAAAGTATTACACGATTCTGGTGCTAGAAAGATATCTTGGGCAATCGGATGTTGGTGTTAGTGGTGAGAAAGCAAGATGAAATTCGTGCCAAAGCTACCGGGCAATTATAATTACACAAAGTAAACATACACGGCGCGATTGCCGTGTATGCAGAAGTTGGGTATATGGAAATTGCGACAGGTAAAAGTTTTGTGTTGCTAGCAGTCACCAGCTTGCCATCGTTGGTGGCAGTTGCACATTTGAAAATCGAATCACTGTCTGAGAAAGGGCGACAACGTTCCGAGCGGATCTAATATAATGTTTGGGGTTCATATTGTGTTTGCATGTCGCCCGGGAGCACGAAATGCACTGGTCGTCTCGGTCAGAGCCATGCATAAAGTGGTCACGGAAACGGTGAATACAAATCCATTGAACGAGAAATCCAAATATATGATGCGAATCGTGGCATCTCCAGCCACTTCAGCACCAATTACCCATGCACTTGCGCTGGCGCCATGTGTACATCTAACCATCGTCTAATCAATCGAGTGTTGTCACGCAAGATGCAGTCTCGCGGAGTGGGATTAACATTGTATTATGCTATAGTAATCGTTCATGGTTTTATGTAAATATCAAAACGCCTGCGCATGAAGCAAGAGGAAGAAAAAACCTTTCCATCATGCACGTGATATCATCAAATCCCCGAACTCCAGAATATGTCGTTAACCCGGACAAAACACTGGACATTCTCCATTTTTTGAATAAATCAAAAGCTACTGAAATCGACATCTCCCAAAATATAGTTGACTTGCTCATCCGTCAGGTTTATATCTGCCGGCATGGGCAGAGTGCTCGAGAAGTCCAAGGGATCGAGTGGCGTCACATCTGCTGGGAACGCCGGGGCAGCCATGGTCGAGGTGGCAGGGAACATGGTAGTCGTCAGATCTGCAACTTGTGTCTCGGTAGGAATGAACATAGATTGCATGGCCGTCTTGAACTTTTCAAGGAGGGTCGGGTCGTCGGCCGCCGTCTTTTGCATGCTCATAATCTGTCGGGCCCGGTCGCGGAGCTCCTCATCCGTGGGTAGGACGCCCGTCTTGGCTGTTTCCCGCTTGACGTACTCTGTGAGACCATTTTCCAGTTCTCTGGAGCAGAAAACCTTGGCGGGGACGGCGTATCGCTGGTTCAGAGTCTTTAGGAAACGGTTTGCCGTCGCAGCATCAGGCTCGAAAGGCTTCGACTCTTCGCGGCAGAAGATCTTGGGATTCTCCTGTAGTGGTTCCAACGTGACTTGCGGACTCAAGCACACGTAAGGAGGAGCAAAGCCAGTGCCACCATCCGCAACCTTCCATTGTACCACATCTTGTGCCAGACCAGGGCCTGGTGATTGTAATATTCCGTTATCTCGCTTAAACCTTTGCAGCCACTCTGCATTGTCTGCCGCCGTTTGATTCCATGGATCATCACTATCGCTGGTTAGGAGCTGAAGAAAAGAGACAAAGATTGGGACAGGAAAGGTGCACGTACTCATCATAAACAATCCATCTGGCTTGGTGTTGAAGCTCTTCGTCTGTGGGTACATGGCAGTTTGGATTGTTTGGAGACATTGTAGAAGCCACAAAGCGACCAAGATGTGCGGCGAGTCGTCTGTAGCAATTGGCATCGTTGAGGAAGAATGGCCCAGGCCTCATTGAGCGGGGCGGTGGCAGGAAACTGCCTGGAGAGGTACTCGCACCAGAAGAGGCACAAGCCGCCGGCTGTAGCGTCGGAATAAAGGACAGGCCTTGGCTGTAGGGTGAACTGTTGGTGGGGGAGATGGTCACTGGCGTGTTCAGAGGTGGATGACGCTGCCTAAACTGCACCAACCAAGCGGCATCATCTGCGGCCGTCTGGTTCCAATCGTCGGCTTCATCGTAGATGATGAGCCGAGCTTGTAATTGAAGGTCAGCATCCGTTGGCTCCATGCCCATTGATCTTTGCGTTTGCAAGAACTCTCCCAATTCACGGTCGAGCCTGCTATAGTTGTGGACGGTCGAGTCAATGAGCATCGGGTCTTTGCCTCTGATACTGTCCTCGACGATATCCTCGCTCCGTGGCAGGTGAGCACGCCTACGGAAGTCGGCAAGCCAGGTCGTGGAGGTTAGAATGAGACGCACCAACCAATTGGCCACGTCCTCGGAAGTGCTCGAAGACTTTTCCTCGATCCTACCGATAATCTTACAGGCTTCAGTTTGGAGCTCATGGTCCATGGCTGTTAGGCCAAGTAGTTGACGAGCCTTGACAAAGTCCTGGAGCTGAGTCTCAAACTCGCAATTCTCGAAAATATTGTCCTTCCCGTTGATGCGAAGGTTGTACAACTCATTCTCGGATGACTTTCGGATCGGTTGGAGCATAGCTGTTTGAGTCAGGTCATTTCTGCCCTTGATCAGATCCCTAAGCCACGATGAAGTCGCATGAGAAGACTTCTTGGAGTTAATGTCGGCACTGAATACGATTCGACAAGCTTCTTGCTGTAGCTCGTCATCCGTGGGAGGTCGGCCAGTATCTACTGTCTGTTTTTGTGCCCAGTAGGTCAGCTCCAGCTTGAGCAGCTCATAGGCATCCCTCGGAGTCGATGGGTTGTTTGTGTTGGCCGTGAATGGCAGCGCGCTGTTGCGTTCGTCGTGAATAAGGTCTACATAGGCGAGTCATTAGATATGAAAAGGTTGTGAATCGGCTGGGGTCTCTCACAAGGCGGCACGGAATTCTCGACCATATCAAGCACAGGAGTGTCGAAACCCCAGTCACCTTTCCAGTCGGCCATGGTGTAACCAGTCTTGAAGTGCTCGGCGAGATGGTCCACACGAATGGACCAGCTGTCCATGACGGTGCCACAAAAACCACAGCGAGATCGAATGGCAGGCGTGTTGACACGCCACTGCTCCATGGCCCACGGCAAGAACTTGACATCGTGAACTAGTTTGAGGTGTTGGCGGAGATGATCCTTGCGGTAGAATGTGCGCTCCTCCAATGTCCTCTCGGTACAAGCAGTGAAGTTGTGAGACTCAATGTGAGCGTCGTCGGGGTTGGCCTCTCCGCAAAAGACGCAGCTCATGACACCAGTCAGAGGATTGACAGCCTTGGCACCGTCTGGCGAGCAGACCCATCGCTCAAGTGAGAGATGGAGAGACTTCTCGTGCCGCTGCCAATCGTGTTTGGTTCTAAAGGTTTCCGTGCAGAAAGTGCACTGGAACGTCTTGAGAGGTTGTGCAAAAGCCTCATCGGCTCGCTTCGGTGGTGCTCGTCTGCGCCGTCTGCGGCCACGGTGGTTGCGGGCAAATGAGGGTAGAGACCCAAAGGAGCCGCGCGACTGGTGCGAGAAGGTCGAGGCAAAAGAGCCACCACTTGAGCCGTGTGAGTTGGAGAAACTGCTAGCCGACGACTGATTGCAGAGTGATCTGCTCGATCCATCGTCCGAGTAGCCAGAAATGTAAGGACTGTTACGTCCCGAGCTGGACGAGATGGCAGAACTGCTCGAGGCGGTAACGGCACGAGCAATGGCAGTGACGGAGGCGGGTTCGTTCTCGGGGGGCGAGTTGGCCCAACGCTGCAAGGGGTTCATGTGCTCCATGGACCTCGGTGTTCCTCTGCGCTGCGGGATGTCCATTGCTTGTGCGTAGCCCATACCCACGTGCGGGGATATCGAGCGTGTTGGTTGAATCTTGCCTCGTCGCCGAGCATTGGCAAGCCAATTGGTGATTTGGGTCTTGTTTAGGCCTGTGATCTTTTGCAGGCTCTCTTTTTCCTCTTCTGATGGATAGGGGTGGCGGCTGTGTGTAGATACCCAGTTCTTGAGAATTCTGACCGACTCGCGAGAGAACCGAGCTCCAATCTTGGCTGCCGGTTTAGCGGAGGGGTATTGTGTCTCGCCATCAATGGGCATGACGGGCTGCGAGACATTGATGGTACGGTTCGACAGTGCCGCAAGCTCATCTTCGTGGAGGATGGACGTCTCTGGACGATCACCCATCGTCGGCCACGGGTTTGCTGGAAAGGTTTCTCCCGCCTCGGACCCGGCATGGTTTCCCTTGGGACCGAAGCTGCACTCGCACCTCAAAGCAACACAGCTCGTGCAGTAACCCTTGTATTTACCCTCCCTAATACGCTTGCATTCATATCCGCCAACACGGCAGTGACTACATGGCGCTTCGGGAAACTCCCACGACATCTGGGCCGGAAGGGGAGGATCAAAACTCCCCTCGACAGGAAGCGGCCCAAAGGTGTCATCGCCAGACGTCATGGGAAGGTCTAGGGGTATCTGCGTCGAGTCAAAGTGCTCCAGAGCCCAGTAGGAAAAGTCATCGCCATCCACGTCGCCGAGAACCAAGTTCATGTTGGTGTCGTCTGACGGGTTGATTGCGCCCTCCGCAGGTGACTGGAGGTCAAAGCCGGTTTCAGCACCAGCTGCATCCCAGTTAATGAAATCCATTTCCAGCTCCTCTTCAATGGTTGTCATTTAAGGGCGTAGATGACCACAGGGCGAGAATTGGTGGATCGGCGAGCGTGTCTGCTAGGTAGCTGACATGTGGAATTGACACCTTGGCCGCGCGCCCTTTTGTCAGACAGAATGGAGTAGACAGGCAGTCAGTCAGAGGCTATAATGAGTTTCTGCTGAGTCAAAACATTGATTGCTCCCAGCAAAATTTTAGTAGTTTGATACTGGAAGAAGTCAGATATTGAAGGAGGACGGGAAAGATGAAAGTAAGTCAGTTCCTTCTCGGCAAGCGGGTCCCTTGGATACTAGGAAGTAGTACTATCAAGAATTACGAGAAAGAGTCATCAGACAAGGTCAAGCAAAGAGCGGATAAAACCGTTCGATAGTAGCAGCAATTTAGTCACGGGCTCAGCTTCTAACTGGCCAAGAAGATGAAAATCGCCAGATTTTCGTCAGGGTTCAGTCCGAGATTCACTGCTGAAGCGGACGGGCAGGCGAGGAGATCCGTAAGACCAGAGGCCGGAAGGGGTATAGGGCCGTGGGTTGATCGTGGGCGTCGGGCCCCACGTCATGTCAAGTCTGCGCCCTTCGTCGACGAGCAAAGGGCCGCGCTTGTCGACTCCAGAAGGGCCAGCCATGGACCGAGACGACCCTGCGCAGCCCAGCCAAACTTGGATGGTGCGCGCCAGCGGGGGCGTGCTGGAAGCTTGGAGGGACAGGGAACGGCTGAGATTGGCCAGGAGCTACCGTCTCTGGTCCATTATCGCAGACTACTGCGACCGTACGGCGTAGACACAAGACACTGTACACTGACGGTACTGCGGAGCCGGAGACAAAAGGCTTCTTCTACGCGGCCTACCTATTGTCTTGCTAGGAATTCCATTCCCCGGAATCGCTCCCATTTGCTGCACCGTCTCTACGTTGACCACGGCAGCAAGACAAACATGATCAGTCATGCCAAGCAATGCAAGAAGCGCGGCTTGACCCCAAGCCGAAGGTTATCTTCGGAAGCTAGGCTTCTAGAAATGATGAGAATTCCCATGGTCGTCTGCCTATATCCACGGAACCCATCCCACGCATTTGAGCTCGAACCAGTCTGGCGGTGTGTCCATTCAGATACACGGCTCGAGTGAAGGTGCGTATTCAATGTCATACCGGTGACATACTCGGCATACATTGTGTTTATTCCCGTGGCCGTGAGCATCACTGGCATTTCTGCATTTCACAAGCTCTGCGCCAATTCATGGACGGACCATGAGACTACTTGAGGACTACAGTATCATCACAGCAACTGATACCGTACGGCTTGACCGAGACAAATTCTTCTCCCATTTGAGATATTCGGCTTCAAGGGTGCTATTACGCCCTAGAATCCCATGGAGGTACGGAGAAGGGATTTGAAGCCGAGCAGCACTGTACCGAACCCCCCATCATCATCATGGCCGATGCCAATCGGTCTGCGTCGGTTGATGTGCACTTTTCAAAGCCGGACATAGGTGGAGCAACACGCGCGGCTCATGGCTACCGGAGAACCAGCAACAATAATGGATTTGGGGTCTGCGAATCTCGGCCGCACTCTTTCTTTTGCGGGGATGCGAAGCGTTATTGGCTAGTCTAAATTCATGCGTCGCGATCCGAGGAGAAAGAGTTTGCAGGCACCCATCTCAACTTGGATTCTCCGTGCAAGTGATGATAGGACAGGTAGGCAAATTTGTTCTTCTTGTATCTAGTTTGTATCACAGTAGTCAAGTCCCTATTGGTTTGCAATCATCGCCCCATTCACTGTCACGAGGAAAATTTCCCATCTAGGCTCTATGCTGGCCCGCACTGGAGGTTTATGACCACCGCGTGTCGTTTCAAGACCATGATTACCTGAGTGATGTCTATTCAATCAGATCACCATGACGCAAAAGAAATGCTTACAACATTCAATTGCACGAGCGTTGCGACAGGCGTTATGTCTGTAGGTTACGTTACTGCGTATTCATGATCTGATTCCAACGGAATCCGACCCCACGCTCGCTTCCTCATGCGCCTTCCAGTGAATGCAACATTCCTGTCCAACAAGGGAAACAGAAGCCGATCACTGAGAGCCGCATCTGCCACATATGGATTGTGCATAAAGGTCGGCCGAATAGTCTCATGAGACTGCAATAGTAACATCGTATCTTGTTGTATAATAATTTATATCCCTCAAAAAAAGGATAAAATCCGTGGTATCATGAGCACCTATTTCTCATATTGCCGCCTAGTATTGCAAAGTAGTAGACATGTGGGAAATGTCTTGTAATATCGTCATCCCGGGCGCCGGCTTTATATCCCAAAAATGACCTCTCTCTTCCTCCAAAGCGTTTATACACTCCCTTTCGACCAGAGTCCAAAGCAACGGCATGCATGATTCGTATTGGACAGAAATTAGGAATCAACAATAATGGCGGCATGCGTCTCCTGTCCGTTGTTGGGCGTGTACAGCGATGTTTCATTCTGCGGTCCCGGTTTCAAGTAGCAATTGCCCGGCGCCGTACCGGCAACGGCCGTGGTCCGGTTCGTCCAGGCGGGGATGAAGCTGACGCCGGAGCATGTCTGGTTCGTCGCCGTGCCGTTGGGAAAGTCGCTGGGCGCGTAGTAGCTCCACGAGGAGCAGGCGTCCATGCAGTCGTCTAGGTTGGCGACGAACAGCGACGACAGCGGCGCGTTGGGAGTGTCCCGATTGCAGTAAATGGTGTATTGCGACTCGGTGAAAAAGGTGGAGGCGTACGTGTCGCCCGTCGTGCCGCTCGGGTTCGACGAGCAGTTGCGGTCCAGCGCGCTGTAGTCGTCAGACGTGGATGTCGACGACGGCGCCGTGCTGGTGGCCGACGCCTTGAGCGCCGCCAGGCTCGATTCCGCGTCGCTGGCGCGACTCGCCTCGACGCCGGTCCCTGCTGCCAGTCCTACCACGGCCGCCGATAGCAATGCAATGATCATTGACAGTATAAAAACTACAACCGTGCATCCGCAAATGGTCCTGGCCTTGGATTGCCGTCCCGGACTGGGCGGCGCTATGGGTGCGTAGCCAGAGGGTTGGCCATGTCCGTAATATGAGCCGGGCGCATTCGGCGTCCCATAACCTGAGGTTCCGTATGCTGGCAGCACGTATCCTCCTCCCGGCTGTACAGGAGAAACATCAGGCTTGACGGGCGAGGCGCCTATGTGTTGTTGCTGATGGTGAAATGCATAGGGATTGAATTCGGGCCCCGTAGGCGGATGGTGCACTTCAGGCGAAACTGATGCTGCTACTTCGGGGGCTTCATCGTACTGCAGCGGCATTATATTTCAGTTTTTCTTTTCTCCCCTAGCAATCACTTCAGATGGTGTGTGTTGCAATCATGTCAGGACTCACCCTCGGTGCCATCATTTAAGTAGAGGAGAAGAAAGCATCGAAAACAACAATAATCAGCAAGCCAGAGCCATCAAGAAACGAACGGGCCTTGCTGGAAAGCGTTGCACAGCAAAGTAAAGACCAGTGTTTGAGAACAATGAGCGAGCGCTAGAAAGACGAGCGAAGGAAGCAAAGCGGCTTTTCATCAATGTCCCCATCTCAAGATGGGGACTAGGCGGCTATTATCTACTACACCATTGTGTACTACCAGCTCAGCTCAGCTCAGGGCCTAGAAAGGCATGCCCTGTCACACAAACACATAGCTGGACCCTGCCCCCGTAATCAGGCGCCTTGCTAGGCCTCCCAATGATGATCCTCGCGACCAAGGACTCCTGATTAGCTTCTTTTTCTGCTTCTTCTTGGACGTTTGGGGGGAATATGGGCTTGCAGGCAGCTGACGATAGGCTGAAGGTGAGGTAGCCACTCTTGTGCATACGAAGCGTACATTGCACTACTACGTACAGAAAACTTTCGACGGGACAGGCACAGATCTGCCGCAGAAACAGGGGGCTGATCATGGTAAAAGAGATGACCTAGAACTACTGGAACCCAGTCTGGTGGAGACCTCATTACTAGAACCGGCAATCGCCTAACAGCTTTTTAAAGTCCACGCCTTTACGAACGGCCCCCATGACAGCAGTGTGTGTAGGGCAATGGATGTCTTTTTTTCTTCTTTGGCTTGGTTTGCTTGGTTGTCCCTTGGTTTCTCTCGTGGTTGTACGGAAGAGACAAATTTTCGAGTCTTGGAATCCCACGGGTACACATAAACACAGACTACAGGGGACAGCAATGCTGACGCCATTGCCAGAATTTGACGTTCTCTTCATCTCTGGCTGTGCTGTCAACCGTAATCCAGCCTATTAGGGACAAAATACCCTGACCCGAGTGGGAAAAAAAGACAAGCAAATAAAGAGCCCCGCCAGACGGTTGACATACCAGTCATGCAACCTTATTGCTTAGAGCGGCCTTGTCACATCCATGACTCTGGGTCTTCAACGAAATTTGTACTATCGAAGTCTATTCGCACGACGTTTTATCAATTTCTCCGACTCCCTACCACCTTGGCACGCACAAGCCCTGCTTGTTTTCTCGTCACGGAATACTATGTAGTGCTGCTGTAGTACCGGAATTCTGACTTTGATCATTACATGCATCGTGGCTTTCTAGTTCTGTCGGAAAATTTTAGTCTCTGTGCACAATGACAGAGCGCGCGGCCGCCCAAAACAGAGGCTATGAACGGCAGTGCTGACATTTTTTGGCCCGGCCGGCAGTGTTATTAAGCACTAAAAAGAGAGCAAAGTCTTTTACCTCCACAGCGCTAGAGAGCGGCTTGCTAAAGACTTGCTTGGCTTTCGTCCCTCACGACAAGCCCCAATGGCTTCTTCAAGACGCAACATTTGCAAAAGACCCCATGTTTGTACAGATAAAATCAATCCATGTGTCTCCAGCTCGGATTAAATTGAAAAGAGTGCCGGACTTGTGCTTTGGTTTCTGTCCCTAGCGTACATGACTACCTTGACTATCGCATCCGTCATCTCAGATTCCTGTACATATTCAGAGTAGTTTTTTATTCAATGCTGGAGACTCGACCAAATGCAATGGCCATAGACCGAGCGTTCCTTTATCCTTGGATCATGATCCAATGTAACACGTGATCTTCAAGCAGCTGCCCATCTCTCTCGTCCATATGACTGGTCAATGGCAATATCATAATATTGGCAGTGCAAGTGTGATTCAAGGCTCCATAGTCTTCTTGGTGGTAAGTATATCCAGGGTTTCCTTTCAATGCATTTGCTCAGAGGGCTTTTACAAGTCCAAATCAACCGAGACTTCTCTGGCGTATATAGACAGCAACTCAAATTTTCTACATTTATGCCAGGTGTTGGGGATCAGGGTATGGCTTGTCGTAGTCATCCACCCGGCAGTGGGTGACTAGGTAGTATGACATCCGCATGATACTTGAAGACTCAACGGATGAGTTCTATCCAGTGGTCTTCTTATTCTGCAAAGTCCAATATGAATCCTTCTTCATTGACAGTGATCTCATCAATAAGAAGTACCATCTTCACTCCTCAGATCATCTTGACCGAGACAAAAATAAACCATCACGATGCTTCTGACACAGGTTCTCATGGTGGCGGCCATGTCTGCTACGGTCTCCACAGCTGCCATGTCAGATACGTATCAACCATCCCGGCTGCTAATCACATTCTAGCGTTTCAGCTCAACCAGCACCTCGGGTAAGCAGACTGGCGCAAGTGAAGCTGCCACAAAGCGAGGTGAATCTCTCTGTATTTTGCCCAACCAAGCCAAGGTGGTGACACGGATGAGGTAGTCGCTCAAAAGCTTGTCAGATCTCAATGGCACATCCTTTCATCTAAGCAGGAGAGGAGATATGGATGGGACGAAGGTAGAGTCAATCCGACAGGGAACCATATTCAGATGAGTTAATATATCATCAAGCAAGTCTCTAACTCTATTTGCTCCATAAGTCACGACTCTCGCTTTCCCAGCCCAAAATCCCTGAGCCACTCGGGCGCGCGTTGCCGTAATTGTAGACCAAGGCTACTATCAGTGCCCGACCTAGACTCACTCTCTTCAGCCTCATCATTCCAAACTATCTTTCTGAATCCCATGACTATGCAAAGTTTTCCATTCTCGGTGGTCCAGTAGACATGTGCTCCGAAGCTGATCCGTAAGGATATTCGGTACAGCGATGGTATGTGTTGTTCTAGCATCACAAATGGAGGAGATTCCTGCTTTATCAGAACACGAAACGCTGCGTCCTGGACATGAGAGTCCGGATCCTCCAGGTGCGTTGCAATGGTGAGTAGAGTATCAATGTCAAGTCGAGTCCAAGTGCCAAGTGCCTGCAGAGCCTCTAACCGATTCCACGACGAATCGTGCTCGTGATGCACCATGATTGCTTTGATGACTTCATTCGCAGGCTGAGGTTGGTTTCGGAACAATCTGCAAATTATATGATCCAGACCAGCCATGCCTTTATCAAATCCAAACAGCCCAGCGATAGCGCAGAGAACGTCACCGTCAAGTTCAGGCCATTTCACCAGCCCTTGGAGAAGTGTCCTCAGGACGTTAAGGGAGGACCCCCGCTTGTCCATCAATCGCCTCGCAATAGCTTTCATTGCATTGCCCTTTGGTTGAGGTCGGTTCATAAGTGCCATTGCCGCTTGATCCTCCACAGCATTATCTCTATCCCCCAATTTATCAGCAATGGTGCACAGAACAGTGTCGTTAAGTTGAGGCCATGCCCGAAGGGCGCAAAGTGCATCGATTTGTACAGATACGTTCCACTGATCGTCTTTGAGATGCGCCACGACAAGGTCAACAACCTCAACATCAGGTGCAGACCAAAAGCAAACTGCCTTGAGAACTGCAGATCGATTCGATGCGTCCTCATCGTGAAGCCGAGCTATGATTATATCGCGGGTGTCGTCATCAACTTGTGAATGGGTGATGAGGGCCCTGATGGCCTCTTCCAAGGCCTCTTCGTTATCAACTCGCGCTCTAGTTTTGATCGCATCGAGGACACTATGATCAAGTTGCCGCCGGCTTCCAAGTGTTTTGATTGCTTGAGACCGCACATAGCAATCATGATGCTCAAGTTGAACCGCGACAATGTCGAGAATCTTATCACTAATCTGAGACCAGTTCTCAAGTGCCCTTAGAACGTCTATACGGACGTAATTATTTTCGTGATCAAGTTGAGTTTTGATCACATTGAAAATCCCGTCCTCAGACTGAGGCCAGACCCCCAGAGATTCAACAATGTGTCGCCGACCGAATACTTCTTCGCTCCGGTCAAGCAACGCTATCATCTTTTGGAAGACATCATTGCTACGCTGGGGCTGGCTTCTAAGTACTTCGAGAGCTGCGTCCCTGACATATTCGGTTGTATCGTTGAGCCGCGTCGTGATAGACTGCAAGACGTCGTCGTTGAGGTGGTGTGCAAGAGCCTCAATGCAAGCAATCCGGATTTGTGGTCTGCCGCCTTGGAGTTCGTGCACAAGAAAGTCGACGAACTGATCATCCAGCCGAGACTGTTTCCCAAGTAATTTGATAGCACTGCATCGCACTGAAACATGCATTTCTGGATCCAAAAACTGTGTTTCGACAGCATGAAGCACTCGAGCTTCCAGCGCCGTGAATTTTGTGAGTGTGGAAATAGCTTCATACTGGACTAGATTGTCGTCGTCTTCCAATCGCGCTATGATAGCATTGAGGGCGTTGTCATCCAAGTTACCTTGTTGCCCTCCAAGTATGGCAAAAATGGCACGCTTGAGGTCATGCCGACGACGAAAATCAGCGTCGTCGCTAAGCCAACAGCACATCATATGAATGGCCTCAATGGACATTATCGGGCGATGCTGTAGTGATTGGGCAAGAGTGAGCCTATCGTCTATGGAGGCTGACTGCAGTACACTCATTAGAGGTGCCTCTGGGAACTCCGTTTGGAGTAGTTTGCTTCATTTGTGAATATGACTTCCAAGTTCAGCCAATCGGCAAACTTGTCTTCCAGCTTTTTTCTTTCTGTAATGAAAGCTCCCTCTTTCGCTTCTCCCGATACCTCGCTCAAGCAATGCATTAGTAGTCGCTGATGGACGGGGCCGACGAGGTCAAGTGGTTCCTGACCAATCAGTTGGAAAAGTTCAAGCGTGAATGTCTGGTTGTTGGTGCTGAGTAGACCAGCGACGAAGCGCCAGAAAATATCGTAACTGGCATCGTATTTGTGAAGTCTCAAGAAGCACTCCACACTCTCTGAATAGTTGTCACTCTTCAAAATCAATGGCTTTCGAGCCTGCCACTGTCGAACGAAATATCTCGCCGCAAAGTATTCTTGAAACGTCAAGTGCAGAAAGTGGTAGACGGGGCTATTTGCTGAGGGATTCGACGTACGCAGAAAGGAGGTACGCTGGAGCACGTTGTCAGGTGAGAATTTCGAGTTCATGTGGGAAAACCTGTCAAAAGTTTCCATGCTGTTTGTTCTCGTGAAGTTGATCATATCATAGGCCATGCCAGTAAAGGCTAGCCCCTCAAGAAGACAGACCTCATCGGGGACAAAATCTTCGATGCGTCTCAGTGGGAGGTTTTGAAGCTCCCCCTTTTCTATGATATCTCCATTATTGTTCTTCTTCCCCAAGGCAAGGATATCTTTTGTCCAAAGACTCCCGGCAATAGCTTGATAGATACCAGTCATGGTTTGTAGTTGAGATCCAATTGATACACTACTCTCGTCAGTGTCCCAAATGTAACAGAGGGCATCCAATTGAATAGGTATTCGGACAAGGTCGCGGAGAAGTTTGTGTTGCTGGAGTACCGAATGAAGGCGCTTGACCTTCTCAGGTTTCTCGGCGAAGACGGTCTTGACGTATGAATCAATTTGGTCTGGGTAAAATCCAATGGTTTCGAGTTCCAGGTCGAAATTTTGAACCGGCAGGGAGATTTGAGGTCGGGAAGTCACAATAAGTGCGGGCATTTCTAACAGGGATCCAAGCAATTTGGACATACTGCCATCGCCCGATTCCTTGTACACTTCGTCCAGGCCGTCAAGTATGAAAAGGGTTTTCTCATACTTGCTTGCCTTGAGATATTTCCAGAACTCTTTAGCAATTATTTCGCCGTCGTCAAGCTGCGAGAAATACTCTTGGTGAAACATTCCTTCTAGATTACAATCCCGATTGGCCAGTGTCTTGAGGTTTCTTAGAGGGATCCAGAGAATCCGGTCGAACAAGGCGTTCCACAGGCCATGCTCCTTGAAGTCGTGGACAAACTTCTTGCATAATGTAGACTTTCCAACGCCGGCTTGTCCTCGAATGAGAATTCTCCTAGGCGATGACCCACGATTATTGCCGTTTTTGTGCTTGTCGAAGAGGTCCGCTATTTTGATACGTCCATGGCCTTCACGACTTGTACTTTTGAGCTGACGGCGTAAAGATACTTCCGCAGGTTGTGTTCCGCCCTCTGCGGGTTGTTTGATGATGGCAAGATTGATGTAGCACGTCTCCACTGATACTCTCTTGGTGGAGATACGCTCAATCTCAAGCATCTGAGTGGCGTAGTGTTGATTTTTGATATGGCTGTCTGCCCTTTCGTGATACCGATCCTCCCGGATCTTTTCAAGAATCCTCTCAATTTGCCCAACGACAACACCGTAATCCCCGTCGTTAGGGCTGGGGAATTTGTTCATCTGAACGTGAGTACGGCTCAAGGGCAAACGACGATCACGTATTATCTCTAGAGATCCAGAGCTTTCTTCGACGATCTGAAAACAGTTAATGAAGTTCCTACCATGATACATGGACGAATATACGGACCGGTTTCTTTTGAGATAGGAAATCAGGTAGCCAAGGAAAGATCTTCCGTGGCAGGCTCGACATCCCTGTCTCATAGAAGGTAACCATACACTCAACGTACCCATCAACTCTACAAACTGTAGTAAAGTCTCCGACAAGGTCCTCTAGCTCACGGCTTGGCATGACCTCTTTCACTAACTTCGAAACCCTTTCATTCCGCAGGAAAGCCCATAATCTGAGACCAGGCTCAGCCAACGCGGCAACATCGCGGAACGAAGTACCGCGAAACGGCGTTGCAAGAAATACAATACCGCGTACAGCTGTCTTAATATTATTGTGATTGAAACGCGCCATAACAAGCGCCTTCATCAATATGATGCCACCTAGACATGACGCCACGAAGAGGATTGGCCGTGCCTGAGTTTTGGCGGGAGCTGATTGCCTGAGCTGTGCTTCGATGCCTGCAAGTAAAAGCCGAGCAGACTCATCAAACATCTTTTGACTATAGGCTGCATGCTCGAAGAGGTTCGCCGGCCAGTCACACGTGAAGATGCGAGCTGATCCAACTCTACTAGGAAGCATGAAATTATCAGCGAGCCAGTTGACGTCTCCCGTCTTCGACTTCCAGATCCACGTATCTGGCGATCTCGTGTCCAAGCCATGGACGGCAATGATGTCGATATCGGTTTCGATTTCTTTCCCTCGTGGAGGATGAACTTGTACAAGGCGAACAGATCGTGGGCTTGGGCTTTTGGTGGCCGACTCATTGATGGGATACTTGTCTGACGACTGTGACTGTGAAATGGACAAAGCAATTCTGAGCGAAGACCAGAGGAGGCAGACAAGGACGACTACGAGAACCAAAGCAAATGGACCCATTGTGCTGGGCTAAGGCGTCATTGATGGGTGTCGTGAATCCTCGACATGGATGTAAAGCCACAAGCAGGCTGGTTGCTGGATTTATGGCTCATCAGGGTTCAGATGCATTTGCGGGTTCAGAGAGGGAGCCTTCGAGTTTTTTATGTAAAAGAAAATGCGATAGAAAAAGGAGTCTTGAATAATGGCTTTGTAGCCTCAAACTCGACTCATTTGGGAGTCGGGACAGATGTTTCCAAGTCAGTGGTCAATCCTGGACTAGGACCCCGCGTTTCTTTCTTTTTCTGACTGCGTAAGCTCGCTCCTGGAAACCATGACCAATCAAATCGGATCCAACACAATGTACCACACATATCTTCTGTCTGAAAATGTACCTAGTCGGAAGTGGCTATGCCCGAGTGCGTTGCATCGGCGCAATTTTTTTTGCCTGAAAGATTGAGGGCTTGTCAGGAGAAGCAGGCTGTGAGAATCTACCATTACAATCGGGAATGAAATCTCGCACGACCCGACTCAATTCGCGCCTCACTTTTCAAGTATTGAATATCAAGAAACATTGCACAACCAGTGCGCGAAAGAATGGCCTCTTGATAGCATCTCTATTATACATGAAAAATATCTCATCTGGAGGGACTTTCATTTTCTATATCTCTAGAATAATTCATCCTTGAATGGCAAGAGTATTACAGTTGACGGGGATCTACAGGGGTTGGGATACGCCCAGCGCCCGCCGAAGCAGGTCATCTTACTTTCTGGATCATCTGACTTGTTTGAGCATAAATGACGCAAGCCTTTCGCTACTCTTATTGCTATGCAAGACAAATTTGCAGCTTGCGAGTCCTGAATTGAGATTTAGACAACACCTATCAGCGTTCCGTATGATAGATTACTGCGCCTTTATGACAGCGCTAGCCTATAAGCTCCGGGAACTATAGCATTGAATCAATCGTGAAAGATTTTGAGGCTTTGGAAGACGACCCGCACCGTTAGAACATGTCAAAAAAGAAAAAATCATTTGCTCTTTCATTTATGCTTTGAAGCAGAATGCATAACATGCGGATGATGTCAAATGTAATCGCGTTCCCTTATCTTGCCCTTCAGCTTCAGTTGTCGACCTTCCTAACAAATAGCCTGGATTAACCATAACACCTTGGCGCGAGGTTGCACAACAACAAACGAGAGCTCAGACTTGCGCATGCCTCCTGCCGGGTTGATCAGACATTGCTCAAGACTGAACATTCTGAGCCCCCTCTAGTTTCTATGGTGGTCAACTATGACAAAGTCATGGCACCGGATGATACCGTTCATCCCTAGGTACATACGCCAGGTGAGAGCGGGGTGGGGCCGCTCGCTTTGGTAGGTAGTATATCATGACGTGTACAATCAAAATCATAGACGATGATAGTGCACATTGCACCATATAACAAATGCAAATCCTCAACTATTCTCCAAAATCATACTCACCAAGCTTGAATTTAGTCTCAAATCCCGTTGTATATGCGAATATGACGGCAAAGCCCATCTTCAATGTCCCATCTGGCGCAACCGCCAAGGTCTCCATCATTGATTCAACATTACGAATCTCAAACATGAAATTTGACTACCTCATGGGGCCACCGGTCAATGGCTTTGATGAAATGGACAAGTTACCCACATGGTCATTTCTCGTGGAGAGCTCAACCGGCCACAAGGTGCTCTTTGATCTTGGCGTACCAAAGGACAAGAACGTCTTCACCCCTTCCGTGCGAAAGGACATTGAACACTACGGCTGGGACTTGCATGTGGATAAGGACGTTGCCGAGATCTTGAAAGAAAATGGAACAGATCCCAGTGACATATCAAGTGTGATTTGGAGGTTGGTTCATGAGTAGTTGCACTCATCCCACGACGTTCACCGACTGACACCGTGCCAGCCATTTTCACCTCGATCATATTGGAGATATATCCACCTTTCCTAGTTCCACAGAGTTGGTGGTTGGTCCCGGTTTCAAGCAAAATTTTGGCCGAGGATATCCAACTGACCCAGAGTCGCCCGTCCGTGAGAGCTATTGGGAGTAAGTGCATGTTCCCTCAGCCCAGCTCATCACTCCGCTCAGAGCACGACATGTAGGAACCGAAAACTGCGCGAGATATCATATGACGAATCAGATCTCCTAGTCTTGAAAATAGGCTCGTTCCGTGCATTTGACTTCTTCGGCGACGGGTCGTTTTACCTCCTAGACACGCCAGGCCACGCCGTCGGCCATCTTGCCGGGCTCGCGCGCACGACCCGGGATCCCGACACGTTTATTTTCATGGGCGGAGACCTCTGCCATCACGGCGGCGAGCTACGGCCCACGCCGCACGATCCCGTGCCCGACGCTGTAAAGTTTCCGTTGCCAGGCGCACTGCGCGCCCACATGTCCGTTTGCCCCGGTGGTGGGGACTTTCGAAAGCTCAATGTGCAGCGCGGGCGGAGGGAGGACGAGCCCTTTTTCGATACGCAGGTGGCTGCTGACATGAAGCAGGCCTTGGAGACTATCGAAAAGACGCAGGCAGCCGATGTCCAGGATAATGTATTCTTTATTTTTGCTCATGATACTTCCATTAGCGGAGTGGTCAACCTCTTTCCGAAACCAGCGAATGATTGGCAAGCACAAAGCTGGAGGGAGAAAACCCATTGGGGGTTCCTGAGAGATTTGTGCCCAGGAGTCATCTCTTAAGCATGAGACTTGATTGATACTCTTCCTTGAAACTACCTCGCAGATTGTCTAATCTTACCTTGTGCGGCATGTAGCTAGAATCATCGTCCACTCCAAGTCCCAGCCTTTGCCGTCATACTTCTCCCTGAGATGATCTTCCATTCGCCGCTTGAGGGAGCCTTGGTATTTCGCCTTCTGCTCCGGGGTCCAGTAGGTGTTTACCAGCCAACTCATCATCATGGCGAAGCAGTCAAAAAAGTGCTCAGCGCTGTCAATGTGCTGCGTGTGCCGGATCGTCTCGACCCTAATGTCCTGAAACCCGTGTTCGGTGAGCTTGCGCTTGACACCCCCTGGATCGGCCCATTCCGAGTGACCGTTGGTGGTCATGGGCATGGGGTTCGGTAGGGCGGCTTCAAATGGCAGCGCTGCAAACGTGGAACGGATATCTGGAACCCAGCCGGCATTATCTTTGCTCATTGTGCTGAGCGCAAATACTCCGCCTGGCTGGAGTATCCTTAGTGTATCTATGACCTAACGTGAGTCGTGCACCAGTGATATATTGCAAGTTCGGAGACATGGTTACCTTCAAGCACGAGATCGGGTTGAGGAATAATATGCAGTCCGTGGTGAATGGTGACATGACTGAATGAACCTGGAGGTAACTTGGAGTGCTAGATACGATAAGCTTCCTTTCATAAATAGTCTCGACAGCAACATAGCTTACCTGGGCATCAATGATTGCGACTTTTGTATTGACCCACCCATCCTTTTCTATTCTTTTCTTGAGAATGTCTAGCGACGGTTCAACAATGTCACCGCAAATGACGCTGCTCTTCTCGAGGACATCTGCGTCAACAATTTTCTGTAAACGTGAGCCCAGAGTGCCAGTAGCGCAGGCATTGTCGAGCAGGTAGAACGGCTCCGTCCTAGAAGCATCGATTCCAGCTCGGGCCAACAGCATTGAAGCAGGTCGGCCCATGATTGCGTCTGAACTTTTTAGTAATTTGTCTAGATTTTCATCATCCATGCCGCTGGAGAAGCTGTTGTAGGTCTTTTGGAGGGCGTTCATGTCTGTTACGAATTGAGTAGAATTTCGTGGCACAAGTCTCCTTGGTTATTTATAAGAAAGTATAGAGAGTCTGATGGGGATTCCAATCACTTCAATCAGTTGAAAAGCCAATCCTTTTAAATCCATCCTTTTGACGGAGACTTATGGAGAATATACTGCCTCAGTTGTCCTAATGTGGACAAAATGTCTCCGAGCGCCAACCAATCAGAAAACTCTCCGGGGCTACCTGTCAACCATACAGGAACGGTCGATTGATGCACTCAGGCGAATGGGAATGAACTCTCAATTCCAAACTATTGATGAGATCTAGGCTCAGCCCTTGAATTTGAATGGCCTCTAATTCACATCCATTCCTCCAAGAGGTAAGGACATCCACAATCCCCCATAAAAAGCAGACAATATAGCTGTGATTACAGCTGTGAGTGAAATGGCAACAAACAAATGCCCGCCGCAAGACTTTGATGATGAACATGACTGTCCCATAACGACGCCAAGAAGAAAGCCAAGAACAGAGAGCAGGTTTCCGCCACTTGCTCTACATCCCGGATCCCTTTCCAGCGTACCATGCCTGGAGTCCTAGCCATCCACTTATTCCTGGAATACGGTTTCCAATCCCATGGCTTGCTTATCCTTGCGGTTCCTATTCTTGTACAACCCGCTCGAAATTCTTGATACCTATAGCCGAACGCCATTTAATGCCCAAATAACATGCTTTTCCCAAGTATTTTTCCCCCCAGGATTTCCCCGCGACACACAACGCGAATATGCACAAGTCCTTCCTTTCCACATCAACAAACATCAAAAATTCCAATGGATATATGAGTCTCCACGTGACAGCATACTCCTATCCTCCTGTGATTCGCTGCCAAAGCGAGCGCTTCTTGGGCTGCGTGTTGGGGCGTATCGCGTGGCCCCACGACGGGTCGGTCTCGAACATCAACTGCTCAAAGTCATGTTGCTCCTCCACCGACAGGCTACGTTGCCGCCGGGGCTTGGTCGCAGCGGACTTCTCTGGAAGCGGAGGCGCAGGCGGAGGCGGAGGGACCGGCACGGCAGACTCTGGCAGGTTGAAGAAGAAATCGTTGTGATTATACCCCTTTTCCTTCTTAAAGTCGCTGAACTCGGTGGCAAATGGGCTGAGAATGTAGGCGATACGTTCGTACAGGTTCAGGTTGTGCACTACCTCCTGCTGGCTGCGTACTTTTTGGTTGTCGCTGTCACTGCTGCTGTCGTCGAACTGTGCGGCCAGGCGTTTGGACATCTCTGCACACCAACAGCACGGATTCTTCCTGATGCTACGGACGACAAACTTCTGCATTGTCCACCGCCGACATGCTGTCAAGGGGTAGAGCGGATTGTGAGGCAAGAATCGGAGATCTATGGTACCGGGCGGATCATGCGACCGGCCGCATTCACAACCAAATTCACTTCCGACCCTTTTGCACGGGCACCCGAGCCGGTTGGTGTTGGCCGGCTTAGTTGAAGCGCTGCCAATATTCTTGCAGTGGTGACAGTTTTGGATCCAGCAGAGTCCCCAGTTGATGCCTCCCTTGCTAGGACTGTCTGGGCCTAACAGTGGGATTTGTTCGTTCATGATCCAGTGAAAGTATGGATCCCAAGAGTTTGCGCCGCCGCTGCGTCCAATGAGCTTCTCTTGGAGGGCATGGGAGGCGATGCGGTGCTTTTTGCAAAGAGCGCAGTATTGGCACTCGACAATACGACAATCTCCATGAGACGATGAGGAGATTGTACCGTCATGCCTATACGGGTCATTTGCTGGTTCCGGAGCAGGCCGGAACCGTTGGCCGCCACTGGTAGTTATGCTATATACACATCTGCCTGTGGTAGGGATAATATTAATGTATCGGGACTGGTAGCAAGCCCCGTCTCCCTCCTCGTTACATCCGGTAATGATGATGATAGGAATTGATCTGCTTCCACCTCCCATCGATGGGCCGTCCATTGTCGATATAAGCCGAGGGTCAGCGATATGTCACCCCCCAAAAAGTAGCCCAGATAGGGGAGTGCTTGCATCTGGTTGGATGAGTAGGAGCAAAATGATAGGAAGCGAGAGGTTCCGGAGCGAAGAAGATTATGAAAAGGCAGGTGAAGAAGTGGTTTAAGAGATGGAAACTTGTGGGAGTCGGAGATACAGTAGGCCACGGAACGCCCCAAGAATTTAAATTCCATTCTTTAGGCAGAAAACCGACTGAAGGGTTCTCGTGTTTACCTCATGATAGGTGGTGGCGCCGATGATAGAGTTCATGATTCGGCGATAACAAGTAAGTCGAGTACCTACTTCACGTAGACAAGCATCTCAACGGTCTGTTGCCTGATGTTGGTGGCATTCAAGGTGTTGTGTTCTAAAATCCGCACAAAATTTTCATCATATCCCATGTCCATCCATCCCTTGAGCTGGAGTTTTGGTCAAATGTCAAACTTATTGACGGGTTCAGTGGCATCGTCCAAATCCCATAATTGTGACGAGGAGTGGCGCGGAAACAATTCAATCGCGTGGACAGCCTAGGCGAACGCAGCCACTGTTAAGGTGCCAAGTTTGGGTATCTTTCGGCACAAGGTTTTGCTACAAAAATTGCGGACAAGACATACTTCAAGCTCTCTTTAATTTTGCTGTTGTTCTTCTCGCTGGACTGTGAAAAATCAGCGCAGATTTGCCGAATCAAATGCATCTCCATGTTCGCCAACCTTTCTATACTACACTTAGAGAGAATTACGTTCGCCATGATTCGCATAATGGTGGCAGCCTCGTCAGCCCGGCCTCAAAATCCCTTTGCAATATCCGTCATGCGCAAAGCACATTGCGCTAGCGCCAGTTTTATCGTCTACGTCGCCTCAAACGCCCTGGGAGGATGTGTCGCTGTCCTTCATACCAGCCCCTCAGAGGAAACCCATGCTACCCCTGAAGCTTCCGATGCCAAGGCCACCAAGGCCATCGACCGTCTTCTTTACTTCTCTGACTTCCCTCAGCAGCTCCTGAGGTGGCAGTCCACCTTCGTTTTGGCTACGCGGTGGGTTCTGGGCAAAAGCCTCACACTCGGCAATCAACTCGCTCACCCAAGGTTCCAGGGCACGGTCAGATCGGCCCGCCCGCGCCAGCTGCCTAGCCCAGTCATGGACAGCATATGCTATCCACTCTACAACCCTGAGGCGTCCTGCGCCACGGAAAGGCACATCTTGGCCTTCAAACATGGTTTCCAGGATCCGGACGAGCAAGTCATGGCTGACGCCAAGCTGGAGAAACAGAATCACCGGCCAGTTCTGATCGGCACCAATCCTGTTATCTTGGGCATGCTCGATAGCATATCGGCATATCTCCGGAAGCAACGTTGTCACGGGGAAGATGAAACTATCGTTGGAAGCCCGATGGCATACCTCTTGTATTACACCAATGAGCTTCTCGTATGATTGAGGCGGTGCTTCTTCGTTGTTTCTGTTGGGGCTGCTCTCGTATTGTTCCCAATCCTGCTCGTTTTCTTCGTGAACCTGGTTGATGAGGTTGATCCAAGTTTGGGCAATAGTTGTTGGGTTGCGGAAATCAGCTGCGTGGTAGATGAGCAGGCACAAGTCGTAATACCCAGCTTGATCGGCAAAGTTGTTGAAGAGCTGTCATTTTACGTCAGCACTTGGCACTAATATCGGCGCGCAGCATCACGATGGAGACAGAATCCATAATAACTCACCTCTGTAAGACCTTGAATTTGACCATCCAAGGTTCGCTCGATCTCGGGGCGTCGCTCCTCGGGGATCCGCGCGTCAGCTCTGAGGCGTTCCAGTAAATCATCCTGAATGTGAGCAACCTCCAACAACTCGGTCACCTCGTGGTTCAGGAGTTGAAGTTCTTGTCGACCAACGCCGTTCGTCATTACACTGACATTGGTCTTTGCACGTGAAAGGAGCTGCAGTCTCTCTTTGATGGAGATGTCGAATTCAGACTTTGCCAAATCCGCTTGCACCTTGGCGGCTTGGTAGTACAGGTTACGCATTGTATAGTAGCGGCATAGCAGATCAGCGTGAACCAGATCTGAAGCTGCCAGAGTCTCGAGGAACTCAATGACGTGTGAGGACTCGATTCTAAGGAGACGATCTGTCCATCCCTGCTGAACGTACCATTCGTAAAGGTCGTTGTGAAAGACTTCATCGTTGGACGAGTTGACGACCTCATATGCTTCGTTTCGTTTGATAGCAATCGAAGTAAGTCTGCCATCAATCATCTCAGGTTCTTTACTCGAGGCAGCATCTAGACTCTGCAGGATCTGGTGGATGAGGTTATAGCAACGCTTCCGCTCTTCGAACTGGGCCGTTCTCGGGTCGTTGGCAGGCTTTCCCTCCTTGAACCAGGCTTGAGCTGCATTACCTCGGTCCTTTTCTTGAGCGACTGTTAAACACAGCTGAATGGCGCCAGCGTAATATCTCATTCCTAGATACTGTTCGACAGCCGACTCCAGGTTGGTCTGAGTAAGACTACCGGCCACCCGTTGGAAAAGCTTGAGACTTTCACCGAGCAGTGCACGAGCAGTATTGGGGTTTTGCGTTGGGTCGGATGCTCGCTTGACCTGCTCTTGCGCCCTGAAAATCACCACGTCATCTGGGCTACAGAAGCTGCCACATCGTCTTCGGAGAGCATCTGCAACGGTTTCGACATTGGAACCGCTTTCGATATTGCGATTAACAATGGCTTTTACGAGGAGCTTTGCGAGTTCCTTGCCAGATTCTTGTGCAAACAGGCGCTCATATGTCAAGTCCCTAAGCTGCTGCTTGGACGTGTCGTCAAGTCGGGTATAAATGTCGGCTACACGCTCATCAAAAAGCATCTGCACGAACGAGATACCCTCGGAGATACCGCTCATTAATACAAGCAGTGCATGCATTGCTTGGTGTTCGCCCTGGAAGGCAATTTGTTCCTGCTTGTTGCCTGCTCTGTGGATATCGGCAGGTCCGGATAGGCCATGGATGAAGCTCTTGTTTGCTTCGAGGAATGCCTTTAGCCGCTCCAGTTGCTCTTGGATCGTGCGAAGTCTACCCAGGGCAATTGTCGAGTCAACCACCAGGCCATTCACAGCATCAGTGCCAATAGCAATGACGCGAGCGTTCCATACAGATCTGACAAGTCGACCGAGATACAGAGACAAGGCACCATGACGCGACGATGGCTTGACGCTCTCCACGGTCGGTTGTTGGCCATCTTGCTCGGGTAATGTAGGGTTGCCTCCATTGTTGACAAATACCGAGCGTGCGCGATCCTCGGTTGTCTGGTCCACGGCGCCGCGGCCTCCGCCAGTCTGTTGGTCACCTCCTTGGCCGCAAGCGACAGCAAGTGCAGCAGTTACCGTCTCAACACGTCCATACGAGTTCACAAAGGTGTTGTAAACATCGTTCAGCCCGTCTTCTCCGGCGGCATTCCTTATGGCAGCAGCGAACATGTCTACCAATCTTCTTCGTCGAATGATATGGACGCCGGTATTGGTAAGCACGGCGATCTCGCAGCTCGGCTCATCAAACTGAACAGCTAACTCGTTTCCAAATCCCAGCGGCGAAGAAGTAGCAGCAAATGGTTTTGAGATTATGCCAATAGCTTCGGGCTTGCCACCAATGTCGAGCCACTGACTATGCTCGTAGAAGCGAAGACCTTGGTGCACGCTGTTCTTGATACGGCCGGTATCGGGCGCTGATGCAAAGAGCACTTCCCTAGGTCCGCCGTCTTTATTGATAGAGGCAAGAAAGTACCCTGGAGCGAAGCGTGCGCCTGAATTCGTTATGGTCAAGGAATTTGATTGTGTGTCAAAGTCTCCTGGAACACCAAACGCATCCCGGCCCTGGCGTTGCAATCGTGACGAGTTTGACGGCGGAAATTTGATGGAATGCAGCTGCATGCTTTGGGGCACTTGGTTTGGAGAAGTCACATAGTACGATGCACCAGCAGCACTCATGAAAAGGCGGCAGCCAGTGTTGGTGACGGCTATCAGATGCACCTTTGCATCCTCATTCGCCGTAACAGGACATATCGAGACAATGTTGGTTTGGTCGTTCAACAAGGGTGTACTTCCGCTGAGAGAATGCATAATATCGCGCAGACAGTCGTGCTTGGTCTTTTCGATCACCTTGGTAAGCTTGTCAGGTCCTTCCATGTGGTAGGTCCGGATAGTGGATATGTTCGAAAGAGTATATAGCAGGTTCCTCGTATTGTCAATGACGATGTCGACAATGAACTCTGTGGTTTTGCTGCCCCAGAGAAGGGCTTGTGGTCCTTTTGCAAGTGGTACGACTGAAGACCAGCCAGTGGCTGAGTGGTTGATCTTGCCGGTGCGATTGGAAAACCATTTCTCCTCCTGCTGATAGTATAGCTCATAGATATCACTATCGGTGGAGCCGGCGAAGAAGATTCTTCCATTTGCCGCACCGGCAATGACGTGACACTCGGTGCCTCTGAGAGTGAATTGCATTCTGGTCTGATACAGGGTGACCGTTGTTGCGCCATTGGCAGCAGACTGGGCAGCGACACCGAGCAAGAACATGTCTGCCGAGGTTGAAATCACCAGCATATAATTGATTTCTTTAACGAAAACGCCAGGCTTTGGAGCTACGAGCTTGACTCCCGTAATGCTGTGCTCGTTGTCCTCATATCCAATAAGCTCGGGGTTCGGGTGGGTGTAGTCCCAAAGGTATAAACAATTGTCGACAGTGACCCAGGCATGGTTGAGTTCAGCAAACAAGCCCATGCTCGTCGAGACTTCTGCTCTCTCATATTGCTCAAACACTCTATCGGGAAGCGTGTACACTTGCGTAACCTTGTAGGGGGCGAAAGCAGGATCAGTTGTTCGGTTGTAGTCGGAGGACATCTCTGGGAGCACATCTTGTTAGCACTTGGCCATGACAGGAGGGAGCGTTGCATTCATTCACTCACGTTTACAATATTGTTCCAACTCTGGGTACTGCCTGTCTGCAGCGAGCGAGCCATTCACATAGCTAGCAGCCTTGGTCAAGGGCGGCTGAGGGGGCACGGCAGCCACTGTCGCCAGAGCTTGGCCTGCTCCTGCCACGGGCTGGCCCAATGGCTGCAGTGCCTGCTGAGGTGCCGTAGGCGCATCGAATCCCGAGTCACCAAAGCCAGTCACCGGACCGGCAGTGGGATGGTTCGAGGCATCGTCAAACAAGCGGCGGCGCAAGGGATCTTGGTTCGCACCGAACCTCGAGGCAACAGCCGGTGTGTGCATGAAGGCGCCGGGGACAGGGCGCATCGGCGTGGCCTGGGGGTAAGCCATTGCGGTTGGATGGCGATGTATGTCGTGGCTGCGTGTCTCAATGGCCTCGATTGGCACGGCAGCTCAGCAAAGGGCTTTAAAAGGGAATGTTGAAAGCGCCCAGTGATGCGGCCCAGGCACCGAAAATTGGTGGATTACCGGGGCATCCAAAGAATGATTCGATCGAAGCAAGTCGCAGGCGGCAGAAAAGAATGGTGCGCGTTGGGATCGAGAAGCTGCGCAACGGTCGTCGGGTCGAAGAATTAACTCGGTCCCTCTATGCGCGTCGTAGAAGGCGGATGGTGTTGTTTCGTCTCACTACGATTTCGAGCTATGGAGCGAGCTCGAGCCCGGTGTTGATATGGGAGAGGCTGGAAATTTTTGGGAAGCTTGGACGCGACTTTCCGCCTTGTCGTTAGGTCCAAATCTGCAGAGCAAAAATGGGAGCTAGAGCTCAGGTAGAGGCTAGAGCTGTTGGCCTTGCTGCTTGCTGTACGCGTGCGTGCAGTCCAATTGCACTAAACCTAATTCGGCTTTATTTAGGTAGGTGTTGGTAGACAATTGATGCAGACTGGTGCTGGAACTTCGAGCTTTGCTGCACGTATTATATGATCAAAGACTTGTTTATCATGCAGTTGCTTAGTTATTGATCAGTCACATGCACTGATCATTGTTTCATTCCAACATCATGTTATGGGCATGACACTTATGTTTGTCTATTAAATGTAAGAGAGCTATCCCAAGTGTTCGACAGAATCTATCGATCATCTCGTTCTGCTCTAACCAGTAACTGAAATTATATTCTCCAAGATATAGAAAATTTCAGCATATTTTCATTCGTAGCCCCTATCGAAGCTCTCCAACGACAATCATTTTGACTCTAACACAACCTTTTACTGCTTCTTGGCCTCGCGAGCAGCCTTGCGCAGGGCTCTGTTGCGGATGTCAATGTGCGTTGACACATTGTAAGATCGCAGCAACCTGTTGCCAACTCCCAGAAAGGTCTCGACCGCCCATCCCATCACAGCATGACTCCACCAAGGGGTATAAGTGTCCGGCATGAATTGCCAACCACCTCTACCAATCTTGCCCAGAGCAGCCTTGACAAAAGGTCTGGGGCTAGGGACGATCAGGTTCGGGCGGCGGATCTTGGACATGGCGGTTGTGACCAGGTGCGACAGGCAGAGCTGAACATCAATGTTGCTTGGCTTCAGCTCGGCAGCCAGTGCTGACGACCAGTGCTGGAGGAACGCCTTGGAGCCTGAGTAGGTGGCGAGATAAGGGATGGGAGCCCAGCCGCCAAAGGAGCCCATGGTCAGGATGAGGCCCTTCTTGCGAGACTGCATACCAGGTGCCACAGCTTGGGTGACCTTCAGAGTTCCCAAGCAGTTAATAGTCACAATATCCTGCATTTCCTTCTTCTCGGTGAGAAGGAACGGAACTGGGATGCTGTGGGACTGTCCAACGTTGTTGATGAGAATGCCCACGTCCAAGCCATCGATCAACTGTTTCAGAGCCTCATAGTCCTCGTCTCTGTCGGCGCTGAAATCCATAGCTAGAATCTTTGTCTGCAGGCCGCTGTGCTTGGACTCGAGCTCCTTGGCAATCGCCTCAAGCTTGGACTGGGTACGGGAAACGAGGACGAGGTTGAAGCCTTTGGCGGCTAGTTGTGTCGCATACTCTTTACCGAGGCCATCAGAGGCACCAGTGACAACAGCCCATGTGCCCTTCTTGCCATACTTGCGGAGCTATGGAGGATGTTAGCATCGTTTCTTTAGACATGGCGCAGCTCAAAGCGGGTGGATAGTTGCGTACGTTGGTGCCGCTCAGGACAAAGACATTGAGCACAAATCGCAAGTATGCAAAGACATGGCTGCCCAAGTATAGAGCACCAACTCCGGCAAGGGCCAATTGGACTGACTGTGGCACATTGGCCACAATCTCGTTGAAGTTGGACATGTTGTTAAGCTTCAAAGACTGAGCCGGCTTGTTGTCGTCGTTGGCCGAGTTGTTTTGGTAGCTGGGCAAGCCAAAACGGTAGGAAATTGAGTCGGAAGCTGGACCCAAAAAGTTGAGGGTGGAGAGCTAGCTTAAGGTGTGGTGGTGGTGGTGGGTGGTGTGGTCGACCCCTGAGCAGCAGGGGTAAGCTTAAAGTGCCGACCCTGCCGCCAGACCGAAGACGCGCGCAAAGGGTCGTCAATTGCCTGTGAGACCACTACCCAGACTTGATTTGATCAGACCATCACCGACAACTCTGCCGAGCTATTGGAGTTGCTTCCATTCGTCTCAAACCAACGCAAGATCTTCTGACCTTCTGTCGACGCTTTACAGCCCAATTGAATCAAAAATGGACGCGCTGAAGGATTACCTGCCAAATGGTGAAGGTTACCTGCCATGGTACATGTTTGGCGTAAGCATTCTTTCTGCCTCGCTTCTAATCCGAGTACTCCATAACTAATAGTTTCTGCTCAGCTCTCGGTGATTGCAGTAGGAAATTCTCTGCAGAATTATCTCACCCTGCACTACTCGAGGCGCTTGTACAACGGCCAGTTCATCGCCAACCCGTCCCTCGCTCCGCGAACCTCTACTTTCAACCCCGACGATGCCACCAACAAGCTCGTCCCTGCGACGTCCGTCAATCTGAAGCCCGGCAGTACGACCGTCGACCAGGTTACACCATTGGCAGCCCGCCTTTTTGCCACCTATACCCTGATTTCAGCGATTGTGAGGATATATGCCAGTTTCCACCTGGACAAGGAGCCCGTATATATGATGGCTATGTGGACATATCTGGTGGCACTTGGACACTTTGTTAGTGAGGGCTTTGTGTTCAAGACTTTCCGCATCACCGGACCACAGCTGTTCCCTCTGGTACTCGCGTCCGTAGGAACAACCTGGATGATCATGCAGAAGGACTTTTATGTTCAGGCATAATGTCAACGTCGATTAGAACGGGACACTAGTTGCACAAAGCTATTGTAATTGTAAAAAATAAGATAACTTTATAATTCTAATCAAGCAATCAAGTCATTCTGGCATCGATATGGTATACAGAAATAAGGATGTTCATGTTCATCGTTATGGTTTCAAACTCTAAACTGGTACTACCGTTAATCACAGGTTTCTTCTTATTCCGCTGCAACATGGTGCTTCTGGCCACTGTTGCCAGTCTAGTTATAAGTTGTTTCTGGGGTGATAACAGATATATCAACATTTGAAATAACAATTAAAATTACAACATTGTAGCTTTTCATTGCTTAAGTGATAACCACTCTCTTTATTAAAAATACCACAAGATGTACAAGAACTAATTAATACTAAAGGCTTTCATTACAGAGACATACCTGGTTCACATGTCTCGAAAGCGTGCTATAGATTGTTTTGATTGCGTTCTACATGATGATTCAGCCTTTCTTGTATTAATATCGCACTCTGCCCAGCACGCTATGTGAGAACAATTATTGCAGTCCATTATGCCTTTTTCACCAAGATCAACCATGGCCATAAGTTCAGTCTCAGTGTTACGCTGGAGTTGTCCATGTGACAAGGTGTCTTGTTCTGTGAGCATGAGTTTCAACGGGAATATTAAAACTAGATCCCACTTTGTTCTCGACTGAAAGCCCTGCTCCAACTCCGTGCCATCTTGACTGTAGGCTCACCTTTATAAACGGAATCTTACTCGCTCTAGTCCCGCTAAAACATTTCCTTAGTCGTTCGCCGACACTATTCCCAACAACCCGTCCGTGATAAACGCATCAGTCCTCCACCAACTTCGTTCATCGTCGCCGGCATCATGCCCCCCCTCATCGTCGGCATCTCCTGGCAATATCACCCATGCCATGGACCCGCGTCTGCTCCGTTTCAGAGACCTAATAGACCGTTTTAAACGGACCTACTTCCAACCAAAAAGAAATCCAGTACACACTTACGGTTGAGTGGTGTAGTGGTAACACGCTGAGGTATAATACTTGTATTACTAGAAGGGCGGTTCCTTGGATCTATCTCGGGGGCTTATCTTGTAGGAATATTTGTACGATCTCAGAACCGGAGGTTCAAACCCTCCCTCGACCACTTTTTTTTTCTATTTTCTTTTTCTTTTTTGGTGGCTTCTTTTGTGTTTTCTTCCCTTATTCTCCTTCTCAATTTTGTTTGCCCATGTGAATGCTGCAATTCCAAATAGACACTGTAAAATATAAGCAAAGAAAAACTTTTATTCTTCTATTTAATTTTACGACTGAATTAGTACAGACAATATCGTGATCTTGGCCATACGCAGTGGAAGGCAACAGGAAATTACGTCGATTTTTTTTTTTTGACTCGTGGCCGCAAGAGTTGGATTCGCACATCATGGTGATACTGCTTGCTCCATTCGTGCTATTTCTGCCACGCAATACGATGATTGTATGGTTTACAAACGACTAGAAACCATGCTGTAAACGTGATACTGGTGCAAACAGACCATACCACTGGCAAGAGGGATAACAGGGTCAAGTCTACCGACAGGAGAGATGCCTTTGTGTGCCAAGCTGTTCCCAGCTTCGAGCAGAGGTTCTTGGGCTAAGAATAACAGAACCTAGGTCATTGTACGGCGCCTAGAATTGGAGGCTTTTCATGATACATATTTTAGGGCCTGTCAGAGGAGGCACTCCCAATGCTTTAAAGTTGCATTGAATGCTAATATCTATATATTCTCTTTGCCGATACTCCTCGCTTTTACACCCACCAAGTACAACAATCATATACAAGATGCTTATTTACAGCTTCTTTCTGTAGAGCTCACCACCGCAGTCCCTCAGGCGAGCAGCTGCCTGTTCAGGAGTGATGTCGCGCTGGGGCTCAGCCATCAACTCGTAACCAACCAGGAACTTCTTGACGGTGGCCGATCTGAGCAGCGGCGGGTAGAAGTGCATGTGGAGATAACTGTTCTCAACCTCCTCGGCAGTGCCGTCAAGAGGCGCCTGGTGAATACCGGAGCTGTAGGGGAAGCTGGTCTCGAATAGGTTATCGTAGCGGCGGGTGACCTCGTGAATGGCCTCGGCGAACTGGAGTCGCTCGTCGGCAGTCAAATCGACGAGGGCACGTACGTGGCGCTTGGGGATGACCATGACCTCGAAGGGCCACACGGCCCACCACGGGCAGACGACCAGGAAGGCGTCGTTTTGCCAGACCACGCGCTCCTGCTTCTCCGTCTCCAGCTTGACGTAGTCTGCGAGCAGGTGGCGGCCGCTGTGCTCGGCGCGGTACTTTGTCATTTGCACGGACTCGGCGGCAGGCTCCTCGGGGAGCGTGCTTGTCGTCCAGATCTGGCAGTGCGGGTGCGGGTTGGAGCAGCCCATTGCCGCACCCTTGTTCTCAAAGATTTGCATATAGCGGAGCTGCTCCTTTGGCGACGGGGGCAAAAGATCGGAAGACACTTTTTGGGACAAGAGGTCGAGCTTGGAGGCGACTTCGGTCAGAGGATTCTTCGAGGAGAGGTGCGATGCGTAGATACGGGTCCAGGTGTTGATGATGGGGAGGGTCTCGGCCGGTTTCATGTCAGGCAAGGTAAGGTGGTGCTTTGGCGAGAAAGTCAGGACGTAGCACTTGCCCTTGACTCCCTCGGCACGAAGGAGGAGTGACGACAGATCTATCTGCGAATTAGCTTGGTGCTTTGTTCGAGCGAGGTTTCGGCACACTACCATCGCCTGCTTCTTCGGCCGAATAATCAGCCTGCTCCTCCTTGACCGCGCTGTAATCGTTGACGAAGGCAAAGTTCTCCTTGTAGTCTGGGTTTTGCTCTCCGCCAGCTCTGGAGTTTCTAGGACAGAGGTAGCACTGCGAATCTTAGTGGTTGAATGACGTTTGCCAAGTATGAAGTGCGCTCACTTTTGGGTCGTACTCTGGGAGATCAATAACACCGGGGCCTTCCTGGGCACCTCTATGAATCCATATCAGCGACGACTCCTACGCGGGTCCTGATCGCAAACATACTGCCAAGGGCGCTTTGTTCGGTGAGGCGAGACTAGGAGCCAAGAACCCCTCAAAGGGTTATACCGGCGATGTGAGATATCGTCGAGGACTTTGTCCGGCATGATGGGCGGTTTGGGCGGTTGGCGTTGTGGGAGAGAAAGCGAGCTTCCTTACAGAACAAAGAGACTAGAGTCTCAATAATACATGAGGAATATATAAGCCCTATACCCGAGTACTTGAATTATTGGCTCGCTCTAGAATTATCGCAGTTTAGCGACAGCAAACCCACATCGATCCGTGTCCGGGCCGGAGAATGGCGGGGTATTTACAATGTTGCAGGGGAAACTGGCGGGGTTGCACACTTCAATTGGCCAAGGTCAGATCGCTTAACGTTTTAAGGTCGCGATGAATTACAGCTAGTAAATCACACTATGGTTTATTAGGAAATTCAAAAATTGCGCATATCTTGCACATGACATTCCCTAGTCAAACGTTGTGTGTTCTATTTGTTCTAGAACTTCTACTCATGAAGCTGCACAAGAGCTAAACTATGACGTCGTGTCTGGAGCTGCTGACCTGTGGATATGCAACCCTGCACTAGCCGCCCGACGACGACTCTTGAATATAGACATAAACACAACCTTATTAGTAACGTTGATGATGAAGAGATTGTGCCGCCGTCAAGCATCGCACCAGCAGGCACAGGCCGCTCAGTGTCCCGGGGCTCCAGGTCCCCGCCCGTGCAAGTCGCCGTCATCCGTGTCATCTGGTCTGCTACATATTGACATGTTGGTTTTGCAATGACCTGTTGAAAGTATCCTCTCTCCGTGACGATTGAGTATTCGAAGCTTGGACTATGACTGGTGAACAACAGAAGCAGAGAGACCACTGATACTGCTGTAGGTGTTGACGAAAATGTATGTTCGAACTTCGGCTCCAATCGCAATGTTCGTAAAATCATCACATCATATTTTCAATTACAAGTCTTGGCCTTGGTGGGGTGAAGGAAGAGATCTCCGCCGCGAGGGCCCATATACTCTCACACTCCTGAAGTATGAACAGCTAGCTTGAAAAGTGTACCCCTAATCAGCTCGATATTCATGATTCATTACCATCAAAACCTCACATTGTATCTCCAGACACTCCTTATTGTTGATAGAATACCGTCAGATGAATGAATATCTACAGCTACTCGCTGGAAATACGTGGTGGCGGGTTTCTTTTTGTGCTGACTACGAGCCGTTGGAAGCTGAAGCTGAAATCTTCGACTATCCGGGTTATAAGTAGCAACCACTGGGAAATAATGATCACCAGCATGAAGCTGCATTGCATGATTCGAGCTTAGTATACGAGAGTATCAGCGGAGCAATGGTATGAATGCCTGCTAGTATCTGGCAATAGAGTGATCTGGGTCGAGGCGCTAAAAAGCCATCCCCAATACACGGATAATAGTCCTCGGATCCGTCAGCAACCCAGCGAGACACATAACACAGACTAAAACATTATCAAAACTTTGAGGCACGACAGATACATGATGTTCAAAATGGCCGTTTTGCTTTCTTCTTATACCTCTAAATAATGATAATAACAATACAAACTTGACTTATCTTCGTCAGTTTTTTTCTTGAATAAAAAGAAAACCACCTTATATAAAAACGCTCGAAGAAGTGCTAATATATTCATCGTCACCACGGGTGAGAGTGCACTTTAGGTCATCCCGTCGGAATATAAATTAGGAAAAAGAAAAAAACCACGGGACCGCCAGCTTATCAAGCACGAATCATTGCTCGACAGTGAGCATAATTAGAACCCTCAATTCGGGGATTTTGTCAAAATGCTTTAGCCTGGCATCTGGCTGGTCAGGATAAGTTTCGCGCGCAAACCTATCACCAGGGAAATGATCTTCCACGTAAAAGATACCCGAATCAGGGATCCGTGATAACCATCTATAGCGGAAATATTCCCGCAGACCATTCCATTTAGAGGAATGGGAACCGGGACCATAGACAATTTCCATGTCGTCGAGAGAATCAATCTCGTCCCTCAATGTGGTCAGAAGCTGAGGTTGGTCAAAGAGTATTTTCTCGACAGTCTTTATCCCAAGTGGTCCACTGATGTTGATTGTTCGAGGTATTTGATAATCTGATAGCTGTCGCCAAACATTATGCTCCAACGGCAGAGTTCCTTTGATAAAAGACACGGATTCCACCAGTCCTTGAAAATCACCCCTGTTCCAGTAGGTCGTGCAGAAAGCCCAGGGGTTCTCCAGAAGCGTCCAAAGAGTGTTGTGGCTCATCTTGTTGATAGGTAACATCCACCTCTTAAACGGACCCATACAACTATTCATGGCATTTAAGTGGTGAAATGGGAGGTTCTCGATAGCCCGGGAAGTGAAATATACACCGTCCTGAGAAGGATCAAAACATGCCCAGACCGGCGAAGCACAGCCAGCGATATACTGTAGGTTATGCGATGGCGGACTGCACCATTTAGCCATGGCCTGCTGATCACGCTCTAATTCGACAGTTCGTGCCTCGCGACATGCATATGAGGGAATATGTTCTGATACCGACTTGACCGAGACCTTTGCAAGGGGTACCATCGGTTTCGCTCCCGGTTGACTTCTTTTCGAGACCGGATTGATGACAGTTTCGGCAAGTTCCACTGGTTTGTCTACTATAAGAATCCTGGGTCTACGTCTGTGAGAGAACCTCCATATCGCCAGCCGTATCTCTGTTGGAAGTTCGCTGAAACGTGGAAACCCCGCTGGAAGGGCAGGACCGTCTTGACGCGCACCACTAGACGACATAATTTAGGCATGTGCTTAACATCTAGAGTCATATAGAATATGACGTCGCAACCGAGGGACCACCAATGTTGCTGTCAAAAAGAATAATGGTACGTAGAGCGATTGACGAGGCGACGACTATCAAATGTGTTCACAGTCATGCAACAATACTACAACAAAAAGTCACGTGAGTCAGATCGACGGAAGTGCTGACTCAGCTCGAGGTGTCAATTGGCTTTGGAGCCTGGACCTCCTCCTCCACCAAGCTTGACTAGCGCGCCAGCTCCGTATTCCCGCCCCGTATCGCGCGACCGCGATCGCCAACCGTCCCCCTGGCAGCATCCGACATTTGACGACGTCAGTCCATCAAAACATTCAATTCAAAGAGTGAAATCGATCAGACAGGGCGCGTTCTCCGGTTCCGTTGCTTAAGCGCCATCACCCAGACCTCATCGCGCACGGTCCGACTCTGAATTTGGACCATATTCTCTGGTCAGCTCTTTCTCAACTACGTCGCCCGCCACCTGTGGCCTCTAGTATTACGTTACACATGCGCAAATGGGCGTCATTCGGAAGAAGACCGCGACTAGAGGTGGTGAGGGAGGCGTCAAGTATGTCTGCGACTCCTGCTCTGCAGATATCACATCAACCGTAAGTATTTGGTCCAGCTTATCCGACTTTGATCTGGCTGTTGTCGCCATGGCTACTGAGCCGGCTGCATCCCCGCGTCGACCGGGCCGGCAATCGGTCGGCACACACCTACCCATCTCCACCACCATTTCCACTCTTGCTATATTTCCAACTTCTGCTGTCATGTCATTCTAACATGAACTTTTGCAGGTCCGAATAAGATGCGCTCATCCCGATTGCAAGGAGTACGATCTATGTGTGCAATGCTTCTCGAGCGGGGCATCCAGTGGCTCCCACCAGCCAGCAACACATGCATACAAAGTCATCGAGCAGAACTCCATACCAATCTTTGACCCGGAATGGGGCGCTGACGAGGAGCTCCTGTTGCTCGAAGGATGCGAAATTTATGGTCTCGGATCATGGGCAGACATAGCCGACCACATCGGCGGTTACCGACACAAGGATGAAGTGAGGGATCATTACATCAAGACATATGTCGAATCACCATGCTTCCCACTGCCGAAACGATGTCGCCCATCCGACATGGAACTGGCCCAGGAGATATCGCGCGAAGACTTTCAAGCAAGAAAGAAGCGAAGGATCGAAGAGCGACGAGAGGCACAAAAGAACGCCGCACCACTGCCACCGAAAACCAAGCCTACAGCCAGTGTCCCGTCGTGTCACGAGGTCCAAGGCTACATGCCCGGTCGCCTGGAGTTTGAGACAGAATATGCCAATGAGGCAGAAGAGGCCGTTCAACTCATGCAGTTTGACCCCGGCGATGGCATCAACCCCCGGACTGGCGAGCTGGAGCCAGAGATGGAGCTCAAGCTCACAGTCATGGATATTTACAATGCACGCCTGACCCAGCGTGTAGAGCGGAAGAAGGTCATTTTTGAACACAACTTGTTAGACTACCGTGCCAACAGCAAGCTGGAGAAGAACAGGACCAAGGAAGAGCGTGATCTTCTCAACAAAGCCAAACCCTTTGCAAGGATGATGAATCACGACGACTTCGAGTCGCTGTGCCAGGGATTGCTTGACGAGCTTAATTTGCGCCAAGCTATCTCCCAGCTGCAAGACTGGAGGAGTCTCAAAATTGGCGATCTCCGCAGCGGAGAAAAATACGAAAGCGACAAGGCTACGCGTATACAAAGGTCGATACCAATGGGCTCTATGGACCGAGAACGCCTGGCTACCCAACAGCGCTCGAAGCAAAACATTCAGCCAGAGCCTCCGAGCGGTGCCGCTCTACTCGTTGCGCCAGAATTGCCTTTGCGACTGGCTACAAACGGGGCATCGGCACAAGTCGCGACGAATGGAGATTCGACGGCACTTACCAACGGTCATGCCAATGGCCATGCCAACGGTGTTACTAATGGCAATGCACCAAATGGGACTTCAACAATTGCTAAGAATCGATTTGTTTCGCAACCCATCTCTGGGGTCACCCCATTGCCGCTGAGCCAAGACACTGCGCCGGATGTTCATCTGCTCACGCCAGAAGAGGTCGAACTCTGCAAAGTATGTCGACTGCAGCCCAAACCATACCTAATGATCAAGGAGCAAGTATTCAAGGAGGCCCTCAAAGGAAACGGAACTCTGAAGAAGAAGCAAGTCAAGGAGATTTGCAAGCTTGATGGCCAAAAGGGAGGAAGAATATTTGACTTCTTCATTAATTCTGGCTGGATTGGTAAAGCATGATGAATAGATGCAGGACATTTATACCCATTAGAGATAGTATGTTAATATTTATGAGAACAATCCGTCGATGTGTCCAATAAACAACTTGGTATGGAGGCATGTGAACTTTCTTTTCTTGCAAATGTTATATATCTCGAGGACATGAGGCTGAGTCAAGTAATGTTGCGTACTTGACACGGAAACAAGGTTCATCTCTTGGCAAGCGGAACTGTTGCGTATGCGGCCAGGAGATCTCGCATTGTCACACCTCAAGGTGCATTCAGACAACGATTCATTCAGCAGCCGGAACCAGCCAGCCAAATGTCGGCCTACCAGTAGCGGTAACACACACCTACATAAGGTAGCTTGGGTTATTGTCTAGGTCATGGGGTGGATGGATGCCTTCAAACACGAGGATCTGAGCTCAATCCTGACCCCTAGCGCCGGGTGTCCATATTACATCCTATACACAAGTGACATCGTTTTGCTTTGGCGCATGACGTATTACCACTCTGTGAAGTATACTTACGTATGCGCCTACTCCTTGAGGAAGAATCCCTCCTCGAAAATAGATAAACGCAATATCCTACAACTACGTGAAAGGCTATCGATGCACTAATGCAGCGGCCCAGCCTTTCTGACCATGCGCTGTTTACTCCGGTCATGGATGAACCTTAAAACAGATCAAGATAAACGAACACATGCATGGCATGTGGGCTCTTAAGTACCCCCAGTATAGACAAGATGCTGGCTGGCCCTCTCATTACCCAGTACGTACCTATCAACATTAATTCCCTGAGGTTATACATATCTTCAGAGATGCCCATTTTTAGCTGCCTTCTCTAATACCTACAGTGTTGTATTCTCAGGACCCGATATTGTTCCTTCTCATGTCGGGTGTGCTAATCTCGTAGTGCAATTCGGAGACGGCATGGACAGATGTCAGGGACAGGCCCGGTATCAGTAATGATAAATAGTGGTCACTTTTTGCTACTACTATTTTGCCAAGTCGGCACACACGGCGCGCCCTACGCTCATGTAAGGAATGGGGTTGTTCGTAATTTCAGTGGCATGCCATATGTAGCCAATCTGACCCAAGGATTAAAAACCTTGGCCTTCGCTGACGATTGTCGGAGTAGAAGGGATTGATCCCCCTCACAAGAAGAGGGAGGGAAGGTGCTGACCACTATCATATGTTCCCACAAAGTCGCTCTTTCTTCCAATCTGTCATTTCCTACAACTTCTCTCTGGAAATCCAATAGACTTTTCTCCCACTTTCTCATGTGCACCAAGTAACAAATCACGACGACGCCGGCATCTGAATGCCATTGCCCAAGTGTCGACGGCTTCTTCCATATATTTGATCATCTCTGCAACGCGGCACATGGTCAAAGTTTGCGCTTGCAATTGCGTCGTCCTTCCGGTCCTCACGTAACCACTTGCTGGATCTCACAATTCATCCAAAAGAAGACGCTTGACTTCGTCAAGTCTCTGAGATTGCACCCCTTGTTTCATCACCATCAAGACATCTTCACACCATTTTCTGGACCCGAATAAGAGCAAAACCACTTTCCAAAGGACACAATCGATTGTGCAGGACCGTTTGCGGTCATCAATTCACCGAACCACTTGCGTCCAATCTTGCTCGCTCCGGGTACCGGCATATTCACCCACGAATAGCAGTTGACTAAACCTATGAATACAACCCGGCACTCTTCCCTTCTTGCTCCGCACTTGGAGATTGCAACAACATTAGACTATCTTCATAGTCTTTCTGCTTCAACCATTTCGCAACTTTGAAATCCCGTCAACAACAAAGTCTGAGTGTTGTCGTGTCGTCAATCCACTTCGAGTTGAAAGCATACATAAACTCGTACCTCTCCCTGATTGCCGGCCGACCTGCCTAACTGGAGCCGGCCGTACTGGGGTTCCTCATAGAGCTTTGGCGATCCCTTTAGCGCCTCCGCGGCGCGCGATCCGCCTACGGACCGTTTTTTATTAATCTAACCAACGCTGGCTGAGACAGGTTCCTCCCTTTTCCTTCTTCAATATGTCAATCGCCAGTCACATACCGCAACGCATTGCGGCATTCATGCCTCGACAAAACATTCTCATCCCGACGCTATGCATCGTCAGTCTTGTCGTTGTATGGTGTCTGCGCATCCCCTCGTCGTCATTGGTATGGACTAGCTCCAATGGCGCGCAACAGGTGCCTGTACTTCATCAACCACCTCCGCATAGCGATGTCGACCTCTCCGACCCCGACGCTCCCTTTGTTGGATGGCCACTGCGCCGTGTATGCGACGAAACGACCTGGGTAGATGGGCTGGTATATATTTGCGACAACAACTCAGGCGGCATTGGAAATGTTCGAAATTACATTCAGACATGCTTGCGCTATGCAATTGAGGCCGGCGCAACTGGCCTAGTTGTGCCCAAGATTCGCAAGCGATCCGAGGCCGACCTAGCCGACCTGTTCACTTCCTATCTCCCATTATCCTACATGTTCGACGAAGAGCACTTCAGAGATGCCTGGCAAACCTACTGCCCCCGAATGAAGCTCTACAACGACGTAATCGACGTGCCCAACTATCCGAAAAATCTTGATGGCAAGCCGCGCATCGAGGAAATTGCACCGAAGGACTATGGCGACCGTAAGGGGTGTGATTGGAAGGACCAAAACCGCCATACTGATCGCTTCGGTGACACATTCCGCTCTTGGTTGGGAAACGTTACCAACGCCACTCCTCCTTCAAGAGAACATCCCCGACTTATTAGATTCAAATGGGGTGTCCTCTGGGATTGGCAGATCTGGAAGGATGGACCCGAGTTTGCAACCACTTTCGGTCATGTGCTCAAGTTCAACAGCCAGCTTCAGCATCTCGGAAGGACGGCTCTTGCCAACATGAGGAGCTTTGCGCGAAGCCAGGGAGCTCCGGGTGGGGAGTTTTTGGGTGTGCACCTCCGCACCGAGAATGATGCCATGAACTTTTGGCCTGTCTACGATGTCCAGGCTCAGGGATACCTTCGTAAAGCCCAGGAAGGAAAGTTCAAGTCTTCGTACCTCGCAACGGGTAATATCACCGAGGCATACAAGTTTGAGAAGCAGGCCATGGAAGTTGCCAAGATGAAAGTTTTGACAAAGCGAGATCTGTTGACTGGAAAGGACCTAGAGGCACTCAATGCATTGACTTGGGACCAGCAAGGGTTGGTTGATTTTATCGTTCTGCTTGGCAGCACGTATTTTGTTGGCACAATGCCCAGCAGCTTCTCCGTCTACATGACATTGAAGAGACATTTGAAGACTGGTGGTCTGTACACACGACCGTACAAGGCCGGAACCGATGGTGACGGATACAGTTATCTGGTGGGAAGATACGAGCAGTACTGGGAAGACTGGCTGTTCATGTTCGATGGCATGTGGCCCTAGATGTGCAGAAATATAATCTGCAGAAATTGTGCAAAGAAACGAGAAAGATGTACCAACTACGAGCATCATTTGGCAAGGCGTTTTAATGGTGGAGGGATATCTGACATTTTCCACTGGTCGATAAACCAGAGAAAGGAGTTGGGACACAAAAGCAAGCATAGCATTTGCTTATCAAATAGAAATTAGAATTTCCTGCTCAAATGAGCTTGTGGAGAAGCAATGGACAACAAGAATAGAAAATATCAACATTTCTCACCACATCAACGAATACAGAGCGTACTGTAAGAGGAGCTGATTTCCATGACACTCATTCAGTGAGATGTATCAGGAACCAGGCCTGCAATAAAGCCCAGGCATGTGAGATTGCGGGGTGGGAGGTGGAGTGGTGGCACCTAAAGGCGCCGCCTCCCACCCGGGACCCCACTGACTGGCTGTGCTAATGGGGTTCCAAAAGCTTGAATACAATTACGTAGTGTAGCTAAACCTTGGACCTCATGTTCCTGTCAACGTTTGATACATCGAGCACGAAGTTGAGAGGTTTCAGTGAGACATCACTCAGCATAACGGCCACAGTCACATGAAGCGATTGGGTCGTCTCTTCTCTCACCGCAACATGTCGTCCATGATCACTCTTGGAAGTCTCAAGCGCATCACTGCGCCCAAGCTGGCCGAGCAGCTTCTCGCCCGCGCGGAGGCAGGTGCAGCGGCCGGCGACTCTACGATTGCAATTGTGGATGTTCGGGACGACGGTAAGCAACAATTCACACTGCATTCTGAGAGAAAACTTGCCCAATTGATGCCCTCGGGTAAACTGACATTTGGGGATTTGCCCACAATCCAGACCATATTGGTGGACACATCAACGGCTCGCTACACTTTCCCTCGCAGTCTCTAGACGCCATGATGCCGACGCTGCTCCGGAAGCTCGAGGACAAGGAGACGGTCGTGTTCCACTGCGCCCTGTCGCAGCAGAGGGGTCCCTCGGCTGCCCTGCGGTACATGCGCGAGCGCGCCGACCTGGTCGAGAAGGCGTCCAAGCAGGGCAAGGAGGAAAAACCTCAGACTGTCTACGTCCTCGACCGCGGCTTCGTCGGCTGGCAAGAGGTCTATGGCACCGATAAGAGGCTGACCGAGGGCTACCGTACTGAGCTGTGGAAGGATGGATATTGGGGCTGAGGTAGCAGATGGAATGACGTGAAAGAAAGTTGGACACAAGAACGGCCGAGATGTCTCACGGGACGTCCATACCGAGGTCAAGGAACAGAGCCGAAAACGATGCCATAATGTTGCAAGGCTCGATTAAGCCCTTGACCTTCCCGTGATCCTGGCAGGTTCAATCGATAGAATGGTATTTATCGGGTATGCTTCGATATGCTGAGCTGCCAAGACGTATACCAGACTCCAAGCAACCCTCTTGGAAACAGCTTGGAAATAGAAGGGAATCCGTTTGACGAACCAAGCAACCCGATATCAAACACCAGGTCAATACCGTCATGATAGGCAGAAATGCAGAAAATATCTCCCTTGCGTCTTCAAAAGACACAATCACAATTTCATCCGACCGTGCTTCCAAATGTGGGAACATGTTGACAGCGTAGCGATCTCTTGCAAGGAGCTTGCATGATAACCATGGCCATCTCGACAGCTCTGATCGCATACATGAAATATAATGCATGTGCACTAGCGGAAGTGCATTTTAGGCAGAGCCAGCTCAGCTCTGGCTCGATATGTTTAGTGTCAATTGGAGTCGAGCCGGTCTCCTATCGCGGTGATTCTCGCCCACGAGTTTATAAAGAGCGCTGCTATCCGTGCTATGTTACCCCAGCTATCCGTGCTATGCCTCACTATATTTCGCAACTACCAGCCACCTGCCAGCTGCGCATATAGAGTCGTATGCAATAGTTTTAATTTTCCTATCCTTTATTAATCTATCCGAAGATCCTTTTTTGCAGTAGGAAGCTGTATATTTAATTGGTAAAAAGGATAATTGTGTAGCCGGGCCCAGCGACCAGCTAAGCGAGCAATAGCCCTACGCAGTGCTATTACCACCACGGCTCCTATAAAACAGCTGCTATTCCAACTATTATCGCATATAACGAAGAATTAGCTATTATTTTCTTTTCTTTTATTTATATTTACGGCGATGGCGCAGGGGCTATATAGGCGGGATAAGGTGGGACATAGCACGGATAGCTGAGGTGACATAGCACGGATAGCAGGACTCTTTATAAATTAGGTCAGCAGTTGCCTGGAAATCCGGACATGGGCCCCTTTGTACTTCACTGAGTATAAATCAAAGACACCGCCCTCGATTCTTGGCATTGACAACAATTCCATTCATACTCGCATTGCAATGCCAATCATTCAGTCTTATTACAATTTTTAAGACAATACAGCTTGACCTTCTTTCAATATGTCTTGTTTCACGCTGCCAACTGTCGATCAAGGCAAGCAATCCCACCTCTTTCGTCTACCAATTGAACTGCGGCAGCGAATCTATCAATACGTCTTGACTCCAGCTCATGTGCACATTGAACGAAAGGTCGATTACAAACTCACTCTTTCCGGCATTAGAATAGCTGGTTCCGTTCGTACATCCAATCGAAGCACCACTGAAGATCGTGTTGATAGTCAACGCCTGTTCCATCGCACACAACCATCGCCTAGATGGAACTGCGAAAAGATCTTTGTGGACCCATCGACATCCTTTGAAATCAATGACAGAGAAACTCGCCAGGATGCTCGGAAAGCCTTGTTCAATATCTATTACTGTCGAAGCCAAAAGCCGGGCGGACCCAGTGCCGTCCCTCCGGGATACCTGGATCATGAGGACTGCAGCGGCGACAAGGAGCAAGTGGCCTTTTTGGGAAGCAATATGCTCGGATACTTGATGACATGCCAGTGGGCGTATAACGATTGTCGCGCTCATGGCATCACAACAGACTCGGCCGTGGCATTCACGCCATATCTCTCCCGGGATGTTGAGAAACTGGAGCTGGGATCGCACACTCTGCATTTCAGCGATTTGCAGGATATCGTCTGCTGGACTGGCCTTGTCACGCCTCAGTTGTCTGAGTCTCTTAGTAAATTGTCTGTTCATGTTGACACTATGGACAGTCCCTATTGGAGCAGATTTGTAAGTCTTTCTGAAGGCCTCGTGGTATTCACTTTTTCTGGCATATATGCAAAGTCTGTTACCGCAAAAGCCATACTCAGTGGTAGTCAATGCCGACGAGGAACCCCTGGCCCAGTCATCCCAGCTTCAGATCTGTTTACTAATCCGGAGCTTTGTAGTGCAAGTCGTACCTTCAGCCATGGGCTCCCAGCTGTTTTGAACCCTGGGAATGGGAACCCAAGGACAAATATGCGGATAGTATCACCTTTTATCACAACCACACAACGCACGACCTGGCAATTATGAATGGCGACCAGGAGGACCGAGACGAGATTGCTGAAGCTTTGGCAAGCACTTGGGTTGTGCCCAATATCCAGTTCAACTCTACTTCAGGTTCCGGGAGTACAAAGTTTCGTATGTCTGCGCTGCGAGGCCGATCCGGCGGTCCCCTGAATCTCCGTCTCTCATTCCCCATCTTCTTGCGCCGAAAGGAACCCCGATTCAACCAGTGTTTGGAAGACCCCGATGGAGAGCCGCAGGGTTGTCTTGATCTTCCCATACCACACTCGGAGCTTGAGCACGAATCTGCCAATTTCTTCAATCACCGACGTTGGTTGGCTGAGAGACATGGTGAGATGCCCATAACGGAGAAGCTTGGCCAGTACAGTAATTCATACGATCCATCGCTTGAAGATTACACAGACTCCATGTGTGAAATGGAATCTACACTCTTGTGCCAGGGCAATTTGTTAGCATTGGTCATGTACAAGAGATGGTTTGCAGAACATACGGACGAAACAGCATTCCTCCTACGCGAACAGACACAACGGGAGTATGACCGCATGTTTGCCGATACATTCTTGCAATCGAGGAAAACGCGACCAAGGAATGACGAGATTCTGAACCAAATTCACCCGCAGCTGCACTTTATGGATAACTGCCAGGGCCTTGAGCAGTTTGAAATGGACTTTTATGGGGATGCGCATAGCCCAGGCAAGGTACAGAACATCCAGAACGACGCGACGGAGATTATGCGAGAGGGTCTTCAAGAACGATTCACAGGTCGAGGATGGACCTCGAGTGATGAATCTCTGACGTTGGAAAGTCTGTTTTGGAACATTGGTCCCCATCCTGAAGTCAACTTCACCGGCTGGGCTGATCCCAGCGGGAACATGACTGACCTGAATATGGATCAAAATTGGAGAAATTGAGAAAGATGTTTGTGGTCCGGGCCGAGTTTTGATTTCCTGTCTCATATTGTAGGGTCTTGAGGACATTTCCGTTGTATGAATCTCATTGATGACTAGCCAGATGGGATCTCTTGCAAACGCTTGCCATTTGTGTGCCGTTCCCATGAACTACCTGGGTGAGCCCCACGAGAATGTATTCTAGAGAAGTCGGGCAGCTCAGCCGATGCCTTCTCAGGTGTACTATTCTTATAAGGACAAGTCTCCGCTCATACCTGGCCGGGCCGGGAAGGGCCTCGGGTTTCATTAACTCATATCGGAATACCATATGCGCTGGTCGGGCTGCTGGGGTGCCCCTCCTGATTCTGTTCCACGTACGGACTATATTAACAAGATTTAGTTTTCGTTCCGCGAGAAGATGGTTTTATTTCTATTTTCCCACGAGCGATTGGGAGACTCACTGCCGGATAGCGCAAATGAAGCTGGAGATGATGGTGCCTATGACCAGAAAGATCTCGTGCAGGACTAGAAGAATCGGCGCGTTAGTAATCATCTATCAAAGTTCAGGGAGTCATAATTCAAACTCTAAAACTCTTGCTCTCAAGGCCGTTGCTTGAGAGATGGTGGTTTAATCACTGTTTTCCGTGTTTGAAATAGTGTACCAACAACATTTCAAAAGAGAACCACTGAACGCTGAAAGAGTCCAGAAGAAAAAACAGATTAAACTCGAAAATAAATGGACGCCTGTGTATGTACTCACCCAAGAATGGAGTAAAGGGAAAGACGACAAACATCAAGACCAGCGTCCAGAGGCAGCGAAGGGCAAACGTTGCAACCATGGCATGGCCAAACGAGCGCCAGGCGCGATCACCAACCGTGCCTAAGAACATGGAGCGCTGCATGTTTCGCACGCTTTTGACTTCCCAATAGGCCATGCAAAGCGACATGCCCATGAGGGCACCCAGAGTCGCCATGCACAATCGCCGTCTGTCTGATTCCAGGCCGAGGTCGAGGCCACGATAGCCGCCCTCGAACATTTTGTTTTCTGCTGGTTTGTTTCCCTCTGGTCGACTCTCTTTGTGATTGTGTTTGTTTCTGGCCCTCTTCATTAGGTTTCTCATTTGCAACACCGAGTGGGTAAACCGGCGGACGAACTTGGGGGGAAGAAGACAAAAGAGAGCCGTGGCCAGACTTTGCAAACAACAGCAACAAGCCACGTTAATCTCTGAAGAGCATTGGAGCTTATTGCTTATCCTCGAGGGGCATTTGGCTTGGTCGCGTGAATTATCAAAGCACGAAAATCAAGATATTATTCAGTAGACAAATGAAACGAC